CTTGTGTCACCTCCTAATCAGAATGTTTCGCATTCAACGATTTTACAGCATACCATCGCTTCCATGTCAACTAATTCATCACGAATTTCTGATATCGCTGATCCTGTAGCTAAAGAATTGGTATTACGTTCCTTGAAGTTTAGTGATTATATCACTCCACCTCCTGAGGCTCGTGATAATCTGATTGTTGAAGCTCATTTGTTAGGACATTTTGGCCTTAAAAGCGCTGAAGACGCTCTTCATCACAATGGCTACCATTGGACTAATATGAGACAGGATATTGAGCGTATTCTTGGTAATTGCTACGAATGCAATCGATTCGTTATTGGTAAAGTTGGATATCATCCTCCTCGCTCTGTGCATCCTGATCAACCACTTGATCATTGGTGTATGGACCTTGGATCTTTTGATGTTACGTCTCAAAGAGGCAACAACTTTCTACTCGTAATGGTGGATTATTATACTCGATTTACTATTCTAAAATCCATCCCTAACAAGAAAGCCTCTACTATCGCAGAGCAATTGATTGATGTTTTCAGTACGTTTGGTTTTCCTAAAGCTCTCAATTCTGATTGGGGAAAGGAATTCACTGCTGAAATCGTTGAAGAACTTATTAAGAGTTGTGGTATTGATCGTCGTCTCAGTCTACCCTACAATCCTTTGGGCAACTCTGTTAATGAAGCTTACGTTGGTATTGCTAAACGTACTATTATCAAGAAGTTGGAAGGTAAAGGAGATAATTGGGATTTCTATGTACCTTATTGCCAATTGAGTATGAACTTGAAATATTCTCGGCTACATAAATCTCGTCCTTACACGCTCTTGTTCAATCGACAACCCAACGGATTCAACGATTACTCTAAAGTACAACCTACTTTGAGTATGCAGAAAGCTGATAATGAAGCTATTGACGAACGATACAAGTTTGTTAATGAAGTTGTTATCCCTGCTATTTCTGATCGTATCAGAGCTACTGTTGTATCCAACAGCATATTACTCTTGGATTATTACATAATACTGAAATAAGAGATTGCGGATCCTTATGAAGGTTAGAATAACCGTGAGTGATAGATTTGTTAGAACAATTCTTTTCTTTAGCGGAAGAATATTTCATCTGTGTATCCGAGACAACATTGGATGAGTAATTGACTTCATTTAGAAATAAGATATTATAGTATTTGGATTTGATTAAATCAGATAACTTTATTTAGCACATCAAACCACAATACATAAATCTAATCTACTTAAGCTATTATCTTCTAACTTGTTGACCCTTACTTTAACCCTTTACATTCTGACAGAATTCAATAAAACTGAAACGTAGACGTCGGCAGAATTAAAGAATAGTTTATCCTGTCCGTCACGTTAGTTATAATGAAACTGCTGAAGTACGGGTCAAAGGAACCTTTAGTTATGTCGTATTTGAGGCACGATGGCAATATTATATGAGTAAATCATCACTCAAAACGTCTAACGAAATGTAAAATAAAACTTGATCTCAGATATGAGTACTGCTCATATCTTCGTTCCCGTTTGGTAAGCGGTGTGTTCGATTGCATACATTTGAACCTTAGATCAAATGTATAACAAATAAAGATAAGATAAGAAAAGAATATGGATCAAGGATAATTCTTATGTGAGATTAGCTACCTCACATAAGACTCGAACAGGTTATCTTTATGAAATATATTTTACTTAGATTATCTATGGCTATATGACATTCAGGTATATAGCAGGATTGGTATATGTACTCGTAGGATATATTGATTCAACAACCAAAACATAGTAGGTCACGGTACTGCTCCCTGTTCTGGAAATAAAGTATGGTTGGAGATAAAAAAGGCTCAATCACTCTTTATTAATACAATAACTGTTCACGCAATCAAAAGAACACCACGCACGAATATCTCTTCCTAGCCAACATCTATAATCATTCCCACAGTATCTGAGCTACACAACTGGTGGCCGATAGATATTGGATTATAGATGTAGCTGCATGATCACCCTGGATCTGCCAGGATAGCACATTACAAATCAATCCGCTCTGGGATGGACGAGTAATTATCCACCTAAAGGGAAGACCTATTCTTTTACGGAAACCTCTGATTCACTGAGTATTATTTGACCATAATACATCAGTGTCAGCTATAGATCCCGATACAATCATTTCGTAGACAGCAAACACAATAAGTCTTTATTAATAGCAGTAATTTTAGTTTTCTTTTCTTTTTCTTTAGTTTGTTTTGGAAAGAGAAATAAAGACGGTGGTTTGATTTCGTTAAGCTTTCGTGTTTATTTTCTCTTGTGTTATTCTTTACCTTTTACTTCATAATTAAAACTAGCGAATACCACAAGTTAGATCAACCCACTTACCTCCTGTCACCGATCCAATCGGTCAAGGCACCGCTATAGCATGATGAACCGTGCAGTAACAATTGGGTATGTCTTTTCTTTTATCATCAGGTCATCTTTGTGCTTAAGAGTCTCGATAGAAAAAGTTTTTTACAATATCCACAAATATAAATAGAAGTACTTTTTTCCTACATGGTTTTTGTCTTCATTCTTTATCTGAATAAAAAAGAAGATAACTTGGTTTTCACAGATTTCCTTTTGTTTTCTTTTCTCTCTCTGTTCTTACTACAACATATACAACAGTGCTCATCTACCTAATGCTAGCCAGTTAACTACTCCTCTGGATCGTTTGCGATATAGCACTCAGAAAGTCTTAGAATGGACTCCAGAAATGCATGCACATTACGACAGCGTTATCAATATTTTGAAAAAAAAAATATTGTTTTAAGTCATCCAGATTTAAACCATGAATTCAGCTTAGCCGTTGATGCTAGCAACTATGGTATTGGTGCTTGTTTGTTCCAAGAATTTAAAGATGAACAAACTGGTAAAATTACTATTCGATACATTGGTTTTTCATCAAAGGCACTTTCTAAAAGTCAACGCAATTATAGTGTTACTCGCAAAGAACTTCTACCCTTGACTACTGGATTGACAAAATTCTACAAATTCTTGCATGGTCCTAAACCTTTTACATGTTATACAGACCATCGCAGTCTCTCATACCTTTTCACAACCAAGAATCCCTCCATGATGATAATGCGATCCATGGAAGTTATCTTATCCTTTCCTAACATGAAAGTTCAATGGATTCCTGGCATTACGAATATCATGAGTGATAAATTGTCCCGGTTATTTCCTACAGTGCAAGATAAAGTTGCCTTTGAAAAGGATGAGAAACGACTATTCCCTCATCCATTTAAACAGACACAGAAGAATACAAAATCAAAAATGCGTGCTCAAAAACGTAAATTGGAAAAGAAGATCCTTAAGGATAATCCTTCTCTTAATCCTGAACGTCCGCAGAACCTCACTCAGTTCTATCATTCCATTTCGGAAACATCTGATGTGACTACAACTCTCATATTCACTCCTTCTTTGTCGAACCGTTTCATCCGCATTAAACGCTGGTCTCTTCGCACCATTCATGATAATTTGAATGAACAAATTCGTTATCCCGGACCCACAGATGACTATGAAGAGGACATCATCCAGATTAATTACGCACAAAACATGGATGAATCATATATTGTACCTCCCGTTGAAGAGAGACCGAGTATTTTGAAAGATGCACATGAATTTGGTCATTTCGGTGGTGAAGCCATCGTACAACGTGTGAGACAAGATCTAGGTATGAACTGGCCTAATTTAATGAATGAAGCCTTAGAGGTTGTAAAACAATGCGCAACTTGCCAAAAGTTCACCATTAGTAAGAAAGGATATAATCCGTTGAAACCCATTTACTGTTATACCCCAGGATGGCACTATCAAATGGATTTATGTGGTCCTTTTCCCATCACAACCAACGGCAACACATATATTCTGGTTCTCATCGATGTTGCTACTCGCTTTCTTATCCTACATCCTATTCGTGATAAGTGGGCTAAAACCGTGGCTGAAGAACTCATCTCCATCTTTTCACTTGTCGGTTATCCTCGTATCATTCACTCTGACAATGGCACTGAATGGAAAAATCAGATCCTCAATACTCTATGTGAGGCTATGAAAATTGACAAACGTTTGAGTACAGCTTATTATGCTCAAAGCAATGGTGGAGCTGAAGGTGCCGTTAAAAACACAAAGAAATTGCTCTCTAAACTAATCCTTGGCAATTCTGAAGACAATTGGGATATGATGATCAATTCTGTACAATTGATGCTCAATTGTAAAGTATCCAAACGTTTACTTACTAGCCCTTTTAACCTGATGTTCGCTCGTAAAATGTCCAATGAGTATCCATTACTACATGACTCGAACGATAACATTGAACCCATGTCGAATGATGAACTTCTGCAACGTATACAATACATGTCAGATGTAGTCTTTCCCGCAATTAAAGAACGTACTGAGATATACAACAAAATGATGAAAGGTCAATTTGACAAAAAGCATCGTTTGATTGATTTCCCTGTCGGTAGTTATGTTGTGGTTCAAAAGAAAGGCATTCAGAAATCTCTTACACCTCAATATGAAGGTCCATATGAAATCATTCGCAAAACTGAGGCTGGTAATTACACTCTCCGTGATGAAATGGGTGTTGTTTCCTCTCGCAATTACACACCATCTGAATTAAAGTTGGTTTCGCAAGATGCACTTATTTCTCAGGATGAGATCTATGAATTCGACAACATTGTTGGTCAACGTGGCTCTCCAGGAAAACGTGAATATCGTGTTCGTTGGAAGAATTACGGTCCTGAAGATGATACATGGATTACTGCTGAAAACTTCACTGACTCACAATCCACTGTGGAATATTGGCATCATGTTAAAGTTAGCGTGCCTAAACAAGATTCTGTAGTGTTAAACCAGTTAATGTCTGGTGAACGTGATTACTCCACGGTTGAATTGACAAAGAATGGCCCGTTGATTGAACATGTTGAGCAATTTGCTGATGCGATCACGGATGTACCAATTCTCCCAATACCCTTCAACAACAACAGAAATCTTTCAAATGTCCAACTCGCCGTACGAAAGTGGTAGCGAATAATCCTGCTCATAAAGAGTTTCGTCGCAGTCCTCGTGGTCGTTTCATGCACACATTTGCAATACGTTACGAGTTTTTTACAATTTGCCAATTGCATTTGTTTGAACAAAGTCATTTAAACCATCTTATTGCTTTCAGGTCTACCTCATCTACTATTCTTTTTTAACGCTAAGTTGCATTTTTGCAAAACGACAACCGTCTAACGGAGGCGGGGCAATGTCATATGTGCGGTACGAAGGAGGTATATTTGCGTGAACTAAATCACTCCAACGACAAAAGAAATGTTAAAAGAAAAAGTCAACCGGTTTTAAAAATCTCCAAAACTTTATATTGTTCTTCTGGCGATTTAATAACTTATAAAGATATTTCCTCTCATTCAAAAGGACAGAGTGTATTAACAAAACAGCTAGATTTTTATTGAAGAACAACCGCTTGCCGTACCTGAAGTAGCTCAAGTGGAGTCTGTCGTTTTTGAGGTACGATGGTAATATAATCACATGAATAAATCACTCACAACATCAAACGAAATATATGAGCATTACTCAATTTTGAGAACAAAGTTTTTTTAAAGCTTCGCAAAAATGAAGGTTATCCATTTTAAAAATGATTAACAAGCAAGAAGCAAATATTTTTGACAGGGTAGAAGATGCTCTAGCAAAGACCACTAACATGAACATTACACTGGAAACGATTACCTCTTAAAGTTCCCTAAATAGACACGCACAAGTCTAGTGAAGAGAAAATTGTAAAGAAAGTGATCATATTAAGATAAATAGCTTACTTAAACAAATTGAAAGCGTACTAACTCGTTACAATGGCTAAAACGATAAGGCAAGCTAAACATTTTATGGGGCTTTCTATTTATAAAGAGCAGCTAAATGTATTTATTTATTAGTTTTTATTCTTTTATCGAATTTTGAATAAATTTACTCGACGTTAGTTTTTACTTTCTTTCTGGCGAGCCGAACGACTCGACATAAAGCTGCCGCCTTGTAGGAACAGAGCCAGAAGAGGATTTTGATCGGAATGCTTTTAAGCATCTTTTGACACTTTTACTCATCAACACCTAAATGTACAAATAAGATGGTTTTTTTTCAAAAAAAAAAAAAGAAAAAGAAAAAGGAAGTATGATACATTACATTAACTTTGATCATTGTGTCAAACATATCATCAAGCCTGTTCAAATCTAGTGCATTGTGAGGGAAAAAGAACGACCCGATCTCGAACAATCGGTAGACTTTTGTATGCATCAGATCCATAACATATACAGTGGCATGATATCCTATTGAAGTTATGTTTCCATATTGGTATTTACTCTTCCTGATATCTAATGATGTTTTTATTACCTCCCACCAAAATGCCAAATACCGGTGTATCTTCCGGAAAGTTTCTTTTTAACATCAAATCCACCTCATCCTTCATCAAGTTTGCTAATTTGGTGAAGTCAGGATGGTGTACTTGATCTTCAGATATTACTGTTGGACTTTTGACTTCTATGTGGAGGATGTGCTGTTCGTGCTCCTTATACACAACTTTCAGACCACCATCTGATTTTCTGCCATGAGTCCCCCTTCTTCCTTTGCTGCCATTGGATTCGTCGTCATTGCTTAAACGGAAACGAGTATATCATTCAATAAAAGATGTTTTACTTGTCTTGTTCATAGCTGAGATTCTTACCCAAATTGCTTCAAATACTTATTCTCTCTTAAGAATGGTGAGAGCAATGGTGTAACAACTTTCTTGTTAAAGATGTCCTCTTTGAAACGAGAGGAGAAAGGAAAACAGCATTCATTCAAACTAAATAACAAAGGCGGCAATTAATCATAATTTAACATAACATTCTGTCTACTATCCCTTACAAGTTAACAATAGATTGGCACATTTTCTCTTCCATTCCTTCTACGTCGAACATTAAATTATTTGCCTCTCTTTTGGCTTTTTCAATATCTTTCTTTGCGAGCTACAGTTGTTGAAGCCATTAACCATAGTTGACAACACTTATAATTATATTTGATATGGTTACCTTGTATATTCGCCTTAACTTTTCAACTTGAAATTGATCAAGTTCATCCAGATCGACTTCTCCTCCAACGTCATATTTCTCTTCAAGCTCTTCTATCATTACTTTATAAGTATCTTCTGAAATGCCAGTATACTTGCTGTGCTTAGAAGATATGAAGAAAATGCTGTTCAAAGCCCTACAAACAATAGAAAGTTACTTATTACGCAGAGAGGTTTGACACAATATCGACTTACAATTTATCAATATCGCTCTGTAACTTTTGTCCCTTTGCTCCTTCTTCTTTACAAATCTCCCTAAATTGCAGCAGTTCTCTACTAACATCATTTCCACTAATGAACCACTTTAAACCTTATAATTAGAATACAGAGAGCGTAAAAAGTCTATTCACTATTACTTTCTACCTTAACATCTGCAAGTACAGGTTCATCTGTAATCGTTCTTTTTTCCAAGTAATAGTACATCTACAAAAAAAGGGACAACTTTATAGACTGTACAATTTTTAATGGCGTGCATAACTTACTGGTTTTAACTTTTTATTCTGGGTCGACGCAGCGGCTCCAACAGAAGTAGTATCAGCAGTGCCAGCATCCGCAGCAGCAGTATTGGAAGTAGTAGTGTCCGGAGTAGCTTCATCAGCAGTAGTGGCCTCGTCTCCCTAGTAAAAAAATGAACGAAATGAGCGTCGATCACATTAATAGAAAGAATTGCTTATTATGCTGTACCTCTTCTACAGCCGAAGCGTGAGGCCTCTTGTTGATTTGCATAGTCCCATTACCAAAATTGACATATCTAAACTTGGCGTGACTAAAGTTATTGTTGATTGTGACGCTTGGTTCATTTTGCTATTGTGCAAAAACAGCTTAATATAATTGCTTGATTACAAAATGCCTCTTATATTTCTACCTTTTTACTGGTAGGTTTTACAACCAGAGTTTTCAGATAGTTTGAGATTTCGTCATCTTTGACGAACAGACGAATGTCATTAAGACACTGATTGTAAACTTTTGCCATAGTTCCATCTTTGTAACGGCCTTCGCTTTCTTTGACAATAAAGGACTTATAATTTTCGAAATTCCAATCAGCGATTTTGTGGTTTGCGAAGAAAATCAATTCGCTTTTGGTAGGTACGGTTATGAAGCGATCAAGGCTGAACGTTTTAAGGCAAAAGAGTGGTAGAGTTTCATAATGCAACGATTGAAAACAATTTATGCAAGTTGTGATACGGTGCGTGATAGATTATCGAACCAACCAATAGAATTAGAATGTGCGGATAGATACTATACTTTTGATAAAGGAGCTTTATTTCATATAACAATCTTACATCTGATTTAGGAGACAGAACAACAAAATCTATATTGTTATTTTACGGACTATTACTCTCAACATGTCAATGGCGTGTTTCACGCAGTGACATTAATTAAATTGCGAGGATTCCCGTAGACTTGGGTTAGGTACCTTTTTATTTTTTGCAAATTTGCCGTCCAGGACGTTAAGTGTACCATGCACTGGCTTTCTTGAAACTAAGGCGTATTTGCATGCTGCCATGCACTTTTGCAACAACATTTCATCGCTACTCTTTTATTTTTTCGAAATGATACCAGCCTTTATACATTTGCATTTCTGAAGTCACCCTTAACAAATTATAGTCGCTAACTTCGATCAGCCATTCCCTTTTAACCATTAACAAAGTCTCACACTTTAGAGAACAATGTATATGTTATGCCTTTACTTTTATATCCATTTGTCTTCCTAAGAGAAAGTGAAAGATTTCGTAATATCTATGCTTTTTGTTGCATACTTTAGTAAACGAACCAGTTAATTCAGCTGTGTTTGCAACGTTTAAAAGTATTTTCGGTTCTGAAAGAAGCTTTCTGCTCTATATAAAAAGAAATAGAGTGATGGTACTGAACTTCACAAAACATCATATCTACGATACTTTGTTATTTGTGTGATTTCTGTTAACGTGGCTACTCGATTCTCCTGAATAATTCGAAGCTGCTGTTCTATATTTTAGCAAGCTTTTCAGACTTACAAAAAGTTAGAAAATGCATGAAATAAAAATAAAAGGGGAAAAATAGCCACTTAAGTCTGTTGGCTAATCGATAACGACTACTAATCAACGTTTGCCAAAATCATAGCGCTACTTGTTTCTGTTGGGGTGGTACATAACAGAAGTCAATCTTATTAGTAATAGATGAGTGATGACCTCGTAAATGCTCGTTCTATATGAATAGCTGAAGCTTTACTTTAAACACTGGAAGAAAAGGAAAGCATAAAAAAAGAAACATTTTCGGTGTACCAGCTCGAATCAGGCCTATCTCTTTTTCTTTTCCTTTTCTATTCTTAATGCATTATCAATACCATTTCGATATCTTCCAATTCTACTTTGATTCTGAAGCTGTCATACATGCCGCTCGACTGCTTGAAAGCTCAATAATAACTACGATGGACCGATGGAGTCCTCAGACTGATTTGTTTTTTCCTCCTTGTTCAACGTGTATTTTTCTAACAGTGTTAAAGTTGACTAAGCGACGATAGCACATTGGAAGAGAAAGCTAACACGAAGCTTAAAGGACACGATCTGATTGATGAAAAAGGCAGCACACCTTATATTTCACTTTTCGCTGCAGAATAATCGTGAGTACTAAGCCACAAATATAGCATCATGAATAAGTAATGTGGAAACAGTAGTATTGATTTCAAAATGTGAAGTGATAACTTTAGTATAGATTAAAGAATTATATGTGAATCAAACAAGGTCGAAACGCGAAAGGTTTCAAAAGTCACCAGTATTTTTTAATCAGGCAGGTTCAATAACATTGCTAAAATCTGTTCTAGACGGTTCTTTGTTGCTTAAAGAATGTTAACAACGGCGCTTATGAGGTCAACAAGCCAGAGGATATCAGGTGTTCCACATACAACGTGCTTCCTGTTGGTATCAGTTATGAGTCTGGCCTTTTGTATGATAATATTTAAAAATATGCGGTTTTCATATACTTTTCCAAGAACAAAGTGGCTTCGCGGTTGGGTTTGATCAATTTTTTTCGAAAAGAAGTACTTTGGCAATATACTAGCAGGTTCAATGAACACAGGGAGAATGACTACCGCATATGTAAATTGTAAATAAGGTAAACATGAATAAGGAAAATGATTGAAAATTAGCTTAGCTTACTCATTGCTGTAAATTGTATGTGAATATTTAAACTTGACGTAGTATCCGTCATTTGTGATGTTTTTTTGCTTATACTTGTACAGCTGTGAACGATAGGTGTCATGCTGAAGATTCATTTTGGACGAAAATAGAATTGGGTAGTGTGATATACTTAGATATCAGAAGTTATAATTTAATAAGTTTTAAGTAGGGACTGAGTGAGTCAGCGAGACTGAACAATAGTTCTTGGATGATCTTTATTTTGGTTTAGAAATTGAATGGTCTTATTATAAGAATGCGAGGTAGAACTGAGCTTATAGTGAAATTAAGAAAGTAGTAGTGACAACCGGGTAATATTGTTCCTGTTAATGAATTGTACAACGCCACTGGGATATATCTAGATTACCAGTAAGGTTGAAGTGTGCCTGATGAAATCTGATTTGTCCCACTACACTATAACTGGTAAAGGCAGTAAATCTTTATTGTTTCTCAGATTGTTATATGAATTAGAGTCGGAACGTGACAATTTCTTTACTTGTTGTACGAGCACGATACTTTCTTACATCCGACGATCTACACGAATTACAGATCTATACACATATTGATGTAAATTAGAATTTTGAGCCATGATTATGATCATTTGCAATTGATTGCATACCTTTGATGTACGGAATTCATCAATATCTATTACTAACACTAGCCCTTGTTCCTCTTTAGTTTTCAAATGCTTGTATATTTTGTTTGAAACACCGGCTTGCAAACCTTTAAAGCGAACTTGCGCTCTATTGGTTAACCCATCATCAAACAGTACCAGTGGCTTTTTCGACTTATCGCCAGTTCGAATGACCTTTTGTACGTATGACGACTATCCCTAGAAAAGTGAGAATACATTATTACAGTAACGCATACTGTGCGCATCATCTGACTCATTCTATTTACATGATATCGACTGATTGATGAGCTATGCCGGGATTTCGCCGATTGTTTTGCTTTTTACGTCTCTTGTGATTTCTTTTACTCATATGCCGTGATCTCGTCTGCGGGTTATACTTCTTTCCTCCATTCAGAAGTATGTTTATAGCATACTCTAAGGATACTTGTCTTTGTTGTATATGGTAGAGATAGATCACAATAGAAAGAAAACAAAAAGGAAATCTGTGAAGACCAAGTTATCTTCTTTATTAATTCAATATTCAGATGAAGAATGAAGACAAAAACCATGTAGGAAAAAAGTACTTCTATTATATTTGTGGATATTGTAAAAAAAACTTTTTCTATCGGGACCCTTGAACAGAAGATGACCTGATGATAAAAGAAAAGATATACCCAATTGTTATTGTACGGCTAATCGTGACAGAGCGGTGCCTTGACCATTGGATCGGTAAACGGAGGTAAGTGAGTTGATCTGATGAGAGATTCCTTTGACCCGTACCACGGCAGATTCATTATAGCTAACGGGACGGATAGGATAAACTATTCCTTGATTCTGCCGATGTCTCCTGTTGAAGTCTTCTGAATCTTGCCAGGAGGTAAAGAGTTAAAGTAAAGGAACAACAAGTTGAATAATAGCTTGAATAAATGAGATATATGTATATTGTTTGATATGCAAAATAAAGTTATCTAATTTATACAAATCCAAATACCATATTAACTTATTTCTAAATCAAGTCAATTACTCATATGATGTTGTCTCGGATGTACATACAGATGATCTCTTCTTTTGGGATCGATAAGAATTGTTCTGACAAAGCTATCACCCAAGATTAAACCAATCATTATAAGGAACTGTAGTCTCTTATTTAGCATTATGTAATAATCTACGCGTGATATGATGTTGGATACAACAGTCTTCCACGAAAATTCTTCCAGTTCAGTTCTGCGGTTCAGTACCCATGGAACGGATGCAAAATATTCATATGTGCGCACATATACTTTATATAATCACGATAGTGGCTAGCAGATATTGTTTTACAGATGGGATGAGTAACTCTATGGTTTTGATACCCTGTTGCTGTTTCAATTCTTCTTCTATCTTCATCCTGCCCTTATATCCCATGGCTTAGTAATACTCTTGAGCTGAACACTTCCTAACATCTGTGCCTCCATTGGTACGAAACAAACGCATCTTTGCGCCCGGGGACTACAGCACAGGGACGGAAGTGACTATTGATTTCCTCTTCGGTGAAGTCGGATATGCTCAATTGTACATTTACAATAATGCTACTGGTAGTCTTTCAAGCAAAGGCAATCCGACATGTGTATCCGTCGGTATAGATACAGTTGATGAACATTTTGTTTTTACCTGTAGGTAAATTAATGAACTCTTCAATGCTAGGACAGTAATATGACAGATCTGAATTAGCCCTTTTCAGTTAAAAATAGATATAATTCAAGAAGCTTACCTATCTATTTTGATTATTGTGAAGTTAAGGGTATCAAAAGAAACACCTTGAAATGTAGTCAATTTCTGTTTCGTAGTCCAGTTTCGTCAAACGATCATATGGAAAGAAGTGATGAAAGTTTTGAGAATCCAGTTTTATAAACCGCCATTTCATACTTGGCTTTGGAAACATAGCGAGTTCATCGGTGTAAAAGGGGCAGGAAATTGATGGCCAACAATGCCAGGGTTTTGCAGCTTGTACGCTTCAAAATTCAATTGCTCTAATACATTCCGCAATTGAAAATCCTCGTACTGCAGCATAATATAATGGTAGAGGGGGATCAGCATTGAGGATTTAGAGGATAAAGATAGTTTATTGGCTGATATGGTTGGAAGACGGTTTCTGATTGGTCTTGAAGTAGCATTTAGGAGATGCTCCATCTCTGTGATAAACAGTATAAACTCTCTAAGAGCAGTAGTGGGATTGATGTTGAAAAGTTGGCCAGCTGGCTGAAGAAAGATGTAATCAAGGAGCTCACTATAAACAAGGTCGTTGATAGGGCCAACATTGAAATGCTGTGATTATAGTTGTCAATTTGGTGTATTTAGATAGATAGATAGATATATATTCATTGGGTAATGAAGGCGAAGATAATAGATAAAGTATTTTGCCACCGTGTCTTCAAAGTTCTCAACATAATAGTTTTCATATGTTGTGGCCAAAGTGATACATGCTGACGATACAATCTGGCCGTAATATGCCAAATAACCACAATATACTGAAAGATTGACTTCCTGATGATGTATCGAGAGCGTATAATATGCCTCTGCAAAACCTGTCATTTCAGGGTAACGAGCCTCCACATCTTCAATTCTGGCACTTCCATAGACGACTCGACAGACAGTATACCAGAAGTTTTGCTCAAACAACGCGTTTGTTACATGCTTATGATACGTAAGAATGTAATGGTTGACAATGAATTGAGCCTTGACGACCACTGTTCGCAGAAAGGCTGACTTTTCCAGCACATGTTCATGGCAGGGGACAAAATTGGCAGGATTCGTAACAAATGTTTCTAAAGGCACTGAAATTGACGTGTTTGGTGAGATAATAACTACAATACTGGAGTACGTACAACCAGGTAGAGAATACATTCTACCACGGTCTACCTATATAGCATCTAATATAGGTTATGTACAACATAGAACAAGATACAGGCCTAAGTATAATAATCACACAAGAAGCATCTGAATTTGAAATTAATGACTAGCAACATTTCCCCACAATTATATAAATTCCCTTTAAACCTTACAGAGTAAATAATCCTTCTACTTCATCTGAAGAACAATAAAAACACTTAAGTTCATAGTCATCGACTTACAACAGTTATAAATCTTTAATCAAGCAAATACAGTACGACAGAAATAGTGAAACTTTCGAAACTACCCAATCTGTTTGTTTGTTTCCTCCAAAGCCATTCATGATTGGGGCATAATGGACTTCTTTTGCTTCCATGTCCGAGTTCTCCACATGACTTGCACTTGGTATTGTTTGTGCTGGAAGTTGCTTTTCGCTCGGTTTTTGCGCGTTTCAACGCTCTCGGAATTTTTTCGTTTTTTGGCTTAATACAATATTTACAGTATATTATAAGTTTTCAGTAGACATAAGCAATACTAGGAATTCATACTTCTCAATCTTCTTTCAACTTTCGGCAGTTTCATCATAAAAGAGCAGCTAACTTTGCTTTCTTCTTTTCATTAATGAGAGCTTCAGCTTCGGCATAGAGCTTATGCCGTGTCATAAGAGTATATGAATTTAAGTAACTTTTAAGAAAGGAAGAAAAAGATGAATAAACAAAAAAAAAAGAGGTAAAAGTGAGAGTAGTATAGATGACAACATTTTCCTGACAACAATTATCACTCTATAACTGTTTAATATATTGGAATGGCGTAAAAGTTATCTGTTTCCGTATGCTCAACAGAATCTGCAAGCAGAGCTTTACAGTCAATAAGGTCTATATTTTGGCTCTTCAAAAGGGGCTCTAAGACGAAAATATGTAAAAGAAGGGTTATTTAGGCTGCTATGCTGCCACTTCTAAAGGTGCTTTGGACTGAACAACTGCCATCAGTCCAGCTTTATTCTAGGAAGTGCTTAAAACAGATCGAAATTTAATCGGTGGATTTTGGGTAATCGGTGCGTAATAACTTTTTTAAATATGATGACGTAGGCAGTTTGACGGCGATTCAAATATACCTCAAAAATCCAAGGCTGTAGTAATTGAACGCGTTCCACATTTTTTGTTGACATTATTTCAATTTATACCATCTTCGTTGGGTTCGAAGGTTTTATATTCGGAGGATTGTCGCTTGTAGTCTCCAAACTTTGGTTGATGCCACTCATGGATATTGCAATCTATGAATTTCTTATTCATCTAAGCTGCAAGATTTCCTTATGCTTTAATTGTAGGTAGATTCAAATTAATCTTATTTACTAAATGGAGAAGCGAGTCATTTGCTTCAGAGTTCATCTAACTGTATCCTAAATCCGTAGCTGTATTGTGAAAATGTTTTCAAGTTACACTGTTGTGGAAAATTCTGATTTCGTTCATAAAGAAGGAGCTCTTTATGAAGTTTTTGTAAGAGATATACATATTTACAGATTATTTCGTGAAGCTAAAATCTGCAGTAATTATAGGATTCTCTTTGACCTTACACAATAACCAATGACTTGGACTAGCATTTTATGCTTATCGACAAATGGGTGACCTACTGGGGAACTTTGTAAGGTAGCAATCCCTGTCTGCTTGATCCTTTAACCTGGACTCTTTCCCAGTATCGACCGCAGCCATTCAGTAAATTCTGGATGGTGGTTATTGGATCAATATTGTTATTGTGCAAGCTTCTAATCTGTCAGATGTGTGATGAAACGTAAGACTTGGACTAGCATTTTATGCTTATCGACAACTGGGTGACCTACTGGGGAGCTTTGTAAGGTAGCAATCCCTGTCTGCTTGATCCTTTAACCTGGACTCTTTCCCAGTATCGACCGCAGCCATTCAGTAAATTCTGGATGGTGGTTAATGGATTAATATTTTTCATTATACATTTGATAAGCCTTTTTCTTTTTTTGAAGGTTGGAAGATAAGTAATTAGCATATCGTTTTTGACTCAATAGTAATCATTCCTTGGCTGATACTTTTCGTTCATAGTGATTCTTTTCACCTTGCACAATAACCAATGACTTGGACTAGCAATTTATGCTTATCGACAACTGGGTGACCTACTGGGGAACGTTGTAAGGTAGCAATCCCTGTCTGCTTGATCCTTTAACCTGGACTCTTTCCCAGTATCGACCGCAGCCATTCAGTAAATTCTGGATGGTGGTTAATGGATTAATATTTTTCATTATACATTTGACAAGCCTTTTTTCTTTTGGAAAATTCAAAGGTAAGTAGTTATCATATTGTTTTACTCAATAATATCATTCCTTGGCTAAATTTTTCATAACCACGTATACAAGGCAAACTGTCCTGTCAACAACAGTAACGTCAGTTGAAGCTCCTACAAAAATCTGAAGTTTCCTGAGTATCAATCAGTTTTGGATTTGACTGGTGCACTATCACAATTACAAGGCTAAGGTACGATTTGTGCCGTAGTTAATAGACTTTCATTACTCATGCCATTTAGCCAAGGCTCTATTGCGTCGCAAAAGTTAACTGACCTTATTATTGATTAAAATTTTCGATACCACGAATTACCAGAAGACAACATATCCGATCGAAGCATGTTCTTCACGTTGATTTCTGATAGCACCTGGTACAATTACTACATCACTACGTATGAAAGCAAAAATATCAACAGACGATCAAACCGAAGGCGTAAACGTAATTCCTTGAGCAACATCTTCGCACCTGATGTAATCTAGTGTCTTGAGCAAAGTTCAGTTACAATAAGGGACTCAAGCCTAACCAGTCTATGCCAACTCTGGCTTTCATCCTATTGTAAATCTGACGAAATAATTCCCATATTGAATGGCTTTATTCGGCGATTATTTACAGTGCGAAACAATTACAGGAAGAAGTCTATCTAGCGTAACTGAACACCAAACATTTTAATGAAGACAAGTAGGCCTACTTCTAATTACAATATCGGTGTCTAAGATGTTATATTTGCAATTAAGAACTAAACGACCATTAAAAAAATTTGGATTACAAGGAAAATGTGATGAGTCTATGTATTGATGAATTATTATCACAACGCATACATATTCATGTTTAATAGTTCCTTTTCGTCGACTTGTGCACCGCAGTGTTTTTAATTGTTTTTCTGAATTGCTGACCTATTCTTAAGCAGAGACGTTAAGAACACCAGTCTTCTGTCTTGGGTTGTTCTGTTTGGTGTTTAAGTCAGCTGTTTCCGTTCATTTCGATTTTCAAATACTTCGTCATCAGCAAATCCTTACAAGTGCTTTACGTTCAGCACTTCTTTCGCTCATTTGCCGGACTTGGCTGCTTTAAATAGTTTCTTGGAACAAAAAGATCGGTCGTTGGAATAGCCTTTGAACGCTTTTCATGCGCTTATGCTTCTCTTGCAACTTACTCCATTTTCACCTTATATGAACTTCCATGAATAGTTTTTCTAAGTTAATTTCTTAGTGGCGTGGGTGAGTCTCTTCTTCCTACTCCATGCATCGGCTCTTGTTCAGCAATTTTCTTCTGCCTTTTACATAAGGAAATATGCGCTCCTTTATGAAAAAGAAACGCTATCTTTTGCCGCTTTTTGAGACAAATAAAGCTGTCAGTGACGAAAACCACGAAAATGTGGGTTAGAGATACGGACCTTGACGATATAAATCAGGGAAATTTGGGAAAAATCCACCTTTGGAAGGTTGTGAGCTCTTCCAATTGGCAGGGACGTCATTATTCTTGCGCAGAAAGCCCGCTCTAATGTTTTTCAATGTTGTCCATATTTACCCCACTTTTTCGTTATTAAAAAGCCCACTCACTATTCAGTAATGTCACAAAATGTATTTCGCACATCCTTTCGAGCAAGTGTCCATACTCGAGAGTTACAAAATATTTTCTGCAAACCGAAACTTGCCTATTTCAGTAGTAAAAAGAGAGCCACAACTGCTAATAGTAGTTCTTGGTTAAAACGGTTTCTAACACCAGCGGAAGAGAGGGATCTCTATTTCGACATAACAAGTTCATTCCGTAAGAAGCTGGTTGAACAGTCTGAGAAGAGTCATCAGTCTTACAGTAACATAATAGAACATGCACTTTTGGCATCGAACAATAAAGTGGCTATACAGAAAATAATTCCAGCTCATCGTCTGAAAGATTTACAAACCGAAATAGATAAGGCAGGAAAAGAGAAGGATATTCAAAAATTGCAACAATTAGAGGAGGAATTACTTTCAGAGAGCGGCCTGTATAATCAGCAACTAATTACAATGTATAATAGACTCATTCGAGCGTATTTGTGGAGCGGCAATTTGCAGTATGCCGAGGGGATATTGACTAAAATACGCAATCAAGATTTGCTACCAACAACACGAACATTTACATATCTAATCAAAGCATATCTGGAAGCGAACCAATTATCAAAAGCAAACAATATGGCTGAAACAATGCAGCATCTCTCGCTACTAAACTTGAAGAGATACCACAGTTTTGATGTAGAGGTCATGTTGAGATATTATATCGCATGCGGTGATAAGCATGCTATTGACTACTTATGGCGCGACATGACTCCATTAATAGACATGATTAACCCCACTTTGAAAGTGTTAACTATTTACATTGACTATTTATTATCAACAGCTACTTCAGGTATTGATCGTACCAATGAAAATGGGATAGATATGGTCTCACAAGTAGCGCAGATAGTTTTACATAAATATCAAAAAACTGAAACGGTCAGTTTAGAGGCATTTGTTACATGGCTGAAAGCAACAAAAATATTAGCGAGTCAACAGCATACAAGATATACTCAACAAGCAGAGGAATTATTATGCTACCTGATTGAAAGGGCACCATCGATACAAGATTCAATGTCGATATCGAAACCAGCAATATCAATTGATAACAACTACCAAAAAATGATAACGGAACTGATCAATCACATTGTACAGTTGTACACTACGGAAAATCAAGCCTTGAAGATTCTAGCGTTTTATTACAAATTGCGGAAAGTGATGGCTAGGAGTGTACTACCTGAAGAGCTTCTCGATTCCAAAGCAATACAAACTGTAAAGAGTACCTTACAACGCGTGGAGGAGAAGTCTAAATACGATAGCGACAGCAACAGTCGACAAATAATCACGTCATTGGAAGGCTTAATAACGGATGTCTGAGCAGATTTTGATTAGCGTAGAGACATAGGCTTTCCTTTGCTTTGCCGCTACTGCTGGTGTTATCATTATGTATCGCTGACTAGAATGGATCAATTAATATAAAATAAATCTGTCTTTCTGATCGGTCAATAACTAATGCTTTCTTAAGAGATTACTTGATTCTGCATCAGTGACTTTGACATTTATTATTCTAACAGAAATCACACCCATAAAACACATGTTTCCAAAAATGACTTTATCAGTCTCAATATATCGGTGACCATTAAAGCATGTTTGCAATACTGCTACTAAAAGACGGGGTGAAGCCAAGTGTAGATTGAAAGACGAGTATAGCCGGCATAAGTACGTATTGCTTTTCAAAGCAAAGAAACAAACGAACGCACAGATAAGCTACAGATTCACAGGAGTGATATTTTCATCGTGTGAATTATAATTCCTCAAAAGTATCAAACGGGAATCGAAACAGTATGTTATTTCTTTTCAATATGAAGTAATAGTAGGTATATTTATACGGGAAATTAGATGGAAGGGGTAAAAGGATAACAATAGAGGATATATCGATGTGAATATAAATATGTAACTTAAAAAGATGTAGCTTGTTTTTCAAAAAGTTCGGCGACATGATAAAATTGTTCGTCTTCCAACATCAGTTTTTATGGGTTAAGTAATATATGTAACTGTTTCTGTGACTTATTCAAACTATGATCGATGAAGCTGAGGAAATAGAGCTAATTCAGTATCAACGAAGGCCATATTATCAATTCCACTCTTGCTGGAATACTTGGATGTAGCTAAAACGTCCTGTATATCAAAATCCATACTTTCAAAATTTTCAAACATTGTGGAATGATAGCTGTTATACGTATCATTTATAAAATTGCCAGTAGGCGCTAAAAAGGGTGATGACACCATTGACCCACTGCTCAACCCCTGGCTGTTTAACAGTGCTTTCAAGTCATTGAGTACAAATTCATCGCTAGCACAAGCAGCAGTGGGGTGATACAGATAAGGTTCCATTATTATATTAACTTCGTCATCACTTTCTGCAGCACTGCGAACTGCTATGGCACTATCACTACCATCGCTAATTGAGAATTCTTGACTGTCAATTGATACAAGGGAACAGGGCACAAAGGCTGGTTGCCTTCCAAAAGTGACAGTACTTGACTGTAATGAACCAAGACACTGAGGTGAGCTTTTTTGGAGTGGAGGAGAAGGAAGTAAAATGTTATCTTCTTTAGAACTAGCGTCTTCGAGCCATGCCCGATGTCTCGGTTCTGATTTTATCCGCATTTAATTTATGTGCGTGTATAGCAAATCAAACGGACGTGTTACGCTGTATTGCTGAGTATAGTGATTTTCTGATTGATCGCTTCTCGTTAAAAGAGTAAGCAAGTGAATTCCTTTGTCGTTGATGTTATGTTTGGAGGCTTCTTTTTACTCTGTTTTACAGAAAAGGCTGCTTTCTTTTCAAGTCAGTGAACACAGCCTTCAATCGCTTCCTCTCGTCGAGGGAGAAACTGAAAAAGGAATTCAGATTCGTTTGAATTGAAAAAGAGGCAAAAGAGATCGCTTTTCACCTTTTTCTATTCAAACACGGAAAACCAAATATGAGTGATAACAATCGAAGCAATTTGTTGTTATTGTTGTTGTTGTTGTTGTTGCTTGGTGAACACTAGACTTTTTGTTTTTTTCTTTTTTTTTTTTTTCCTTCACGTCTTCCAGCTTTCTTGAATGGTTGTAAAAGAAGAGGTTGAAGGCAAGAAACACTTTAAACCTCCTTAACAAAAAGTTGCTGCGGCTTCTGATTTTGTATACAGAAGGACTGTCTTTTTCTCCGCGTTGTTATAGCAACCTCTTCCATGGAACAGAAGCCACAGCGTTGTTGAACCATACTTGCTGAGGTTTGTATTAAACTACGGGGTTTTTCCAATATATTTTCAGCCATTGATATCATACTTTGCGCCTTTTGACTTTTTCATTTACAGTTTATGACAACTCTGTGTAAAATGTATTGCAAAAGATATCCAAACCGATGACCGTAAAAGAAGCATAATTGATACTGATGAATGTAAGGACATCAAAAGTCCGCAACAGGCAAGTTGAATATATCAAGCCAATCTGAAATATGATTGATACAACTACCCTTTGGCGCGGTCGATAGCCTGAGCCTAGCACTTTATGATGCCCCTGAGGCGGCAGCATTAGATTAGTATAGTAAAGTTATTGCATACACCAAGCATGGATAAGGGCGCTAATGTACTTGTTAAAATGCGTCAGACTACAATCAAACAGTGGAAAAAGATGTTTCAGATTGCCTCATTTCTTTTTCTGTTCCTAATGTTTTTGATAAACTCAAGACAGGAAAATACTTTACAATGAGCGTGTACACTCAGCTCCGACAAGCTGGAATATTATTGTTTGATGTGATCTTCGTTAGAGACTTCTTTTATTGATACGAAGCTCATTCAGCAGTACTGCTAGGCTTATAGGTTATTGTAGGGACACAAATATTGCAAGATATGACTTCCTTATTCAAGTTGTTCATCGCAGCTATAATATGCTTGAAAAAAGGGGCGATACTCTGTTCTTTTACTGCTGCTACCGATTATTGTAAAGCCACGCAAATAATCAGTTCGATCCATGGATACGTTATTATTTCCGGAAAAGGTTTGTTCCCTTAGATTTTTTTTTTTCAAAGCAGCAGTATCTGAGAAATGCAGAATGAATTTGTGTGAGACAAAAAAAAAAGGGTTGTTTACACAATCGTAATTTTGATTTTAAAGGCAATTTCTCAAAAAATCATACATCTTTCTCCTCTTCTCTTCTATCAGTCAACAATTTCTTCCTCTTTTCTCTAATTTCAGGCTCTTCCGTTATAAGATTAGAAGCGCATACAGATAATTAAATTGAACGTTGAAGCTAATGTCAGTGACAGTCAGGTATGCACGTACATATGGATTTAAACAGTATCTCCTTGCTACTAGTGTAGTATTTGATGTTTATGAAGGCTAAATTGATCTGTTATCAGGGTGGCTTTGCGTGTGCGACCATTGAATGGTAGAGAGTCAAAAGAACAAGAACGTTGCATTATCAAGTTCAGTCAACAGCAACCTCAACAAGTTTTACTCGAACCAGATCGTTATTTTACGTTTGACTATATCTATCCACCCGAAATGGAACAGGCTTGTATATACGATTCATGCATACAGCCATTATTTGACCAGTTTATCTTAGGGTAAGCGTATCTGACATAGTCTACTATCTGATAAGAGAACGAAAATCCCAATTTCATGAAATAATTTGACTGTTTATAGATATAATGCTACTATATTAGCTTACGGGTATGTTTGAGCACTAAAAATCTCTTAAGCACACACATGAAGACAGACATTATAACAATTTTTTCTAGTCAAACAGGTAGTGGAAAGACATACAGCATGGGCACTGCAGGAAATGTCAGCAATGAAAGCAAAGGAATTATACCACGTTTTTCTGAAAATCTATTCAAATGGATTGAAAATCAGCAAAACAGTCAACAACAGGAACAACAACAACAACAACGTGAACATGTAAAATTTGAAGTGAAATGCTCATTTCTTGAATTATATAATGAAGAAATAATAGACTTGTTGAAAAACAATAAAAAGTCAAACATTGTAATTCGAGAAGACAACAATGGAAATATCACTTGGTCAGGGGTTTACGAGAATTTCATTCAAGGTTCTGAGGAATTACTCGAGTAAGTGTACATGCGTACACAATGTATATATATAGATATTGACATAAAGCTTATAGCTGCCTATCAAAAGGCTCTCACTCTAGGACGACTGCTGCAACAGACATGAATTCAAACTCATCAAGATCGCATGCCATTTTTTCAGTCACCTTGATGCAGCATATTTCAACTACACTAAATGGCAATTCAATTGCCAAAAAAATAGAGTCGAAATTCCATTTTGTAGACCTTGCAGGTTCGGAAAGGGTAAATATACGACATGCAGAAACGCCTAGAAACAACTTTTTACTTAATAAAAACGAATTGCTATCCTGTGTGTTAAGCTCAAAAAGACAAATGCTATTGGTGAAAGGGCTAAAGAGGGCATTTCAATCAACTCTGGACTTTTAGCTCTTGGAAATGTTATATCTGCGCTTGGAGATGAGACGCCACAACAACATCTTCATATACCTTACAGAAACTCAAAGCTAACGAGACTTTTACAGGACAGTTTGGGCGGCAATAGTCAAACACTTATGTTAGCCTGCATTTCACCCGCAGAAAGTAATGCCAACGAAACATTGAGCACTTTGAAATACGCTAACAGAGCAAAGAATATTAAAAACACGGTTACCATCAATCATGAACAGTCTTTGTTGGACACGTTGAAGGAAGAGAATTCACGTTTAAAGGAAGAATTAAGAGTGAATGATGCCTTCATGAAGGAAGTCCACTTTGAATTGGACAATTTGAGAGCCAAAAATCAAGAATTACAGACACTGCTTCAACACCAAAATGATATTACTGCTGCTACTACAAACGATACAAAAGCTGATAGCATCCCACAACAATTGCATGTTACTGCGAATTTAAACTCTTGCCAAGAAACATGCAATAGCGACAATACTACAATCATTGATCATCTACCCACAAGATCAAATACGAGTATTCTAGACGAACAAAGTCAAATAACGCCTACTATATCATTGAGCACAAAGAGAAAAAGAAGCAATAGCCCCTTTACCGATGAGTTAGGAAAACCGACATTGCAGCTAATGTTAGAGAAGCAGAAAGGACGTCTGAGAAAAGAATATGTGTTTGCTAAGAAAATCAAGGTAAAAAACAAAGAAAAACAGGAATAACAACACATGCTGGTATTGAATGTAGAATATACACTATCATATCATAGAGCGACCCAAGTGCTTTGGCAGATCCCAACCTATTCTTACGCGTGATCAATATTCTTCAACTGAATATCAAAGAAAAGAAACAGCTCATTACCTTTTTAGAGCAACATCAAATAGAATCTCAACAGAAAGGCATCCCTCAGAGAGCAGCAACAGCAGTGATCTCAGCACAATCTGATGCGATAACTGCGGACATAAACAGCAGCAGTAGCAAGAAAAAGAGACTATTGAAGAATGACAAGTCAGCAAATGTAAATATGACGACAAAGCAAATGGATTCGACATTAACTACTACCACTCGTCACGCAGTGAAATCAGCAACAAATGATTTTGATACGTTGGCTTTACAAAACAATGCTCTTGCAAATCAACTGAAGCAAGTAAATACTGCGATTAAAAAGGTTTTGGCGATGTCTAATAATCCTGCAACATCTTTAACGCAAATACGCTCTATTCTGAATAGAGTGTCAATTGCTGCAGCATCTGATACGAAGGCCTGTAACTTAAGAATATCAGGAGCAACAACAATGAAAAATATTGCTCCCAAAGTAAGTCAGGACACAGTTGCCAACAGAAAACGATTATATACAGGACCTCTCAAAAAAGTGAACGTCGAGGAGAAACTCGTGGAAATTCAAAAAATCGTTGCTTTTGAACACTTGAAATCACATCCAATATGTGCAGAAATGATGAAATCGTTGAAGAGACAGGTAGCGCAATTATTTGAGTGCCCTTCTCATATCACAAACTGACCAATATTATTCCTGCTGGTGTAGAAAATCAAGTTATTGCATGAACAGAGAGATTTGTTAAAGGAGAGAAAAGAAATGTTGAAAGAATTCTACAAGGACAAATTTCAAGAAGAGCAACAAAAGCAGCAATACATGGATGAGAGAATAGATATTATCACTGTACAGGTCGATATGATTACGGAGCAGTTAAATCTACTGTCATCTCCATCCAATAGCGCGTGCTTTTCCGCTTTTGACAACAAGAACAATGTTAAACTCATTAATATACTCAAGCCATTACGTGAAAGTGATTTACGTGCGCTCATATTATTGATAATACAGCGAGATATGGTAACCTTTAACTTGCAATCAGCTCTGTATCAGCATACATTGCAGACATTGCAACAATTTCAACAAGGTTTTATTCAGCTAAGAAGGACAAGTGACAGTATGAACAATCAAATTTTGATTGATATGCTGAAATCACCTGTAAGATGTTTATCGAATGGCCTTGTTCTCATTTCTGGAAAATAGACTCTCTTAAAACCTTAATATTAAGCTAGATTCATACTCATATTGTCTTTTTTAAAAATACTGCATATACTTTATTCCTTTGTGATGACTCTTCACAAGTAATTTATATAATACTGTCACTACTATGTACTATTGTATTTTCGGTTTTAATTTACACTTTTCTTGTATACAAAATTGGATATTTTGATTGACTTAATTCAGAAAATTTAAGTCATTATTTTCGGACTACTTACTTTTTACATTTGGACACTGGTAGTAAACATCTGAGGCCCGCCTCTTTTTGCATGCATTTGTTGCAGTAAGTTTCGTTGTTTGATCGGCCCAGAAGAATTACCTACATTCTCCTTAGCTGCCATTTAAACTGATAGTCTAGTTGTATTCTATGTAAATGACTCACAATCGTGTATTCTCATTGACTGCTCAGCATCTCTCTTGATTTAAAATCGTGTCACAAAGAAAGCAATAACAATAGGTGATTGTATAAATTAAGTTAAAAAAGCCTGTTTATTGTCAGTAACTGATGAAGTGATAAATAAACGTGTCTTTATTAATAAACGTGTCTCGATTTGGTGTCAAAATTTAGCGCGTCTAAAGAAATCTGTCTAGATTGTTTTCGTTGTCAAAACTTTCTTTGTTGTCCAAATATAACATTCTGACAAAAAGTTTCAGTTTATAAAAAGATAAAAAGCTGGTACCTTTTCCCTTTTTTTATCAGAGTCTAGTTATATCTTTTAAAGAATTATTAAAGAAGTGTTGACAGTGGATCATCAGGTAGATTAAAATAAGATCTCATCACGAGCTACTCACAACGACTGTACTGTACATATTTTGTTTGTAACTGAGTGTTTGTATCTTTTGAGTAGCTTTTTTAGCATGCCGTCAAGAGAAGCAAAAGTTTACCTTGCAGCAAAGTTGAAGAAAAAGCAGCAAGAAAATAGAGAAAGTCAGTTCATGCTTGCTGTATTTCGTTTACTATTCGTTTATGTACTCAAACAAAATCATTGAACCATTAATTTCTAGAAACATGTTTCGATTGCGGACGGGAAGGACATGCCCATAAGGGCTCATACTTGTGTCCAGAATATAATGGTAACAGAAAGCTGAAGAGGTAGTATTTCCTGTTCATTTTCACTGATATTCTATTCATATGCTTTTCTAGCCAAGAAACGAAAGTCCGGAAAGGACGACTACGAAACAAAGCAAGCTAAAGATAAAGGCAAAAAGAGAAGGCTAGAAGCAAAAAAAGCATCGCCATCGAATACTCTCATATGCAAGCACTGTGGTCTAAGTGGTCACTCAACTAAAGCTTCCTTTGCTTGCCAACAACATATTACTACTAAAGCGGAGCTCCTTCGAACAAACTATTCAGATAAGTATGAGCTTTACGCTCGGAAACTGCCCCTTGTAACCTACGTGGACGGTGTTTTTGATGCTGAGCGCTGTATCTTACGGAAAGAGCATGAAGGATTCCAGCAAAAAGTGATTGAGCTGTGCAGATTTATACGGGACGTCACAACCAGAGCGCAGCTTTTCATGAATTACTACATTATTAAGAACCGTAATTTAACTGTTCAGGAATACATTTATGAACAAAACTTTTGGTACTGCATCTGTAAGCTAGTCTTGGGCCAAAAAATTACCAACAAAGCCTACATTAACCACACTGTGGCTCTGACGTTCGATGACGTTGCTACTGACGATCCATCCATTATATCCCCCTTCAAGGATCAAAAAATCAAAGGTTATAGTGATGCTATGGCGGCTGCATGCGAGAGTATAGCAACCACTTACATGAACCACATGGTGGAAAACTTCACTAAACGTATCAGATATTACTTGTATTGGGCATTGAAGCCTACTTTCCAGGTAAAATGCTTGACTTATATCTTCATAGAGAAGATTTTAATTGCCCAATTCATTGTCAAATAATAGGAAACAAAGAACAATGTGATTTATGGACTCATTTGACTCATATTGCCTTCCTAAAATTTCGAATGATATGGATACTTGTAAATGGTTGGAGGATGTTGATATAACAAAACAGCCCGAAGTCGATGCAACATGCCAATCATTGATGAAAAAGATGCCATCAACTCCAACAATTGAAAATATCACAGCAGCACCATCAACATTTCTACCACCTTTGGCGTTTATGCTGCAGATGGTTGAAACGAAAGCCCTTACCGCTGGTCCGAATGACAAAAAAACCCAAATTATTCTCATTAACTCCCACTGTGTCATTCAAATGGAAGCATGTCAGCATCAATGAAAAGGCCCTATGCTGTTTGTCCAGACAGTCCATTGGCAACCGGTCCTATGCTAATAATCTCGAGATCTTCTCTAACGTTTTTAATTTTGCAAAGTTCGGATATGAAACGTAAGGAAAAAACTACACTTTGCTTTCAAAACCCAATGGCACTAACAAACATTTGTTGCTCAAATAGCCTACAAGACCTTGTCAGAGCTCCAGCCAACTCTAAGGACATGTTCAATTGTGTAATACACACAGATGGCTTTGCTGTTACCTTTTTGTTTGTCCGTTTCCGGCAAGAAAAAAGTGCAACAGCTACACTCACTCTTGAGGATTTTACTCCTGCTGAAATCAACAAGTATTTCATGCCGGTAGCTGTAGATCCAGGGCGTAATGAGATATTCAAAGCTGTAGTTGGTTACAACACGGATATGCATCAAATTCGCACATGTAGCAAAGAGGAGCGCGCTCAAATTGCTAGATATAACAGACGTGCAAAGGTTGCAACTGGCATTAAAGAAATTGAGACCAATCTACCGACGTGCAAGACTGTTCACTCCGAAATACAATATAAGCTGTACCTTTCTTATGTATTGAGACATATCCAAAGCTTACATGAATTTTATGGCTTCAACTCTGCCAAATTCATATCTAACGACTATCAAGGTCGTCAAAGAGCTGACGAAGAGCTCGCTAACATGCTTTTGGATGGAGGCAAAAAGTATAATCCCAGAAAAAGAAAAAAAACCAACAAGAATAAACGGCGTAAAAGAAAGTTGCCGAGAGGAAGCAAGACAACGAAGAGTAAGGTACATACAAGAAAAGCACAGAGGGCTGCAGAATGGAGGAAGGAACGACAAGAGAAGAAGTTAACGATCAATGTGAAAGCAGCTGCGCAAGAAAGGTACGCATTCATTACTACTGCTTCTACAGTAACTGGTGAATATATAATATATTAACATGTCCTTTGCAGATACAAAGCCAAGACTGTTAAGAAATGGACCGCTGCTCCATTCTTTGAAGACCGCAAGAAAATTCCAATAGTCATTTTCGGTGACGGGATGAAGAATAAGGATTGTGTATCATTCAAAGGCCACCCATCAGGTGTGACAGGAAAGTTGTATCGCACATTGTTAAAGAGACAAAGATGTTCACTTGCAGTCGTTGTAGACATTAACGAATTCAGAACGTCAATCGTAAGTTATGTTGAGAAGAATGCACGTGCAAGTTGGTTTTAATTTGATGGACACCTTATTTGTAGGTCTGTAACGGCTGCCTGGCTAAAAACATGAATGAAGTGAAGGTTGCTGATGGATCGTCAATTTACGGTACCAAAGCTTGTAACGCTTGCGGTATCGTATGGCAGCGCGATTTGAATGCAGCAAAGAACATGCTTCATATTGCAAATTCCATATGGAACAGCAATGGTCGACCCGAAATCTTCTCTCGATATCGCCATAACGAAAATGGTGCCGCAGGTTCTCCGGAACCGACGGCTTAAAGATCTGTACGCGTTTAGGCGAGTCCATCTTGTGAAATTTCTCACTGTACATTTCCGAAGTTTTTTTTAACTGCTGCTTGACGTTACTACATACTCAAACAGGGTAGATATTTTGTGCTTCGGCACAGTATATTTACCTTGTTTGAGTAAGAGTAGGTCGCACATTTGGTATTGAGCATTTTGACAGAAAAGGTATGATCTGAAAAACTATACTTTTCATCCAAAATAATGTTTTAAACTACTCTGAATTTTGATTGTAAGATAGACTCAATTCGATAGCCATTTCGTGCGAAAGTCAAGCGAAAAAACAGTATTGTAAAATTGGGGGCCTAGCCCCCGGTGGAGGTAGTTAACACGTTAGCTTTCCAAACTTAACGATTGTTGGTTCGATTCTTGTACGCCGCTGAAATTTTTTCAGCTTTGATCCCTTTCTCTCTGCTTCCTAGGGTTTTTTAATGCCGCTATCAAGGTGGTTCTCGGTCGGTGTTGGTGTTTAAACAAGTTATGAATAATTGCGGTGCCCGCCCAGGCTTAATTAAGCAAGATCCCGAACCGCGCCCAAAGTCTTAGCCTACCAATTATAATGATTAGTTTAGCCCCTTCCCCCTCCCCCCATTTAGATAGTATGCTTTTTCGCCCACCACGGCACCCTGACCGACACTATACATCGCTCTATTCTCAAATCGAGCTGCCCCGGGGCAATTTTCTGATATGTAGTTTACCTATGTGCCCATTGGGTTTAAAAAATTGTATAATAAAAATCATGTTTAACCGTATTGTAAAATTTCATTTACCTTTCTCCACTTACCCTTAATGCATTGGATTATTGGAAGCATTTTCAACATCCGATTCTGATCAAAAAAATAAAAACTTTTTTTATCAGATTAGGGATTCTGCCATTTTGTTTCGTTTTTAGAGAAGTAGTCTGTCGACATGACGTACCTCAATTCGTTGATGTTGCTGAAAATCCCTGTTACAAAAGATCCAAGACTGTTACCAGTTTGGAGAAAAAGAGTATTGCTTGGTCTTGTTTGTTTCATTGCCATTATACCTGGATTTTGTTCTACTATTTATGTAAAGTTATTGATAGTGCATAACATTTGCGGTTCCGTTAACTAAATCCATATCTCATTATCTTACTAAAACGTTCTTGTTATAAAGTTACCAGCACTTGAAGAAGTAACAGCACAATTGAATAGTCCGTCTATTATGGTGACACTTAGCAATTCATTGTACATGTTATTTATGGGTATTGCAGTACGTTTTCGCAAACACATTAGTCTCACCTGTTTCAATGAGGTACAGATAACTCACGTTTGAAGCACTATTTGTAGCCTATTTTCTATAGTAGTATCAGTGACCACTGGAAGGTACGCCGACCGGTGTATTTCTTCTCCATTATCATCTATACGGTGGGTTCTTTAGTTGCTTGTTTTGTGCACGATATTGAAGCATTATTGGGCATGAGAATTCTGCAGGCTGTTGGTATTTCTGCGGCTTGGGCTATTGGGGCAGGGTAAATGTAATTGAAAGCTTTTTCGCGCTATTGTTCATATTTTTTCTCACATTAATATCATACTCAACGTAGAACTGTCGCTGATATCTATGAGGTTCATGAACGTGGCAACGCTTTAGGAATTTATTTCACAGGTTCGTTTGCTGGTCCACTTTTCGGCCCGTAAGTATGATAAAAACCCTTATGTACTTCTTTTTTAAAGAACATATCTAATTTAGACTCTTTTTGAAAAGACTTTTTGGAGGGTATTTGGTTGAAAGATGGGGTTGGCGATCTGTATTCTGGCTATTATTTGTTATTGGTTGCATTTTGTTACTGCTTGTATTTTTTGCAATGGAAGAAACGTATCGTCAAGAAAGCATCTGGGGAAAAGAATGTAAAATTGTGATGCACAGTTTGACAGATAGTACTCCCGACTATCCTTTACAATCTGCCGTTGAGAAGCGATCAGCAACACCAATCATTACTGATACTGCCGAAGATATGTCCTCAAGCGGAACGCTTTTAGTTGAAGAAAAGACTATTGTTGAATCTGAAATAATGAATCCTTTATCTGCACTTGTAAGTGACATATTCTCTATTCTTTCAAAATCTCTACTTTTGCAGGTAGGAAGATGCAAGGCTAACTTATACTCACTTAGGCTTTACTTCGACATCCCTTTGTATTGATATTTTCAATGGCTACCGGTTTTGCATTTGGTGGAATGTTTGCTATTGAGAATATGCTCCCCACTCTTTATACCAACACTTACGGATTTAGCAGTGGTTCTATCGGTCTATCATTTCTTTCACCTGGCATTGGTGAAGTCCTCGGTTCGCTGTTTTCAGGCAGGATATCTGACGTTTTTCTGAATAGAGCCAAATCAAAAAGGGATGGCGTTGCATTGCCTGAAGATCGACTAGCTCCCAACGTTTGGCCAGCCGCCTTTTTTCTAAATCCTCTCACATTTTTCTTATGGGGCTGGCCTGTTCAATTTGGATGGAATGTGTGGGTATCCGTTATCATGTTTGGTCTACAATGTTTTGCCATGGTGCAAATCTTTAATCCTTGCATGGCCTATTTGGTAGATGCAGTGACGGATCGCGGTGCTAGCGTCACTGCGGCTGCCAATTTGGTGAGGATGATATGGGCTTGCGTCCTCAGTCTGATAGGTATGTATTAATCATATTTAACAGTCAAACGTACCAAGAAAGCTAACGTTTGATAATTTGAACAATTTGTTTGTATAATAACTAGCTAATCCTATGACAGAAGCTGTTGGTCCTGGTTGGGTTACATTTTTCTTCGGCATGCTCAATCTTGTCTGGGCTTTCTTGATATTGTTAATGAAGATCAAGGGGCCAAAGATACGAGCTTATTCAGGTTACTAAACTGTGCTTCTAACTTAATATAAAAGCATAGCTTTAATATTCAAATATACCATTTATTACTTAATTATATATTCATAGACCTTACTGTATAATAATTAGAGATATTTTACTTCTTTATTAAAGACGAAAACAACAGTCTATTTCCCGTCTCTACAAAATTTTGCTTGTTTATTGTGTCATCGACTTCTCAGCTTTCAAATTACAGAGCTTGCCTTGGTATGTAGTTGCTAGCTCTTTATGCTTTACTTAAGTACTTATCGTTGTCAAATGCTAACAAAAGAAGAATGGATTGTTTAAACAAGCAATCGAAGAAATTTATCCTCTGACTTAAAAAGACGTCAGTAAGCCAATTGAACTCCATTTATGTGATACGTACTACTATTTTTTTCGCTTGTCTGCACCAAATGGCTATTAAATTGAGACTATATTACAATTAAAATTCAGACTAATTTAAAGATTCTTTTGGATGAAAAGTATAGTTTTTGGGATCATACCTTTTCTGTCAAAATGCTCAATGCTAAATGTGCGAACTACTATTACTCAAACAGGGTAGGAATTCTGTGCCAATTGAGTATGTAACGCCAAGCAGCAGTTAATAAAACCTCAGAAATGTACAGTGAGGAATTCCACAAGATGAACTCACCTAAACGCGTAAAAATCTTTAAGCCGTCGGTATAGAACCTGCAGCACCATTTTCCTTATGGCGATGGCGAGAGAATGTCGGGGCGGCCATTGTGGTCCCATACGGAATTTGCAATAGTAAGCAAATTTTTGGCCGCATTGACGTCTCTTGCCATATTATACCACAGGTTTTGCAGATCTTGGTACCATAGACGCTGGAGCCGTCCGAAATTCGTACTTCTTTCATTTCGACACCATTACAATTGTTACAAACCTACGAAAATGACGTTATTTCTAGAGATGGGCACTTAATTTGGCAATTTGAGACCCACCTTTGAGGTTTTAAACTCGTTGATGTCCACCACCGCAGCAAGAAAGTAGCGCTGTCTTCTTAAGAGAGTACGATAGAGTTTTCCGGTGACGCCGGATGAATGCCCTTTAAAATGAACATTATCTTTGTTGCGCATACCGTCACCGAAAACAATCAGAGGGAATTTGGTGCGGTCTTCGGAAAATGCTGCGGCAGTCCATCTATTGGCATTTTCTGCTTTGTTCCTATAGATGACATATTGAGCGAATGACACAAATGCAGAGTCGAGGTACAGGTATCTATGACTCACCTTTGGCTTGAGCTTTGTGGTTTCTTTGGCTTGTTCTGCGACTCCCCCTGTGACTCTTTCCACGGTCGCACTTTTCGCAGCTTTCTCTGCCCTTACCTTGCTTCTACTGTTTTTTGTCCTTTTCGACGCTTTCTTTTTCTACGTTTGTTCTTGTTGGTCTTTTTCCGCTTCCTTATATTAAATTTTTTTCCTCCATCAATTAGCATATTGGCCATCTCCTCATTGGCTCTTAGGCGGCCTTGGTAATTATTAAAGTTAAATTTAGCGGAATTAAAGTCATAGAAGCCATGAAAAGCTTGGAGATGTTGCAAAACGTATGAGAGATAGAGTAGATATTGCCCATCCGAGTGAACCGTTTTGCTGGTTGGCATCTCCGATTCGATGTCCTTCAAGCCGGTTATATTTTTCTTATAATTTTAAAATGCTGGGCTTTGAGAAGGTCTCCAGTATCTAATAATACAAATTCTTAATTCCTCCCCTCATTTCATTTTGCCTAGTTTAAATGACCTCAAGCCAAGCCAAGAGATACTCTTTAAGAATCTAGTTCGGTCGGATGGCTTCACTGTTGATTTCATTTCCATTCAGAAGAGAAAAGAAAACGTAGTCATAGATGGTCATGATTTGAAACTCGAAGATTTCACCTACGAATAGGTTGAAACAACTTACAGGCCGTTCTTCATCGATCCAGGACGAAGAGACGTGTTTACTACTGCATGTGGACTGGATGTCGAAGAGCACCAGGGCCGCAGGTCCAGAAAGGAGTACTATCATATGACTGGAAGCACCAGATTTTCAGCACGCTTGTCCATCAAACAGATTAACACTGAGATCCCAACCGTCAAAACAGGTTTTCCTGAGCAGTGTCAAAGCCATGTGGAATACATTGATATATCCAGTTACTTAAAGACTTATAAAATAAAATAAGACAATAAATGACCAGCCACAACAAAGATACCCTTTATTCAAGTTTGTTAAGAATGATACTTTTAGATGAGAAACGGGGGTTATCAACGGGTATTTAACTATTAATTACAACTGAACTAAAACTATCATGAGAATGATAAGATCTTAGCCGCAAATGGTGTCAAAGTAGACGTGTGTCAGATTGTCAAGCAGGTACTGAAGTCGTTCTGTAGTTTAAAACGTGTCATAGTATCTTGAATACAAGCTTTAGACTAATAGAGGCCCAGCGGAATTACTTCATTTATCCTCAACAGAATATCTTGATGGGTATTTTTCAGAGCAAAGATCCCAGTGTAGCTACTGGTTTACAAAGATAAGGAATTCAACTGATTCGGATGCTTTGAAATACCTACAGAAAAGAAAAAACGGAAACACTGAAGATCTTGGAAGATCAAGATGATATCATTTGTGCTAAAGTATTATGATAATACCTTATCAGAAAAGCTGGTTGAGAAGATGGCTTACAATCTGCTCTTTTTCAAGAATTCAGCAAAGATTCATAATACAGAACCCGCAACCATCCAATTTAATGAACGGCCTTGGCAAGTCAAGCACCAGAATTAGACAACATTGTGAAAGGAAATAGAAGGATAGACCAACTATTACCGATCATCAACCACTTTCAATAAGCGGCAAAATGCAATCACAAAAACCTAATTCTGGCAGTCGCTAACAAGAGTACCTTGTAGCGCTGAAAACCAAAAAAGCAAGTGTCTGCAATCTTCTGAAATAGCTGCAGTAGATGGAAGAAATAGCGGTTAACAAAAAGTGTGACATAATAATTCCAAGTAATTTATTTGCACTAGCAACTTGTGTAAATACTTTTGTAAACATGTTAGGATACTGCTGTTCTAATTGGATACTCTTTACTACATAGGAGATTAGGGTTGGGAAGGTTAATATATGCATATCTCAGCCTTCAACGTTTTTATTTTAGAAGTGTATTAGAAGTGTAAATAGCAAAAACTAGTACGAATAACATACACATTGATATGAAAGCTTGACCTTAGCAGTTAATGAATGGTATAAACTTTTACTACTTTGCGATAACGACCAAAAAGCTTCAATAAAGGTATAGTTTTGCGTAGTCAATGATCGGCAACACATTTTTGGAATGAAATACCTTTCTACTCAAATTGAAATTTGCATCCCCAAAGCTGTCTAATAACTTTTTCTCACAAAGCAACTGAACAAGTGAATACTAACGAAGATATAGATGAAAACAACATTCAACACAACTATTTTGAGCATACATCAGTAAAAGATTGGAAGATTATTAGCGCTTTAGCGTATTACAGTAAACAAAATGTCGAAAAATCTACAGCATATGATCTAACTGAAGTTTCGTTGAAAAAAGCTATGAATACACGCAAATCTGTCAAGAAACGTGGTGAATGCTTGTTAAAAAAACTTAGTGTAAGAAGAATAATTAGCTTTTTAACCAGGTGTAACGCATAAATGTATTAAGTATGAAATACTTTTTTTTTCTATTAGTTATTGAAGGCTATTTATCAAAGAGAATCATCAAATGTAACTCCTTCTATAACAAAAATTGCTGATAAAATCAACAACTTTGGAAGCAGAACAAACAAATAATATCTTACAAAGCGTAAGTGTGCGATTACGTTAAACAATTTTCTTTTTGAATTCATCTATTTTTTATTTAGAGAAAGAGAACAGCGGATAGCAAGCCGGGTAAGTTACAAGTAGACGTATGTCGTTGGATATGAATGTGTTTACTAATTATACACATGATTACTTCTCAATTCAATAAAGAATATCAAGTAAATAGACTTTATTTCTTTATTTCAAAAGTAGCATAATTTATTCATTTTTTATCTCTTGTTTTGATGTGCAAAAGAATGGAAAAGTTATAGTCCAAAAAACCAACAAGACATTCACCTTTGCTAAACCACTAACTGGACAGTTGCTAAGCTCAGCCAACCAAGAGTCACCAAAGAAGACGCGACCCAGGTAGCACCTGTTTTTGAAATTATATTGTCCGATATTCCATCAACACTTGTATCTTCTATTATCAAAGACGAATATAAAGAAAACATGGAAGATCAGCATAAGAATAAGTTGACGAGTTTGGTGAGATAATAACTGCAATACTCGAGTACGTACAACCAGGTAGAGAATACATTCTACCACGGTCTATCTATATTACATCTAATATAGGTTATGTACAACATAGAACAAGATACAGGCCTAAATATAATAATCACACAATAAGCATCTGAACCTGAAATTAGTGACTAGCATACGCGTCCTCAAATAATAGAATTCCCATTAAATCTCACAGAGTATATAATCCTTCTACTTCATCTGAAGAACAATAAAGACACCTAAGTTCATAGTCATCGACTTATTACCGTTATCAATTTTTATGATAAGCCAAATACAACATAAATGCGTCAGTAGCTTGCCGAAAGTGTACAATTTGATTAACAAAGTGATCAACGGCGAATATAAAGAGATGCTAGACGCAGTTGACAACTATAAGCTCGATTCAAACCATTCCGAAAGTGATAAAAAAGCAATCAAGCTTCTGAAGTACATTATAAATGATTATCACGCGAACTGTGAGAAACCAAGCTATTATACGGACTCAAACGAACGTACCCCATACTGTGAATATATCGTACCATTATTCAAATACTTCAGCGCCGTGTACAAGAATCTTTCATTCATGTGGTAATTAAAAGAACAAGTATTGATTTCATTAACTTTGTTTTTTAATTCATTTTCGTTAACTACGATAGGTGTGAGAAAGGTCTTGTAGCGAACAAACAGCTGATTATATGCTTGGATGACAATCAAAAGAAGCTCATGGATGGAATCGGATATAGCGTAAAAGAAAAGGCTGAGAGATTAATCATAGAGTGTTCAGGGTAAGGAAGAGTAATTAAAAGAAAAAGAATAAAAAAATTTGGTCGAGAGAAAGTGTTAATTATTCAAAAGTCATAATATTCATGAATTTGGCGCGTCTGTCAGTCGCTTTCTTGGTTTGAAAGACCAATTTGAACTAATTGGAATGGCTATACCACCAGTACGAATCTCTAATGAAGTTGTCTCGTTAGTCCGTTGTGTTGACTCAAAGAAGGAAGGTGTCAAAAGTCTTAAAATCAAAGTAAATGAAGAGTTAAAGTAGAAAAGAGCAGCGTACATATCAGTGAAATAGATGGCGAGCATACTGTTGATGATACTTTAAAACTGATGGAGGCTACTAGTCGCTGTTTAAAGCATGAGACGAGTAGATATTTATCAGCTTCTTGGAAAACATTTGGAAAGAGACAAGTCCTTGCAGTTCAATGCGTCAACAACACCATCACCTTATTGTCCTCCAAAAGAGTGGAAGAAAACAAATGGTGTTTTGTCGAGCAAAGATCTACAGTTGCTCCTCGTGATTGGAGCGACAGATTTTACTGGATCAAAGTAATGGAGTTTATGTTGAAGCTAGGGGTATATATATATATATATAGAGTAAATAAATGATATCATAAATGATATCTAATGATTGAATTATAGGATCTATTGGATGGACAGGAGAGTATCACAGAAGAACCGAAGAAGGAAGAAATTGGGATAATCCAAGTTGACATTGAGGATACTATAAGAAGTAGATTAAATTAACATACCTCCAATTAGATAAATATTTGAAGATAACTGATTAAAGTGCGCATGATTAAAGCATACAAGAATGAATAAATATTATTAATACTCATAATGATGCCTTATGATTTATCATTCAAGGCCGGGTGACTAATTAGAGGTTTTGCGTGGCATAAGAAGAGACCCCTTCTATAGTATATTGCTGCTATATGTAAAAAAGATAAGTGTATCTAATATTAATAAAGAAGGCGAAGGAAGGCTTGAATGTTTGCGATCTAAGATGTTGTGCACCATATGTCTAGTTATCGATTGATCGCACTTTCCCAGCAAGTGCCAAAACCGAACGGTAAAAAAAACCAAAAGACAACTGGTGCCAAAAGGAGATTGCCATGTGGGATTAACCTAAGCCATTCTGCACTGTTTAATACCAAAAATAGCGTTATCACTGAATATATTAGGGTCAGAAAATATGATATTGTGATGGGCAACGCAGTGATTCACCAAGTAATCCATGAGCATGGTCACACTCCTCTTTTAGCAAAGAGCGAAATTATAGCTGACAGTATTGAAGAAGCGACGATAAAAAAATAATTAATACCAAGTGTGTCCGATACAGTTTTTTAGCTTTGGGTTTAGACGAAGCCGCAATATAACTAGACGAGAAAAGTAAATTTTTGAGATCATTAAGTTATAGTTTCAAGATCAAACTACACAAAAATTGAGACGCTTACCTGTAAAAATCAAACCAGCTTCGTGCTGGCGATTAGAGGATGGTGTTAGGTGGTTGTTGCGGGTGATTTTGGTTTTCTAGAAAACTCCGCAGGTCTTCCAGTTGACTTCCAAATCGAAACGCTAATTGTCAACATGTTTTTAGCAGCGTTGACGTCCCGGTTCCAAAGTATCGAACAGGTTTTGCAGGCAAGGATACTTTGGCCGGGAACTGTCTTCAATGCTTCAAGATTGTTGGAACGACAATTATTGCATATTCGAGAGGTTTTGTATTCATCAATTGTTATCGTCAGTAAATCGCCAGCAACCTCTCTTCGCTTCAAGGCACGCCAAAGAACTCCCAGGACACCAATCTTATGGCCTTTGATGGGCACTGCACTCTTCCAGAACATGCCATTACCAACTACAATCAAAGGGATCTTTTTAGTGTCGCCTACACTAAAGGGTTCAGGCTTCCACTTGCTCTTCAGGGAATTGCTGTAGAAAGCATGAGTTCTATCAATATTTCTGCGAATAGTGGATGAATTGCTTATCATTTATACACCTTACCTATCTTTCTTAGCGAGAACATCGCTTACTTCTCTCGCATCTGCCTCTTCCCTCTCTTCTGGAACGTTTTGCTTTTTCTTCTTCTTCTTTTTACGTTTACAATATGCCATTCTGTCGGTATTCTTCTTTGGCCACTTACTTCGATCTTTCTTCTTCTTCAACCTCAATTGCTTATTGTACTTTGTGGTTCCATTAATAAGCAAATTGACCATGTTGTCAGCAGCACGCTCCTGACCCTGGTATAAACGAAATCGGTCTTCAGCAGTTCTCTCGCCGTAAAAAGAAAACAAGGCTTCAAAGTGCTGCAACATATATTTTACATGACGGTCATGTAGTTCGATGATAGAAGTTTTAGCGGTTGGTATGCCACTTTCGATCATTTTAAGTGTGCCTGCTTTCTTCTTTTCCAGCTTTGCAGCGTATCTGGTACTTCCGGTCATATGATAATATTCCTTGGTAGAGCAGCTGCGTACTTGATGTTTGTTACGGTCTAGTCCGATTGCCGCTGTGAAGACAGATCTTCGCCCTGGATCAAGGAAAGCGGGTCTGTAATTGTCTTGTACCTCGTCATAAGAAAAATCTTCCAAAGTCAAGGTGTGATTATGAATGGCCATGTCTTCTTTTGCTTTCTTTTTGCGGCTGAACAGAAAGTCTACAGTAAAACTGTCCGACCTAACCATGTTTCGAAACACATCAGAACTTTCCGTCAAAGCGTTTAGACTATGACACAAGCAAAAATACGGGTGTGTCTACTATTAGGGATAGTTTTGCTGAAGAAGTTCTTCTCTTAAAGCCAAACTTTTTGAAGTCAAAGACTTTACAGAATTGTTCGAGTTGGGCTGTATAACCCTTGGCAACTTTTCCGGGAAACATGAAGGGTGTAAGAGCGTTTATACTTATCGCGATGAAACGCCATTTCAGCGATGGAGTAGGAAAGGGAAAGAAACGCTGAGGAAGTGGTAGGACACGGACATCGTACGGCTTATGCTGTATATGTTCTTGCTCGTACGCAAACTGTATGTTCCATAACGCATTAACAAACTTTGCAGGAGCAGCAGATACAGCTGTACAATTCTTTGTACATCAGTGCGTTTGATATTCTAGAATGTGTATAAAGAGAAATAAAATGAATAAAACAGCAGAGCATTAAGAAGGTACTCGGTTACAGCCTTACCGGGAGCATAGTTCTCAATTTGTAAGTAAGGAACTTTGTTAAGCGCTGCTCGAAGCGCTCTACAATGGAGTTTGTGTAAGAGACGCTCAATTCCTTTGCTGCCTCTGTAAGGCATTGGCTATATCCCACGGTCAGCTTGTGTTTTACTTCGATAGTAGGGAACTTTGCCTTGAAGTCTGTATAATACTGCTTTATGTCCTCGGATAATGCCGTTTTGTGAGTAACTTGCTTGCCCGTTACTAGCTGACCTACTGAATACCAGAATTGCTGGCAGAATACATCAGGAATAGACCTGTCTTTGTTGGCTTCTTTACTGTCTTTCTTGCTGTCTTCTTTGTTGGCTTCTTTACTGCTTTTGTTGCTGTTTTTATCAGTGTCTTTCTTGTCGCCTTTGTTTGCATTCCTTTTATTCTCCTGATAATGAATGAGGTACGAGTTAACGAATAATTGACTAGAGAATACTATTCTCCTTATGTCAGAGCAGCAAGAGATGACTTTTTCTTGGAATTGTTCGCGAAACTCTGGCTTCACAGCAGACGTAAGAGGAAGCTTCCTCGTGAATACAGTGGAGCCTTCTCCAAGCGTCGAGGTAATAACTTCTTCCTTTGAAGCAATGTGATTGGGACATTCGAGAGAACGAGAAGTAGAATGACCCTTTAAGCCACAACTGATACACTTGATATCTCCAGTTGTTTGCTTCTTCTTTCTCTTTGCTTGCTTCTTTTCTTCCTTGATTGTAGCTGATTGCTTACGTTTCTTACCGCTACTTCCAACTAAATTTCCGTTAAGCAAACATAAACTTGTCTTGCAGTGAGAGCATGATACTTACCATCACGCGCAGAAACTGCTTTGTAAAACTTGCATTCATGGTATGCCTTGTTGAAACGTCCGCGTGTTTTGCAATCCTTGCACTCGATGCTTACTAGTCATACGAAACATGAATTGAGGATTACCACTATAACCTATTTGTGGCAGCGCGCTCATGTGTTACTTACGGAAGGACTCATCTTTGACTTTATTCTTATGGGCTTCTGCCACCGATTTGATTTTTTGCAAGATTTTGGCTTTGTACATGGTGAGTAGTAGCTATCAGGATGAAGAAAAAAAGTATGAAAGAAGTATAACAAGAAGAAGATGGAAATCAAAAGAAAGATGTCAAAGTTATCTTCTGTAAATTCTTTGAATTTGACAACATTTATTTTTTATTACGATTGACAACAACAACGGTTATCTACGTGGCGGAAGAACGTGCCTGGGATTAGTTTAACGCGTAGATCAATTCATATAATTCATAAATAAAGTCTCGTAAACCACAACCCTGTGTCTATTGCTCATAAGACCTGTGTCACACTAAAATACTCAATAAGTCTCGTAGTACTTTAACGTAATGCCACTATCAATTGAAAAATGTCCACTGACCTTCAAAATAATGTCTCCAATTATTTATTCAATAAATCGTCCAAGAATATTATACTATTTCATCCTAAAGTAATTCAAAATTATCTAAATTAAACATATATATATTGTCCAATAAAATTTGTATAAAGTATAAAGTTGAAGCTAAAACACTGTATACTGATTCATGATCAAAAATGTATGGCAATGGAAATTTTCTGATTAGTCAACTAAAAGTTTGAGTTTTAAACGCAAATCACTGTACATCATGGCTGTTTTCGTGACAATCTGAGTCGAAGCAGGTTACACTATTTTTTATCTTTATCTCTTCGCTTCCTTCAATTCCAAGGACTGCCGTCTACATATCACGGTCAAGTCTAAAAACCTTCTAGAAGTGCTAATAGACCGTGATGTTTTTATGTATTCTTGCACCGCCTTAATTTAGGTATTCTTTTATAATTCACACAAGCAGCCAATGATTTGATTCAGGAACAATCAGAAAATGCCCATCCTTTTTATTTTGTCTTTTTTATGCGCTTACTAAATTTGGTATGGGAGAAAGTTGGAGAAAAAGACAGCGTACAAAAAACTTTTATTCGTAGAAGTAATCATGGCTTCTTCTTTCCCTTCCTTAGAATATAGTGTACTTGGATCTTTACTATCCTTCACCGTTGCTTCTTGCCAGCAACTATATACTCTTCGTAATTGTTTGTCTTGATTTATCATTTATGCGCTCCTGTGCTGTCTAGTTTCAATCAGCAAGTCAAATTTATGTCTCAAATTGAAATTCTATGCAGAGTACAAGCTCTTTACTCATTCAGCTCAAACGATCCCTCATCACTTTCATTCGAACAAAATGACTATATTGACGTCTTGAATAAACTACCGTCAGGTTGGTGGGACGGGCTGTAAGGGATAAAACCATCGAAAGAGGATGCTGTTCTCTGGGGTATTTTCTAAAGCTATTATTGTTCTCGTATTAGATGCAATGGAGCTAGAGGATGGTTTCCTAGTAACTATGTTAGAGTAATCTGCGATGAAAAGAGCTGTTTTCAAGAGCAACTTGTTTTGGTAAGCAGATATGAATCGCTATTTTTCAGTATAGTTGAGCCATACCCAGAAATACTCATAAATTCTTCATTCATTTTGAAGGATTATACAGGTCAATTCAATACAGTGGATAGCGATTACAGATTGAGTTTAGCTTATAACAGTAGACTAAGGGAACAGCCTACCCACAATATGCTGAATAACTCTTTGCATTCAAAAATTCCATGGGGTTTACAACAAACAGAAGATGAATCAGATACTTACTCCATGATTCAGTATCCTAGACAAAGGAAGTATATTAATACAGCTATCGGCAACAGCAATATCTCAACTCTATCAAAAAAACCTTTCAGCAGCAGCGAAACTGATTTACATTTCTTAGATAACTCGCTTGACGTTTCTAAGCCTGAATATTTAGCGGACGAACATGTATCTGCAGATTTTTCAGCAAATTCAAGCATTCTATTTTCTAATAACGAAAGGGTAGGTTCAATATCACAAAACCGTGAAATGATAATATAATTAATTATTTGCTACTCTTTACAGCCAGAATGGATAAATTCTGCAACACCGAGATCAAAGTCAAGGTTACGTAGTATGGATAACTCCATGAATGTAAGTGTATACTTGGTTCATCTATACATAAGATGCTCTTCATATTCATTTATTACAAAACAATCTAGACATCACAATTTTCATTGACTGAACCGGACGATGTTTCAGCACAGCCTTTGCCGAAATCACCTGCGCGTACGCCGTCCATCCGACGCAAGCAACTAGATGAGCCTCTAACATGGAATAAGGTTTCTATTAATATTGCCATCGCAATACATCAATTGATAAGTGCTGCTAAAAGTGGACATTATCAACTGTACAACAGTAGCTCCAAAGAAATCATTTCATCAATTCGTCACATGCTAATGGCTTCTTCTAATATCGACAAAGAAGTCGGTTACATGAAATCGAATAGCATATTGCGTACTCACCATAGAGCAATGATGGCCAGTATGTCCAAACTTGTATTAACAACACGAATCTCTACATTTACATTTTTAACGGAAGAGGAACAACGCGTAAACGTCAATAAAATTTTATCAGAAGCGAGTGAATTATTACTGTCAGCTAGAAATTTTGTGAATACTTGCCAATCCTTAAGTATTCCTTTAATAGAGACGGATCCTCAATTCATAATGGAGGCAGATGCTCATCGCGACGACAATGAAAATAAAACTCCATTTATAACACCTTTGACGGACCGAAAATTTTCGACCACTGATGATAATAGCAGTCAATATAGTCTGCAATTAAACCTAGTAGAGAGTTTAGAAACAATAGGAAATCGCATACAAGACTCTGTCGAGACCATTATTCGAACAATTAACAATTGTGTACTACCAACGTCAAGGAAAAACATCAGCAATAACAACAAGCAGGATAGGATCTCGTTGATAGCATCCTTATTTACTCACTTCCGTAATCTATCCAGTCAAACAAGTTTGTTTATAGGTTACCTCACTGAAATGAATTTCAGCCCTGTACAGAACCAGAAAGGAACGGTTCATATAGAAAAGGGCAAACAAGAGTTAACAAAATATCTTGGCTTATTATTCTTTTACTTGCAAGCCCTTACAGCTGATAATACTTTAAACGACAGCCATGAAGAACACCTCAATAATATAAGAACTGCAGCTCATCGTTTGATAGACCCAATCACTCTCATTTGTGAAAGTGTGCTTGTACAAGCAGCCAAAGTTTACGGCAGACAGAATAGTGATGCATCGCTCAATCTGCCGCTGGACAAGAGTCAGTCAATTAGGAAAAAAGCGTCCACTTCGTTTGTAATGGATATGATTATAGAGGATGCTAATGAAATAACCTACTCTAATGCTGAGGAGAACGACCCATCCATTATCAATGTAATTGAAGAAGAAGAAGAAGAAGAATCAGATCAAAAGCTTTCAGTAAGCAGTATAGAGCAGTGTCGATCGGGACAGTCCTCTTCTCAGGCCAGTAGTATTACTTCACTGTCCCTACAGAAATCACTCAGTAATAAATCAACTGCAGCAGCAAAAAAAGTTAAACGATTTTTCAGTGATGACTACTCAGTTTCTGAGAAAAGCTCGCTTAATCAATCAATTACTGCCACCGAATCAGATAGCAGCACTATCATTAATTATACCCCACCTAATACTGCTGATGAGAACAACCAACGACCTTTTTATCTGCGATATGATTACGGCCTTGATGACATTGTTTTCAATGCAGAAGGCGGCGTTAAAGGCGGCACGTTGCCAGCCCTAGTTGAACGTCTAACTTTGCATGATTACCTTGATATGAATTTTGTTAATACGTTCCTGTTGACTTATCGATCATTTTGCACGTCTGTGGAACTACTCGATTTGTTAGAAGCGAGGTACAATTTAGAGTGTCCAGATGGGCTTTCTGAAGATGAAAGAGATATTTGGGCAGAGAAAAAAGTTAAACTAGTTCGTCTACGCGTCTTTAATGTTCTCAAGAATTGGCTGGACCTTTACTTCCATGAAGACGACAGTCTTCTTCTCGATAGGCTATATAATTTTACTCAAACGCACATAAAAAAGACGCTTACATTTTCCAATGGTCAGCTAGAATCATTGATAGAGCGAAGGCGGAACCCAGAAAAATATGAAGAAAACATCAATGGGGGCTTGAAGAGGATGATATTAACATTGCCAGATCCTCCAGAACCAATACTACCGAAAAACATGCGACGTATTCGATTACTAGAGGTTGATCCTTTGGAAATGGCAAGGCAATTAACAATTATGGATTTCACACTATACAGTGCTATTCGTCCCATTGAATGTTTAGACAAATCATGGTCAAAGGATGAAGAAGGGAATGTGGCTATCAATATTCGTGCTTCTATAGATTATTGTAACCAAATCACGACCTGGGTGTCGGATGTTATTTTAAGTCACCATGATATAAAAAAGAGAAGTGTTCTTATCAAATACTGGGTTCAAGTTGCTGAGGTAGGCTAACGGAAAAGGTTTTTTGTTACTAAGTTAGGCGAAACTAACCTCATCTACTCCACTACTATAGAAATGCCGATGTTTGAACAATTTCAATACATGTATGGCTATTTTATCAGCCTTTGACAATAGCTCCGTGGGAAGGTTGAAGCGTACTTGGGAAATAGTAGGAGCAAGAACAAACCAGACGCTACAACAGATACGTAAACTCATGGGCGCAAATCGTAATTTTATCGAGTATCGTGCACTTATACACTCCATCAACCCTCCTTGCATACCTTTTTTGGGTATTTATCTACAAGACTTGACATTTATTGAAGACGGTAATTCGAACGTTCTGAAGCAATCGAAGAATTTGATCAATTTCGCGAAAAGAGCGAAAACAGCAGAGGTCATTAGAGAAATCCAGCAATATCAGTCTTCGTTATACCAGCTCAAACCTGTAAAAGAATTACAGGAATATATCAGAAATAACTTAATAAGTACAAGAGATGAAGAGCAACTTTATAAAGAAAGCTTAAGATTGGAGCCTAGGTGAGTCAATTAGATTTTTGAATAATCTATTGGGTGCAAACGAAGACTTACAATTATCAATTAACGTGATTTCAGGGAACGGGAAGATGAAAAAATAACTCGTTTACTACAAGAATCTGGGTTTCTTTAGGCATTTGTTCATGTATCATAACATTGCATTTTTGTCTATTTAAAACTTCCATGTCTTTGAAGAATTTTTAAACCAGCTAACAGATTCACATTTCGATTGTTCGCTGGTATATCGTTGTATTTTTGCTGACTTGGGCGTGAACACCGTTTTCTCATCCATACCATGGAAGTGCCTCGTCCATGAGGATTTCCAAATATATACATGGGTTATAGCAGAACTCGTGCATAAGTAAAATTATTTACTGTAACCATTACATGAGTTTTTAAATTGCCCATTGAAAAAATTACATATAGAGTTCATCTATTATCCCATTCGAAGTCTGGTTTGGTCTTCATCGTTAGTAAGAAGTGGTATTTTTTGTATCTCGAAGCTCTGTAGCATGTAGTTGATACATAGTCCAGAGGCTGGCCAAAGGAGACTTTACTTAAACCTCCTTTCAATTATATCAACTCATAGCACTATAGTCCCTTGCGTTAGTAACCAAATCACAGATGGTAGCTAAGTCAGCTCGGAAGAGTTTAGCGGGAATAATTGCAAAAGTATGCCTCAATTCCTCCCACGGATAACCAAAAATGACCATTATTACTTATCTCATTATGTGCACGGATAGTATCAATCAATGCATCCCTCGTCAAGTAACGATTGCCTCGTAATGCTGTTATTGCCTTATCAAAATATTGTTTGGGTTTTTGAAATAGTTTAAAACTCGGAAAGTAACAGTAAAACCTTCATATTGAGAGCATCATCACATTATATATCAAAAATATCCATTTCTTCGATAGAGAAGCCCTAACATCTCCCCAGTAAATATTTTTCTACAAAATTCGTCTAGTTAATAAAAATGGAATCTGTTAACAGTAACTGCGATGAGGCCACACAAAGAGAAGGAGCAAAAATTATTGTGCCGAAAAGGTTCCCTTTTGCGGGATCTTTAACTATACACTCTAGCGCGTGTCTGCTTTGATGCTTTCATCAAGACTTTTTACTGGCTGCTCAGTCCTACCTTCTGTCTATTTATTCAAAAGTAGATAAGATAAATGGACAGATGAAGAATATAGCTATCTAGGAGTTCAATAATCCTCATTTTATTTATGTTGAGATAATTAGATGTTGTTTAAGCGTGCGGATATTGTTCGTAAAACTGCTTTTGTTGTTGTTGTGCGGCAAGAGTAGCTGGCTGATTCCATTGAGCAGCGTGAGCAGCAGCAGTATTTGGGCCGCTGTGAGCATCGAAGCTTGGAATATTCGAAAAAGCAGCATTATGCTGGAAACCATAACTGTTTGTTTGATGTGCATTAACGCCAAATGTAGTTGAATTTTGGTTGTTATTCCGATGTCTACCATCATATTGCATCTGCGGGTTATACCAGTTTTGCTGCTGTTGATGGTGGTGAGGAAGACGGTGATGATGATATCCTGAAATCCATCCAGGTGGCGGACGATCTTTGCCCCATGACAGCTACATATAACTCGGTTATTATTCCATTACCGTCGGGAGGAAATACAATCAATATCTTACTTTAGCGGAATTCCCATTTATACTTAGGCCTTGTAAATGCACAATTGCACTAGCAGCATTTTCATGTGTATCCATTCTAGAGTATGAAATAGTTACTGAGCAACCCAGTTTTCTTATGCTTCCAACAATAAGATTGTAACATACTCACTACTTACTTTACAAACGCAAAACCTTTGTCTGCTTGTATTTTTACTTCCTGTACATAACCGAATCGCTGAAATGGTTGTAGTAAGGAGACCTCTACGAAAAAGTCGCGTCTGAACATGAGTCCTATAGTCAATACAATAGCGACTATCAATAAAATTCAAAGCAACTTACGGTCAACATTTGGAGGCAAATTTCCAACGTAAATACTTGTCACATATGCGGGTGTTTGTTGTACCACAACCTCAAATGGTAGCTGCTGTCCTGGTTGAGGAGCAGGAGTGGCTGTTTGACCTGCACAGTAAGTAGTTTTAGTATATTTAAATGGACAATTTGCCAACACCTATTTTGAAAGTCATCTACCTTTTTGTGTAGCCCAATTACAACGGATTGGTCTTGATCCCAACCATTCGCCGTTCATTGTAGCAATAGCTTGCTCTGCGTCTGATTTGTCTCTGAAAGCTACAAAACCAAATCCTCTTGACTTGCGAGAAACAGGGTCCCACATTACATGTGCCTCACTGAATCACATTGTGAGCGATATTAGCTGCTGTTAATAATGTGTCAATTCAGCATATGTTGAAAAACTTACGACATGGAACCGAAAACAGAGAACGCTTGAGTGAGTGCATCATCCGTGATTTCAGGTGCAATATCACCAATAAATACATGGAAATGATTGTTGATATCATCATTCATATTGCTGTTATTAGATTGCTGTGCCCAGTTTGCTCTGATTTCCTATGTGGAAATGTTGAGTTCCCTTCCTCTGTTCCACTTTGGCAAAACTAATAAGTTACTTTACATAATTGAATATCTTCCTTCCGCTCATATCTGAAATAGCCTGTTCAGCTGCTCTAGGGTCTGCAAATTCGACAAACGCATAATTGACGCTACCCTATAAGATATCACATTAGCTCTCAAGATTTATTCTATCCAATAATTGACACAAACATACATATGCATTATGTTTTCTAACCTGAAGCATTATTAAACATATATCAGTAAAAATCATTACTCAATCTAATAACAGGAAAATCTTACTAACTTACAGTGATAATTTTAACATTGACTACTGGCCCAACCGTGGCAAATATCTCGTGCAACATGCTTTCGGTTACTCTACATGAGAAGAATAATATGCGTTTAGCATGTAATTAGGCATTACAGTAGGTATGGTAAAGCAATCAATTGGTAACAACGGAGCATAACCCATATTCATTTTGATGAGTCGTTTGTTCATCACGCACGCTGTTTAACAAGCCATACAATATATATTACCTAGGATCAAGATTGCCGACGTAGATTGTGTTTGCTGGATTACCATTCGATTCTTCTATGTGTGTTGCAACATTGCTTGCTTCGACATTAGGAACTGACATTTGATAATGCTATGCTTGACCTTCCTTCTAACAGTAAGTCAAAGGATAATAATAGATTAAAAAGAAAATAAGAAGAGAAGAAGAAAAACGAAATTAAATCAAGCACAAAATGAAAGAGACTCGATAAACCTTTTCCCCTCGAGATGAGTTTTATCTTTTTCCAGCTGTCCCCGAAGTAAGATAAGGCTCCCTTTCGAAACATCTTACAGAGATTAAGGTTTGGAATATGAAGAGGACTAAGCTCATGTAGCCTTAGCAATAGATATCTAGCAGGCAAGTACTGTTTACACCGAAGAGAAGTCTTTTTCAATCCATATCGTAAACAATGTTAAAAAATTGGCAATTTGTCACGACACCTTTTTATTGAAGAATTGCATGCGCTTACTACCAAGACCAATCTTGACGTTGGCCCCTACACACATATTCTTCTTGATTTCAAAAGTTACATCGACTTTTTAGAAATATTGTTGTGCTTGAAGGACTGTCGTCAATGACTGTATTTCCAATTAAAATACCATTACTACGTTCTCTGAATTTTGCTAAGCAGATCGCTGCTGTATTTAATAGTACGTTTAAACAGAAATTTTTTGGAAACAAAAAGGTTTTGAATTTCGAAAGCTCAATGGACGCGAGATAGTAATCTTATTTGAGTTGCCTGCTACAAAGTCAAATGCTGAAAGGTATCTACAATCACTTTGTTTTAACGGTAAAAAGAATTATGATCTGGTCAATAATGGGATGGGAGGGGGGAAAGGGTAACCAGTTAAGTAGTGGTTGGCATAATAGAGGAGGTCGAGGTGCTTTTTAGCAACACTGCAACGAGTTCAGTTGCAATTACGTAAAGTAACCACGGTTACAGACACGATATTCTTACGCAAAGGTTATCAGTCGGTCCTGGCATATTTTTCGTGACTCCAGCTCGGACTTCTGACCAGAACAATTATAAGGGGAGGGAAAAAGCAGTATCCATTGTCAAATATATTCCATACAGTTTTGCGTATATGCCTGGATGAAACAAATTCAAGGAAATGCTCAATACTAGTGCCAACATTAGCAGACATCTTTTGTTGTATTTTTGGCTTCACCACCATCGTTCTGCTTACATTTCTTATTGACTTTCCTGTTACAGCTTTGGGCTTGCGCAATGTCAAATCAATCGCGCTTTTCAAAAAAAAAAATAGCCGTCTGAAATTGTCATTTGTGCGTAGGAAGTTGTGTTTGTACAGCGAACTGACATAAGCAAGCACCTGCTCTTTTTGGTAATCAGATGAAACCACGCTTTTTCAGCTGTTTCTGGTTTACAACTTACTATTTTTCCCTTCTTTCAATTTTGCTTTTGGTATAGCAATACCATAATACACTTTCTCCTCGAATCAGAACGTTAATATCGAATCTAGAGGTGTCATGGATCTTAAGCAACTGAAAAAATTGGACCTTTCCTCGATACAAAGAGTCTCAACCCCTTATGACTTGACACCTCTCAGCTTCAGCACGCCCTATGACTTTCCTCGTCATTTCTTACCAAAGGTTATGAAAGGTTAGAATACTTTTTATCACAGCTATTGTCGACGATTTGGAGCCTCTCTCCTATGTATCGCTTTGTTATACGTATCAACCAAAAATATCGATTAAACTAGATGACAGTAAAATACCCTTGGTCTTGGTTGCTTGTGGCTCATTCTCTCCCATCACCTATCTTCATTTAAGAATGTTCGGTAAGAAGTTACAGATTTTTTTATTTTGCTCTGAAACGTTGGCATTAATGATCGCTGTGTAATCTGTAGAGATGGCCCAAGATCACTTCAAAGAGAGGAATGAATTCGAGTTACTCACAGGTTATTATTCACCTGTATCGGACTATTACATGAAAGAAGGCTTGGCCAAAGCGCAAGATCGCGTCAAGATGTGTCAGTTAGCAGTTGAAACAACCTCAGATTGGTTAATGGTCGACTCATGGGAAGCGCGTCAAGAACAATATCAAAGAACAGCTGTCGTGCTTGACCATTTTGATCATGAGTTAAATACGGTAGGTGGTGGTATCGCAACATCAACAGGTAAAAAAAAAGAAAAAAAAAAGGATAAAAACTTCGTCTTGAAAAAGTAAAAATGTCAGTGGGATGGTCAAAGATTGAAGCAAGTATTACATTTGATACTTACCAGGTGAAAGAAAGAAGATTAGAATTATGTTATTGGCAGGTGGTGATTTGATTGCCTCATTTGGTCATCCTGGCGTATGGGCGCCAAATGATGTAAGCAAATGGAAAGTCTATATGGTCTATTGAGTACTTTCAACTAATGCGAAACATAGTTGCATCATATTGTAGGTCATTACGGATGCGTTATCATAGAACGAACGGGTACGGATGTGTATGGATTTTTATTATCACACGACATTCTCTATCAGCACAGGGTGAGTAACATATAGAAGATAGCTGCGTGTAGACTACATATGCAAATTTCTAAACCAAAACTGTGTTTGTCTGTACTGGTTTATTCAAAAGATGAATGTTACTGTTATCAAGCAATTGATTCACAATGATATCAGCTCAACAAAAATCAGGTAGATTGATATTGCAAGTTTTTCTCACATTGCCACGCTTATATAAACACTGTTTCCTATCATAGATTGTTTGTGAAAAGAGGAATGTCAATCAAGTACTTACTACCAAACCCAGTAATCGATTATATTCATCAATATGGTTTATATTTACCGCAAACAATGCCACCACAACCGCCTTCTACATCGATAGCCACAGCAAAAACAAAAGCAGCTTCGACACAGTCGAATGAAAAAGAGGGAGACCTTTCAAAGCAAGGTCCGCAACCCATCATTAGAGATTAGAAGACGCATTTCTTTTACGTGAAGCGTCGTTTCATAGAAAAGGAACTTTTTTTTTCATCTCATACCTATGTGTCTTATGTCAGACTGCCATTTTTTTAGCTTGTTTTATCCATCATTTGCGCTTAGAATTGTTTGCTTTTCCTTTTCCTAACATTGTCATGTACAGCTTTTATTTGTTTGGAAAAGGTTACTATACGCACTTTACATTTTCCTTGTCAAATAAATTCTTAATGTTTTTTGTATATAAGCATCATATAGTCGTAACAACACCATTGATATTCCAGCAAACCGAGCTTTGGAAAAATCAAGCATTGCAAAAAAAAGTCTTTTAAATTTCTGAGTTAGACAACTTAACAACAAACTTTAAGATTGTCGTGCATTTTTTACTACTGTCACTGGACAAACGAGGTGAACTTGTTGTACTGAAATATATATGTTTAGCGTTTTCAAAAGGAACTTTTTAAGATTGGGAGGTAATTAATCATTTTGTAGTCTTTAGAAATGATACGGCAGAAAATCGTGGCATCATTTTCAAGAACAGACTAACTACAGTTTTTTAACTGCGGGTTTAGACGCAGCTTAAAAATAACTGGATGGAATGACCAAAATTTTGAGACGATTGAGTTAGAGTTTGAAGATCGAACTACACTAAAATGGAGACGTTTACCTGTAAATATCAAGCCAGTTTCGTTCTGGCGATAATAAAAATCAAAAGACTAAGAAGTTGTCCTCCGGCTGAACTCCGTAGGACGTTCCTTGTCTTTCCATACCGAAATGCTGATGGCCATCATGTTTTTTGCTGCATTGACATCGCGGTTCCATAGTATCTTACAGGTTTTGCAAACAAGGATACTACAGCCACGCACGGTGTCTAATGCTTTCAAAGTGTCTGAGCGACAACAATTGCATATGCGTGATGTCAAGTATTCATCAATTGTCACGGCAAGGAGATCACCAGCAGCCTCTCTTCGCTTCAATGCACGCCACAAAACACCAACGACACTAGTTCTAAGGCCTTTTAGATGAACGGCGGATTTATTGAACATGCCGTCACCAAATACAACCAGAGGAACTTTTTTGCGATCACTCAGCCTGAATTTCTCAGGGGCCCATCGTCTGTTGAAGGAAGACAGTAGATTGAGTATACACAAATTCAGTGGACAGTTAATCGCTACAGACTTACCGAACGTGGTTATCGCTCTTTGTCTCTTCTTCTTCCCGGATCTCCTTCTCATTCTCTTCTTCCTGTTTTACTTTCACTTTCTGTTTCGTCTTCTTTCTTCTTTTTTTATGCTTAATTTTGCCCTTCTTCTTTGGCCATTTCATATGTTCTTCCTTTCTTTTCTTCCGTAATTCTTTGTCGTATTTGATCCCTCCATCGACAAGCATGTTCACCATCATGTCTGCAGCACGCTGCCTGCCTTGATGCAGACGGAACCTTGTTTCACCCATATCTGGCCCATAGAATGAGAACAGGATCTCTAAATGTTGTAGTATGTAAATAGTATATCTCTTATACTGTTCAGGCGAGCCTGTTTTACTACTCGGTATATTGCTTTCTATCGCTTTTATCATACAACCGGCCTTTTTCCTTTCTAATTCTGCACTGACACGAGTACTACCCGTCATGTGATAATATTCTTTTGTCGAGCAGCGCCGTATCTCATGTCTGTTTGTTTCTAACCCGATTGCTGCTGTAAATACGGTCTTTCGGCCAGGATCAACAAATGTGGGTCTGTAGTTTGTCGTGATTTCTTCATAGGAGAAGTCTTCCAACGTCAAGTCATGATGATCAATGGTGGCGTCTTCTCTTGGTTTCTTCTTACGACTAAATAGGAAGTCTACAGTGAAGCCATCAGATCGAATGAGATTCCTGAAGAGCATACTTGTGTTTGTCTTTAGCTCAGCAATACTATGATATAAGTGAAAGAATAATCTTGAGAACAGAGTCTTTTAGCAGAGTGCTATTTACTTTACCTTCTGAAGCCTAACTTTTTGAAGTTGAACACTTTACAAAATTGTTCAAGTTGATTCCAATAGCCCTTTACAAGTCTTCCAGGAAATAAAAAAGGAGTAAGGGCGTTTATGCTGATGGTAATGAAGCGCCATGATACTGAGGGTGTTGGAAAAGGGAAGAAGCGATGAGGTAATGGTAACCTACGAACATCGTAGGCAAAATGATTAGAATGCTCTTCTTCGTAGTAGTCCTGGATAAACCACAAGGGCTTGACAAATTTGACCGGATCGGCCGCCAATGATAAAAGCGTAACCTTTTCCTCCACAAGGTCTGCAAAGTTCTTGCACAAATTATCTATTCTTAATTTGTCATCACTGCTTAACTTGACTTTACCAGGCCATTTGGGTTCGCCTTTGCAAATCGCTTGATAGCAGTATTTTGTTGCGATTTCGTCAACATCGCGCTTTACCATGCTCTAAAGAGAAAAGAATATTGACTTTGCTGCTGTTTGGTTTAATGTAAAGTTAATCCTTACCGGGAACAAATTCTGCAAGGTATAGTATAGATATTTAAGCATTCGCTGCTCAAAAAGCTCAACAATGCTGTTTGTATATGTGGTACTGAGCTCTTTACAAGCTTCTGTCAAGCATTGGCTATAGCCTTTGGTGAAGCTATAACTTACTTCGACAGCTGGATGCTTCTCTTTGAACTGCTTATAGAAGTTTTTCATGGAATCATTTATTGCTTTCTTGTTGGTTACTGTTTTACCTGTTACAAGTTGTCCAACCGAATACCAGAACTGTTGGGTGAAGATTTCTTTTGGTGTGTCTTTCTTATTATGGATGAGATAAGCGTTAACAAATAGTTGCGAACGAAACACAATAGCCCTAATGTCATTGCAGCACGAAATGACTCTTTCTCTGAATTTCTCGCGGAAGGTTGGTAACACCGCACTGTCGATGGGAAGCTTTCTTGTGAATACAGTAGCATCATCACCAAGAACAGATGAAATGAGTTCTTCTTTCGAAGGCGTGTGTTTGAGGCATTGCGGCGAACGAGCAGTGGTATGGCCATCTTGTCCACAGCTGAGGCACTTTACAGCTTGTGCGGTGGTCTTTTTCCGTTTAACTGCTTTCTTCTTCTCTTTCACTTGGTCACTCTGTTTTCTCTTTTTGCCACTGCTACCAACTTTAAGGAGGTTACTCACAAGCAATTAAGTGCTGTGTGTAAGATAGATTTAGGTTTATTGCTTACCATCATCAGCATTTACGGCTTTGTAATACTTGCATTTGTAGTAACGCTTGTCAAAATGACCTGGTTCATAGCAGTCTCGACACTTGGTATGCTCTAAAAAATTACAACAAATATCAGAATCCTTATATCTTGATCTGACGGTTCTCCTACAATTATCAAGCATTTTACCAAATGGGTTCCTTTTAACCTGGTTCTTATGCTTTTCTTTAATAGATCTAATCTTCTGTATAATGAAACTTTTGTACATGAATAGAGCTGTAAGTTACAAAAAAAGCGAAATACGGAAAAGAAGGGATCTTATTCTCGTTTAAAAGAACCCCTTCATTATAATCTAACTTTGACAACAAAACGCGAGAAAAGAAAGACACGTCTTTATCATTGGGCAAAGTTCCGAAAAAGGCACTGACGAACATCTGGTTGGGTCTTATAACACATCGTCAAATGACGAAAAAGTTGTCAAGCTTTTTGTAGCTCGTCCTATTGCAAAGTCACGCCAATAAGAGTTTTCTTAGCGACCTCTTTACTATGAGCACTCATTTTTAGGACTAGCTTGTACGCCATCCTTAATGCTGCTTGGATGATACTGGATAATTGATTATCAGCGAAATCGTCCAAGAATAATATACCGCTTCATCGTAAAATAATTGAAAGTTGTCTAAATTAAGATTTAATAGTGTCCAATAAAATTTGTGAAAAGTCTGAAATAGTAGTTAAAACACTGTATTCCAAAAAAAAGAAACGGACATCTTTTTTTTTTTTTTCTTTCTTTCTTTTTCTTTGATTATAAAACGTTTTTTCTTACCATCAGCAATAATATTCAAGCGATGACAAATTGGGTCAGTCTACTAAACCATCCGCTTCTTAACGTGGTTGTCTTTCTTTCCAGTCGTCCAATTGCTAAGTTTTTGGACCTGGAAAACCCAAGCTATTTAAACACTTTACGAGGTATTTACTTGGGTTCACAATTGGTCATCATTGTTTTGTCGTTTTATTTGATGTCTGTCATTAAGAAAAAGAATGGTAAAGTCTACAAAAGTTAACAGTATAGGATGGTTATAATAGCTTACTGACGCATTATACTTCTCCCTATTTATATTGCAACAGATCGCACGTCCTTACGCTACGTTGAACCTGGAGGACAAAGCTGGGACGGTACTGAAACTGAAGATACACTTGTTAATACTACCAATATGGGTAATTATTTCAATTCAAAATGATATATATGACAGCAGAGCTAATTCTCAAAGCTATCTGTTAGATTACGATATTGATCAAGTCAAAAAACAAATGAAGCAAAGCTTTACTGGTGTACCCGTCATTGCTTTTTTACATTTAAAATTCGGTTATGTTCAGCCTCTTTTGATTCAAAGTGTTATGGCTTTCAAAACCTTTTTCATGAGTAAGGAATCACGTATTCACTTTTTCGGTGGAAACACTTCACGTGGAGAGCTACGTCGTCCTTTCCGTATCGAAGCCCCCTTCAACATGGTTAGTGAAAAGAAGCAACCCAAGACAGATAAAGGATCCATCAAACGCGCTGAAAAGGCATTGAAAGCACAATAATATTGCGTTTTACTTTATCGTGATTTATTATTTGGCTTTCTTCGTCTTTCGTGACGATGCATAAGTAGAATTGTCATCGGCTGCTCGTTTTCTTCGTTTCGTATTGTCACCTATAAGAGAAGAAGGAAAAGGTTTAAGCTTTGTATTTTTAGACATTACACAAATTTGATATCTATAACTGTAGCTAAAAAAAGTAATGAAAAGTAAATCAACTGTTTCTATACATTACTTTGAAGTGATGGTGAATCTCCTGTTACTGCTGCAGAAGCTGCAGATAATACTGGTATAGCATTTGATACTTTTGTTTCTTCAGTGAGCGCTTGCCTCAATTGCACAATTCTATATGAGGACCTGTCAATCGCTCTATCAATCCAGTGTCTGAATGCTTGTGTCTCTTGTGCACGTAAGACACTTTTATTCGAAGTATCTGATGGAGATGACGAGGATGCAGATTCAGCAGTAGCCGCTGTTGTTGAAGATGCGCCTGCAGTGCTGTTGCCGAGATCTTGATTTGCTGAGGCCGGTGTACTCTGCTGCACTGAGGTTGCATTGGTTTTCCAACTGTAACCTCTTGAAGGCTTAAATTCCATCATTCTCTGTGCCGCTTTAAAAGCACTGTTTACATGGAATAAACTCGTCAGCTTTTTGTAAATACACTCGTTAAGGTTAGTTACTTGGTATCAACCTATTGAAACACTCATATTGGCTTGATGAAACATACCAAACGATTGGCGAGCACGGAATAAATAGTTGGCGATTGGTATACGTTGGCGCCCATAATATAGTAAGTTGCGATCGGGTTAACATCATCTGGTTGAGGTCCACGTCTATATCGTTTTTGTATAATCCAAATCGGTGGCTGCTCGTGAACAATAGCAAATTCAATGCCTGTCATTTTACTGCATTGTAAGCGCATTAGAGAGAATCAGCAAAAGATCCATCCAAACCAAGAGTTTTTTTTTGTGGATAGATGTTTGCAATTACCGGAGTGCTTCCACTGTTTCTTCGTATGGTTGTCTGAGATCGTTATACTGTGTTTGCATTGCTAATACTTGATTATTGCTTTGACGATCCCAAAATGGTGAAAGGGCAAAGTAATCCATTACCATTTGTTGATTTTGAAAGCCTCCAAATCTCTAAAGATGGTATGGCGAGGTACAAGGTTGAGTGAACATTCTTTGGTTTTTTCAGTATTTTACTACGATTATCCTTTTTTCCCTACTTCAAGCCAGTTCATATCACGCCATTCGACGCTGGTTAGATCTTCTGTTGCTGTCATTCGCTGCATTTTGTAAACTAAAGGGTATATATGCTCTTATTTAGAAGGTAAAGTAAAAGAAGCACAGACACAAAATTTCATTTGGCTCGTGGACTTCTTTTGCAGGTCTTCTCGCTTTTCGAAAAACGTGAAGCAAAAATGCATTAATTTTTGTTGTCAACCACGTATTACAATGTTTTAACGTTTATTTTAGACGACTTGGAATATTTATTAGGACAATTTACATTTAATTTTAAACTTTTTTACAATTTTATAGGAACCATTGCGTATAGTTTAGACGATTGAATCACCAGTTCATAAGGCTATGTTCTTTCTGTAATTATTTTTCGCAGAGTGTTTCTGCATGCCTAGTCCAACCCAGGTAATCATCATGCATAATTGTTTCAAATGATTTCTGGATTTAAAGCGATAATTCATCTCCCATCTGCAACGAATTGCGTTGGATATTACTTTTAATCCTTGATCAGCATTCTCAATAAAGTTCAAGAATGACGAGTAGGAAGGCATGAATAAAAGCTTGTAGCCACGCTTATCGATACCCTCTATAACAAATTTACAATGGTACTCTACAATTGTCCATGACTACAGAAAATCCTTCTACATCGTGTTTATCCATTAGGTTTCTTCATTTTCTAGCGATGATTCAGTCTCCAGTCTGTAGCGCATGTAAGCCATGCAAGAAGTTTTAATTGAACAGTTATGAGTTAGAATGGTGCTTGCTGACTTACGCAGCAAAGATATCAGCATAGCATCGAATCAAATTTTAATGCCTGCGTATTTCATACATGACATTAAACGCGTAAATCATATTGTTATAATAAATGTTGTTAAACGAAAGCTTATGTTGCCAATGTTAAAACTCATATTTATTTTTCAACTTTTTTAACACCTTCTTCTTTTCTTTTTCTTCCTCTTTATTACCTCTCGCTCGGTGCTACCTCTATACGCTTGTGTAAGAGTATTATCATAAATAAAATCAATTCAGTGAAAGAAAAGTACACCAAGAAGGAAAATCCGTTCGGTAAAGGCAAACCACAATACTTGAGAGTCACCGATGCGGAACGGCAGGTATTTTGTGGCGTGCGCTTAAGCGACGCGAAGCAGCCGGAGACCTGCTAGTACTAGGAATCGATGAATTTAAGACATCCAGAATATGCTCGTGCTGTTCCAACGATACTTTGGACAAGTTAAAAGGCGTTCAGACCTACAGTATACTTGTTTGCAAGACTTGTCATATACTGTGGAACCGAGACATCAACGCCTCAAAGAACATGATGAAGATCAGTAGTGCAATTTGGAAGAAGTTGGGGAGACCGAAAGAGTTTTACGCGACTAAAATATAAGACTCCCCCTACCTTCAACATCGCTGGAACGAACTCAGGTTGATTTTTACAGGTAAAAAGAACAAAAGTTTGTACTTTCTACTGTTGTGTAAACTGTCTAACATTTACTCTTAACGGTCTACTAATATATTGAATTCGTTTAAACAGAAATTATTTGTCGTCTAAAAATTATATTTGTGTTGTCTAAATTTGAAGTTAATAAACTATAAACACGGTTTGAAAAAAAAAAGAAAGAAAAAAAGGAAAAAAAAATAAAGATATAAAAACCACATTGACTCTTTAAACTATCCCTTTGAACTTTCTCTCTATTTTGTTTTTGCTAGCATTATTTATTAAACATGTCACCGTTAGACATACATACAACTATCAGAAAGGCTACACGACTGGAATTTCATCCACCCAAATCAAAGCATCTTTTAGGTAAAGCAAATATTCCAGCTTAGCAAAGGAAAAAGGATCAACAAACTTACATCCTAACATTTCCATCTTGTAGCTTTGAAAAATATGACGTTAGATGAGCCTGCCAGCATTGATGATATTCTAATTTTGTTAGAAAAGAGACTGAATGAACGTTCCTGGATTATCACCTTCAAAGTGTTCATCATCCTACATTATCTAATGCGTGAAGGAAACTGTGTTCGTGTTGTAGACGCAGTTATTAAGAAACCAAGTGTACTTGACGCAAGTAAAATAAAGCAGAAAACGCAGAGTAAGTATATTCTGATCTGAAAAAGTAGCCTCATGTGATACTTATAGATAGTTTTCTTACATAATATATAGCTCAGAAAGATATCGAAAACATATACATGTATAAGAACTATATTGATGAGAGAATCGTTGCTTTCAGACATACGAGAAGAGACTATGCTGCCAACGAAGCAAAATTCTCTACTATCAGAAGAAACAGTGCAGTTGGAGGTAGAAGACTATCACACATCACAGTCAAAGAAGGATTGCTCAAAGAAATGAAAGCTTTGCAAAGACAGTTGGATGCTATATTACAATGCAAGGTAGGCCTTTCAGAAAATGGTAGAATCTGATCCCTTTACTCAGCATTTTGCAATGATGTAGTTTAATATGGAAGACAGTAAAAAGGCATCCGAAATCACTTCTTTTGCATTTAGAATGGTACTTGATGACCTTTTAACGTTGTTTCAATCGGTTAATGAAGGTGTCTGTAACATTTTGGGTAAAACCAAGCAGATGTAAGAATTACGGCAGATACCAAAAAGAAAGCTAAACAAGCCGTAAATGGGTTCTACTTTAGATCATTATTTTAAAATGAAAAAATCAGATGCCCAGACAGCCCTCGGTATTTATAAGAGGTTTGCTCACCAAACAGAATTGACTATGGACTATCTAAACCACGTCCAGATGATCCAAAGCGAACTGCAAGTACGTGATATTCCATCCCAAATTGAGCATGTAAAGTACTACGATTCCAAATATTGCATCGAAACTGAAACTGCTTTTTAAGGAAGAAATGGAAATGCTCTATCTTTTCCTTTTCTTCCCTATGTTCAGCACTATACTCAATACTTAACAATTGTAATCGTTAGGCGCCGCTTTCAATGACTGCCGCACTAGAGGACCACTTATTAAAGGCCAAGGACGAAGACATGGAAGAAGTGTGGCAAAAAGACAAAGGTAAATAGCAATCCTGGAACATTTTATAATATTGGCTAGCTATAATGATTTTGTCGCATAATGCTACTTCCTTACCAGTTTAACTGTGAAACTTTTGTTCCTTTTTTTTAGCCACTAATGTTAATGGGGGAAAAGATGCCACTCAACAGGTTTCAGGGCAGCCACGAAGAAATTTAGAATTCTTTGCTGATGCTTTCCAGCAACAAACCGTCCCGATTTCCGCTAATTTTCAGCAAAATACTACATTATCCAGTACCACGAGTCCTCCACTCACCACTCCTACCACTGCTCCGTTGAATCCATCATTTCAACAATTTTCGCCGCAATATGCTCAAGAACAGCCCCAACAACAACCACCCATGCAAAAATCGTTTTCTGAACCTCAGCAACAACTGCTATCTCAAACTTTGTTAGATGACGCATTTTCCGTTACCAACAGAAACAATAGACCGCTTCGAGATATACAGATGCTGAGACAAGCAAGTATGCCCAACTTCACTACGAATAGTAACTGTATTCACCTGAATACTACTACATCAGCAATATCACCGTCACCCTCGCCTACGAACATCTCAACAAATCCTTTTGCGAGCATGTCAACAGTATCAAACATGTCTTCTTACGATAAAGCTGGCCCTTATAACCCTGCGACAGCTATGACACTATCACTTACTGATTCCAGATCGACTATCAATAGTACAAACTCTTTCATGACCGTTGACAGTACCACAAGTGATAGTGGTCTCAATGCATGTCTTCAGAATCACCATCATCACAATCCTTTCAGGACACTTAGCTTGAATAACTCCTCTACTCCCGTCACACCTCTATACAGTGATGATAACAATACCTTTAAAAATATCAATCCTTTCTTCCCTGCATCACCACCTTTGACACCAAATAAACCCATAAACGCGACATTTTGGGCTCAACTACAACAGCAGCCACAACAGTCACAACAGCAAGTTAAATCACCCAACAATAATCCTTTTTTACAAATGGCAGTAATTCCATGAGAGCAACCTCTGCAGCTGACGAGGCAGCCATCAACTAACCAGAATTTCCTTGGCTTTTAAAGATTTTCATGCATTCTGCAGATTTACAGATACTTTACAATCTCATCTTTAAAAATATGAATGAAGTTTGGCCATACTTGCAGTAATGCGCTTTTCTAGCATAAGCTGCAACAGAATGGCACGCTGTCGTTATTCTAACCTTACATCAGGTCGAGAAAATGCAGTGAAATGATGAGATTAAAATCACCAACTATTAACATTTATTTAAACAGAATAAAATGAAGAAAATAATTAAGGAATGTTTCTAGACTAACCCAACCGTATAACCTATGATGCAAATGAGAAAAGGTGTTAATCAAATGTTCATACGCATGAATAGCAATGTGAACAGACAAAAATAGTTTCATTACTGTGAGGTTTATCAGTGAGCAAATCAGAAGTAAAATTTCATCGATTTCTCTCTTTACAAAGTTGTGAAAGACAACTGGCACATCCTCCTTTAAACCATCTAACAGTAGTCAACTACTATACTCTATTCTTACCTCACTTGTTAAGCATAAAGCAAACAAACTTCTAGCCAAAGAAAAAAAAAGGGTAAAGAGGGCCACTGTTTTAGAAAATACACAAAAAAAAACTTTTCTAGAGCGAAACTAGCTGTCACAGCTAGGACTGTAACAACTCAGATACTGTCGATTTCTCCGAGCTGACGTGGGCGTTTTTCGTAATCAATATATGTTATGAATAAACAGCACTGAACAAGTACAGTATCTCATAGATCTGAACGTTGCAAGTATGCTCAAAACCGATTATTATTTGCGCAATTTTTACACGACTCGTACCGCAAAAATAAAAACTTCGTCCAACTTGTCAAGGCTGGTAAACAGATAATATTACAGTGCGGGCACATTGCCAGGCAACAATTTCTAAATACACTGCTTAACAGCCAAATAACCAAAGGTGTGCTTTAAAAGGCTGTAGAACAATACCTTTTCTAATGATAATATTCCAAAACATCGGTAGAGTATATAAGCAGCAAAATGTTGTTATTTCCCATTTGCCATCTATTAGCAGAAGTCTGTAATATGCATTCAAGCTAATGTTTTATTGATACATATCAAGAGTCTTTACCGAGAACTATTTAGTTTAAATCAAAAGGTTTTTTACGTAAAGAACGCTCACATTCAGCTATAAACGTCATTAAAGCGTATAATGCTAAAGCACGAGGCAAAATAATGTTCTTATATAAAAGCAAATAAATATTGATGAAACAAGAAAAGAATATGAAAGAACTGACGTCTAAATCAGCAAACTTGTAATATTGCAATAAAAACTACCCGGTTCTAACCGGATATCATCCTCTCGACCTTTTCCCTGAGCTCTTCAGTCGCAGAATTCCAACGAAGATTTAAGGATTCCTGTATATAATTCAAAGCTTCCTCGTACTGGTGTTCTTCTATAAGTATTTCTGCCATAGTCCGTAACATAATATGGTGCTTTGGCTGGAGCCTGATGGCTTCTAATAACATGGCTTTAGCTTTTGTATAATCTCCCATTGCCATTTGGGTAGTCGCCACACCGAACCTAAAGTAGGTAAGGTTAATGGCAAAGTTTTGTTATCTCTGATCTATATCGTCAAAAAAAATCTAACGCTTAATTACCATGATATAGAAGAGCGTTTGTTTAGTCTCAAACTATTCGCAAAGTTTCGAAGAGCATTCAAATTATCGCCTAAAAGTAAGTATTCATGTCCGAGAAGATAGTAGCCATAATTATCCGTAGGTTTTACACTAACTGCTTTTTTAAACCACTCTAATGCTTCCTTTTCGGTATCCTTTGAACATTTTGACCAATTACCAGCAACAATGTTCGATTCATACTGATGACAAGGGTTATCTTTGATACAGTAGGCCACAATATCCAATTCTTTGTCCTGCTGCAGGTACCACAAGCAAGTAGAATACACAGGTGCATAGTCGAAAAACCAAGGTGCTACTGCAAAAGCGTGCTTGAAGAAAAGTTTGGCATTTTTGAAGTCAGTGCTGTCATGAAGCGCCTTTCCAATAATGCTTAAAATCCGTGGTGAGCCATATTGATTATCATCTAACTGTTGCAACTCAAGTGCGGCCCTACGAGGATGGTAAAAAGACTGATAAAGATAGCCATTGGCTATGATACGGAGTAGCTTAATAACTTGATTCATACTTTCGACCATCAGCTTTGACATTCCGTCGTCATTCTTGTTGTTAGAAACATCAGATGATGAAGAACCAATATTGGGCATGATAGGCGTAAAATACGACTGAATATCTTCAGCGGTAACCTGGCAGGAGTTCGTTTGAGAAACTGATGTTTTCTTCATTCGTACAAACTCATATTAGAATACTCACTTCAGTAGGGTTGGCTTTTGAGCGCTTCACATTTTCTGATCTTGTAACCCTTGGTGGGACTAGCTCAGCTATTGTACGCTTTCGAGGAATTTTTGTGCTGGATTCCGCATTGACCTTGCTTAATGCAGCATTAAGCTTTTGAGTATCTGTTTGCTCCGTTGGTTTCTTATACAGACCATGCTTATTCTCAAAAGCTCGCTTCTTTTCTGCTTGTTCCACATCATCGATAATACTGGCTAATGACTTTGTTTTTAGATCTTCAATGTCATATCTATTTACAATGAATTAACTACCTACATTTTTGAAGAAAGGAGGGGGACGAGTAAAATTGAAAGTTTCAACAATTCTCTTACCTTTCTATGTCATGTACAAAAAGGCTTTCCTTATCTTCGTACATATTGCTTATAGCACCAGCAAACTGGCGCAGGTCATTTAAGGTAATGGGGCTATATTCCTTTTGTACCTTGAGTATTTCAATTTTGTTGTTCTGCGTTTCTAAAGGCTCAACGTTGACATTAAAAGTAAGATTGTCAGCAAATGCTGAAAAGGATGGCATCATAGGTGTGTTTGCTGAAGTTGAAAGGTCTGTCGTGTCAAGATCGAAATCTACAAAAATATCTTTTGGCAGCTTCGCCTTTTCGAAATTTGGGATATCGGGTGCAATATCGCATAACTTAGTATAGGCCGTTAATTTGAAAGGATTTAACTTGAGGCAGCTCCAATAAGATGTAGCAGCGCCTCGTATATGATCGAGTTTTGCATACAGGTCACCTAATAGATTGTACATGCTTGCTTTGCTTGGTATATGTTGCCTAACTGAAATGCTTGATAATTCTATGCATTCAGTTAATCAAAAATATTAGGATTCTCAGGTTTTAATTCTATAATTCTCAAGAAGAATCGATTTACCATCTCTCCAGTGAATCTTATCAGTTGGCTCATCAAGTGAAAGAGCTGCCTTTAAAGCTTTTACTCCATCTTTCCAGTACTGGTGTTGCTTTGCGGACGAACGCACTAACAATCCCAGCTCTAGACAGCTCTTTGCGAAAAGATTTAGATTTGGAACAGAAGTAGAGCAGTTCAAAAGGGTATATACTGCCGAATAATCTTTAAGTTGGTAAAGGCATTTTGCATAAACGAATCGGTAATAATCGTTGTCATTGTTCAATGCGAAGAGACGCTCAGCTAAAATGAGCGCATTGTTATGATCGCCATCATCCAGATCGCGATAGATGAGCGACGTCAAGATATAAGAGACAGGCATTATCCTGTTTGTTAAGCAACGCTCTCGACTCAAAAGAGCTTACGAAGAAATGATTTACCGAGAGATTTAAAGGATTAGAGAGGGAAAGAAAGACAATCTATGGTTTTATCGCTTTGTATTTGGACAATGTTGGTATTTTTCTGGACGTGTTGAGTTGAGATTTTTTTTTGGATGAAAAAAGATTTGAAATTTAGAAAGATTGAATGCACGGTTCAATGATGTTCGACACTTTCTGTTTAGTGGTAAATTTCTGAATCCCTTAGAAAAGAAAAGCCTTTATCCGAATTGGCGATGCATTTATAAAAGAAAAGCTTTTCTTGCTTCTGCAGAAGGCTTGAGATTCATATTGGTTACTGTTTTTAGGAGACGAAATTCTGAAAAATGTTTTTAAAGCTTGACATCACGTTGCCATAACATCCACAACCTTGGCAACGAGAGTGCTATTTAACCAGTAACAACTTTTCATTACACAAATGAAATGCTATATTTACAAGATAATTAGGTAGATTAATGAGTCAAATTCAGTCTTTTTTCTTATCATTGAGGTTTCAAATTCATTAATGTGTACGAGCAAAAGATTACCATATCTTTGTCTTTATTTACGCTGCCGGAGAAGAATACCGTTGAGATTTGTATATTGCTTCAATGATTGATTTCTCAATCTTATGATTCTCAGAAAGCCATCTGAACAGGTTGACTATAAACTTTGCATAAGACTTCAACTAAGCAATGATTACTAGCACGTATAACGCGTGTATAATCCTCTGTAAGCCTTACCTTCTGTTTCTTTAAGCTCTTTTCCGCTTCCACACACTTTCCAAAATATTGTGCAACTCTCCTTTGAGTCCCCCCCCCAAAAAAAAAGAAAGAAAAGCCATAAGCAAACGATAGACTTTGCTTTCTTATCAGCCACATAATGATTCGTGGGAGTCAACAGTTTTCGATATGCAACTGCAGACTTATCTTCCAATACGATTCTTATGGAGGCAGCCACCAGTTTGAAAATGTAGAGCAGCACGGAAAGATCGAATATGGCTTGTCGATAAGACATCATTGAACTATGTTCTGTTGATGTTTTGGAACAGTACGAAATTCCGATCTCAACAAACATAAAGAGCTGAAGATAAGATCTTTAACATAGCGTGAAAAAGCTTTCAGAAGATTGGACGAAGAAAAACAATTATTGAACGTGCCTATTGATAAATTTGAAAGAGTCAAGAAGAAACCTTTATCGGCAATATCAGTTCAATAAACATTCTGTTTTTTAATCCAGTAAGCCAATCCAAATCTAGACTATGTTGGTTGTCTAATGCTTAATTATTCTTCTTCTGTCTGTCTTAAGGTAAATAGATTTCGCCCCAAATCACTCTCTCTGCAACTCTTATAGCGACAGAACTTTCATTAAATATTCTAATGTAATCACTATTTTCAGCTTTGAGATTAGTTTCAGTTAAAAAGTACCCTTTCAGAAATTCCTCTGAGCTATTTCATCAACTCTTGGAAGCTTCATACACCTTATTCGGATGTTGATTATACACTTTCTGAAAAGAACTTACTCACTTAGTGATATGTAATTTTTCGAATGTGCACTAACTGAACTCATTTTGTACACATGAAAATCAATAACTGCATTAGCTTTAAATACTTCAAAAGTAAGGTTATAATTACAAGATTTATTTATGAAGAAGTCCAGGAGCAGATCATATCTTTTCCCTCAATTTTGAGGAGCCCCAACCGTTCATCTTCAATTGTTTGAAAAATTGTGTGTTGTTCTTGAAGGTCAACCTGTATTAATCAAATATGATTTAGTATAAGTAACTTATGAAACTATACAAAGCCCGTACGTTGTAAGTAATTTGAACGATCTATAAGCCATAATAAAAAAGGCTTACATATAGCAACGCAAAAAGATCATCTACCTAATGAGCTGCTTTCTTTCTTTGAAAAGCAGCGACAATACAGCTGAACAGATTCAACAGCTTTCCACGTTTTCTCGTTTTTCAACGAATACCTCACTAAAGTTATGGATTTCGTATAATGTGTATTGAATACACGTGTTCTTTCTCCATCGTATTCCTTGATGCATTGGGATATTTACACATTATCCCTTGATTGCATCTGTTCCATTTTTTATATTCTTGATCGAATAGTCAACAGTATGGTCAAAGTTAGTGGTTAAACTTAACCTGCAAAGTGAAAATTCATAAAAAATTATTCTTATATTACTACACCAATATAAACTATACCCTGATGACTCAATGCCAATGACTGTGATGTCATTCTCGCTGCTTCCGATGCCATCAAGCAGTGTAAAAGTATCAAGCTTGTGATATTTGAGGTTTGTTTTATTTTATACTAAAAATGAGAGAGTGGAGCGTTCATAGCGAACTGAACGTTTGTATTTGACAACAAAAGAAGGATAGAGAAGAGAAATAAAAAAAAAAGAAGTTAAATACTCGTACCTGAAATCCTCGACCAGTAAGAATGTAGCATTATGGGTACATATGTCTTTCAAGTTGACGTGTACAGGTGTGCTATAATTCTATCAACATAATGACGTGTCTAATATTTGAATGTGGGTCTAATTCCTGTTTATATATTACAGAATATATGAGAATACCACAACAGTAACATATATTGTTATAAATCGATGACAATCACAGTTATTTTTCGATAAGTATAATTTGTAATCAGGACTCGCTCGTATATTTCTCTGTTAGAAAAATAAAGTTCGTAACCATCGAATCAGCCATAGCTATTAGCCAAAGCCTTAATCAAAATATCAAATATTAAGCATCTCAAAACATTTGACGAAGAGTAGTGACGCCACAACATATAACTCACGTAAGCATTTTATTAAAAGCGAAGGTGACTCTCGCATAAGGTTTTCATAATGTTACTCCATAAAGTTACTTTCGGTTTAACCACTATTGATTATAATATTGCCACTGGGTTTGGGAGAAAGGTTGGCCTAAATGCTAATGTACACAAAAATACTGTCGAAAAGGATGGTTTTTTTTTTATATTTAGATAGAGAAGGCAAAAGTATGAAGAATTTCTAGTGGTGATATCTGTACTCATCACAAATCAGTCTTTAAAGCTTTAACTTGTGTGTCTTGAAGTGACAAATAATATCAACAGTCTTTAACATTTTTGATGAGGAGGAGGCTAACGAAAAATGTCAGTTCAATAATTGAATATTGCCGATAAATGCAGTGGAATAGAAAGACTTGACGGGATATTGTACTCAATTATGTTATCAAAAAGATAAAAAGTGTTAGAGAAGGACTGCGAGTCTGGACAAATGAAGAAATATATACTTTTTAATTTTTTTTTAATTTGATTAATCAGGCCAATTAAACGACAATAGTAGTAAAACTAGTATATGAAGGAGAGGCTGAACTGCGCAGTATGAATCAAGTGTACGCTACGTTATCGTACTACAAATGTAGCAATGCTTGTATAAATTACCGTAACAGCATCAGCTTATAACCGAACGCGTAAAGCCCGGATTTACAACAGTTTGCAACGATGGGTTTTCAAGCTTTGCTAGAAGGCGTTCTGAAGTAATCAATTGAAGAGAGAAAAACTGACTTCAGATCAATTTCTAGCTTTGACATATGTTTGAACTTGTCATGTTCTTTTGATGGACTATTGATTTTTGATTCAATCGGATCTGGGCAACCTTTATATTCTTGCCTTCTTGACTGTTTTGTCAAAATTAAGGCTCTTTTACAGAACTGTTTACCTCTAGAAGATGTTTGTGAAAATAATATTAAGGGTCTGACATTTTGTTTGTTTGGGTCTTGCTTTCAAAAAAGAAGTAAAAGTATTCAAAAGGGTAGAAGCCCAGATTCCAGTCTAAACATTGTAGCTTCGAGGTCTTTTCTTAATATCAGTTAGTAAGCTCCGACTTTTATTGAAAAGGTTCAATTTTATGCACGTATATTTTGTATACGATTGGGTGAACGTACATAAAGGGTATGCTTAAAATAATCGGTATCGACGGAAATGCATCGCTTTAATTGAACGTTATGCGCCCAATTAACTTCCTTTCTAACTCCAAATTTTCCAATTCTAGTCTTCTAATTTTTGCTCGTTTCTCCCTTTCATACTCATCTGCGTCCACTTCCATTTTTCTGATTTTCAAATTTCTTTCTCTTTCGTACTCTTGTGGTTTTAGAATCGCCTCACGCTGTAGTTGCAATTCACGTTCTCTCAAGCATAATTGTCGTTCTTGTAACATTAATTCTCGCTCAAGAATATCTAGTTCTTTAATTTTTTTCTCAAGTGATCCTTCATCATTGATAACAATACATTGCTTTTCTTGTACTGCTGGGTTAATGACCTCACTAGTGCTAATATTATGGCTACTAACAGCGCGTTGAGGCAGTCGGTCATCTTTTCCATTATCACTCCTTTTTTGTATTGTGCTGAGGGTGGCATTTGGCCTTTCGGTAATGATATTCTTAGAGATTGTTTGTTCTGGGTTGTTGGTAGCATTATTGACGTGAGAGTTGTGCCTTTCAACGTTGTCCGTAATAGCTTCCTGACCAGTGCTGATAGTCTGCTTATTTCCATTAGAAGCGCAATTATTACTGCTATTATTGATAGTCCCTTGATCAGCTTTGACGGCTCCGCTACTGCTGTTTATGAAAGAGTTTTTAACGTTAGTATTGACTGTCTTTTGATTTGTATTACTAGTGCCATGGTCATCATCTGAAATACTACTATCGAGCTTAAAATTGATACCGCTGCTTTTATTGGTATTATCCATACTCTTATTTTCATTGCGACTATTTAGAATTGGGGCTGTTATTCTAGTTGTGGTTGTTGCTAATGCACGCATTGAAGGTATCGCTATAGGTCGAATAGTTTGTAAACCTCGTTTCAAAGGAATTTGTACAACCGGTCTTGAATGTTTGCTATAACTTTTCTCAGCAGCTGCCCTTATGGCTTTGTAGTGATCATTTTTTTTGGTGGTATTACACGCTTGCAATCTGCTAACACCATACATTGGTTGTTTAGCAATGCTATGGGGGCTTGATTTCGTATTGATGTCTACGTGTTTTGTTGCAACAGCAGCATTATTATCCTTATGGGCAATGGTTTTTGGATCCTTTTTTTTGGCGGTAGTCATGGTTTGCTTTTGTTGACTTCTAGTAGTAGCCATTATAGCGCGGGAAAATTTTAGATCGCGTTTGATATCTCCAGTTACTTTAAACAAATACCAAAAATCAGGGCATTCGTTGGCCACCAACTCTTTATTATGATGTTAGTAATTATACAAAGACATTCCTTGTTGTATATGTGTACCTACTCTTAAATCGGCTCCAGGCTTCTTCGGAGCTACCATATTTCTTTTGTAGAACTTGAATTGTGTTACTCCCAAGAGTATCACTCGGATTGGTGATGTACATTCTGAGTGCTGCCTGGTATCTTCTAATTAGGTACTGTGCAGAATGTGAAGTTATAGCTGCTAATGTTCGATATTTGATACCGTTTTGATGAAAATAACCCAGGACCATTTTGTATATATCTTTTTTACCCATACGAATATGAGGATGTTTTTCAAGATATATCAGCAAATATTTATCATTATCTTTTTTAAAAAAATCCATAAGTCGGTCATGGGAAGATCGAGAATCTTTTCCAGCAATATCAGTGAACCAACAGACTGCTCGTCGACGTAATATGGTATTAGTTTCGTCAAGACGCCGTGCTTCGCTTGCCAAAACTGTGCTTTCTCTTTTGTTGTTGGTACTGCTGATATTTGAGTTGTTTAAAATAGCTACTTTAGCAGTAGTTATGGCTGTGGTTGTGCTGATACTCTGGACACTGTTGGTTTTATTGTTAAAAACATTTTTCGTTGTAGCGCTATTAACATTAATGTCATCTTCTTCATCAGAGCTATCCATATCATACGGAATAACTGTGGGTTTGAGTGGCATTTTTTTATCACCAAAAGATGTACTATTGATAATTAGGTTCTTATTCTCCATATTTTATTCGAAAAGGAAGAGGAAAGCATGAAAAAAATAAAATTCAATTAAGAATTTTACTTGAATTTTGCGCTGAATAAATACTCAAATTCCGCGTTCCCCAGCCATTCATCTGAATCTATTCAAAAGGGAGAAGTTCATTCATTGAATATAGCTTTTGTTCTTTAGGAAAATGCACACCGGCAGAAAAATCTACAACCCAAGCCTCGCGGCAATAGTCTTTATACATAGCTGCAATATGGGAAACGGCATCAAATGCTCTTTGTAAAACATTTTATATGAGCCCAATAATTTGTTATTACTTGGACATTAAAGGAATGTATGTTTATATACTAAGGTCATTACCTAACCAAATATAATGCCGTATCTGTATTTGTAATCTTTGAATTCAAATAATGGAAACGAATTAAACCACAGGCACTAACGCGTTATATCCCGCTATTTGCTCAAATAAGATAGCTTCTATACCTTGAAAGACATTATATTCTACCAGTACAAGATACTAGTGAGTCGAATATTGTTCATGCTCACATTGTATTTTGTATTGCATCGAGAAGTTGTATCCCAAACAAGATACTTGGTCTGGGTATCATCCTATGGTCTATGGCTGCATACTGCAAGCCTATATACATACCATGTTTAAGTATGGTAGTAATTCCAAGCAGTAGTTACTAAAAATCTCCAGGGTGTATGGTGAGTAGCTCCATTAGATGAAATCATTTAAACGCGTAAGAATTTTTAAGCTGCCGGCTCCGAAAAGAACCTGCAGCACTATTTTGCTATGGCGATTTTGTGAAGGTGTTTCGGGACGACCAATGTTCTTCCATATGGAATCTGCAATAGGAAGCATATTCTTTACTGCAATAATGTATCGTCGTCATATAAGACCACAGGTTTTACAGGCCTTGGCACCATAGGCACTAGAGCCGTCAGCGATTCGTACTTCTTCCATATCCATACCATTACAATTGTTGCAGACTTACGAAAATAATGTTACTTCTAAAGAAAAGGCTTAATTTGGCAATTTAGGACCCACCTTTGAGGTTCTGAACTCGTTGATATCGACCACTGCAGTAAGAAAGCAGCGTTGTCTTCTAAGGAGAGCACGGTATAGTTTTCCCATAACGCCGGATGAATATCCCTTGAATCGGATATTGCCTTTGGTGCGCATTACCGTCACCGAAAACGATGAGAGGGAGTACAGAGAATCTTGCGGTAGTCTGACGTCTTCGGTGAGGTAACAACTACATACTCGAGTACGTACAACCAGGTTGAGAACACATGCTACCACGGTCTTTCTATATTGCATCTAATATAGGTTTATTACAACATATAACAATACATAGGCTTAAATGTAATACCCTGTCTTTGAAACCTTCATGCTGCTGTTGCAAGATACGTATAAGTGGTAGTTTTCCAGCATATACTTCGTACTTATTATCGTAGGATATCTGCGAAAGCTCTGCCTTCGTTGCGCTATGCTGTGCGCAAGCAAATGAAGCCTTTGTAGCATGAACAGCCAGACCACAGCATATGAGAGCCTTTGTTGATGATGCTTCCTTTCTGGCTTGTTAGTCTTATTTCTTGCCCTTCCTCGTGGCTACCTTCGTCTCAAGATCATCCTTAGCCGCTGCTTTTCTATTGATTGCTGTAAAACGGATGTGGTAATGTATCTGTTACCGATACCAAAAAAAAAAACAAAGGGCAGGATGTCTTAAAGCTATCATAGAGATGGCATTTGTTACTTTGCAGGTGCCTACAAATGTGTTTGTTATTAAAATAAGTACTCTCTCCACAAAGGCTAGTGATTTTGCAAGACATGACTTTCCTCACTTTTTTTTTTTTCTATTTTTGTTGGAAGTATAACTTAGCTTCTTAAGAAGACATTATTATACGAACTTTTGGCAGAGGTAAACAACAATAGTGTTGAAAGGTTTCTTTGGAGAAAACTGAATTAAAAGCGATAAGATTATAGATTAAGAGAGGTTCTGAACAGTCAATAAGAATGTCGAAATATGAGTCATTTACGTAGAAGACAACTGGTTGCTAATTGTCATGGCAGTTAAGAAAAATGCAGTTAATTCCAGACTCACACGAAGACTATTTGAAAGTAAAGATAGCCAGTTCTAAACCGGATGCAAATTCGTACAACAAGCTTGTTCCTGTATCAATAGAATAGTATGTCATCATTCAGAAGTGCATGAATGAGTAGGGAGTTTCCTGACAATGTGTGGTCTCAAACATTTAAAGAATTGACAATCGTAGCAAAACAGATAGAAACGGATACCATGACAAATTTGATACATGTAGGGTCTACCACACCTCACTTAATGAATATGTCATCAACAAAAGTAAGCCTCTTTTCATCTACCTTTTTCACCAGTTGTTGATCCCATAAGTGAGCGTTAGACTAAAGTTAAAATTAACACCAAAGGCGCTCCATTAGACAGCAATAATGCTCTGATACCACATGTCGTAGAAGCCTTCAAAACGGTTACTCGTGAAGACTGTAAGATTGGACCAGGCATACTAAAGAGAAAGATGCGTGCAGAAGGAGGTAGGCCTAAGATAGTTTACGGAAAGTGTTCGAATTTTAAAATCGAGTAGTCAGGAAAGCAATCACTTGACTTGTTTGAATTTAATTAATAAAAGAATTCAATTTTTAAATGAAAACGTCTAATCAAAACCAAAAATACTATAGGATACTCATCTGGCTTCTTGAAGGCCGCCAAACCTATTGCCTTGACTATCCCTCGTCGTTATTTACAAAGTCCCACGCTATCTCCTGTCTTCATATGCACCACCACCTGCGACTCCTTCCATTTGTCTGCGATCCAATCTCACACGTTCTCAACCATCTTCCTACCCATCCGCTCAGAACTCCTTCTCAAGCACAAGCTTGGGATTTTCAATGGCCAGTACTTTGTCATATCTTATTTCAATCCGACTATTTACACCACTCTCAAGTGTCGCCTTCACCTCCTCTATTAGGACATTTATTGCTCGACTGGTTGCCCTCTTCTCCCGCTCCTCACACTAGGCCATAGTCCTTATAACTCTTGAGCCGAAGGGGTTTCAAGATACTACTTAGCCTTTGGAGCTGCCCCGGGCAATTTAGGTAAGTTCCATATCTCGTGTTCACTGTGCTTAGAAATTGGAAAATTCAAATTTCTGTTATAAAATTGTAGCATACTCATCGGAGAGAAAAAGTAGGAGGGCTGTTTTTCTTTATTCATTGCCTTTCTTTGCAAAAATAGTGCATACATTTACACTCATTCTAAATAAAAAGAAAAAATATGCTTCATGAGCTATTATTTGTTCTGTTAGGCTATCCAGGAGATGTGTTCAAACCTTCTCCTGCTTCAATCTCTTCCGAAACTGCAACGACTTTTGCCATTCCATCTGAATTTCCCTTACTTCATCCTACGGAACGTGCATCTTTAAATAGATTAGGGCAATTAGGCTGGAATTTTTACAAAATCAGTGAAGCGATCAGCCAGATACGCGAAGCTTCGTCAAAACACCACTCGAAATCTCGAACATCGACATTGTCAGATATCAGTTATGGGTCGTATATTCAGGCTTTCACAACATCACTTGAAAACGTGCTAAATCAGTATAGAACTGCTGTTTTAGAGTTGGAAAAAGAGATATTGGATGATACACTTGGTGCTGGTTCTAATATCGTACCCTTAACATTATTAACAGCGAATTTAAGTCGCTGGGAAATGACATTGCCCTTTCTCTGGAAACAATTAATACAGCCTATTATATTGTCCACTAAAGAAACAGCAGGAGACGGTAATATACCAAATTACTACGGCTGTCGAATATTTGATTTGATTCTCTACCATCTGAAGACTACCGGTGTCTATGAAATAAGACATATTTTACAAACAATATTAGAAGATTTAGACGCTGTTCTACGCAGACAATTAACTACTTGGATGGTGTACGGTCAATTAATAGATCCTCATAATGAATTTTTCATAAGCAGCGATTACAAAGTCAACAAAGAATTGTTACCGCAACATATACCCTATTCGGTAGCAGAGTCGATATTATTTGTTGGAAAGGCTATTGCAATAGTAAACCATCAAAGCCAGCAACAGCAGCTTAACTCTAACAATAGTAAGCAACAAAGAAGATGGGAGGAAACAATACCCGAAGCTCTGCAAGAAAAACATTTACGCCTCCTATCAGCATTAATATCATGTCATTCTCAGCAATCCTCTTCCTCGATATCGCATTCCTCCCACACTCTTCAATATGTTGTTAGCCAAATAAAAAAATCTACAGCAGATTGGCTATTCTCTACAGTATTAATTGGTAAATATGGCTTAGATCACTATGTTTCTTCTTTTCGCAATATCTTTTTGCTGGAAGATGGTGATTTAGCGAGCAATTTTATTGAAGCCTGCTGTATTTGGAAAAAACGAAATATCGTACTCAGTGATAATGACAGCAACATCATCAATAACAATAGCAATGCAACTACAGCAAAATTTAGACAACAAGAATTGAATTTTATATTGAAAAAAGCAGCTGCTTCAGCAATTTCATCTACATCTACGTTAGACGCTACTGACGTTATATCATCTTCTCTGCTATCACGTTATCAAATTATAATCGACACCGATCAGCAGCTGCCATTTTCAGATTTGTTATTGCCCAGTATACCCGTTCATTTAACTTTTCACCTAAGTTGGCCTCTTGATTTATTCCTTACAAAACGTGATATACGTGTCTATTCTCATTTATGGGCATTTTTGATAAGTGTAAAGAGCACTCAATTGACTTTAAATCAACTATATCAATATTTATTGCGCGATAACAGTACAACTTCAGATAATCAAGCGGAGGATGGATATAATGAACGCATCGTTTGGCGATTAAGATCATTCATGTTATTTTGGATCAATACATTTTGGAATCATATCCAATCCAATGTGATCTCTAAACATTATAATGATCTTATTGATGATTTATCTACAGCATCTTTATCTTCTTCATCTGCATCATGGAATAACAATGAAGAAAATCAGGCATCCCCAGCATCCAACTTTGACTTTGAACAATTGCAAGCGTCTCATGAAGCATTTTTGCGTCACATATTGCGTGGCTGCCTACTTACTTCGAAGGAATGCGTGCAAATTATGTATAATATTCTACATGTTTGCTTAAAATTTGCTGACTATATGATGGAGATTTATAAAGGTGGAGAATGGAGAAATAGGACGAAACGACGAAAGACTATGGGAAAGAAGAAAAAAACAGCAGCAGAAATTGTAAACGAATGGACAAGGCGACATGGAGATGCAGAGCCAGTAACATGGGTAGAGAATGTTCTGAAAATGGAAGAGGTAGGTTCAAAAGATTGAATATTTCAAAGTATTGCGACTTACATTCCATTCACCATGCACTATCCTTTAGACATTAATCGACTTGACTGAGAAATTCTTTTCACTAGCTTCTTCGCAACCTTCAGAAGTTAAGATAAGTGGTCAATTAGACGGTTTGTTGTTACAACTGGATTATAATAAGTGGTTCTCAAAAGCGCCTATGATGTATTAAGTTTTAATTGCATATACACATTCTGCATAAAGCAAACAAATATTCATTTACAGATACCCAAATGTATTTTTGATTACCCGCTGGTTTTTGGGTTTTTTTTTTTCAGTTTCTGCTGTTGGAGCATCTTCGTAATTTTCCCTTTCCCTATAAAATGACCGACACGAACGAAAAAGCTAATACCAGTTCCAATGGTGAAACCTCTGATGTTAACGAAAATACCAGTCTCTCTGAAGCCGAGAAATTTCTGGAATCACTCAACTTACCTGCTACCGCAATAGAACAAACCGCTGCTGATGCTACTTCGGATGGCGACACTGCTGGTAAAGAAATGAAAGCTGCCGATCCCAATGATATCATGTCTTTCCTCGACGAAATTTCAAAGTACCCTACTGGAGAAGAAGAAACATCAGCAACCATCAGTAAGGAGAGAAATAATAAAGATGAGACACATAAATCCGAAATATCTGCAATAGCGCCTCAGCAGCAGCAGCAGCAAAACAATACCAACGGCAGCGGTGGTGGCTGGCGATCTTGGGGAAGTAGTATCTGGAGCCAAGCAAGTGCTGCTGTGAAACAAACCACAGACCAATTGAATCGGTCAGTTGCAAGTTCAGAATTATTGGAAAGTCGTGTTAAACAAATACAAAACTTGGTCAACAAGGAGAATATCGAAAAATTAGGAACTGGCATAAAACAACTCACAGTAACTCTACTAGAGACTGTGGCGCCACCCATTGCCGAGCACGAAATTGTGGAAGTATGGTTAAGCTATGATATGGTCGGTTATACTGGATTAGAAGCCTTGGTGTACCGTTCGTTTGCCCGAGTAATGGAACACACAGAGTCAGGGCAGGTCGTTGTACATAATCCCAATATTGATGAACACAATGTTAAGCAAGATGATACGAGCTATCGTGAATTAAACATGTGTGATAGTATGTTGGATGGTATTAAATTAGCTAAAGCAAATATAGACCACCTGATCAGTAAGCACTTCAAAATGCCTTCGACTAATGATGCTCAATCATCTAGCATCGCCGACGCCGACGCCACTTCTACTACATATACTCCACAATCAGGCGCTGTACCAGTAATTCACTGTCCTGTTTTTATGGCCATTCAGCCTGTAAAATTATCACTTTTCTGCACCAGCTCGACACAAGAAGGAGAAGAAAGGAACCAACATACCAATGATGACCAGTTTGTATTCGTAATATTGATCAAAGATCCTACACATCAATTAGACTTCAAAACGTATTCTCAATCTATGCCTATGTCCTGGCTTGATATACCTTATGAGGAAAATGAATGGGTTGAAGATAAAATGGTGGAGATTTTGCGTATGGCAGTAACGACAATTGCTCAAGACTATGTGTATTTGCGTATGTCAGGTAATGGCACGCCTTCCGCTACAACTATGAACAATGTATCTTCATCGACACCGGAACCACTCAGTCGGAAAGAGACAGTAGACGTGAAAAAAGACAGCAGAGAAATAGAGGAAGATATACAAGATATCTAATATAAACCTATAATTGGCTTATTACATCTGTTGGAACCTCCATTTCCTTTCTTAATTACTTCAAATTCTGTAATTATATACTACAATTTCATTATTCCACTTAAAAGAGCTGCATGGATCAGTCTCCTTTATTTCAGCTTTTTGATAAACTTCTGCATTTTTTGTACCAACAGATCATATCTGTATTTTCTATCCAATGCTTCCTTTACAAATCAAACTCGTCGTCGGAATCGTCATAGTGTCTACGATTATACTATTTATAGAGAACAAGAGAATATTCAATACAGGCACAGCCTGGAAAGATTGGATAAAGAAATACATACCACAATACGTGTTTGCGTAGAAGTTGTTTCCTGTTGATTGATTTGCCCCAAAAGATCAATCAATTGCTGCTCAGTTACCTTGCCTCTCAATTGATTGGTTTGAGCCATACGAATTAACAAATCTTCAACAGCACGAGCTTTATCAGCTTTAACCATTTGAATGCGCCCCACTACTCATGTTCGGATAAAACAATCACTGAGTCAGCAATAACATAAATATATAGAGAATTAAGTGTACTTACATCTCTCACGAGCATTAGTGTCTAAAATTTGATATAACTGATGAACAAATACGCGTTAACTTTCTTCAATACTTTCCTAACACTGTATCTATTCAATAGAGTTACCATGTTATGGCGCATTTCTTCCATTTGCCTACAAATCATTTACAACATTAAACTCTGGTGTAACTTTAAGAATACTGTATGTATGCTTACTGTTTCTTCTCAGCATCTTCTTGAGATCCACCTGTTCTTCCCATTCCGGCTCCACCGAATCCAACGCCCTGCTTTCTCCAAGTTAGATTAAGAGACAGAATCTACATAAATTATTCCGCTAATTGTTCGGTCATACCGACGGTGTTGCCCCTCCTCTTTGTGCTTGTAATTCTGCTAAACGTCTAGCTCTAATGGCCTGAAGTTCGTCGTCTTCCATCGTCAAATCCAATAGTGGCAAAGAGAATACGGAATAACTTTGATAATTGCCATATTTTTTTATTTTTTTATCTAGGCATTTTTGAATTTTCGGTCTCAGTTACCACTTTCGTAACTCAGAACTCTTTTACATATTATTCTCTTCTGTCTTCTTATTACTCGAAGCTTAATCGGTCATTGAGTAGGATCGTGAAATCGCATGTACACATATCCTCACGAGTATTTACTTCACCCGGTACCTGTTATGGCCATCTATGGCCTTTCTGCTGTAACAACGGACGACAGCTTATACAGCAACAAAAATTCCGCTGGAAAAGAAGGTACAGTAGAATTAACGCCAGCAATAACAGATGACCACAACATTAACACAATCAACGAAGCATTGACGAAGAGTCATATCGAGAATAATGCTTCTACTGCTTCTACTGCTGCATCAAACACTCGTTTAGCACTTATTGAAACTTTAACAGACGTAATGATGAGTAACACGGAATCTACAACATATGAGGCTACAAGATTCAGTACAGGGAATAGCCAAGCACCACCACTTTTCCGAGTCATTACAGTTTCGAAGGTTATTATAGGAACGATATGTTATATCTGGTAGGAGTATAGTGTTAAAGTCATTTTTTTTCCTTATAGGATTATGTCCTTCCTCAAAAACCACAACCTGCAGCACCTGGTTTACTACCACCTAATTCCAACTTATCACCGCTTACACAGACATCCCCACTCTACCCAGACGGTATCATGACAACACTGTGGATCAAAAAGCATTTGTATTTACCCTCAGTCATTGTGGGTTTTTATGAGTTATGGGATTGGGACTCAACGGCTCGTCCGACACGTGAAATAGGTCCTTTATCATCACAAGTGTTAATTGATCCAACAGAACGTCAACATGACGATAGTTTAGCTAATGAAATCAACAGCAGACGGTAAAGAGCTGACAAAGATCAAAGAACGAAAAACGGGCTACCTAACCATCATAATTTAATCCTCAGTAAATATTTCCAAGAGAAGGGTATCAAATTTGCAGCTGTCATTATATTAAAGCAGCGATACTATGGTAAATCTTGCATAAACTTTATTCAAGGACATACACTTAATGTACCAGAATAGCAGAGGAGAGAGCACGAATTCTGATTAATTGATAAAAAAAAAAAAAAATAGATCAGTCAGTAGAGGAAAGATTAGCAGCTATAAGAAAACAGTCTGGTTTAGATACGAAAACTTCATTTTTCACAGTAGCACCTGGATCCACAGCTGAAATACAAGAATTTGTTAACGGGTAAAATCAGAAACAATGAGGTCCATAAAAATGAACATGTAGAGGTTATATTGATATTGAGGCTTTTTATATCGTGGTATGTAAAGGCTTTACCGAGTATTATATGAGCCTGCTATGCAATTTTATAGCAATTGTTTAAAAAAAGTACGAAAGAAGAAATCAAAATTACCGTCACCAGCTTCAATGCCGAAACCTGCACCTGATTTATCTTCTACAGAACCACAGCCATTATCAGTTATGGGTTGGATGTTGCGATATGAATATAAAGCGGCTTTTTTCCATGAAATCAAGCAAGAAATAGAGGGCGCATTAAAGTAAGTTTTGAGAAGCAGTAGGTATAAAAGACCGAGTAGTATAGAATAAGATTTAATGAAGAATTGTGTATAGGTCCTTCGAGGCAGCTTACGGAATTTTATCAGAAATGCTTTTACCTACAGCCTCCGTCACAACAATGGGAAACGTAAACCTTGTTATTCATAGCAACCGATGGGAAGAAGCACGTATTTTAATCGATTGTATTAATCTCAAAATTTGCCGTTTTCATCTTTATCTGAATGATTCAGCTGCGGCATTAGCCCAGCTAAATGGACACTTGCATATGTTCCAATCTTATGCACCTAGCTGGGGAATGGCAGAGCAAACATTCGAATATTGGGCATGGTTATCGACGCAATATCGTATATTTGCGGATATAATTGATACAGCTGTTCAAGCTGGCTATAAAATTCCTGTGCCTACAGCATATCTTGTCGGTAGCTCAGATCAATCTGGTAGCCCTTTGATGGCGGCTTCTTCTACTTCTTCGGGTCAAATCACAAGCACTAGTGGCTGCAATCCGGGCACCGTCCTTCAACATCCAGGGTTTTACTATCACTTGGCTGCTATGTGCTGCGCCGAACGTAGAAGAAAATTTTTGGAGATAGAAAAGCTGAATTCAGCGGGCTTATTATTCAGTAACGATAATATGAAGGTCGATGCAGCAATATTACAGAAGGAAAGGACAGTTGACCACTCTACACTTACTGTTGAACTGTTAACAAAAAGCTGCGAGCAATTTAAACGTTATCGTAATGGCCGTATGACCCTCTATTTAGCAGCTGAGATTGCCGGCACATATTATGAAACGGGGAGATATGAAATGGCTCTGAAATTCTTTGAGCGAATTGGTAAAACCTATCGTAAAGAAAAATGGCACATGGTCTCAACGTCCATATTACGATGGTCACTACGTTGTGCTAAAGAATTAGAGTATTGGGAGAAAGCAGTGGAGTGCTTAGTGGAATTAATGTGTGATGACTTGCCCATGGTCGAAACCAAACGACAGGATATACAGAAAGAACTTACGACTTTGATATTCAGTGATTCAGCATCGCCATCTCCGAAAGCTGAAGAAAGAACCGTACTCCACCTTGATATGGATCAAATTAATCCCTTCATTAGTTGTAAAGTACAGATGAAAAAGAAAGTGAGTTTTGTTGGGTCACCAGTACAATATCAAGTTGTTCTGCAAGCCAACAAGACATCACCATGCACACCTTTCCGTTTCCAAGCGATGAAGATTGTTTTTAATGATCCACAATATAACATCATTTTAAAGGATTGTAATGCGGAAGATGACATGCAGCTCACTGAATTGATTGATATTACAGAAAGCTTGACGAAAACGACGGGAGACAATACAGAATATACTGATTGGTTTACAGCAGAGGCAGATTTAAGAGTGGCGAAAAACCAAATAAAGGCTTTCCAAGGAACAATTATTCCTCAGCATTTCGGTGAATTAAAGGTATTGAATGGTTCATTCGTGTCTATGAAAGGGCTAAGGATGAATAAGGCTGACGTTTAAAGACTTGTGTTTCCTCCTATGTTTGCTAGATCCTTAGTGTATCGCTTGAAATCATTACAACTAGATGGTGTATAGAATTAAACTACTCGCTAGATAAACCTTCTGACATGCATAACGGGATAAGAAGAAAATGGTTGGAGAATGTCCCCGGTAAATATTAGCAGCTCATTGATATATCTTGGGAATAAGTGGTATTAAGTATATGAGATGAATTGCTTTCTAGGTAAAGAACCAGTTTTTAGCTTTTTAGATGGTCGAGGATATTTGCTCTCTACCAAGTAAGTCTTGCTTTTTATACATAGTTATAACAGATGAGGTTGTTTTTACGCGTCTCCCTTAAATCTTAGTGTTATGCAAAAGCCACCAAATATTGATATCAAATTTGAATATGTTGCACCAGCTTTACTAAACGAGCTTTTCAAAGTGGAAATCTTGATAACCAGCTCCGAAGAGGAAACAATAGATGTCATTTTAGGAGCAGAGATTAAAAATGTCGAAAGTACGGTACCGAACGATTACATTATAATTGAACCCGAACAACACGAGCAAAATTCAACGGCGGAAGTAAGTCTTGGTCACATTAAGTCAAGACAAACACTTAGAAAAGCAGTATATATTCATTGTGCTGCAGATCCCGGTACCAGGACCATTAGCTTTACGGTAAGTGTTCTCTTTATGCATCAAACGATAAACTGACTGATGTCGGTTTTGTTTTTTGCGTATTCTAGGTCAAATACTCGATTGTGAGTCAGCCATCTGCACAAATTATATGCAAAACAGAAACGATCCGTATTCCATTTATTGCTGCTTTCGATGTCAATTTTGAACTGTTGGGTCAAACTGAGTCATCTAAAGAGGCTTTCCCTGAACTAGAGAAATCCGAACTATGGTTGCTATCTTCTTCCGTACATTGTTTGTCAACGTGTGAGTTAGAGATCGAAAGTTTGCAATACGAACAAGCCGAGGTATTTGTTTGTGTTACATTTTTAGCTTAAGATTGGGTTTTAACGAAGTGTACATTTATTCTGATCACTACTTAGAATTACTCCGAATCTTGTTTGTCGTTGTCGCTCTTGTCCAAGATAGACAATCTTTCATGTAAAAGTAAGTCTAATCTAATAAAATCATAATGACCGAAGTATAGGTAGAAAATTAATACTCAAACTCTCTAGCTTGGAGGACTGGACATATGTTCAGGACTAATTATCTGTTTAGACTGACAACATCTGATATTTTTGATAAGCCAGCCGGTACAGTCCCTGCTGGGAACATGGTTATTAATTGGAAGAGGTAATTGAACAGTAGTAGGCTTTAAGCCACAATTATAATATTCTCATATCTTAACATGTTTTGCAGAGCTGAGAATGAAGGAGGTCAATACTACAAGACCGTGATCTGTTTACCAAATATACAGATGCAACAACCAAAGCTTACTGTACTCGCAGGTAAGATTGGTTTTCCTTCTTTGTTCTTCTCAAGCAAAACTTTTTCTGACTCGGAACTTTGCCTAGATATACCATCTGAACTATTTTTAGGCGAGCCCTTCACATTGACATACACCGTATACAACCCCACTGAATCACTCGCTGATTATACCGCCTCCATTGAAATCAGTGATGCTTTTGTGTTTTCCGGTTACAAGCAGTTCAGGGGTCGCGTTTTACCCTTTTCAAAGAAATTGTATCAATATACCTGTTATCCACTAGTGGCGGGGCAAGTTAGACTGCCTCGTCTCAAGTTAATTGGATTACAACGACAGCTTGGTGAAAGGGAAATTCCTATTGAGTTGGTTGGCGCAGGAAGCACTTTAATAGCCATGAACAATGAATTACAAGTAACAAAACATGTAGTGCTAACAGGCAATATTAATACCGACTCTTCATCACTAACGCCAGTGGCTTCTTCGCCACAGCCAATGATTGTTTTTGTAAATGCGAAAAGAAGCATGTAATAATATTAAACATTTTTTCTCTCTTGTTATACATGTAAAATGTAATTCATTGTACATTGGTCGTTATCAAGAAGTTCGGGGCTTTTTCGTAAAAATTGACTCAGGAAAGAAATGTGTCTTCCATTTCAAATTTTACACACCACTGATGTATTGATAAAAGAGTAGTATATTACGATGGTAGTATTTTAAATAAGGCTTGTATTCAATTTTTCACTACGTATTATGACGTTTTTGTTTTTTTGACAGGCATGTATTGCATACTGCTTGATTGAGGAACTCTTTTCGACTGCTTTTCCTTCTTCTTGTACTTGATTTCTCCGTTACAGGTAGAATCTATAAACTACTTAGCAGTGGAAGCAAAACCTCCTTGAACTGATAAGAATTTTATCTTAATCAATAGCTAGTCTTACAGGAGAGGACAGCATTATAAATGAAATTTCGTTCAGAATTTAACTCAAGGATATATGAGCCTTGGAGAGAATCTTATTTACAATATGATCATCTCAACGCAGTACTTAATGCATACGAACCAGGTACACAATCTCAGCAACAATACCTGCATTTTGCTAATACGATAGAAACAGAACTTAAAAAAGTTTACACATTTGTCAACATTCGATTAAATACACTCACCAGCCGTATCGATCATTTTCATGAGGTCTTGCTTGCCTATAAACACGATACAGCTACGCCAACTGACGCCTATGATTCTGTTGCTGACAGTCTAGCAGAAATTCTTATCGACGTGGATGATTTAGCAAAATTCCATCAGCTCAATTTATCAGGTTTCGAAAAACTCGTTGAAAAGCATGATAAAGCGACATTGGGAAACTTTATCCTAAAGCCATATTATTTTGAAAAGCTTCTTGCCCGCCATCCTCTAGATAAGCAACGACTCGATGTTCTAATTGTCAGAATTTCTAATCTACATGACATATGCCGATTATATGGTAATACACGAGCTGCTAGTGCTTACAGTCAAGGTGGGGATCAGACAGCCTTTGAAAGAGCCACTCACAAATATTGGGTTCATCCTGATCATGTCACAGAAGTTAAGGCCATTATTTTACTTCACTTACCGGTCCATGTATATGACCAGAAGAAAAAGTACGAATCCTCTGATGCGGCAGTCTCTAGTGTGTATTTTGACAATGAGAATTTTGATTTGTACAACGAGCGATTGGACAGAAGTGATGGAGCAGAAGCTATACGCCTCCGTTGGTATGGTCGAAGTGACGAACATAATGATAATATTTATGTTGAACGCAAAACCCACCATGCACCATGGCTCGATGGCAAATCAGTAAAAGATCGTTTTAGACTGAAAGAAAAGCAGATAAATGCATTCATTAACGGTTCATACACTGCAACACAATTCAAGCAAGACTTGGAGGCTAAAGGGAAACTGAAAAACGAGACGATAGAAGAAAACTTCTTCGTAGCGAATGGGATACAAAATTCGTTAGCAGTAAAAAAACTGAAGCCCATGTGCCGTGTATTTTACAATCGCACTGCATTCCAAATTCCTGGCGATCAACGCTTGAGAATTAGCTTGGACTCAAACCTGACATTTATTCGTGAAGATCATTTAGATAACATTTACAGGAGACAAATGGCAAATGGGACCTTTGATTGGAGAAGGCCTGACGTTGGTATAGATCATCCCTTCCGTTCAGTCAAGGATTCCGACATTCTTAGGTTCCCTTACGCCATTTTGGAAACAAAGATACAAAGTCATTTAGGTCAAACTGCACCTGTATGGTTGACGGCATTGCTAGACAGTCATTTAATTCATGAAGTTCCTCGGTTTTCAAAGTATATTCATGGTGCCAGTTGCTTGTTCGACGAAAAAGTGCCTCAATTTCCTTACTGGCTGGACGAATTAAGAAAGGATATTAGAAAACCTATTATTCCAAATGTGGGTCTTTCTAGGTCTAAGAGTCTGCGACCTCTTTTCAACGGACGTCATCGGAGATCGCTTGCATTTTCTGATAAGCTGGATGAAAACAGCAGGTTCTCACAAAAAGCTGAAGACGCCTTCAATTCCTTTCAAGGAAACCCAGTACTTCCAGTCAATCTCAGAGACCCGCATGAACGAAATAGGCATCAACAAGAATTTCAGAATACGACAGCAGAACATTCTCATTTCTATACTCAACTATTGAATGATATCAAAACTAAGAATGCAAAGGCGCTATTCGAACATTTACGAAGTATAGTTACATACAAGAGCACTAAAACGTCCGGCACAATAGCTCCTCCTCCAAGAAAGGGAATGTCTGCGCTTCTCAGGAAAATTGATCCCAAAGCATTCTTCGCTAACGAGCGTACATTTCTTTCTTGGTTACAATTCTGTGCTCTTCTACTAACTGTGTCGTTAAAGTTACTCAATGAAGGCGATCATATATCAAGAGTTATAGGTGCCTCGTTTATCATCTTTTCGTCCGCCATTTCGTTGTAAGTCTATTTGAATCGTTCTTCTTACCGTTTAAAGAAAACTGACTTTTTTCGGTAATATCCATACAAGTTATGCATTGTTTCGATTTCAGATGCGTGCATATCAGATGAAAACAGGACGTACAATTATGGACATGGAAGATCTCTACGGGCCTGCTGTATTGTGTGCTTTGTTGATTGCAGCCTTGGCTATCAATTTCTACCTTCGCGCTCCATTGATATTTCCTTCTTCATCAGCCAGTGATGCTGTGGTCAGTTCAGAAGCGGTCACAACAGAGTAAACTCATAGGCAATTCATGGATTATTGTACAAAGAAAAGCGCGGTTTTTTGACTACTTTCAGTTAATAAAGCATATAGTACAACAATTTAGGAACTTTTCGGAGAGAATTGGAAGATCTTACTATGCATTTTGCTAAAACAGTGCTTGTAGCATGACTCGACACAAGCTAATGTTTTTTTATAGAACCAGTGTTCTATGCCAATTAATACCGTACACATAATGTTGGTTGATCATAGATATAGAAAAGAGGACTGCCTGAAGAAACTATACATTGTGTGTTCGAAATCCTAATTTGAGATCCTCTACACCTTACCCTAATCTTTTGTAAGAAATTGAAAATGTTGTAATACACAATCATTCTGTATATATCGTTATTTGATGGCTGTTACTGAACGTAACTTTTTGAGCACAACAAAAGTCCAAAGTGAACTTTGGCATAGTATAAGCTCTTCAAAGTTCTGCTGGATTACCGATGACGTGGAGAATGAAAATCTTCATCACAGCATGGAAAAGTGTTATCTTGCGTGACAATATTAAATCGCTGCTCACCCGAGCTATGCTGATTTTATTATGGTATACAAAAGTTAAATGGCAAGTGTGTATGTATATATAGATAGATATAAGTATTACAGATGAAAGTTCAAACATTATAATTTACGACGTAGTTTCTAACGCTTTACAATGTTAGGATACATATCAAGAAGCTGGAGACAATGACTACGGCAGCTGACGAAAAGTCAAGAGAACTCCCTTTACTCAATGCTTGTTCAGTAATTTCCCCTTTGGAATTATCGTTGGAGTCGGATTTGCTTGATGAAGAATTTGAGGAGGGTATATGAGAGACAGAAGAGGATTGGGAATCAGAGGTAACAGGAATAGTGTTTAGGGTAGGAGTGATTGTAGTAGTAGTAGTTGTAATTGAGGTTGTGCTGGTTGAAGAAATGGTGGTAATTGAATTGAGTGAGGCAGATGTTCTAGTAGTAGGGTTGATTGGCGAAGTAACCGAAGAAGTATTTATTCCACTTCCTGTTCCGTCATTAGGGCCACTGTAGTCGCCAGGAATGATATGAGCGCAACCCTTTTCAGAAATACCACGATTACAACTTTTGGTGTCATTCTGTAGTACATGTGGTTTTTTGAATTAGTGTTGTTAAACAATTACGATGATATTTTACATTTTCATACTTACACAACAACGCATACAATAGGTATTGGACACAGGTTCAATCAAGTTAACATAGTATTGCCATCCTGCACATGAAGATCCATCGGGGGCTTTCACATCCATTTGCCCACCTTCATCAGTTCCAACTAAATTGGCTTTTGTATAGTCCATTTGGCCAGTTATTTGAACATACAAATCTGTCTTGACGTAATGGGCTGACAAAATAAATCCATCAGGCATTTTATCAGCACCTACTGCGAGAGGCGTATCACCCATACAGAAAGCATTTGCATTCCATTCAGTGTTGGAAATAATACGATCGGTCGAATCTTTCGGCGGCAGAAATACACAGAAATCAGTGGCGTCTTTCACTTGAGCAATCATTCCAGAGGCATTTACTATTTGGATAGCTGTAAGTATGCTAAATGCATTAATAAAAAAATAGGCGAACATTTTGCTGTAAGTGTTGTAATTAATTAAAGCTATTGCTCAGTCAATGAGAAAACAACAACAAGCAATTGTTGTATCGGGATCAAGATATAAAAGAGAATGTTAAAAGAAAGAATTTCATTCTAACAGAAAGAAAGCTTTCCCTTATATAAGTTTATTGGTGTAACGGATATTGTGTTGCAATAATTCTGTAAGATCCGTAAAATGCAACACATGCTTCAGTGGTACGTGAAAAGGAAAGAACAAAAAAAAAAAAAAAAAAAAAAAAAAAAAAAAAAGGTGAAATACAGGATAGACTAATTAAATACTTTGCTTCATATTTGCTTGAACAGGATTTTTAGATTTAATAGTCGTCAAGTTCAATTGAATACTATTAGGAAATACTTAGCGCCATAATTCATTGATTTATTACCCCTGAGGATTAACTTTTAACTTAACGGTGAAAAACAATTCAAGGGTCCATTATTGAAATTAAGATATTACTATTTTTGAAGAATAACGCTATAAATATCCATAGAAATTGTTGTACATCCTTTTGCATTGAACCTAAAGCAGTTCTGCATTTTTCCTCAAATTTCGTACTATCTGCTTTTTAAATTGAGATCTTTTGAAATGCATGTTATCGTTCTTTTCTATCCGCTAATGCCATGCTGATGCTTGATACTCACCTGCGTCTTACAGTATTTAGTGTCTCTGTCGCAAAAAGTGCTAATGCACTCAAACTAAGGCAAATACCATATACCAGTAACATAGGTTATTATTTCCGCTCGAGTACATTTTCAAGGAGTGGTTAGAAAGTTATCCCAGTGCAACAGGCTCCCGAAAGTTAACCTATCAAAATTTAAAGCTCTTTTGAATCGCTGGTGCTGTTATTTTTAAAAAAGTGATTATTAGTGTATTTTGGAGTGAAAATACTATTAGTGTCACTAAAGTAAATATAAAGCATTGGAATTGAAGCCGCACAGATCAGGATTGTATTTTTATCGCATAATAGCGACAATTAATTGTATGATCTTAACCATTAGATGGTATAACTTTATAAGTGCCCACAGCTCTATTAGTATAGTGGGAATGCTATTTGCAACTTGTAAGTTTATTTTATAGAGTTGAGGTGCAGTTATGAAGAATTATCATACAACTTACAGAAGGTCATGAAGTTTCAGTTGATAGATCGATACTTGGAGGAAAAAAGAAAAATACCCTCAAAAAATATGATTAACTTTAGTGAATCTGACATATGTAGATATCATTCTCATATTACCAGTGAATTGACCAAGCCGCCTTTGGTATGTCGATTCCTAAGTCAACTTATTCCCTTGCAGTTGCCTTTAGCAGCCCTCTTTTTTAACTTTTCCTCTGTGCTGTTTGCTTACTTGCTTCTTCCTTCATTTAAAGTCGAGCAATCAAAACATGCCGGACTCACCAATATCAACCCAGTGGACACAAAATTTGCGGTTGTTCCATAAAGAGTATTGCAAACTGCAATATTTATATGCCCGCAATCCTATTCTAATCTGTGCAATACCATCGATAGGCAGGTATGCACTTACTGCACAATGCTGTTGCATAAAGAATGGACATATAGAAATGGCGAGCGATACTGATATGCGCTGATAGTAACCAAAGAGTAGACAACTTAGAAAGTCCTTTGAGTGTCTGTCTTATTGAGACTTTGAATGGTTCTGCATCATTACTGTCGTTTTCTTCTGAAAGAACAACAGACGATCGATTTTCAAGACACAGTGTTATGATTATTATACGTAGCGGATAATTTGATGAAAACGAGGAGTTACTCAGTGTTTAAAACATGACAACTGTGGCATCAGGTTGAAGTAAGAATTTTTAATATACTCATTGACTTGACCTCTTCATCTTGTTCCTGTCAATCTTTCGGGCTACAGTACAAATGAAGTATTACCGTTTAATTTAGAGTAAAAGTATGGCTCTCAAATGCAATAATTTGAGTTTTCTTTGAGAAACAGTTATAATGAAGGCAAATAGTTTCTTCAAAGCAATATAATGTTCTCTATTATGGTAGCTTATACATAAACTAATATGAAACATACAAGTAACTAATGTTCACCAATTGTTACGACTCGGATTGTGAGATATATCATTTGTTATTCATATAACGATTGGTTTTTTCTCAGTATCATTAAATTCTATCGCTTTAAGAAGCTCAGGTAGATCCCGAGTTGTTTAAACATTAAAACTCATCACTAGATCTTGAACGTGTAACTTTACACACTTAGAAGATATCCAGTCAAAGCTGACTTGATGAATGATTTCCATTGGATCAAGTGAATCTAAATAAATATTATCAACATTTAAGTATCAAATTCAAATTCTAGCATTGAATTAATTTCAAACTTACTATTAGGCATGGCAAATGAGAAGATTTTGAATGGCTTATGAACTCCGGAAGAAGTGTTTACATCCTTCACAGTGGAACTGTTTTCATTATCGATGTGGCTCTTTTTCTGACTGCTGGAACTCAACCCTTGAGATAGACTACTAGTTAACATGCCAAACAGACTCAAATTTGTATGCCATAAGCGCACACTTTGATCTGCTAGTGAGCATGTGGCTATCAATTTCGCATCTGGGGAAAACGCCAAAACAGATACTGGCCCTAGATGGCCTTCAAGAACAACAGATCGAGTGGCAGTACGTACATCGTAAATGACCGAAGCACCTTCCAATGTACCAACTGCTAACTTTTGTGCAGCTGCACTGAAGTCAACAGAAGGGTATCTATCAATAGTTGAAAAATAAATTAAAGGGAAAAGGTCACAGATCACTAAGTTGTTAACGAAACGGAATATTTTTGCCTGTTACACTTACATTTTAACTAGATCGTGTAATACAGATGTCGCCGACGTTAGCATAAAATCCCTCAAATGCGGTATATTAGGGTCCAATGTAGAGATCACAGCCTCCACCACACTATGAATATAAGTATACAACAAAATAGGCTCTTTGCGAATAAATATGCTAATAAGTTTCAAACATCTTAAACGATCGTCCATTGATTTTGCAGTCATCGTATCCATTGTAAGTGTATTGATGACAACGGGCATATTGGCAGCCGATATTCGAAAAATGGCTTTCTTTGCACCCCGGCTTATCATAGCCATTACCGGATGTGGATCTGTAGCATACATGAAGAGTGTCCTTAGAACTTCAGCCGCATTGATATAAGTCTCCCACGTTTGGAACCCTTGACTCAGTAACTCCATGGATGATAATGTTCGAGCCATTGAACTTGTAGACAAGGTAAGACCGGTGTTGTTAGATGCATGATAGGAAGGGTCGTCTAATTCTGCGTCAGATAACAAAATCGTCAGACTTAGAGCCGTTGATTTACGTACCCGTGGGTTCAGTGTATGAGGCTGGTCGCATCCCATAATGCCTAGTACTATGGATGCCCGAGACATCATTTGCGCACCACTACTCTCAGGAGAACTAGAGGTCGGTACTGAGAAATGAGATTATTAAGCTGACACTAATTAAAATTCTACAATGGCTTTAACAGAAATGTAAACTTACAGAATGCTTCCCAATAATCTACCAGCTTTTCAATGTCATCCTCCGATAAACCTGAGATAGCGCTTGAAAATAATGATCTTGCTGTGTTTCAGTAGAACGTTATTCTTTGTTAGTGTACTATACATTTCTCGCTTATAAAGTCATTGAACTTATAAACAGTGTTTACCCGAAGGATCTTGCCAGTATTTACTAAGCATTGACAACGAAGGGAAACAATAAGATTCACCTATAACCAAAGGCAAAGCCATGGCGTAACCGGATATGAAATCAGAGCTTCTATTTTCTTGTCGCGCCATAAAAATAACAGTCTTTGCCAATAAAGCAATAGACAATAATCTGGTAGCGGTCATAGAAGGTGATATTGTCCAAGCAATGCGTTCATTTTTTAATGGTGCCATGATGGAAAGATTGCCGTTTGCTCTTTTTAAGTGCAAAACAATGATAAATACTCTGATCAATTCGATCCGACCATGAGCCAAAAGATTCTTATTTACCCCTTTAAACCAAAACTGATGTTAGGCTTTATATCTTCATTTATGGTAAGGTATTTAAAGCACATCTCTTCTAATCCTTCACTGATATTCCAAGACGCAATAATTGATAAAATAGCAGTAATGAGCTCGATTCGTTTAACTCTTGCTTCTTCAGATTTTCTAGAAGTGTTGTCTGTATTGCTTGTATTCAGATGTTGGTTCTCTTCCGATAGGTCCAAAGGGTCGTCTTTATCAGGTTTGAATGTGAGTATATCAGGCACAACTTGATCAAACGAGGATGATGATATCGATGCCTTCAATATAGGGTGCATTGAGCTATCTTGATGCTGATTAGAGACTCCTTGGTTCATTATTGTGACACGAGTAAAGAGATCATGTATAAGACGACGAATATTAAAAGTAAACACTTGTGCAAAGCTTGTCGAGGTGTGTAACGCTATGTGTATTGTAAGATCGCGATTAATAGTACTGACATCGATACTTATTCTTATAGGACATTTTACCATTATCATTAGATGTTATAGGTCTGACAGTTGCTGTTTGTTTTGAATTAATTGTACCTATTCGCTGTGTAGCAGAAGGTGTTAGATGATTTGTAGGCCAGCGATCATCGTCAAGTACATTCTGTGCATTTTTCTCATGTAAAACGCGATCCAAATGTGCCGTTTGCATCTATGCCACAAAAGCTTGTTTAGGTTTTTCACTTTAACCGTATATTTTGGAGCAGAAAATAGGCTTACCTGCCAAACATAAGCTGTGCCATTCTCGTAGCCTAAAATCAGATAATCTTCCAATGTTCTCCATTGTATGGCTTTAAGCGGATATGGATTACCCGGAAACATATATAAACTATAAAAAAAAACCAGAGAATGGTTAGATAATTTCTCTGAATAAACAAACGATTATTATTATGAACAGCTATCATATATGTACCATGTCATTGAGTCTACTGATATAACAGCCATGGAATTGTCTTTTCCAATAGACACAATGCACCCTCTCACTCGAGAATCCTTCCGCTCAGCTGGCTCAATAAGCATCTCCACTGGGACAGAGTGAACTGCACAAGACGTGACATATTTCCCGTCCCTGATAAAGGTAAAAAAAAACCTCCTTCGTCATTTGATGTGTACAGAAAATCAAAGTAAAGAAAAGCAGTTTAATCACTCACAAGAGATTCCATATCTTGACCATACCGTCTTTACCTCCAGAGACAAGATATTGTTGATCTGACATATGATGTTCGGGTACAGCCATACATGTGATTGCGCTGTGATGGGCGTTTTTAAATAGGCGGACATCCTCTCGGTTCTTAACATAAGCAGAAACGTCCGTCAAGTGTAAAAGCGCAACCGATAATGGCACTACGCATATAGTTCCAGATTCTTTTTGTTTTTTTTTTAAAAAAAAAAATTAAGTTGAAGAGCGGGGTATTTCTTTGGTTAGCATGTAAGGCAGAGTTGTTGCTGTTCACTTTTTCTCGTTAGCATTAATTACCAAACCCTATAGCTAGGTGATTCGTATTGACCGGCGCAGTAACAGTTATGTTTTTAAATGCTGGGTCCCCTTTCTCAACAATCGGCCAAATATCACAAAAGTGTCTGTCTAATTGAGAATGCAGAGAATGCTTTAGGACGAAAACCTTGCATATCACTATTGAATGTTGAAATGCTTCATGATCTAACCTATGTCATATTGTGTTTCCTTTACACCTGAGCCCTTTGCAGGTGGGGACAATGCTAATATACTGAATCCGGTCGATGTGGGATGATTTGAAATGGTCAAAGCCAAGAGCTGATCCTCTTCAGTAATGTCTGTTAACAAAGTAACTATTGTATTGTTTACCATATCGGTATCATTTTTAAGACTGTAGGTAAAGTTTAGTCTCGCTGTCAACATCATTTGATCTTCTTCCATCACCGGGCTCTTTTTTGTTTTGTCTTTCTCTAAAAGATCCAAACTGTAATCGAACAATTTTCCGCTCTATTCACATCTGTTAGTTTAAATGATAGTTCATATAGAAAACTTGAAATCCATAAGCAATAACTTACAGTTGTCCATATCACAAATCTATCCTTTTCTACGAATAGACCACCTGCCCATGCAGTGCCTAATTCAACTGGTATAACAACTTTCGGGACAGATTTTGTGTTTTCTACCCTCACTATCTAGAAGGAAGATTCATCAAAATAAGGATGACATATTGTAATACTTTTTTTTTTTTTTTCTAATTACCATGACATTTTCGCATGTAATAGTCATATATAAACCAAGCATATACTTGTTTCCAATCAGATCGAAGATGGTAGTATCATTGAGCTGTAAGGAACTGTTGGTATGCGCTTGATCTTTATAAATAATATGTTTTGAAACATCAAAATCCCAGATATCCAATTTGCCATCAATTGTCATAGATAACAGTTTCCAACGATTCTTATCTTATGGCAATCACGTTAAATTTTGATCTTCTCAATCGCCAAGCGAATTCTCTCCTTCCTTTTACCTGAGTCGAAGAAATCCATGCATGTTACCCAATTTGAATGGCCACCCCAAACCCTTACTACCTAAAAGAAAAAGAACAATCGAACCGTTCAACTTGATACATTGAACAATCATGATTACCATCGGACAGTATTGACCAATCTTACTTCTAGTGTTGTTGCATGTAAAATCGTTATCTCATTTGCCTGTCCACAACAAAAAATATGTTTATCTGAAAACTATATCAATCGAATAATGATAGCAATGAGATGTTGATCTCTTTCTTCAATGCACTGCTGGGATATGTCTCAAATTCTGAGAGTTGCTTACGTGTGTAAACACTTTTAAAGCGTGAGGAACGCCGTAAAAGCCGTTTGGATTTACTGCTTGACAACGCCCGTCAGAAGCATTCCAACGAGCAATTTCACTAATATAATGATAGGTCTTACTATTGGTAATTTTTCATGTTTCTTTCTTCTGCTCAATTTACCCATCTTCAGAAGCACTGATCAAGACGTTTTCGGTATTGAATATAGAAGAGTCTGATCCACTTTTTAGTATGCATAAAGCAACAATAGCAGATTTATGGCCTACTAATAAAGTTTTATGCTTATTTTATAGTAATTCGAGATTAAACAAATTGTCAGCATTTCTCAACGTAAAAGACTTTTGGACGCCTTTATTGTTACTCATCGGTTCATTTACTTGAAGACTGTAACTGTTGTTTTGCTTTATTATTGAATAAACCCAGATATGACCATCCTTATGCCCTGCGTAAATTTGCGAAGAGCTAGATGTTATACAAGTAATATTTGGATTTGAGAAGTTATGCCATACAACTAGGGGTAAAGAGACAGACGACGCCATTTATTGGAAAAAAAATAAAATAAAAAAAGAAAAATAGCAAGCTTAAAAGACCAAGCAATTTCATGCTGCTGTCTTGCAAAAATGCTTTCCATTGTCTTTCCGACTTTGGTTACACTACGTTTAAACAAAAAGATTTTATTACATAATATTAATTTTTTAAAGCCCAATGGACACGAGATATAAAACTTATCTAAATTGCCCGGGGCAGCTCCAAAGGCTGAGTAGAATCTAAAAACCCCTTAGGACTCAAGGGTAAAAAGGATTATGATCTAATGGGTGTGGGGGAGGGAGAAGAGGGTAACCAGTCGAGCAATAGATGCCCAAATCGAGAAGTTGTAGGCGGCTCTTGAGAGTAACGTAAGTAGTCGAGTTCAAACAAAATGTGACAAAGTACTGGCCATAGGAAATGCCAGTTTTGTATTTGGGACGGGTCTTTAATCAGATGTGTAGGAAGACGGTTGAGAATATGGGATCACAGACTGATGGGGGGGGGAGACGTAGGCGGTGGTGCATGTTTAAACAGGAGATAGCGTGGGACTTTGTAAGTAATGACGAAGGATGTTTACGGCAATAGGTTTGATAGCCTCCAGGAAGCCAACACAAACAATACATCAGCTGCGTTCATTAGTTGATATTGAAACATAAAGGATTGGGTCGATCATTAGTCGAGAACGGCGTTGAGAGATCAGTTTGCAGTTGGGCTGTTCGATTGTTCGATGTGAAGGAGGCTAGTACGGAAGTTAACGATACAGCGTCGCAGAGCAGCTGATTCGGATCGTTTGGAGAATGAATTGTAATTTTGCCAGATAGGAGAACGAGCAAGCTTGCAATATAACGATTTACTTTGTTGTTGACTTATATACGGGAGTAGTATCGAGATTAAAGTATCAATAGGCAGTGAGGTAGAGCGTAATAGGAACTTCGCTTCTAGGATGAAGGAGCGTTCTTTCATGATGGGCAAATTGGCAAGGTGGTCCATAAGGCGAGCAGATGATCAGTTCCCCCCAAATATTCTTCGAATACACTTGTTGGAAGTTTTAAACGCATTCCAGTATTGTTTGCTTCAACATTGTAATTTGCAGAACATATTGTGAACAACTGTGTGTTCTTAGCCAATCAAACTCCCTGATTTATTCGTTCGTTATGAAATAAAATTCTCTCCCTTTTTTTATTTTGGCTCTGAACTAACTGTCTTTCTACCCAGACGCTTGTTTCCTAACTTCATAGGAAAAGTCTTTTATAATACAAAACCAGCATTGTAAGTGTCTACAGTCATTATGTTTAGAATTCCCAAGGAATGAAAGAAAGGCGTTATTTTATAGAAACCTTTGTTCTATGCGATTTATCAACCGCTGTATTACTGTCTTTATCTCTATATAATAACTCATTTCATCGCCTTGTCAAAGAACAAAAGAAATCAACAATAGTATAACTAATTTCTTTTTTTTTTTTTGGCTCTCCTTCGTCTTTTGAGGAAAGCTTTTTCGATTATCGAATCAGTTAATACAAGATGTCAAGTTCTCGCTCTGTTTCATATAATACTCCCAATGTTGGATTAAACGAAAGGTAAATGGAAATTCAAACTTTCAACTGCACCTTTATCCGTACTTAAGCATTAGAATACTCATGTTTCGATCAATGTCAATAGATTTAGCAGGATTGTTCGATCTTCCGCAAATACTCGTTCAAATGGAACGGCTACTGCAGCTGCTAGTCAAAGCAGTGAACCTAGTGTTTTTGGACGTCTTCGTGGTCCCAATAATAACCAGAGTAATGCGCGTGGTAGTGGTAACCGAACAGCAGCCAATATTCAAAATCGTTTAGGCAGAGTTAATGGTGGACTGAAAAAAAAACCAGCTACAAGCTCAAATACAAAAGGAGGTGTTGGCCGTAACAATCGTGGTGGTGATGGTAGAATACAAAAAAGACAACGACAACAACCACAACAACAGCAACGCGGTGATATCAAAAACAAAGGCAAAGGCAAAGGCAAAGCCTCAACCACGCAAAAGAACAAGCAGCAACAAAAGAGCAAAAAGCCTCTAACAGCTGAACAACTCGATAAAGCGCTGGATAGCTATATGATGAAAGATTCAACATACGCTCAAGCCAAACTAGATGCAGAATTGGATTCTTATATGGATGAAGCAAGTGACATTCTTATAGAAGGTGGCGAGGAAGAAGAAGGGCAGAAGTTGTAAATTTATACTTGCGATAACAGCTACTACTTAACACATTCGAACCGTGCGGCAGCCTATGATTCATGTATGTGCAGCTAAAATTTTTGTTTTTGTCCAAGAATGCAACAAGCTACAGAAATGACGAACAGTAAAATTTTGCAAGACTAAAAGCTTTGGTCGATTCTATAATTCAATAAACTTCATCAACGCTACAAATTTATCACTGTCGTTTGTCATGTATTTTTTTTTCAATGGGGCAGTAGCGTATGGCAGTAAACTATTCATCCGGGAAGAGATGATGCGAAAATCTTCGATACTATTCAGTTATGGTGTATTTTGTTTTCAGGAAAAATACTAGCTCGCTTTTCTATTATCGTTATTATTTTCTTATTCTTCCGTCCCTGGGGCTGCTGCTGACGTGTGCTAATAGTACAATCACATTTTTCAAAGAAGACATCGACATATGATGCTGCAGCTCACTTTGACTATCGACTACGGAAATGAACAGCACGTATGGATTGCCTCACATGGTTTCTAGTTTTGCTACCATTATTATGATCAATTTAAAAAAATGTTGGAGCCTTATGTCATCCCGGAACTTCCTGTGACATTTAGTTCGGCCGTATTTGGCTTTCCGCGAAGAGTTTCTTGCGTAGAATAGAATATTTAGAAGTGAATGGTGTGGCGTCATTTCCAATCATACATCCATACGTCTCTATCTAAAATCGAATGGTTTTTTCGGGTCAGTAGCCCACATTATCCGCCTTTGATTCGATGTCAAAAACAACCTCGTTCACCATTGTATTAATGCCAAATTCTCGTAATGTGGATATCTCTTTTCCAATATTATAAGTAGAGTAACGTTGCTCTATAAAGTGTATCAATTGACTCATTGTCGATTTTTATAATAGAAGCAAAGGAACCATTCCGTTTTTTTTGATATTTGGTTTAAAAGAATTCCTGGCTAACAGTATGACTGAATGCATGGTTGTAAACAAAGTGCTGATTGATTATTGCTTAATACAAGTTCTGAATGAGATATATTTTGTTGTACTAGAAAACTTCGGCGAGTATCCCGTAACAACCCAATTTCCTTCTAGCGAAAATAGTAAAACATCATATACCGTTTGTTCTTAATCATTTTACAAAGCACTCATTTATTGTCAACAATATTTTGAGCGAATCTCGGTACTTAGTCTTTACGAAACAGTCAACTTCCAATTGTTTAAGAGACCTCTTTTTCAGTGTATAACAGCTTACATGTCACTATTCAACGTTATTCTGTTTTAGGTTAAGCATGGCACTCCATATATTATGTGTTGGAATTGCAGATACTACACTTGTCCCTATTGGTTTTTGCAAAATTGCAATAAGTGCCTTACCATGAGTTTTTGCCTATGATAAGATTAAATACTAAGACTCAATTTTCATGCAAGGAACAGATTATCCTAAAGAGTAACAGTTGAACCGTGTGCGTTTTCGTGGACCGACTACAGCTTTATATTTTTCGACTAGTCAGATCCTCCAGGATTATTTGTGCTTTTTCTAATACAAAGTCAATATTTTTAGTCTGTTCTTAAGATGGCAGACAATGTTAGCATAAGCGACATGTAGGTGAGCGAATACAATCCGCTTAACGTGATTATGATATGTCCCCGCCAGCCCATCTTCTTTGTTGAGGAATCCATTTCGAAGTGTCAACTAAGAATACACTTTGATTAAATGATCGAATGATTAAAAAACTAAGTTAGACATCATGGTTGTCTATATTTTCTTGTTGAGAAATATAACTATAGAATATTGATATCACGTTTTTAATTGCCTGTTTAACTTTGTCCACTTAAAAATCTCATGAAGGTTGGATTTTCTCTTGGCATGTCTAAAAATAAGAATAGAAGCATCTGATTTTTTCGTCTTAATATATTCACACGTTAAAACCAAAGTAAAGAAACTGTAAAATCAGCTAACTGTTGCTTTTGTGAACAGGGAAGAAGACGTGTTTACTTGTTCATATGACAGAAAGAATAATAGATTAGTCAACTGGAAGTCTTTGCACGAAGAAACCATTGCCATATTCGTAAAAGAGTGTGTAAGCCACAATGCACATGCAGATGTTAAGATGTTTTCCGACTTTAATTTTCTGATTTGCCTACAGTGTTTTTACTCGTGGTGGATGCTGTTAAGCGGTTGATGCGGGTGACTTCCTTGGTTTTCTACAAAACTCAGTAGGTCTTCCAGTTGACTTCCATATCGACACGCTAATTACCAACCTGTTTTTTGCAGCGTTGACGTCCCGGTTCCAGAATATTGAACAGGTTTCACAGGCATGGATACTTTGGCCTGGAACAGTCTTCAATGCTTCAACGGTGTTGGAGCGGCAATTGTTACATGTTCGAGAGTTTAGGTACTCATCAATTAGTATCACTAGTACATCACCAGTAGCCTCTCTTCGCTTCAAGGCACACCAAAGAACACCAACGACACCAGTTCTAAGGCTTTTTAGATGAACGGCGGATTTGTTAAACATGCCCTCACCAAATACAATCAGAGGAACTTTTTTGCTATCACTCAACCTGAATTTCTCAGGGGTCCATCGTCTTGTTGAAACAAGATAGTAGAGTGAATATACACAAATTCAGCTGGCAGTTAATCGCTACAGGACTTACCGAACGTGGTTATATTCCTCTTTCTTTTCTTCTTCCTGTTTCCCTTTCTTTTTCCGCTTCTTCTGTTTTCTTCTTTTATTAAGCTTAGGTTTGCCCTTCTTCTTTGGCCATTTCATCTATTCTTTCCCTTCTCTTTTTCCGTAATTCTTTGTCGTATTTGACACCTCCATCAACAAGCATATTCACCATCGTATCTGCAGCAAGCTTGCTGCCCTTGATACAGACGGAATCTTGTTTCACCCATATCAGACCCGTAGAATGAGAACAGAGTGCCGAAATGTTGCAGTATATAAGTAGTATATATTTTATTTGAAGTTGAAGACTTTACAGAATTGTTCAAGTTGGGCTGTATGACCCTTGGCAACTTTTCCATTCGATGGAACAAAAAATAGAATGACCCTTTAAGTCACAACTGATGCACTTGATATCTCCAGTTGTTTGCTTCTTCTTTCTCCTTGCTTGCTTCTTTTCTTCCTTGACTGTAGTTGATTGCTTACGTCTCTTGCCGCTACTTCCAACTAAATTTCCGTTAAGCAAACATAAACTTGCCTTGCAGTGAGAGCATGATACTTACCATCACGCGCAGAAACTGCTTTGTAAAACTTGCATTCATGGTATGCCTTGTTGAAATGTCCGAGTGTTTTGCAATCCCTGCACTCGATGTTTACTAGTCATACGAAACATGAATTGAGGATTCCCACTATAATCTATTTGTGGCAGCGCGATGATATGTTACTTACGGAAGGACTTATCTTTGACTTTATTCTTATGGGCTTCTGCCACCGATTTGATTTTTTGCAAGATTTTGGCTTTGTACATGGTGAGTAATAGCTATCAGAATGAGGAAAGAAAGTATAGAAGAAGAATATGATGAGGAGAAGTCAAAGAAAATACATCTGAATGCTTCGAATTTGAGACCATCTATTTTTTTTTTTACAATTGACAACAACAACCGTTATCTACGTATGTGGCGGAAGAACGCGTAGATCAATTTATCTGATCCATAAAAAACGTCCCGTAAACCACAACCTGTGTCTATTACTAATAAAACCTGTGTCGCGCTAAAAAAAATTCAGTACATTTCGTAGTGCTTTAGACGTAGTGCCGCTATCAATTGAAAACTATCTAATAACCTTCAAACTAATGTCTCCAATTAAAGTGTAAAGGTCTTAACAGGTATCCTGTTTTACCCTAGAAACGTCTCCAAATAAAACTCAGATTGTTTACTAAGTGCCTATTCTTTTTTCTTTGATTCTTTCTGAAGCCCCTTGTTTTTTCTTTTTTTAATTTTGTCAAAGTCCGCTTTTTTTTTTTTTTTTTTTTTTTTTTTTTTTTTTTTATCTGTACCTGGAAGCTGAGTTGAGCAGATCAGTGGTTGCTTGCTTGTTGCTTGTTACCTGACGAGCAGAATTGTTTCAATGCTGTATGTGGCATGAACCCAACTTGAGCAATAGCTCATATCAAGTACATTCAAGGATAAGACACGAGGAAAAGAGCATACAACTGTTCACCTTAGAAATGTGATCAAAGATAGAAAAGACGGGGGTGTGTAAACATTTCATATTTGATGCTCGGATGCACAGAATATTTTTCATGTAAACACTGCGCATAGAAGTATTTCCACATGTCTGACTTAATACAGTAAATGGTTTTCGGAGCAATGTAGTAAAGTTAGATCATCTGATTTACTTACATTTCTTGAAAGAATAAGAATAAAACTTTCTTTGTTATCGTCGTCTTCATCAAGCTCTACTATGCTGTAAGTACATCATTTGGAGCATGTTTTGAAGACTTTTTCTTCAATCTCTTGAAAGATGTGCATAACCCTTCTTTTTAGTATCTCAAGTTCAAAAGCGATTAGAACCCAGTAGTGGATAGGCTCGAACGAGAAAAAAGGAGATGCCAATCTTGTCAATAAAAGTTGATGATTTGTCGCTTTTTTTTAACAAGCTTAACCTAAACGGTCTTTCTCTGTTATACAGCATTGACTGTTTGAAACGTCGCCTTTCTTTAATTGGTCTTCCAAAATCAGACCTCCTTTGGTTCTTGAGTATGTGCTGATAGTGTAGAGATGTAATGGTGTGATAGCCACCAGTCAAATATAGAAAGTATTTATTCCAAATCAAACCTGGATCCCTTAAGTAATTCCCCTTGGACATCACCTAACAGGTAGAGAGATGATGACAGATGTTGTGTAAACAACTTTAAAGGCCTGTCTCCTGTTTTTTCTTCAATTGTTATTGTTATTATATACACACACACACACACACACACACACACATACACTTTCTTTCCTGCTTGAATTCCCAGCCCCCAATTTCGATTGTTTCCTATAAAAGCATAAAACTAATTATCGCACTCGGTTTAATAGGCCCCCCCTTTTTTCTGCTTTTCTTTTTTTTTTTTTTCTTCTTTTATTAAAATCTTTGATTATACATGTATATATTTCGTGCTGGCTCACGCTATTATATATAATATATCAAAAACGTACATTTCATAATACAGTACTCTCTTTCCTTCTTTTTTCTTACTTCTCGTTGATCACTTTCCTTCACCAAGTTACAGAATGATGAATATGAATTTAAACAAACCATATCCAACTACAGCTACGAGACGAAGAACACACCTCAAACCGAGTCAGGTAGCTGTTCTACAAGAGACATTTGTCACCAATACATTGCCAGACGCTGCGCTACGATGTCAATTAGCACAAGAACTGGGCGTAAGCGAAAGAACGGTTCAAATATGGTTTCAAAACCGACGAGCAAAGGCTCGGAAGCTGGAAGCTTCATCACCGGGAGGTCCACTTCCTTCGTTAGTACCTGACGTTCGTACAGGTTGGATACAGCCTTTACATCACCATCAATCCTTGAAACGCCAATATGCACAAGCAGATCAGCCTCAAATACTTCCTCAGCATTATCAACCCATCCAATCTTGCCGCTCTTATATGGCAACTCCAGAATACCATCAACACGAACCTACAATCAAACGCAGACCTAGATCCTGCTCTAAACCCGAGAAACTAAATGCTTCTACATTTATGTTATCGACACCACCACCGCACAGAGCTATGTCGGAAGGCATCAGCCGAGCTGAAACTGCCAATCAAGGTAATTTATAGGCTTTCCTTTTTTTGCTACTTTTTTTTTATTGCACCCTCTCCCCTCAGTAAATTTACCTCATGTGAGCACTAACATATCCTTCATTATGTATACAATAGATAAATGCGGTATTACGAAATCAATTGTTTCAATCCCTGTCCATGGCATACGTATTGGTACCTGGGCAAGATTCGCTAGGCAAATTCTTCATACTGGCGAATGGGACTTAATATGCTTTAGTGATCCTTCTCTTCGTCAGTTGATCTGGCAAGTACAAGACGGTGGACATCTATTCAGAATTGAAGTCTCTTTTGACCATGTTCAACAAATTTGTTTGGGTCAAATACAGCCAGAAATTGGGCAATTAGATATCGATATCAACCCGAACGCAACCATCTCCTTTTCAATGCAACGCAGCGGCATAGACCATGATTGGGTCCGATGTAACGATTTCACAGAGAATCAGCAAGCAAGTCAACTTGATTTAGGGCCTCATGCTTTACAAGGACCTCATGATGCGCTACGACAGTCTTTACTTGAACTGATTTCTCAAGCACCCGAACTAGCTGGAAAATTGGTTATTCTACCGGATAGTTCATTAGGCAATCCATTATGTCGCAATGTGACCATGTCGCCTTCGGTTACTCCGGAACCATCTACATCAAACTACTTTCATGCTCAAGCTCTCTCCACTGGGCCTACGATAACAGCAAACTGGATGCTAGATACCTCAAAGAGTCCTTGGAACTACCCATCATTTTATACAGCTCAACCTATCCAACAGCAGGACCCAATAGCAACTTATGATCAGTCACACTCTTGGACTTATTTGAATATGCTTCAAAACCACAGCCAGCCAGCGACAGCAGAATCCTTGACAGCTACTAGCACTAGTACTGCAACAGCTACGACAGCATCTACCAATAATCAAGATGATGTAATTATAAATACTTTTATCTAAACTAATATATTGGTTATCTACTACTTGCTCTTAAAATAAAAAGAAAAAAAAAACGCCAAATTCTGGCAATTCCCCATAAGAATGTTCATTATTGTGGCAAATCTGCATGCATAATAAAAGGAGCTCCTTCCAACCAAAAATAGAAATTCTGAAACACTTTTTTTGCCAATTCCTTTCGGACCTGAATCCGTAATTTGGTATGCCTTTTAAAGAAGGGTGCGTGAGCTGTTTCGGTCTCTCTTTATAGAGCACATCACCGAGTCAACTTTTCTATGTAAATATGGCAAGCAGTCCTTATACAGATACACATCGTCTATTTGTTCAATCTATGCTTTCAAAACGCATTATACCCGAAGAAGAGGCGAAAGAACTATATGAAAAAGTTCGGCAAGTAACTCAAAGTAAAGAGAAACAATTAACGTCTTTCAATCGATGGTATGAGGATCTGATCGATCAACTTTACAAAGACCCTAGCGAAGAGGGTTTTACCAATTTTTTTGCAACTATAAATACTCAATTAGAAACACTCGATTATGCTTTAAGAATCACTCACAGAGAGTATGATGGTAGTCCTTTCCTTACACTTGTCAACGTAAAGCAAGATCCAATGACAGAAGTTGCAACCAACTATTCAGCTAGCGAACTAGGCTACATACGTGAACTGGTATGTAATGGAAAAGAAAGCAAAAGTATTTTAGATTATTCTTTCTGAATGTGCATAACTTTTTATTCAGATCGATATGATCGTGAATGCTGACAATGAAGACTTTGCTATCTCCACTATGGCTGCCATCCAGTTAGGCAATAAGATCAAACCACTGAAGCTTACTCCCAAAGAAACGCAAGACGTCTTAGAAAGACTGATTGAGGATAAATGGATTGCAGAGGAAGAGTCCAATGGTGTGTATTACTTAAACACACGAGCCATTTCTGAACTTCAAAGCTATTTACGTGAACAATATGCAGATTTGATCAAAGAATGCACTTTTTGTTTGGACGTAGTTACTATGGGTGAATACTGTGCCATTAGCCAATGTCCCGTTAGATACCATAAATATTGTGCTGACAGTCAGTTTAGAAATACAAATAATCCTGTTTGTCCACAATGTAACACACCTTGGTCAAGGACAAATACTTTTGGCAAAGGTTTACCTCCCAGTTAGTAGAGGCGCGTCACTTAAGAATAAAAAAATTCTATTTCGATGAAGATCAATGCGGCCAATTTTTTTAATATTTATTACTGTTATTTACATTATTGAGCTATATTTACATTAACTATTCTTAATTAGGAGTATCGTTTGCATGGTTCGTATTATTGTTGTTGGAGGTTGTAGAAGTATTCATAGTTTCAGTAGGATCGTTTGAAGCGTCAACATTGGTATTGGAAGTAGGCATATTACTATTATTAGCGGCGTTTTGGTTATTGTAGTTGTGAACGAACCTTCTAACATAGTTCTCCACACACTCTCTAAGGTCCAAGTTTGGTATAAGACCATCCAAGCCATTTTGGATTGGTTTTTTACATTCATGACAAGCAAAATCATGGTCCATTAGATGACCACGTATACATTCATCACAGAAACTCATGCCACAACATGGTGTGATAGATGCTTCTTTTAATAAGCCGTGACAAATAGGGCACTGTAAATAATCAATCACTGGAATGGAGTCATACCAATCCATCAAATCACCTGCCGTTCCCAGCCCGATAGTGGTAGCTGTTTTCGCGACGTGTTTATCCCATGTAGAGGAATCGGCTTGAGCAACAACAATATCACCTTTGGGCGTAACCATGAGGCCGCCTGTACCTGCTTTAACTGCATCTTTAGGCTCTTCGATCACTTTAAGGAAACTTCGAGGAATACCAGTTGTCTTTTTTATTCTAGGGTGTTTATCATAATCTTTGTCTCCGTTCGTAGGGCATTGATTGATATAATGGCCTATTTATATGAATCATTTGAAGAACAAATTACGCATGAAAAGAAACTGTTTAACATCAAATTTAATTCAGGCATGTTGTCCTTTTTCTTATGCATACCTTTTTGACCACACCTATAGCATACATAGGTTGGAGGAGGCACTCTTATAGGTTGCTGACCATCTTTATTGTTCTCATTCATATTTCCACCATCTCGATGTCCCGAACTACCTTGAAAACCACCTCTGCCGCCTCGTCTAGAATCACCTCGATTATTGTAAGGTATATATTGTTGTCTATGAAACCGTAATACAATATCGTGAGTCTTAATGCGCTACCGAAATAGTACGTATCACTGCACATATAGGTATATATCTTACTCAGCCAGTTTTTCTTGCATAGCATCCCATTGACTGGTTTCTTGTTGAAACATAGCTTGAATCCTCGCTTCTTCTGAATCCATTGCCACATCTTCAGCATTAGCATCTGCTGTCGTTGCATTGGATATACTCGGCGAGGGTTTTTGCATTTGTTGCTGTCTCTGCTTTTGCGCATCAAGTACCAAATTTCTTCCTCTATGTACTGCGTTAGTGCCAGTGCTGCTTCCCGGTGGTGCTATTGATGCTGCAGCATTTGGTTTCCCTGCGCTTTTACCATCCATTACTCCTTGCACATATCTTTGCGCGGTACCTTTTCCTGGTCTCGCTGCAGGTAACCGTCTGACAATAACTGATGTGTTTCTTGGTACTACAAACATGTCATCTTTGTATTCTAAAAACCACGTAAGAGATGGTTATATGTCTAAACTCAGAGAGAAAAACTGATCTTGTTCAATCTGCCACTATATATGTTACCTTCATCGGTTTGAGCATTATACACAGCAAGATCAAAATCAGTTCCTTTACCGAATTTCTTTGCTGTGATAATCTCACGTTTCAAATCAAATACAGTTGCTCCTGGACCATCAAAGGTAAAAACATCGTAATCAGAATCTTTGGCTGATCTTAGCTTATAGTATATGACAGACATGTGGAAATTAATAGTCAACAAAGAGCAGCGAAAAACCAAATTGACTTTTATGCCTTATTTTGCTTTAAAAACATGAAAATTAGAAGGTCCGAACCCAAAAATTCTGAGTGCAGAAAAAATATCATTTTTCACCAGGAGATCACTGAATTCCGTGCTGAACAGTCCAAGAATATCCTGAGCAAACTACCTTCGCCACATGAGAGTAGACTCGGAGTTGCGTTCAGCAACCTTGGTTCAGTAGCGAGGTTAGTAGTCAAATCAGTAACTAAGTGCCCTTCACTGATTTTTCAAACTCTTCATACAAATATTTGTTGAAGCATGTCGTATTTTCCTCGACATACGCTTCAAGGCATTATGAATGCTAGTCATTTAGCTTATATTGTTGTGTTTTTCTTTAACCTAATACTGATACATAATTCTGGCGTATTGTGCCTCCGATCTTCTTCTATTGAGCAGAAGAATAGTAGGGCGACAGAAGGCATGATGCAAACTGCGCAGGCCTTGAGATTCTCGATCTTGTACCAGTGCAACGTGTTCTGACTATACCAAGTTAGGTTAACAGACTAAGTTTCGCCATAGGTGCCTCTTTGATAGGCTTACGCTCGTCTTCACAAATACTATCAATTGGAGAAATGAGATCCATCTGGTGCAACTGATCGATGGAAAGTAGTTAGAAGCATCCATTGCATTGCTTTCAGGAGCGTCATAGATGTAGCCGTCAGATGGAAAATATTATATTTCTTTATTTGCTAAATAATTATTTCTAAATTTATAACCATAATAGACTTTTGATAGCTTGCATTAGAACATTCCTTAGTGCAGTTTTAAAGAACGGATGTGTAGCGTAGAATAGTTCCTCGGCTGACTCTTATTGAACAGAAAACATCGTGAATCAAAATAAATATATAGACGATAAAAATATATGAATGGTTCAAGTTTGAAATTAATAGACGAATGCCTTGATAGTTGTCGTTACATATTATCCCCAGTTTACACTGATCACTCAAGATTTACACTGTTCAGTACAAATTTTCAAAAAGCCTCATGCAAACTGAATATTGTCTTCCAAATTGCATCTACAGTATTTTAACTAATATTTTAGATGAAATACATTTTTTTTGGACGATTAATATTTTCATTTTAGATGAGTTGCAATTGTGTTGTCGACGAAAATATGAACCGTTCAAACAATGATTCAAATTCAAAAGCTTGTCAGTAGTGCAAAAAAAAAAAAAAAAAAAAAAAAAAAACGGTACTATTCCTCACCTGTAAAGATCTAAATCCTTAAAATATAAGGAAAACCGTGTTTATTACGGCGATACTTTCTTATTCTTCGCTGGCTTGAAAACGTCGGGTCTTCCAGCTCCGGACCAAACTGCTTGAGATATAGTCATCATGTTAATAGCGGCGTTAATGTCTCTCTGCCATAGCTTTAGACATTGCTTGCAATGAAGAACTCCGGTACCCTTGAATCCAGGAGTATCAACAATTTGCATATCATCTTAGAAACAGAGGCTGCATGTTTTAGAGGTTTTGAATTCATCGATTGTGACAACAATCAATTGACCTTCAGCTTCACGTTTCTTCAGAGTTGCAAAAAGTTTACCGACAACACCACATCTTTGCCCTTTCATCTTGACTACATCTTTTCCAAACATTCCAGCACCAAACACAATCAGTGGTACCCTTCTAGGGAATCCCGAGTACTTATCAGCCTTCCACTTCTTGTCACTTCTAAAAATTATCAATCAGTGCATAAGCTAAACGATGAACATGTAATTCATTGATACTCACTTTATTGGCTGCTGTTGGTTGACATTCTTTCCTTTCTTTTTCTTCTTCCGCTGGTTCTTTCTCTTCTTTGTCTTGCTTCTCTTCTTGCGATTGTATTTAGATGTCCCATGCGTCAGTATATTAGCCATTGTTTCCGGTGCTCTTTGTCTACCTTGGTACAAGAAAACCGGTCCTTTGCAGTTTCGGGTCCATAAAAAGCCAAAAGAGCGTCCAGCTTATTGAGTGTATAGGCAGTGTATAGCTCATATATTTCCAAACGAGAGGTTTTTGGCGAGGGTATCTGACTTTCTATGAGATCTATGCCTGTTACAGCCTTCTTTCTGTTTAACTTGGCACTGTATTGGGTCGACCCTGCATATGATAGTATTCAGATGTAGTGCATCTTCGCACTTGTCTGTTATATTCAAGGCCAATAGCAGCAGTAAAAACAGACTTTCTTCCGGGATCCAAGGTAATAGGTAAATAAGTATTGTCAACTTCATCCAAAGAGAAATCATCAAGAGTGAGGTCAAATTTTTGGAACGAGGCACCATGGCCAGATTGTTGTCTTTTATAAAAAAGAAAGTCAACTGAAAACCCATCCGTTCTGACAATATTACCAAAGAGCTCTTTGTTATCACCATTCGGTGTTAGTTCAGAGATACTACAAGTGCCCAAGAAGTTAAACCTCATACATTATACTCGACTGTATACCGTATTAACTGTATGCTTACCTTTTGTACCGGAGTTTCTTGAAATCAAAGACATTGAAAAACAGCTGTAATTGGCTTTGGTAATTGCGGGGTAAAGAACGTTTCACAAAAGAAGCAGAGCGTTCACGCTCAAGCTAATGAACCTCCATTGAACGGAAACCTTTGACAGTAAGGATAACAATTTTGGAAGAGGACGTCGTCGTACATCAAATGGTTTATGATCATCGTGTTCCCTCTCAAATTCTGCGTTCAAAGATAACAAAAAGGGTACGAAAGACCCAGGATCAGCGGATAATGTCTTCATGTTCACTTTCTTCCCCAGCTTCTTCTTCCAAGGTTCACAAAAGGTTTGGATCTTTGCTTTTATATCTTTTTGGTAAGGTAGTCATCAGTTGGGCATTTAGGTTCTCCTTGGCATATCTCTTGATAGCAGAAATCATTTGTGACTTTTTTTACAAGTTTCCAAGGCATACACTACGCATGATAAGACTTTTTTTTTAAAATTCATATCAGGCCCGAGTGATTTTGAGTTGCAACTTACCACAAATGCTGTTTGTACTTTATATATCAAAAAATAGAGAAGTTTCTCCTCGAAATTTTCCACTATACTGTTCGTATAGGAAGTAGCAATTTCGGTAGATGCTTCTGTAATGGCTTGACTAAGTCCAGGAAAGAGCTTGACAGCGAAGACAATCTTGGGGTAACTCGTCTCGAAAGAATCAAATGAGCTCAGTAATTGTTCTGATACCATCCTACTAGTTGTTCCATTCACCAGCTGTATCATAGAGTACCAGAAATTTTTGTGTAAAGATACATTTAATACACTTTGGCTCAGCAAGAGTGGCATTTCCAAGACGTAATAATTCACAAAGAGCTTGGCTCTAAGAACCAAGCTTCGGATAACAGAACAAGCTTCAACAACTTTTGACTTGAATGTGTTGCGATAGTCACCAAAAACGCAGTTATCAAGAGGCAACCTTCTTGAAGCGCCTTGTAATTACTTCCCAAATGATGTTGAAAGACCTCTGCCTTTGATAATACATGTTGAGGACACAGAGGAGAACGCACCGATTTATGTCCTGGTTGCTTGCATTTGGTACAACACGCATTGTCTTCATCTGGGTCTTCATTATTCTCTTTCCTTGCTTTCTTCTTTTCCTAAAGCCCCTTTTAATTTTCTATTTCGTAAAGCTATCCTGCTATTGATGATTCCTGAGTGCAAGGATAATACATTTTCTCTAATCATATAATCGGCCCTCAATCGGCGCAGATAAAAAGATTAATCACCATAAAGTGGTTGCTTCATCCAAGGCGTTAACATAATGCTCACATTTGTGTATAAGCCGTGTTCGTGACCAAACTTACTACGCTTTACATTATTTTTGATGAGAACCAACAACTATTCAACTCAGGCGTGTAGTAGGGTGGTGCGCAGCAATAGCCTCTATTGGTTATTAGCTTTTCAGTTGTCTCATTGTTATTCATCAGCGCATTGTTCATAGTTAGATAAAAACTTCCATTCATGGTTCGATCAAGTATCCCTCTCAAGATAAATTTGTTGATCGCTGATTTCTTCAAGCTGAACCCTTCAAACGTCTTTGTAAAGCTGTAGGGCTGCTCATGACACAATTGAAGTATGTGTTGTTTTCCGGTTTCTGAAGTTGCCTTGTTTGCTCCTAGTATGTATCCCTATCAAGGTCATCCTTGATTCTTTTTGCCAAGATTTGAGCAGTTTACAGCGATCCCAGGTGTCTATCCGCCCTAGCCGCAGAGAAGTATTTAACTTTTAGAGAATGACACGCAAGGCTCCCAATCTGTATGCCTTTCCTCTCTTCTTTCATAAACCACAAGTCAAGCATTTTCAAAATTTTTATTTCCAACACTCTTGAGGAGTTCAAAGCAAGCAACATTCTTTATTCGTTATCTTCTATTAAAAAGTCTTTTATCTGATCAAGTAACCTATCATCTCTACCTTCGTCATGAATCTTCTCAGTAACATAAGGAGGCAAGGACTCTATCGATCTTTCCGTATAGTCCTTGAGATTTACTTGACAGCTATAGCATAAGAAGTTATTCATGTCTACTTTGGGCTGTGATTGAGCATGACAATGTCCATTGCAATTATCACAACCTTTGTCACCCTCTGGTGCTGTTGTTATAGCTGGTGTTGTTTCAGACCCAGTTGGTACTTCAGCATCTTCAACTTCGGCGACCGTGATGTGCTTTCTCCACTGACTAATATTAGGCTCAACGGGCATCATACAAATAGCACAGGTTCTACTATAATCAATGTCGGCAGCAGGCGTTAACTTCATAATGGTTCGGCAAATAGTGCTGACAGTTGATGAGAAACCTTGTTCAATACTGACAATAAATTCTTCTGTTAATCTTTCAATGGAGCTTTTACCAGGCATCTTGGTACTGTAGTTGAAAGGTGAGATGACATATTTATCGATACCGGAGAAGCGATTATAAAACGCAATTTCCTTTGCTAGCATATCCTTCATAGGTCGCATGATGCATATATCTGGGAAACTTTGATAATTATCCACGCTAACATCCAATGCAGCACTATGTCCTCGGCCTTTAGCTGTCATAGAAATCATTTTGATAGCTTGACGTGTAGCTGAATCACCAATGAATATATATGAGCATCTATAGAATTTGAATAGGTAAGTTTGAACATATTTGTCTCCATCAAGTCCAAAATGATCGAATCCTACCCTTCACGTCTGGCTATACTTATAAGCATAGCCATCTTGAGATTCCATAATAGATCTTCTTTGGCAGTGGTTTTCTTGATGCCGTCAAATAGGGAGTTCAATTGCTCTATCGGCGTCTTCGTAGTATCTTTTCGGACGAAATCTACAAAGTGCTCTAATGAACAGGTAAATTAGGAAAAGTTGACACTATAAAGTCCTCACAGAAGCAAATAACCGTACCATAATTTTCGTTTTCAATACCGTTGGAAGTTGACTTCATGATTTTATCAAATTCAATATTCTTCGCAAAACCAGGCTCAAATACCTGTTCCAATTTATAATTTATGTATTCATACTCTGCGTAGTTTTCTCTCATATAGTGATTTAATTTTTCCTCAGATTCTACCTAACGATGAAAAATGTCAGAAGCCCTTCAAGAGCATATAAAATTATGTGAAGGTTAACACATACTGTTTGCTGGAATATAGCACTCTCATCGATATGACAAATAACCGCCTGAGGAATAAGTTGGATCTTCTTCTTTTCATTTGGCAGAATACGCATAAAATTTTTGGTCAGTTCCACCATGGCCCTACATCGATGTATTGTTGGTTTGGAATAAAAATTTAATAGCCATTCTAATGTAGAGAATGAAGATTAACAGATCAGACGTACAATGAAGCCGGCCCACCTGAAAAGGCTAATAGAACCTTTCCAACTGTTCTGTCCCTCAAACGTTGGACGATCGATCTATATTTTCCAATGAACACAAACATAAAACAAGATCTATAATATTTTCCATGAAAGTAATAAGTATACAAATCAAATAAGAACGTGTGCTTTCCGTCAGTACATACTGGCAATATAAGGCTTGACGAATCAAGACAGTAGGCTTTTCGGTTTTGCATTTGCAACATTCGTTCTTTCTTGCAGCTTTTCTTTTAGCGTTCATTGTTACAGAAGATAATGTAAGGATACAGTAAACAAATTAATCTGACAGAGAAAGGAGACTGATTTGCTGGGTTTGTTCTGGATTACGTTCAAAGAAAGGCTTTTTATTGACAAATTTTTTTTTTTTTTTTTTTTTTTTTTTTTTTTTTTGATAACCCCAATGGGCACAATGGTTATAAAATTGCCCAAGCCAGATCCTACTGTTTTATATCTAGGTATCAAAAAACCCTTTAAGATCAAGGTTAAAAAAAGGCGGTTATCAAAAGGTTGGTGGCCAGCTAAAGTACAGTCTTTACACTTTAATTGGGGACATTATTTTGAACATTTTCAATTGATAGCATCACTACATCTAAAGTAATACGAGACATATTAGCAATAGACCCATGGTTTGTTCTCTAAGAGATTTTATTTATGGATCAAACTAATTTATCTACGCGTTAAACTGATCTCTTAAGGGTTATTGTCAGTCCTATTAAAAAAAATGTATATTGGCAAACTCGTAGCATTTGCAGAAAATAAGTTTGATGTCTTTCTCCTCATCCTTTTACGTACTATGTACAAAGCCAAAATTTACAAAAAATTGAATCGGTTGCAGAATCGAGGCAACCAAAGAAGAGTACCGACAGAATGGTTTTTTCTAAATGCAGAATGAAAAAGAAGATGATGCGAATGAAGCAAACAAATTTATCGCAGATAAAGAAAGATAAAAGTTTTAAAATGACAAGCACATCATTCACTATCTGCAGAAAATATTGATAGAACTCATGTTTTTACAATAATTCTGTAAAGAGCCAGTGGAATTTTGACTCCTTCAGTGTAGGTAACGCTAGAGATGTCCCCCTAATTGTATTTGTAGTGGCAATCATAATAGGCCACAAAGCCGGTGCCGTTGGAGTTTTTTGGTGTGCCTTGAAGCGAATAGAGGCTCTGGCAATTTACTCGTTTTAAATATAAATGAATACGTAACCTCTCAAATATGCAACAATTGCCATTCCAACACTGTTGAAGCATTGAAGATTGTTCTCGGCCAAAGTATTCTTTTTGCAGAACCTGTTCAATAATTGAAACCGGGACGTCAACGCTGCTCAAAGGTTCAAAAACAACTTGCTGGCGTTGACTAGATTCCAAATTACCAAATTTCTGGTATACTGGTTTTTGCTGGGGATACACTCGATGGTTATAAGTTGGATTCATATGAGAACTGGATATCAACCTCTTCTTTAAACATTATATTGAAATCCGTCAAAGCCAGATGCAAATCATAGCCGTTTCCTTGTGTTGAATGTATGTAGTTTGGGGTCAATAAAGTTAGAACTTGCATTACGAATAGAAACAATATCTAAGTTGTAGAGAGCAGTGTAGATACGTTAAGGCGTATTTGAATTCACAGCATCTTCAGAAAAGATGCATATATAAAGAAATTTATTGATACAATACCGAAAAAGCTTTATGTCATAGAAAGATAGAAGAACTTGACTGAATAGCATCACGTCAAGCAACCTTTGGTTAGTATATAAGTATTTATATAGCGTCGCATCTTATTCAGCCTGGTCAGTTAGTTGAATAGCGCCAATATCAGTCAGAATTTTGTAACCGAATTTCATTTCAAAAGTATCCCACGATAATTTGTAGGCATAGGTTACTAGTTAAGAAGAGACTACTTACATAAGAATAGGGAGGCTTGTATCGTTGACTGTTTGGACGTCGCGTGACAAGAAGAAAATTTTCTTATAAAAAGCCCCCATGTTTTCTCTTTGGAGGTCTCTTTTCTTCTCTTCTTTTTTCATACATTAACGGCCTTCGTTTACTTATATCCTCTGTAACGCTTGCTCCTCGGCTTTGGCGGCAGTCTACTACAAACTCTGTTCTTCATTCCCATTGATCTTGTTCTTAATTGACACCGGCAGACCATAGGACAGTTTCACTGGGCCTTGTAAATCCCTCTGTCGCTAGTGTTGGGGTTGAGCGGTCATCTGTCGTGTTCTGGGATCCTAACACTGAAGGACGGCGGTAGATTGTTTGTTATTGCCTTCACACCTTCCCCTTTTTATGTTTCCCCTTATATACCACTTGGTTATCAAGAGTTGTTTTGTCTGTCTGAAGCTTTAATCATAATCGCGAAGCGCTTGGCGAGAGGGGCAAACCGAACGCCTGCTTTTTTGCAGAGTACCTTTTATGACCTAGCTTAGGACTTCAACTTTTATAATCCAAGCCTCTCCACGTTCCATAGTTTTCTTTCTTTTGAGCAAGTGTTACATTTTTTAAGGATTATGAGGAGACCTCAGGCCAAGATTCCCATACTTGCTTATCTAGTTTAACTGGTTAAAACGAGAGTAGTTGATTTTACTCTTATTCAGGTTCGAGTCCTGGGATAAGCTAAACTAAGTGCATCATGTACTTATTCCTTTTTACAATAGTCTAATTTTTCGTATACTGTTTTTGAATGTTTTCACGTGAAAAAAGAAGCGACCTTGCGTGTTTGCGTACGTGGGAGAGGAAAGGGCTTTTTCATATTTAATTTCATAAATAATGCTTTTCTTCCAACTTAATCAAATAAGATCGCAGTGCCGTAAAATTTTGAAAGGCTTATCACTTGTTAGTTGACCTTCAACAATAACGCTATTTTTTTTTAGATATAGACATTTGAAATAAAGAATATTATGGTTGAGAATGAACCCTCTTTCGTAAACACTGCTTAACGTTATTCGGGAATAAAGTAAAAATTATTCGCAAAATTATAGCCAGCTTTACATTAAAGCAGTATGACCCTCGTGTCTCGCTACGCAATCGGAAAAATGCCCATGTTCATCACATAAAGCCTTGAATGAGAGCCAACAAACTAGTCATGAAGAAGAAGGATATCATAATGAACGCATTTCATATGTGTTACAAAATAACAATCCATATTCGAATTGTATTAATCGTTCGACACTTATCGAACGCCATCTGATTGAATTTTTCATGCGCAAGGAGTTGAGTGCCTTTTCTTCTTCGCCCCGTAATAAGGTGGATTTATATAGTGTAAGATGTGCTAAGCATACTAAGGTCAGTAGAAGGAGCGTCACTTGAATTCGCAACTTTAAAAAACGAATATTGGGTATTGTGGAAAGAAATTAGTGTTTAACTGTAACTGATTTTATTCTGTGTATCTACATTATCTTCGACTTGTACATTTCCGGAATCTGTGCGTTGAATCATAAGAGTTCTCCAAATACCGGTAGAGATGATGTTCTATCTATTTCTTTTCTGTTATCAGCTGTTTATTTTGCAGAGAAAGAATTTTGAGTATCATGATACTTACACATTTTTTGAAATCAGGAGTGAATTTTTGAGCGCTTAGGAATACCCAGTCATAAGTATTGTTCTTGAAGTTGGCTGTTGCTTTCATGCGACCTAGGAGCTCCCGCATGGTTAGCCGCCAGGACGACCTACTGAATTTTCTATAAACCAAGGAAGCCACCTGCATCGACCGATTAACAGCATCCTCTATCGCCAGCTCGAAACTGTTTCAATCATTACAAATAGACTCTAAGTCTAGAAAATTGTAGAGGCGGCTCGTAAAATTGTTACGGAATTCTCAACATCAACCTTACTTCGTCTGTATGATATTCTTATTCGGCTTCACCACGAATAGACAAACTTGTACGTGAAGCGCATATACAAAAATAGCAATTTAAGTGTGTAATTCATATTGAGGGCTTACAAAATTTCTCACCCATTGCGCAATAGATTGTCAACTCTCGCCTAACAGTATCACAAATTAAATGTTCATCAAAATATATCCATCTGTTGCGTATATATGATGATCGCCGTGTCTTCCTAATACTCCCCCCAGGCTGTCATCAATTGGCACTAACAACCTGCAATCCGAAATTGCGTAGGACACATACAGATGCAAAAATCTTTGATGTTACTTGCATTTTCATATAATGGTTTCTTCGCATTTTTCTGTAGCGACGACCTTCATCGTTTTGAGGAAAAGAGTAAAACCTGAAACTCAGTCTAATCAATATCTTCCACGACTAAAACTTGGAGATCATTAACTATTTTATTGAACAATGAAGTAAGCTCTCTCTATTGATCGTATCTAAGGCCATTATGATCTGTTGGAACATATTGCTCACCACTAACATAAACGGTACTCAAAAGTTAAATATCTAGACTAAACCTCTATTTTCTCATGATTTTTACATCTTTCTTCCTCAATTTTCTTTGTAACTTAGTATGAGAGAGCAAATGGACGAAAAAAATGGTACAAAATTACAAGTTCCTTATATCAACTTGATCGATCTAATCAAGGTTTCGAATTCACTAAAATTGGCATGTATTTGAATTTTTCTAGAAAATGTACTCAGTACCACAACAATGCCAACAACGCACAATGCAACTTCTGCAGCACAGACACTGCACGACATAGTGAGCGATAACTATTACACAACAGTTGAAATGAATCGAACAGCGAATAAAATACCTCATCTTAAGTTTTACTGATGCGGTGTCAGACAATTCCTTCAATTCAACCAAATCTTCAATTTATCCTATGGAAAGAAGAGATGAACATCTTTGTGATAGTTCATTAACAATTGTTACGGAAGAAAATAAGCAACAACATAAACATCTTTTATCAACCGAACCAAGCAAAGAAGTTCTATTAGATGGTCGATCTATGATTTCAGAAGACGAGTATTTAGTAAATGACATAGACGACGACAACGATCAAAATTTTGAGTGGGATCAAACTTCAGACGAAGAAGACGATAGCGGGTTTTTACATAGAGCCGCTTCCTCATCCACTGAGAAAGAATGCCGACGATTCTTTAGACAAGCCCGAACTGCTTATAACAAATACTGTTGTTGGAACTATCTATCACATTTCATGAAGCAGGTGATCATTGCTGTCATTGGTTCCTCTCTATTTACTACAGCTGCTGTATGTGTTAATATCTTTTCACCATGCCCTACGTTCCAATATGAGGTTGATCCTAACTTTACAAATATTCGAAGCAATGATCAAATCTTGCTGTATTGGGCTGCATTTATGTGGGGCTTCAGTTGGATCACAATATTTACAATTGAAGCCATTCCTATCGTTGTTTCGAAGTGGTGCAAGACGTTTCTGAGCCATAGATCCGAACAAGTCAAGACGAATATGGAGGTAACTAAAATCATATGACGCAAAATACCTAAACTTTTATACAATCAAACTTCAGGCAGCTAATTAACTGCTTCATTATTCAGTATTATATGAACCTAAAATGGTATATTGGTTTCTTGATTATTACGGCGTGGAATTGGGGAGCTTGGGCTTTCTTGACAGCGGTTCCTTTTTCTGTAAGTTGGCATCAAGTTTGTAAAGTAATATTTTTGTCTGTCTATGACGCAGTAACGCGCTCATCACATATACAGCCTGTATCAAGACAGTATTATACAGAAATTGTATGGCGAATATTTGTTTGTTTTTTTCTGCTTCAGTCCTTTTGCTGGTTCAAAAAACAACCATTGGTAAGGAACGAAACCCTTGTCAGTAACAATATTAGATAAACTGATTCATTCTTCGCTTGCTCAATCCATTATACATTCTATTACAAAATTTAGCAATTAGATTTCACCGTTTTGTGTACAGGGACCGGCTCCAAACAAACAGAAGAGCCATTATAAGTAACATTTTTGAACTAGAAAATTTAGAGTCTTCCTATATTAAATTGCTGTTTTTATAATTTTCTTATTTTAGTTTGAGACAGGCTTGGCAAAGCAGAGAATCGTCATCATGCTACACTTGTTGGAACAAAAATCAGAAATTGTAGGAGTCGTAGTGCTTCAAATAACCCTTCAACAACCGAACTAAGAGATATTACGAACAGACAGTGCACTAGTGCCGCTTCCAGCATAAATACTGATTGTTACTATACACAGCGCTCTTCAAATCTAATCTATAAACTTCAAAAAAATCTGAAAAAAGTCATTATCAACGAGCAAAAATCTTGTAATCGGGGTGGTAAACATGGGAAAGATATCAATTCTGATGAATACGCTCGAAAGAACGCTAAGAAACTCTACATCTCACTCGCATACCCAGATGGTACGGTTTTACCTGAAGATAAAGAAGTCCGCCGTTGTTTGCTACTTTCAGATTTTGAGCCTTATTTTAAGACAGCTCAAGAAGCTAGGGATGCATTTGCAATATTCGACCGTGACAGTAATGGAGACATCACCCGCCGTGAATTTCGTGACACTGTTTTACATATTTACCGCAAACGTAAAGATATTGCTGTTTCTATGCGCAATACCACACAAGCTCTAGGAAAGATTGATCTTATGCTTCTTTGCGTTAGTTTCTTTGCTCTTTTATTGATCGCGTGTGGTTTTTTTCCAAATCAGCTTATGGCAGGCACTTGTTCCCATCGGTTCATTGTTATTAGTTTTGACATTTGTTTTTGGCAATACCGCCAAGAATGTATTTGAAAGCATCCTCTTCTTATTCATAACACTTCCTTACGAAACAGGTGATTACGTGTTGATTGACGATCAATTCTTATTGATACATAACATGGGCATTATGGGAACATATTAGCGCTGAAGGCAAGGTGATATATGCTCTAACGACAGTACTGATGACCAAAACTGATTACAATTGTAAGGCGTTTCGGAAGCATGAGCGAAATAACTCAATTCAATATCGACTTTTGTACGACCACTGAGCAATTCTGGGAGTTGCACGACCGTTTAAATGTGTGGGTGACATGCCAGAGCCGCGATTTTGGGTCTGATTTTGATTTACGTTGCGAAGAAATTATAGATGTAAACGATCTGATTTTAAAAGTATGGCTTCCTCATAAAGGCAATTGGCAGGATATAATGAAACGTTTTCAGCGAAAGACACGCTTTATGTTGGCGCTAAAAGATATTATGACAGAACTTGGCATTAGATACGAATTGCCTACCCAAAGATTCACCTCTGCCGTTTTGCCGCCAGATGACAAAACGCCTGTTTTCGGAAATCCTCATCTTATGCGCTCAACGCCCCAATCTTCCAATAGCGAACAACAACAACAACAACAACAGTCAGCGTTCCCCCTTGCTCAAGATTCAAAGGAACAGCAAATTTACAAGGAGATAAAGCAAGCGAGATTAAGTTCGAGTAATGCCCATAATAGCATTCGACACACTGGTCACGTCGCTTCATAACCAAATGCGAAAAGTCGTAGAACTTTATTGGTATTATAGATTACGAATTGTAGGCTTGTAATTCCGTTTCTCCTTTTTTTTTTTTGTTTAAAAACCTTTGATAAGTGATTTGGCTAATTTATTGACGATTTGACAATGATCTTCACTTTTGCAATGATTTTTATCTTGTTACTGCAAATTGAACGAATGGGAATAAGAATGATTAAACAAAGAAAAACTCTAGGAATCTGATGAAAATTATCTCACTTTGACAATTGCTGTACACAACGATAAGAATCTAGATTCTGTTAGGGCACGTTGAACTAAAGGCAAAATTGATAAACAATTTCTTTGTTGTGCAAGCTTAATCAAAAGAGTCGAAATGCTCCGCATGTCGCTTTTTTTTTTTTTCTTAATTTTCGTAATTTCATAAGAACGAGCTTTACTCTCGTAACAATCATGAAGACTAAGAGTAAAGCGAAACGCAAGCAAAATGTAAGACATAGACCTCGTCCAAGATGAGTATGTGAACCAGAATAAGCAAAACTCACATGCACTAGGTTGTCTTCTGTAAATTGGCGATCGACGTTCAGAGGAATTCAGTGAGATATATAAAAGAAGTATGTACACATGCAATGCATTCAAAACTTTTGTACGAGTTAAATCTCAATCACAAATAACTATTATGGCTAAGAATATTGCGGAGATCATGAGTGTAATGTAACACAGAATCTTGCTACAACGTTTTCGATTGGGATCCGGACTTTCATAATCACTTTCTGGATTGTTTTCTTTTTTTATTGAGATAAGTTAGAGTTATTTTGAGATCAATGTAAATCAAAAATCAAAGCCCCATAAATAATATTTTGATTAGCATCTTTGAGAGAAATATAGCCTTTTAAAGGAGCCTTGTTTGGTTAAAAGCAGGGATAGCAAAAACAAAGTAAATGTCATGCTCTTGGTGAAATAAAAAATCGGAAACTAAGCAAAGAACTGGATAGGCTCAAACATACTGTATGCTAAAGCTAAGAATTGTTAAAGACAGTTTTTTTTGATGATTGTTTGCCTTTTCAATTGAGCTGTTAAACAGCAGTTGAGACTACCAGTCACCTGTAGAGGTCAGTGTACAATAGATAGGCTACTACTACTGTCGTTAAAATCATCAATCAATCAAAAATAATAAAAAGGCACATTTCTTTATTTCTACTTGCAGTCCTTCTCTTTCTCTTTCTTCATCTTCCCAATAATACAATCACATTCACTGTTTAAGAGGTTCATGCTTCCTCAATAGAATACGGAAGCGTAAAAAGAGATTGAAAAAGCACGAGATAAAGCTTATAGATGATCGTATACATGTTATACTGTATCTATTACTGTATAGCTGAAGTAGTAGCAAAACTATAGCCAACCTGGCCAAACGCGTTTTCTGAAAATTATAAGACGTCAAAAAGCAGCCAATGAAGCATATATAAGCTTTAAGGGTGTTTCTTTTGCGACAGCTCATATACAGACAAAGATGTGGTGTTTTTTTGCGCGTATCTGTCAATGAATTTGGAAGCTCAAAAGTAAAAAAAAAAAAAAAAAAAAAAAAAAAAAAAAAAAAAGAAAGACTCGATGAAATTTATTTTGTACCAGGCCTCATCATTTTGTAAATGCAGGCATGCCATTTGTGTAATAAAATATTGTTTCGGAAATTATGCATAAAGTGAAAGGCATCTTGCTTACCAAAAGTTGTGGAATGCTATAGCACCTAGATGACAATGCCTCGAAAAACATTTTCAGAATCTAAATCGCAATAATCATTGATGAAGGTCTCACACTAGCATTTTGCAGAAGCAAATAGTGCTTTTTTATTAAAAAGATGGCCGTGTCAGACAAGGTTTCTTATTTTTTAGGTCAAGATGTTCACAGGTAAAAAAGGAATACCACATCTTTGATCCTTCCACCAGCCTTTCTAATTGAAACTCTTGAACATTCTAAAATCATTTAGGTATTTGTTTCAAAATTTAATTTGATCCGCTCAGAAAAAAACTTCTTTGTCCAAATTTAAAGTGAACAAAACTATATATATCTTCTTGCTTGGATCATATTTTTAATAATCAGCTCACGTTGTGATATGTGCCTGCCATAATTCTGAACATGTATCTTCTGTGCAGTAACGACATAGAATATTTACGATTATATAGCTGTAATAAATCAGATATTAGGTTATAATACAATTATAGAATTCATTATGTGATTTCTTTTTCTTTTCTGCCCCTGGATCTGCGAATGGCTGAATTTAGATAAGGAGTGTGAATCTGTAAAACAAAATAGCTGTTTGCACAAATCACCTTTCAAAAGTAAAATTGTTCGCAGAAGCCTTTCATGAAGACAAGGTATATCAAGCTACTAGTCTTTTTTTTGTATTTATTCGAATAAAAAGAAAGAATAAGAGTAATATTACCAAAATTTTCTTAAACGTTCCCTCCCGTTTCGACGTTGTTGTTTGACTTCACTGTAAAGATGGTTTAATTTTACCATGATTTTTTAACCTTTCAATTTTTTAATTGCTTCGCTCTCCGTCTTTGTTCAATTAATATTGTAGGTAGTACTTGTATATAAACCTATCACAGTCCTTTTCTTTTTCTTTTTCTTTCTTTTCTTTGCCAACCTTTTGCTCCTCTGCCCATTCTGTATCTTATTGTAAGATACATATCTCTTACCTTTCATTCTTCATAGTATTATAGATCAAATTATTTCGTTATTAGTGTAATCCCTGATTTTATTTGATATACTTTATATTCATTGCCAAACAGTACTAGAGATAAGCAACACATAACTTCTAAGCATACAACTTACAGATAACATGCCACCAGGAGGCTATAATACACCCTATAGCGGTGGTGGAGCTCATCAAGATTATGGATACCAACCCCCAGCTGACAACAACTATTACTATAACACTGGCAACAGTAACGCCACATCAACATCAATTGGTCGACGGCCTACAACACTAGGAAGAGCTCCAACACGTAGAATTATACCCGGTGCTAATTCAATTGCAAATGCTAGTCAAAATATACAAAGAGGCCGTACTTTAATTCGACCTGATCGTTATCAAGAACCACCACCTCTGTTGACAGGCAAACCTACCACAAGTCGTAGTTCTTTCGATCCTTGGGTGCTACTCTCCCGAATAGTGACATTTTGGGCTTTACCTCCCATGTTAAAGGCTTTCAAAATGTCTGATCCTGGTATGCAGCAAGCTTGGAGAGAAAAAATGACCTTGTGTTTCTTAATTGCTTGTATGGGCGCATTTGTGGCTTTTATCACTATTGGGCTTAACTCTGTGTTATGTCCACCAGATCAAGCAAACAATCAACGGAACTATGCTTCTTACAATGATACACTTGATGCACGTAAATAGTCCAGCATTGACCAGAAAAAAAAATAGCTCTCAATTTTCTTCTTTATAGACTAACTCGGTATTTGCTCTCCTGTTTTTTTTTGATTTTTTTTTTTTTCTTTCATTGTGTAATCCAGCAAATTTATTAGGCATTTTAGGCTGGCAATTTAATATTTCAAACGCAAAACCGTCAGGAAACCTTAATTTTTATGAACTTGCCAAAGTACCTGGTACAGATATTACCAATTATTTTACACATGGCACCAATATTCCAGAATGCACAAATCCAGGCAACGAAAAGACACTCAGTTTCCGAGCTGTTTATAGTGATCCTTGTTCAGCTGCAAATGGCAATGGCGGATGTTTGTTCGGTGATACTTCTGCAGCAAACCTTCAAAATACGTACGGTCTCATCAATACAACTCGTCAAGTGGGTTTTGATTGGACTCAATTTGCCACATCCAACTTGAGCTACCATATTGTTATTGACGGTAATGTATTGAATTTGGAACCATACATCAAAGCCAACCCCATCCCAGATCCCTCTGACGAATTAGACGGTGTCCTTCGCAACATATTAAACAGCTCTTTCGCTGAGGGCGGCCGAGATGGAACAAAGATGTTTTTCAGAAAACCTGAGTTCAAAGCCTCCATCAACTGTCTTGTACAAAAATACCGCGCTGGGCATATCGATAAAAGCACGCCAGGATGCTTCGTTTCTACTATCGTTTTGGCTGCTTCATTAGCGATCGTTTTGGCAATAGTTTTGGCGCGCTTCTTTATGGCCTTGATCTTTTCATGGTTCATTTCTCGAAAATTGTCAAGAACACCGCCTACAGCACCTAGCACAACAGGTTCTATGATGATGCATAATAAAGAGCAACAAATGGAAATGTCCAACATTAAGCCTGGACTTATGCAAAGAGCGGATTCGGGCAGTACACTTACTCCTGCTGGAGCAATGACAAAGAAAGTAGAAGTGGGCAATGATCTCTTTACGGTTCTTTTGATTACATGCTATTCAGAAAATACAGAAGGTATCAAAGCCACAGTGGAATCCTTATCCGTTACAGATTATCCTGATGACAGAAAATTGCTATTTTTGATTGCTGATGGTATTATCACTGGACATGGTGAAACGGTTTCTACACCTGATATGTGTCTGGAATTGATCACCTTTGACGACGAAAGTATGAGAAATCCCGAACCTATGCCATATATTGCCGTGGCCGTGGGTGCCAAGCAGTTCAATTGTGCAAAAGTATACGCAGGACATTACGGTATAGTATAGTTAAAGAGGGGGGAAAAAAGAGGAAAAAAAGAAAAAAAAAAAAAAAGAGAGCATTATTGAAGTGAACAGTTGCTTACAACGTTCTTTCATTTGAACTGTCAATAGTTTGTAAAGGACATAAGGTACCTATGATTCTGGTAGTCAAATGTGGTAACCCTGATGAACAAGGCAAACCCAAGCCCGGTAACCGCGGCAAGCGTGATTCGCAGCTCATCCTGATGAATTTCTTCAGTCGCGTCACTTATAATGATCGAATGACACCATTAGATTATGAGTTGTTTCGAAAAATTCAGTATTTAATGGGAGTTACACCAGATTACTTTGAACTTGTGCTCATGGTATGTACTATAAAGTTTTGAAAGTAACTATGGTAACTTGCGATTGACATTTCACACGAAAATAGGTTGATGCAGATACAAAAGTGTATCCAAGTTCAATGAGATTATTGGTAAATTGTATGGTTAACGACAACCTAATTATGGGTTTGTGTGGTGAAACAAAGATCGCCAACAAACGTGATTCCTGGGTGACAGCAATTCAAGTGTACGAATATTTCATTTCCCATCACCTCGCTAAGGGCTTTGAGGCTATTTTTGGTGGTGTGACATGTTTGCCTGGCTGTTTCTGTATGTATCGTCTGAAAGCTCGTAAAGGTGACGGTGATTGGGTACCAATCATCACCAAGCCTGAAATTGTGCAAGAGTACTCTTCTAATACGATTGACACACTACATCAAAAAAACTTACTTTTGCTTGGTGAGGATCGTTTCTTGACTACGCTTATGCTGCGTAACTTCCCCTTTCGTAAAATGGTCTTCACTCCCCAAGCTATCTGTAAAACAGTTGTGCCTGACTCTTTCAAAGTTTTGCTCTCTCAACGCCGTCGTTGGATTAATTCCACCATCCACAATCTGTTTGAATTGGTCCTCGTCAGAAATCTTTGTGGTACTTTCTGTTTTTCTATGCAGTTTGTCGTCATGATGGATTTGGTAGGCACTCTGACCTTGCCTGTAGCTATTGTATTGACCATCGTGCTTATTGTGAACATGGCTCAAACTGAAATCACCAGCCTTAGCGCGGCGCTTCCACTGATATTATTGATCATTGTCTTATTCTCACCGGCTTTCTTGATCTTGATTACGACACGTAAATGGGTTTATTTAATGTGGATGATTGTCTACTTGTTCGCTTTGCCCGTGTGGAATTTTGTCTTACCAGTTTACTCTTTCTGGCATTTCGATGACTTTTCCTGGGGTGAAACACGTAAAGTTGAGGGTGAAACAAAAGACGACCACTCCAAAAAAGATGGTGTTTTCGATCCTTCTAAAGTGCCTTTGAAGCGATGGGAAGATTATGAGCGTAAACGCATACGTGCCAATAAGAGGCGTGAACGTAAAGAGAGACAGATTAGAGAAATGGGTCCTACACATTTGATGCATTCTGTAATTACTTCAGAGGATGATGATGCTAAACGTGGGTTGCTTATTGCTGATGACGATGACTCAATATCACATACATCGTATCAAACAGATATGTCGGCCCATCAAAATGCCCATTTTTTTGATCCTTCAAAAGAAGCACCTGCTAAAGCTGGATCTGGCTATTATCCTACTTTCCGCCCTCAGTCTATGGCTCCCAATGCAGCTGCAGGAGCAGCGGTACCACCACCTCTACCTATGAACAATACCTCAAATATACCTTTACAACCTACACCTACCGCACCTGGCCCTTGGGGCTCTCAACAGCAAAATTATGGTGCACCATCACCACATCACAACAACAATATGCGAGCAGCACAACATCAACCACCAGTAAATACGAGAGGGCCCTATTCACAGCCGTCTCAACAGCAACAACAATTCTCTCCAATAAATACACTGGGACAGCAGCAGCAGCACATGGGACCTCAAGGTCAATATGTCAATACTAGGCCTAATAATCAACAACAGTCCCCTTTCCATGGCTTTTAAGTCGACCAAAATTATACATAGACAATTGTGTCTGTCCTATATAACCCACTTTTCTTTCCCTCCTTGCTTCTTTTACATCTCTTTTTTTCTGTTCTGTATTATTTAAAGCCTTTATTTCAAGCATAGCCTTTTACATAAAGAAAAAAAAAAGTCGTCATGTAATTATTCTTATCAATATACGTACAGCCTCAAACAATACATTTGTTTTCCTGACAAACGAATAAAAAAGATAAACAAAAACTCAATTTTCACGTTACACTATCAAAGGCAATTAGTTATAAGTGAAAATCCTCAATAGTTGGCTTTTTCTTCCCTTTCTTTATTTTCAAAAGGAAGAATGTCCTTAAGAAACAATGGATACGATGCCATACCATCGAATGACGGATTTGAAGAAGTACAAGACGACAATAGAAGAAGAAGGGATTACCCGACATTATCCACCACTCCTGGTAGCTTTGCTCAAGGATTATGGGACTTACGCAATTACAAAAAATACGTTGATAAATTCCATCTCCCGTTGATAATAAGTGGAACAATTCTTTCCTTTATCCTCTTACTATGCATTTTAGTAAACTGGCTACCGGACATGAAGTATCATTATACTCATCAGACCTACCCACCAACTGTCAGTCCTGGAATTTCAACAAAAGCATTACAGCAGGGAATACAAAAATGTAGAGCTCTTCGTCAACAAAAACAACTGCCGTCATATAAGAATACTGAACGGCTGGTTAATCAACGTACGCCCAATAACACTCAACCAATTCTGTTACGAAATGCGATTGTATGGGATGGAGAGGGGCAAGTTTTAGAAAATGTCGACATTTTCGTACATCATGGTGTGATAGTGGAAGTGAAGCAAGATATTAAATTGCCATCCAGTCTTTTTTCCTCTACTAAAATAATTGATGTTCAGCAGCATATTGTGTCACCCGGCATAGTAGATATGCACACGTAAAGGGGGAATTTGAATGTTTAAAAGAATTCGGCAATGTCATTTATCAATTTTTCTATCAATACCACATAGCCATTTAGGTGTGGATTCATGGCCTTCTCTTTCTGGTACTAATGATGTCAACGAAGGGACAAACCCAACGACTCCTTTTGTTCGGTCTATCGACGCGTTTAATCCTTCTGATGAAGCCATACGTATTGTTGCCTCTGGGGGAATTACTACAGCTCTTGTTTTGCCAGGATCAGCTAATCTCATTGGCGGTGAGGCTTATGTATTTAAATTGAGACCAGTCGACTCATTAAGCTCAGAAGATATGCTAGTACAGACCAAAGTAGATGAGGCAACGGAAAAGAAATGGAGATATATGAAAATGGCGTGCGGAGAAAATGCAAAGGTAATATATAGCATATTGTAGAATAAAAAAATAGTAGCCGAACGTACGTTTTGGTAAAAAGGATACATTTTAATTTGAATCAAATACCATGTGTATCAGAATAGATATGGTAGACAAGGACGTATGCCCTCCACAAGTAAGCCTATAAATATAAAACAAAAAAATTTCGAAGAACGGTGGAGATAGACTGATACCACAACTTAAACAGGAATGGGCGAAGCTTTTCTTTTCAGAAAGGCATTTGCAGATGCCCAAAGGTTGATACAGTCACAGGAGGATTGGTGTGATGCAGCCGAAATAATAAACTCACGACGTGATAACAAGGAAAATGGGAACTTGGCTCGTTTAGATAGCCGATTTCCAGAAAATCTCGAGTTAGAATCACTGACAGCATTACTCCGTGGTCAAGTAAAGCTCAATATCCATTGTTACCAAACGAACGATATTGAGGCCATGCTTCGTATTGCTGAAGAGTTTGATTTTGAAATTTCGGCTTTCCATCACGCTCTGGAAGCCTACAAAATTCCAGACATTATAAAAAAGCGGCATCATCAAAAGAACAATATAACAATAGCAACATTTGCTGATCACTGGGGTTACAAAACAGAAGCGTTTGAAGCCTCTCCTTTCGCGCCCAAGCTTCTTTATAACGCTGGAATCCCAGTTGCCTTCAAGAGCGATCATCCTGTGCTAAACTCTCAGCACCTTGTATTTGAAGCAGCTAAATCGACGCATTATGGTTTACCAGCACAGGAGGCATTCAAAGCTATAACTTCTGTACCTGCTAAGGCACTTGGGTTGGACCACCGTCTCGGATCTGTAAAAGTAGGATATGACGCTGATCTTGTGATTTGGGATAGAGACCCTTTGGAGATGGGCGCATCGCCTTTGCAGGTCTTCATTGATGGCATTCCTCAATTTAGCGAGAGATTGCTGACTGAGGCTAGTATAACAAGAAAAATTGCAAAAGGTAGCCAAAGGCAGCATCTGGATAAAGAATCCTCTTATGAAGAAGAAGCTACGACTAATCGGGATGGACTGATGGACTTTATTTTGACTAATGTTGGTTCTCAATTCTTAACTGAAAAGAATGAAAAACAAGGTAATTTTATAGAAGAAACTACTGCACTATCAATTGTCGTAAAAAATGGGCAGATTGTGTGTATATCACCAGCTGTTAGAAGGAAAGATGACTGTATTGCGCTGTATTCCCTTGAAGAAAAAAATAACACTATAAACACAATTGATATCCAAGGTGGATATGTTTTACCTGTAAGCTCCATCAAGTCCAATGAGTTTGTGTTACTGCCAAGAATCATCTGTTAACTTCATTATAGGGCCTTATTTCAGTCGGATCAAAGCTAGGCCTTAGTGAAATTCCTTCAGAGAGTTCGACTGGTGATGGCATAGTATCATCTTCCTATTCCTCAAAGTCTCATGACATCATTGAGGCTATTGATGGATTGAAGTTGGGCGGCAAGAAATTGAAGGAGGCGTACAGAGGCGGTGTTTTGACAGCTGTAACAGCGCCTGTATCCAAGGGTGTTATTATGGGCGTTAGTGCCGCTTTCAAAACCACTGCAGATACAAGTAAGCCCCTAAACATACCTGTTTACAAAGACAAAATAGGTTACACAACTGACACTGTCGGCTTGAATCTCATTACATAAAAAAATACACAGTTCTAGAAGAAAATAGCATTGTGAAACCTGCAGCAGCACTTCATGTGCAAATAGGACACTCTGTAAAGTCAGATAGCTTCCCAACCATTTCTTCACAAGTTGCGTTTTTAAGAAATGTGTTTACTGAAAATTTCAAGGAAAAGAACTATTTTGGACAAGTAACGAGAGGTGAGCTACCATTGATTGTTCTGGTGAACAATAAAGATGAGATTGCTTCAATTATAAATTTGAAGAGAACCGTATTACGTAATGCAAAAGTGGCTATCATGGGCGGCGCCGAAGCACATTTGCTAGCTTCCCATTTATCAGAAGCCGATATTGCAGTGATACTCAGACCATACTTGTGCACTCCCGAAGATTTCAACTCACGTCATTGCTTGACAGGTGCACCGTTGACCAATGGTACAGCAGCTCATATATTGCATTCCTATGGTGTCAAATTGGCAATTGGAGTATCTGACGATGGATGGGCGCGTAATTTGGCTTGGGATGCAGGTTGGTTAGCTGCTACTTCACCGCCGGCTCATGCAAATCTGGCTATTTCGGAACAGGAAGCTCTTAAATTTATTACGACTAACCTCCAAGATATCTTTGGATTGGCAACTGATCGTAAGGGCCAATCTTCGTTGTCTATCAAAAATGACTTTGTTGTTTGGTCTGGAAGCCCATTCGACTTTAAAAGTAGACCTATTCTCACATTTTCGGCGGTAAACGGTTTACAAAAAGTTTTATAGTTATGCAATTCCAATTGAAGTCATATCTGTAAAAATAAAGAGAAGGCAGCATTTTATTTTTGTTATACTGCAACAGGTGATGATTTACGTCAAAATTGCTTGTGAATTATGCTATTTGTATCACTGTGAATTACTTTCTTCATTAAGCTTTTTCTGTGGAAAAATACAACCAACATAAAGAACACATCAATTTCTGATAAATATATATATTTGACATAAAAGAAGCTGAATCCACATCTGTTTTTCACACTTCTTTCTCTTCTTAATACTCAAAAGTTGATGATAATGAACCATATAGCATTTGCTTTAGTTTTTATTTCACTTATTGTCACAGTTTTTGCCGCTTCAGCAGAAAATGCTGGAATTGCTATCACAAATCCTGTCATAAATGTAAGTTGTAGCAATGACAAATAGCGCGGAATTCCCTTCCTCGTAACAATTTCAATCTTTTGACTTCCAATGCGGGATAGAGTACTGTACCTGCTGGCTCTAATCTTACAATCGAATGGTAAAAAATTACAAGTCGACAATGCTTGAGGGGATATCTATCTTAGCATAAATAATATTCTAAAAGTCATTATAATTATTTTGTCTTTCAACAGGACTGTATTGGATGCTAATTCGTCAGATATCAAATTCATCAGATTGATGGATGGTGATTCTGTTGCTTTAAACACAGTTATTCCTAACATTTTGGAAAACAACAATACTATTCTGGTTAACGCTACGCGATACACTTGGGCTGTACCGTCCAATCTGACAACCCGCAATGACTGTAAGTGCTGATAGCTCTGTTGGTGCGATAGAATTGGCCAACTGTCCTTCTAAAACGGCTGTACATAACTTTGCTTTTTTCCTTTTTTTTTTTTTTTTTTTTTATAGATGTCATCGCCATGTTAGGAGATGGTCCGTTCGCCACGTATTCTGGCTATTTCTCAATTGTTCAAGAAACTAATAATGCAGGTTTCATTTGTTCAAAAACAAATAACACAGGGCTATCATCATAAATCATTGTTCGTACCTCGAGGGATTCAACGACAACTTTTGCTTTACTATTTAGCTTAATCTATTATCAACTTAGAAATAAATACTTTCGTCTACTTATAAGACCCCTTATGGTCTTTATCGTCTCATTGTAAAAGATTTGCTTACAGACTTGCCAAATTATCGAACCCAATATACCTTAATAAGTAGAATGTATGACTCCTATACGCCGCTGTATTTGCCTCTTATTTTCTTACGTGAACTGTTGTTGTTCCTATTCATATAATTGTTGCTTTTTATCTGGTCTTATTTTTTTATACATAATCATTGTTGGCAATGTAACACATCCGCTACTAAAACGCAACTTGGATCTTTGAAGACGCAGTTATTCAAATTACCAACCCCAGACTTGATATGCTGAACAGAAACAGGCCAAAAGTGTATGATCGCTTCTAAATCATAAAAAGTGACACCCAATAAATACAGATGACTCTATGAGAGCATATTAATTTGACCAACAATAACCTTTACTAACTAATTCTATCTGTAAAACAGTTAGATCGCTGAAGCTACAAAGCGTCAAATATTCTTTTCTAATAATGGTCAACGATATACCAAAAATTTCCCAACGCTCCTACAAAAAATTTGTAAACACTAAACTTGAAAACAAAAATAAACAATTGCAGTTCAGTGACAGACCTTCTTTAACTTTGCATGTATCATAGCGAAGCTATTACAAGCAAGTATCAATTATTATTCGTAAAATGTTGGTTTGATCAACATCAGAAATGAATTAGCTATTTGTGTATGTCTCAAAGTTTGCATCGTCACATCATTGATGACGAGTTTCTATATCTCATGATAATTTACATATAATTGTGATAGAAACGTTTCTTGATTGATAATTGCTAATCAAGATCCTTCCAAATTCGAAAAGTAATATTCTGCTGATATCTTAACAGAAACAGGGTGCTTAGAGTTGGTATAAATGTCGCAAAAATATGTCAATGACTTATGTCTGCATGTCTGGATTTAGGTCTAGCACCCAGAATTGATCACCACCTGTATCTTCTGCTTGTTTAGTCATGTCGATATCTTCCATCTCTTCTACTCCAGATTCATCACTATCACTTCTTTCAACTATAATAGAGGAGGATAAAAAAAGTCAGACTGTAGGCTTCACATAGGAAGGCATATGAGTGCACTGTCTCACACATACATTTTTCTTCTGTTTCTTGACGAGGTGTGTTTTGCCAATAAAGTAGGCCACGGCGCATTCTTTCCTCATCCGGATAAGGCTTTTCAAAATCCACTCTTACATCCCTGGCAGCGAGGTCAAAGTTTGGTGGTGCCGAGGTATATTTTGCCAATTTTGAAGCATATGATAGAACATCTGTAAATTGTACCTGAGCTGTATATATGCAATAAAGTTAAGGGTAAGTAAACTTTTGCAGATACTTGTCTGTTCCGCTGCCTTTGTTTCTTACATTCATTTGCATACTTGATAGCCTTTAATTCTATTTTTGCTTTAGCCAAAGACTTATCCAAGTCTTCCCGCACAGATCCCAAATTTTGTATTAAGTTTAATAATGCAAGATTGTGTTGTTGAATTTCTTCCTGGACATCAATTATTTGCCTTTGCCGTATTTGATGGTTCTCAACTATACATCGTCAATAAACCAGAGAAAAAAATTGTTATTCTTTCAGTGCAAAATACAAAGGTGTTGCTTGAGTTATAGACTGGTATTTACTTTCTTCTACAGCAAGCTGAAGTTTTTTGTCCACGAGCGCCATCTGCTTTGCTATTTCCTCTGGGCTATTTACTTTGTCAACCGCTATATTATTCTCTGCTACGGCCGAGAGCGCCAAGAAGTATTTCCGTATATAGTCTGAGAACTCTGTTATGTGTTCAGAAACTTGTTCACGCAGTGAAGTCGTTTCCATCTTTGAAGATCTGCAATTAAGTATCAAGATCAGAGGAAAAGAGAAACAGAAAACACTAATTGCGATTCTGAGTTTTTTTCCTTTTTTTTTTAATCTTTTGTATGCCAATGCATTAATGGGTATCTCTTTCCATCTCCCGAATGCAAGATACCCAGTCATCAACGATCAAGAAAATGGCGATTTCAAAAAATTTACAGACTGAAAGCGCTGTAAGTACGCCGATTTAATGGCGGCCCGTATGTTTGGTTACTGACAACATGTCCATTCATAGTTTAGTCGCCACGAATTCCTTATGCGAGAGTATCTAAACCGCAGAAAGAATGGACCCAAGAAATATGTCCCTTCATCTTACAAAACAGAAAGGGACATTATTCGAGAAAATCACAAGTGAGTCCAACGGCTTAAAATTTAATATGAGCTACTAGCTAGATGAGTAACACTTTATCTCCGTGTATTAAGATTTGTTAGATCTGATTCAGAGGATGAAGACGAACTAAGTTGGGAAGAGAGAGTTGCGAAAAAATATTACGACCGTTTGTTCAAAGAATATGCTATTTGTGAATTGAAATATTACAAAGAAGGAAGGATTGCTCTTCGTTGGAGAATAGAAAGGGAAGTAGTCAACGGAAAAGGACAGTTTATTTGTGCTTCGACACGCTGTGATGCCACAGAAGGTTTGAAAAGCTGGGAGGTGAATTTTGGATATGTAGAAAATGGATCGAAAAAGAACGAGCTTGTCAAAGTGAGATTGTGCCCGAGTTGTTCCGATAAGCTGAACTATAAAACGCAGAAAAGACTAGCGAAACGCTTGAAGAGAAAAGAACGTTCTGATCCTGAAGACGGCAATGACGGTGAGGGACGGAAAAAGTTAAAAAATATATCTGACGAAGAGAGGGACATGCTCACGACAAACGTTGATAGTGAAAAAGGTAAGAGGTTGAGCTCAAGGTGTATATCTGTGTGATATTTATCTTATGTACTCTTTGCTCCTTTCTTGATAGTTGAGGAAGCAGAAACCTCAGTCTGGAGTAAAACAATGGAGACAAAGGAGGAAAAGTCGAAAGAAGAAGAGTACGAGGACTATTTCGCCGATTTGTTACAGTAATTGGATAGTGTAAAGTCGACAAGGCCCTCATTGCTCCGACACTATATTTTTATCTGGGAATATAAACAACCACACATTATAGTGGTATCTCAAGGCTTGTACTAAAACATAGTAGATGAAGAATTGAGTCATTTGATTGATCAAAAAAGAGATAGCGAGTTGTTTAATTAAGGAGCAAAAGGGGTCATTACTGACCAAAGTGACATAGTGAGAGGGGTTATAACTCTTGCGTTTCATCAGCATATTTCGAGGTTTGAAGGAGGTCCAACTTCTGTGTAGCTTACTTCGCGTATCTATGGGTTACAACATCTATATTGATTGCTTAAAAACCCATTTTCAAATTAACGCTGTATAAAGTCCTTTTGCCCATGTTGATTCCATAAGCTTTGAATAATCTTTAATTGGTCAATTCGTTGAGCATTATTTTGCGTTATATCCATTTATTAAGAGTTCTCAGCTAGAGCGATATCATTATCTTTTCGTTTATGTTTATATAATGAATTAAAAGTAAGTTTGATTAATCCTATCATCAAAATTGAAATAATGTCGTATATAAAGGAGGGCTGCTGTGCTCTTTTTAATTGAAATGATTACTATAAATATCATCTACTACTGTCCTGCTAGGTATCTTCAATCAACTTACGCAAGATTTGAAAGAGGTAGGGAAGGAAGCATCAACGTTGGTGGTGGACTTGAGTCAATTATCGATGTCGGTAGTATTTCCCCGCTTCCTGCAATAGTCTTTATTCATATTAGGTTATACGGATAACAACGCACTCAGCTTCCATTATATTGTTCTGAATTCAACCCTACGAATAGATGTCTTAAGTCAGTGTAGGAAAAAAAAAGATGAACCATTAACAGCTTTTACTGCAGCAGAAAACCATGAATTCTATCTTGTAGTACTGCCTATCCAATCATAAAATAACGGGTGAATTGGATTGTAAGCGCGATTATGTCCACCACTTTAGGCATTTTCAACTTTGCATTTGATAACACCATACCAATCGATATCTTATTGTATTAGCATAAAATGGCAGACGCTTCTGCAATAAGATACCATTGTCCTAATTTGTGATTTTAAATGTATTGTTTCTATGGTTACCTTTTTTGTTATTCTCCTTGATATCCTTTGCAACGGTATTGGCGACAGCTTGGCGTTGCTGGATATGGTTCTTTTTCAATAAATAGTGGCGAAATAAGTCTTCCCCTCTGCGCTTCTAACTCTTTCTATAATACGTAGAATAGCCGGAACCAATTTGAATTTTTGATCATAGGGTGTAGAAAAATCCAAATGATGCCATAAAGGACCATCAACATGACCTTTCTTCTCAATTTTAAAATCCATTTTAAGAGCCAATATTGGCTTTGTTCATAAGCGCTCAATAATACTTAATCATTATATTAAACATATGAAATGGCTTACACATGCATATAATAAAACTCCTAGTCTAGTTTAGTAGAACTGTTGAAGGTTAACAAGGCACGGCAGGCGGAGTAGATGCGTCAAGGACATTCTAAATGTGATAATTAACATTGTAACAGTACGGTAATGTGGAAGTACTGGACCACTAAACTCTGTATTATAAGAAAGGATCAGAAATCTTTCAGCAGAATTGAATTCATGCCTTTCATCTTTTGTGCAACAAGCCTAACTAAATCAAAGAATATCTTTAATTTCTAGCCCAAGATCCGAAGTTTACTAAAATAAGCTGTGGCAGAAGGTTATAAATTCAACAAATCTAGACTTTGCTATACATCTTTCTTCTTGCTTTCCCTCATCTATTCAATCAATATGATGCCTACTATGTCTACATCTCATATACCTTTATTAGGTGCAATGGACGATCAGTTTTTCCAACAGCCAAGTCATACAAATCCTAGAAGAGAGCGTCGTTCTTACTCATTTAGGCAGTTGTATAAGTCTAACCATAATCAACATGCTTCTCAATTGTCCATATATACAGAGCTGGATGAAAAGCAAATAGATGGCTCTCACCCTACAACTTGCTCTGGTGATACTTTATGGTCTTTTATCTGCTCAAAAAAGAAAATAGCTTACAACAATATTAGTAACGCTTCAAGTCAACCGACATCATTATCGCAAAGACTTAGAAGCTACAAAAGTAAAAGCGTCCAAGTAGATAGTAGTAATGCAACTCCATTGATTCCTAAAAATTCTTCTATCGCTACATACCGTAACAGCCCACGTAGTTCCTTAAAGTCATGGAAAGCGTCTGTTATGGGAGTTGTATATCAAAAAAGTACTTAAAAGTATTTTGTCAATTTTTGGTTCGGGTTAGTTCCTTACCAGATGCGTTTGTGTTTATCCTTTTTGTTCTTGCTGTACTTGTTTCTATCATTCTTTGTCTATTTCATACTGACACTTTCCACCACACACACTCTCTCTCCAAATAAAGAAAGTATCAATAACTATATGCATTATACATTTTAACGGAAGGAACCCCCTTTTTAGCATCGCACAAATTGGAATTTTTTTTGCGCTTCATTGATTTGCATAAACTCTCCGCGACTCAATGAAAATTGATCCTTTTTCTATTTCTCAAAAGCTAACCGATAATGACCCAACAAGAGCCAACAGAGCAACAGGTTTTGTTTGCCCAGCTCCCAACTGAAAACTTCAACGATCCTGACCAAGAAAACAATAGTAGTGAAGATGAGAGAGATTCCGATGTGCCACTTATTGTTCCTGCAAATACAGACTCAACAGCAGATTCACATTTCGTACGAGTGACAAGACCAACACAGCCTACAGATTTCATTTTACAGCGGCCTCTAACTAATGAGAAGGATTTATTAAATCTTGCTTTTCGGTAAAGAAATTGACAACGAGAGACAGACATTACTTTTACGCATTCACTCAGGCCAGCATAATCTTCAAATAGACCTGCTGCTTTGAATACCCGTGTAACATGCCGTATTCATCGCTGCCGTGATGGATTGGACAAATTGTACCCACAGTATCACTTATTCATCGAGCATCTTGGAACAGGAGAAATACAGCATGTAATGACAGCTCGGAAGAAAAGGAAAAGCAACACTAGCTATTATACAATTACAGGCATTTATAGAGAGAATACTAGTGTACCTGAGGGATACCTAGAGCTAGGAAAAGTCAGGTAATGTAACTCAAGCGCCATTGAACAATTACTCGAACCATCATTTAAACTGCTGTTTTCTTTGGTGATATAAATTCGAATAACTAGATCCAACTTTTTAGGTACAACTTTCGCTATTTATTCTCATGGAAGAAATCCTCTCAAAAAAGAGTTACCTATCAAAAAAAAAGATTTACCTGTCAGAGAAGAACTTGGAGCTGTGTTATATGTAAGCTGCATGCCAAAATAGATGACACAACAAACCAGCTTGTTCACGTGCAATTAAATCCGATCCGTAGGATCCCAATATTCTAGGATTTAAAGGGCCTAGAAAAATGACTATATTAATGCACACATTAACTAGGGATGGGAAGCGACCAGAATACAGGCCTATTAAAGAATCTGAGACTTTGTTGAATAAGTATCGCGATGGAGGTGCTAGAGATCTATTAGTACTCCACAACAAGAGCCCGCAATGGAATGAAGGTACAGTACATTAGTAAGACGTGTTAAATAAGCGGATAATTGCTAATATACCGTAAATTACTGGTAGAAACACAGTCATTTGTTCTTAATTTTAACGGCAGAGTTACTCAAGCATCAGTCAAGAATTTTCAAATTGTGCACGATAACGATTGTAAGTATGAACAAATTAAGCTCAACGCTTTACAAAATGATGATTTACTGACAGCTCAAATGTATCTGTTACAGTGGATTATATCGTTATGCAGTTCGGAAGAGTTGAGCGTGATTTATTCACAATGGACTACAAATACCCTATGTGTTTATTACAAGCATTTTCAATTGCTCTTACCTCATTTGATGCAAAACTTGCCTGTGAATAAATAATCGATTTTTGACGTCAATAAACAGCATTGTATTTATTTTATACATGAATGATACAAATAAGTGAATTAAAGGTACATCGTTGATTACTAGATATGTACAGATTATACTTTTCCGGTTTTGTAGGCTTTATACATGAGTAAGGGTAACTTCCAATCCTTCTTTCGCAAATTGACATCAAAAACATTGAAGTTGACCTTTTCTAGCTTCTCCAAAAAGTGAACATACGGTACCTATAAATAATTTAATAAGACATTATTTAAACAGTTCTCAATTTTTTTTTTTTTTTTTTTTTTTTTTTTTGTTTGGCTTATTGATACTCTACTGCTGATATGATTACCGGAAACGCATTGGCAGGAATTCTGTCCATCATTGAGCGCGCTGTCAGTAAATGATCATTAGCAGCAGTAGCCACATCAAAAATTGCATCCTCCATTCCTTCTATATCCCCACGATACACATTCTCCTCGACAATTCCATACTAATTCATTCTTAGTTAAAGAAAATTTTGCTTCATTATGTATACATGCGTACATTTTCGAACATACCTTTGCCGTTATCTCTGCTGGTAAAACTAATCGTCTTTGGCTTACATGGAACGGTAACGAACGTAGAAATGTTGTTATTCCAACCATTTTTCCAAGATGACTCACTAAATGGTCTGCATTGACATCTTTCACCCCAAGCGACTCCAATTGCAGATATAGTAGGCTTGATTGAGTGTTCTCGGAATAGCTTTCCATATCTTTCACTGTCATGAACTGATGATCGTCTAGATTATTAGCCTAAAGCTTTATGATGAGCGATTGATAACTATGATAGCATCTGCCCATTTTAAACTTATAATTTGCTTACACGTTCAGTAATAATGCGCTTCATCCATAATGCGGACATATTTGATGACTTTAAAGCTGCAAATAAGGCAAGAGCAATGGGTTGCTCAGGTGGTCTACCCTAGAGTACGCTTGAATCAAAGAACTTTCTTTATGACACTCCTCTTACTTGAGTTAATAATATACATACTGCAAAGGTCTTGTCAATTGTGTCTTTCCAAAATTGCATCCTCATTTTGCCGATCTCTACTTTAGTCACATTTTCTCTAACAGAAGCAAGTTCCACATTGAATGCTCTAATCGCGTATTGCGTGTCCCTCAAATGGGAAGGGAAAAAAGGAACTGAAAGGTAGCCTTCATAGTCCCTTTGTCTTTAAAGTCATATGAGAAGTGATTACTAAAGTGACTCCCAGTTTGACAGCTTTGAGTTTGTTCCCTCACCTTACCACATCCTTACAGTATTTCAAAGCACTTTTTATTCGTTCAGGGCTTACAGTTGAAAACATCCTTTGTGTCCGTTTATATCTCAATAATTGACACAAATATGTTCTGGATTCTGATATAGAATTCATTCTACTCTGGAGGGTATATAACCGAGAAAACAATAATGTAAGGAAGAGTTAATGCAAATCAAATTTTCCTTCGAATCGTACAAACCCAGGTAAATAAATTCTGGGGAAGGCACCTGTATTTTCAGTTCTAATATTTTAATACTGCTTTTTCGCTTGGCTTTTGCACGAAATGGTTAACAAAATTGAGACATTTTGTAGTTAAAAGTCATACAAATTTGGTAAGCATTTTGAGTGATAAGCATAATTTTTGGGATTTTACCTTTCCCGTCAAAAAATATGCAATGCCAAATGTGCGACCTATTCATACTCAAACAAGATAAATATACTGTGCCGAAGCGCAGAGCATCCACCCTTTTTGTTTATGTAGGATTGCCAAGCAATAAATAATAAAAACTGTGATGATGTGAGAAGTCTCACAAGATGAACTGCCCTAAACGCGTAAATATCTTTTAAGCTGTCGGTTCCGAAAAGCTGCGCACCATTGTCGTTATGGCGATTGCGTGAAAATATTTCAGGACAACCATTTATTACATATGGTATTTGCAATATGAAGGATATTCTTCGCCGCATTCACATCACGTTGCCATACAATACTGCAAGCATTGCAAGCTTTGACCGTATATCGATGATCTATCGGTAATCTTTACTTCATTCATATCTTTACCTAAGCAGCCATTACGGACCTACAGAAGAGGCACCAGAAGAATCAAAGTTAACCTGCACGTACACTCTTCTCAGCATAACTTACAATTGATGTTCCCCTTAAAACGCGCAAAATTTTAACAAAATTGAGACTCACACATTTCTAAAATAAATTGTTTCACAATAAGTCATCCATTACTATTGCTTTCTTTGTTAGACAAAACGAGGGCTGCAGATATAGAACTCGTGGCATACATGTCAGACACTGCAATTCAAAAGATGCTAGAAGTGACTGAATTTCAAAAATGAATAGTCGGAAAACAATCACTGACTTATCTGAATTTTGAAGTAGCAGAAGTATCCGATTTTGCATACAAAAAAAGTTATAAATTGAAACCGAAAAAATTCTGTCAGAGTCCGCTTTACCCCACATTGAAAAAGTTCGACATTTGAGGAAAAATGTGCTTAAAGAAAATTGATACAGCAATCTGTATAGAAAATAAGGTATATTAGATATAACACTAAAAGAAAGAAGGACTACGTTATCTATTTCAAGCCAACTAAAAGCACATGAATTTGCTCTTTTTGTTCATTAGCTCGTCCATGCGGTTTTCTAAGATTCTTCGAGCCTTCTCAGCCTTTTCCTTGAGGGCTTTTTGTTCTTCTATTTTCGCTTCGAGATGCTTGCGTTTTGAAAGCGATTCTTCTTCTGCAATCTTTTGCTCTGATTGAATTTGTGTAATTTGCGTTCGCAGATTTTGAACTTCCAAATTGTAAGCTTGTTTTTCTCTATTTACAACATCCAATTGCTTCTTCGCTTCGCGTACAGAAGTTTCAGATCGACTTAACTGTGTTTCTAACCTGCTTATTATTTCCTGATGAGCACGAATATCGGTCTCGGCAATTTGCACCTTTCGTTGCAAAGAGCGGATTAACTTGTGGTACTGTTCGTTTGTGCATTCAGCAGTAGTAAGTGTGCTGATTAGATCGCTAAAAGTGGCTGATGTCGAAGAATCCCGACGGTGCAACGAAGATGTACTCACACTTCCCATTATGTTTCCTTGCGTTGATGGTAAGCTTGGGAAGTCTGCACTTGGTTCAGACAAATTACTTAAGGAGGGCGATGAGGGAGCACAGGGAGTGGGAGGTAAAGGTGTCGTAGGTATTGGAGGAAGTGGGTTCGATGGTGGTGCAGTTGGAGGTGGTAAAACACTAGACGAAAGTATAGAGCGGCTGCTATTACGTAGAGGAGATATAGAGCGAATGGGTACTGTATCAGATTTGTTTGAGATAAATGAAAGGCGCTTCAATGTTTCTTCGTCAGAAAAGTGTTGCGCATCATTTGTAACGGTTGAAGAGACTGATCTATACGATCCTGATTTTGATAACTTTGAGATACTTAAGTTTGAAGTTTCATGATATGACTTGCATTGCGCCATATTACTGTTCGCTGAACTTGGTAAAGGAGAGTTCATTCGTGGAGTATTTGGTGGTGATGTGAAATGCATAGCTTCTCTGTTTTGTGTATTTGTTCTTGGAATCAACTGATCCATCTCTTTCTCCAACCGATCATTCGCTGCTGTGAGCTTCATTAGCTCTAATTCGAAGTTTTTTGTCTCTAATGAGGACTGACCTTTTTGTAGTATTAATTGAGATACTAAATTATCGTTGGTCTTGGTGAGTTGCTTGTAATCATCTTGCAATTGAAGCATTTTTGTTATCAGCTGTTCTCTCGATAAATCACTAAATTGGCCAAGTTTCGAAGTCATGTCACCATCGCTGATTGTTTCTTTATTGATAGAAATAGCTGTTTCTTCAACTTCCTTCTCAAGTAATTTCTGTTCTGCTTCGCTCAACAACTTTCGAAGCGTTTCCACCGTAGATTTGTAATCTCTGTTCTCTTTACGAGTCATGAAAAGTTCTTCCTTAGTTTTTTCCATTTGTACCCGCCATAATTCATCTTCTTTTTTTCTTGTTTGCTGCAAGGCTGTTACTTTTTTCCTTAATTCCTCTATAATTGCGTTCGTGTCATTCAACGATGCTATGGATCGCTCTTCGTTCAATATCGACTCTAGTTCTGCTACAGTTTTGACCATCTGTTCATTCTGTGCCGACTTTTCACGAAGAACTTGCTCAATTTGTGTCAATTCTTGCTGCTTTTCCTCATTAGCCTTTTTATGGTGTTCGATTTCTTTATTTAATTCTTGCACACGAGCCTGTAACGCTTGTAGTTTTTGCTGTTCAAGTTCCGTTTGAGCCCTTTCTTCCTTCATTTTGGCAACCAGGTCAGTTTGTTGAGTCAAAGAATTTCGTGTCTGCGTCAATTCTGCTTCCATGCTTCTCACTAGCTCGTCATCTTGAGATAAACGTTGGGTGGCTTGCTGTAAAGAAATTGACAATTCTTCTTTCTCAACTGACAGCACATTCAAGGTTTGTCTTTTCTCCTCAATTTCGTGTTCACGTATCTTGTATTGATGTTGAATATCCACGAGTGTTGTCAAAGCTTTCTCAGACTTTGCTTCTTGTTGCTTGAGTGTTCCTTCCACAAAAGACATTACATCTTTCATCACATTTTTTTCATCCTTCATGCCACACAAATCTTTTAGGATTATCTCAAATTTTTCTTTCATATTAGCAGCCGTACTAGCCTTTGAAGCGTTATCAGCTTCAAGGAATTGAATTGTTTGATCCCTTTCGTTTAACTGGGTATGCAAAGAAGCAATAAGATGATCCATTTCAGCTACTTTGTTCTCAAGACCTTGGATAATGTAATCTTGTTTTTCTTCAACGAGTTGTAGTGCATTAAGTTCAATCTTCAGTTTTTCTACATCTTGTTGCCTAGATAACGTCAATTTCTTGAAAGCTTCGTCTTGCTGCTGCTTTTGCTGCTGAAGAGTATCGAGTTTTTGTTGTATAATACTCAATTCATTTTTATGAGTTTCTTTCAACGCTGTGATCGAATTTTGTAACTTTTGACTTTGGCTCTGCTTTTTGGTAATTTCCTGTTGGTGTTTGGTCTTTAAATCTGACAGACTATTTTGTAGTCGCATAATCTCATCAGAATGAGCCAAATGTAACGAATTCAATTCTTCCTTTAAGGTACTGGTCTCTCGTAACTGCATCTCGAAAATATGTAGCTGCTCTTCTTTCTGCTTAACTTGGGCCATGAGTTCGGTTATTTCCGCTGTACTTGCTTCAGTATGAAGCTTATTTGAACTTGTTGATGGGTCTTGTTTCATTACTCGCAACTTCTCGTTCAGCTTGTCGCAAGTGGATTGACATTGTGCAAGTTGCTTTTCGCGTAGCTCGCATTTTGACGTTAAATCAGATATAGTCGCCTTGCTTTCCCTCAGTTTCTCCTCGCTCTTTTCTTCCAAGTCCTCCTCCTCTTTTTCACGTTGACCGTTTACCCCTTCCCATTTTTGAAGCAATTCTATTTTTTCTTTTTCGGCAGCTGATAGACGGGCTTCCAGATCATTGATATATTGTTCAGTGTGTTCATCCATTTCCTTAAATTTCATGACCTTCTCCCGTAATTCAGATAGAACTTTTTGATCCTTATTACCTTCGTTTATAGATTTCTCCAGCTGAGCTTCTAATTCTAGACAGTACGCCTCAGACGACCGCTCACGTTCGATAGCTGTAGATAAGCGTGCGCGTAAATCCTCAAGTACTTGAACTTCGTTAGCATGCATTATTTCATACTCTGCTACCTTGGATTGCTGTTCTTCTAATGCCTGGTCTGAATGAGTTAGTGCAGCTCGTGCCTTGGCTAATTGCGATTCCAGAACAGAGATCGATTTTTCATATTCTTCAATGACAGGTTCTACAAGATGCTGGAAGTCTTGGCTGTCTCTTTTCTTTTTTCTATGCTGCTGCCGTAATTCTCTTTCAACTAACCGATTCCTCTCACGAGTTACTATGAGTTCGTTCTGTAATTCTTCAATTTGCCTGCGTAAATCGGCAACCATAATAGCAATTTCATTGCCATTTTGCTGCTGTTGATTCGGAGAGTCACACATTTCTGCAGATGTAAATTGATCTGGCACAGTATGCGCTGTTGTAATAGATATGGAAGGACATGTCGATGGTCTACGCTCAGTATCTGTGATTGAAGAAGAAGAAGGTGTGATCATGCCCAGGTGCACATTTTCATTATAGTTGGGTGACTTTGACAAAGCGGTATTGCTCTTGAGAACTCTCAATTCGGCTTTTAGCTTGTTAATTATTTGCCGTAGATGATCTACATTGTCGGTTACCATCCATTCCTCTGCTTCATTCTTCTCGACTTTATTACGAATATTGCGGGCACGGTAAGCGTATTTGATTGTATTTGTTGTTTCTGTTAAATTAACTTCGGATGGGCTGACGCATGCTATCATAACTGTAGTAGAATTGCCACCCAACGAATCCTGTAACAAACGCGTTAACTTAGAGTCGCGGTAAGGAACGTGAGAAGACTTTTTCATTGGATCTGATAATGCAGATATAACGTTCCCTAGTGCTAATAAACCAGCATTGATGCTGATCCCTTCTTTACGACGATCACCTTGAGCTGCTGTTTTTTTTAAACGTTCTGAGCCAGCCAAATCAACAAAATGAAACTTTGACTGAGTGGTTATCCATTCTCCGTCCTCTGATCCAATTCCTTCACAGTTTAACGGATGCTTATCTGTTAGATCTTTCACGTTAATGGTGTTCTGCCGAGAATTCAGACTGGATAGCGATTTTATTTTCGTAACCGATCCTTTTCTATTCGATGCCGAAACCCACTTTTCTTGTTTTAAAGTAACAGAAAAAATAGCATGCGAGCGGGAAGATTTAAGGTTCATATCAGTAGATCCTGTCGCTCGATTCTCAGTCCCCATTTGCAGATATCTGAAGCAACATAAAGTATAATAGAGAGATTAGAAATATGAATTTCCTTGCAGAAATAAAAATTGCAAATTATTATGCATGTATGTCTTTACTTGAGAACATCTTTTGAACTTTCAACATAAACCTCCTTAAAACCTGTCCAAATAATCTGACCCTTCGCATCTTCTCTGATGGCCAGTGGCGGCCTCTCATGTGGAGGAGATGAATCTAATAAGTCAATCAATTCTTCATTATATATTTCTACAAATGAAACACATATTGAGAATTTATTTTTGTTGTATTGTTCTTGTTGCGAAGAAGTGGCACTGAATCTTCTATCAGACAATTGGCTGTTCGAAGAATTCTTTTTCAAACTTGCAGTGGATGTAGATTTTTTGGGGATTCGTAATCCTGAGTTAGGAGGGAAAGTAGCAAGCGCTGAAGGATTTCGTTTCACAACAATAGATGCTTTTTGTGCAGTAGGCCTGTTAACTCTTTCAGCTGCATTCTTTTTGTTCAATAGCTGCTGAAACAGCATAGAGATCGCACGCGGAATTATTCCTACATGTTAAATAACTTTTTCATTAATACCATATGTATCGTTTATATAGGTTGCCTCTGGCGAGTTCCTTTTACCTTCATGATCAGAGTCTGTTTTTGTTTGGTTTTCTAAAGCAGTTCCCATTGTGTATGTTTTTCCTGACGATGTTTGCCCCTAAAATTTGGTTAGACCTAACTGTTTTATTCGATACCAAATGGAAATTATCACCTACATAGGCTAAAATAGTGACATTATAGCCTAACAAGCATAATTAGAGCTCTATGCATGCTAAACTAGGGGAGTATTGCCTTATCAGTTACCATCTATGAATTTGTCAATAAGACCGGCCACTACGGTGTCGAAAACCTGTGCTTGCGTGCTGTTCGCGTTGAACACATAATCAAATTGAAATGATTTTTGATGTGGTACAATTACCACTGTATTTTCATATGTCTTTATAACATCTGCGTCTGATGAATTGGAGAATTTGGGTAAAGATCTATCTTGTTGAGTTAATGGTCTTACTCTAAGAGCTACACAATCAAGGATAGAATTATAATAATCTTTAGAGACTGATACCAATAGAGTTGCACCTTTTAAAAGTACGCTTACCAACTTGGACAGCCGTTGTTTGTTTTTGATTTGTGGCGTAGGGTGAGGATATAGGGCTTGCCGTTGGATGAATGGCAGTCATTAGTAATACTGGAAAAGGTTGTCTTATAAGTTACTGAGATAATGTACAATATTAGAGACTTAAATTTGATAATGGAAAAGAAGAAAGCTATTCTATTATGAAAGGAGTGCGTATTGGAAAATGCTCGAATGACTGAAGTGTATGCTATTGAATCAGATTATAGATAGGGGGCTTTGATTTATAATTAGAAGGGGTTATTAGACAGAACTGAGAAAACAGATGAAAGTAGGATCATAACAGTTATGATTGAATAATAAGGAGTGTCTGCAATTGCTTGCTGGATACTTACTTCAATAACTGATAATCTGACAACAAAAAAAAAACTTCAGTCTTCAATGATCCGAGATTATTTGTTGCGGGCACGTAAGTAAGGAGTGTAAGTACAATGGCCGGTTACTAATCAAACTGTTTGTCTATCGTCAAGCGATTTTCTACTTTATAATGTGTTGGCAAAGAAGAGGGATATCAAATGTAGAAAACAGCGTAAATAAACTTTTATTGTCTTGTAAATAACTTGTGGTAGGTTACACGGTGCAGCTGTATCTTTTATCTATTTTTTGACATACTTTCGTCCAGTTACTATAGATTATCGGGGAATCAGATACTTAATCAATTCGAAATATTGAGAACTCAAAAAATATTTGGTTAATTGCCTATTCAACAACAAATTTAGAATTGTATCTGTTCGTGTCTTCTATATGATTTCCAAGAAGAACATAAATTGGTTCTACTTCATCGCTTAGTTGTGATTGTGTAATATAATTATACTTCTGCGACGTTAATCACGTTCTATTAATATATCGCTCTTGACTATGCCTTTCTGATTTCAAATACTCACGCTTCATATAACACAGACACACTTTTAAAATAGGCAGGCGATATAGACGACCAAATATGGCTTATACTTGATAAGTGTTTGTATAATAGAAGGTCGGCGTTCCATACTTCTTTTGTAACTTCAGTATTTACGTTAAAGTATGTGCACTATTGTACACTTCACCCTGGAGAAACTAATTGAAATATAGGCAAGTTAGCTCACCTTCACATAAATATTGTAAATGTTACCTTTTGCTAGCAACCGGTAAATCGTTGAATAAAAATTCAATAGCTGCTGAAGTTAGCAGCAGCTTTTTCCATTTTTGCTATCATTGCACAGTGTAAAAGAGATTTCAAATGCTAAAGATCGCGCACAGTCTATTCCGCGGTGTATCCTTAAACGCTATGACTCTTCATTTACTACGAAGCCATTCAACACTTGGTACAAAAATACAATTGAGCAGCAATGTCAACAACAGATTAAGGTTAGGGGAAGAAGCATACTGTAACGATCTAAGTTCAGTAATTCAACAACCATACAATAAGATCTTGAATGAACTTGCGAAAGAGACTGAGCAAGCGTTCGAAAAATCTTTCATGATGATCAGTCCTCTGCAAGCCAAATTATTGCATCAATTGGTATGCATATTCAAACCTTGTCGAGTACTTGAAATTGGTGGTTTCACCGGATATTCAGCTATTGCGATGGGATCCGCATTATCACTATCTTCGCCCAACGCCAAATTGATATCATTAGAAAGTAACATAGAGCATATAAGATTAGCCAGTTGTTATGTACAGAAGGCGAAACTGAGTAGCGTAATTAGTTTTATTGCAGGTTCTGCAGAAGACAGGTAATCTATTTGCAATGCATACTATGTACTGACGTAGTGATTTGTCTTTCTCTAATTTTACAACTACAGCATAGAAAAATTGCATGAAATGCAACGAGGAAAACATGAAATGTTTGATTTTATTTTTCTAGGTAAGTTCCCTCCTTGATAATTAGGCTATAGCATGCGAATCATTTAAAAAGTTGAGATGACGCATACGCAATAGATGCGAACAAAAACGCGTATACGAACTACTTCGATCTAATTATGCGATATGATCTCTTGAGTGATAACGGCATCATGATTGTTGATAACGGTAAGTATCTAATTCTTATATATTCAAGATGATTTTGGTGATTTAAGACAAGCTATCAGTGTTACATTGGGGTCAGGTACATAAGGAAGCCGGATATGAAGAAGCTGCAAACCGGCAAAAGATCAGTAAAAATGTGAGAAAAGTAGCGTCGAAGGTGCATAAATTCAATAAGCATGTTAAAGAAGACCCAAGGGTCGACGTGGTAATACTTCCTTTATTTGATGGTTTATCTATTATTCGGAAAAAACATGTGTCATAAAGTCAAATGGAACCTCTGTAATAGTAGAAGGCTGTATTACATTTCTGCAGTTGACGATTACTACTATGTTCTAAAGCAAAGGAAATATTATTAAGAACAAAATTGTGCAGTTACATAAGCTTTTTTTTTTTAATTTGCTGAAGTTATAAATACAGAAAAGTAAAAGCAGGAAAACCTAGTATGAAACTATGAGAGCATTTATGGAGAGCTATCTTCAGATTGTTTTTCAAGGCGTTTTGCGCGCCATTTAGGTCCAAATTTAAGCTCGAAAAACATGGTTATCCGTGAGACAAATAGAACTGACGAGACCGTAGTAAAATACCATCCAGGACTCAATATTTTTAGCCCAGGCTGTACCGTTAATGTAGCTAGAGCTGCGAGTAGACATCTAGAAGAATTATAGAATTTCAACGTGTTAACAAGCAACCTCAGTAAACAGTGAAGTTATTCACTCAATACCTAACAAGATTATTAGATGCAATACAAGCCGCTGAATTTATAGGAAATAAGTCAACCAAAAGAGTACTAACAGCATTGAATGTCGATGTAGCGCAGTATGACACTAGTATAGCCGTACTCACACTCAGTTAGCTCTCCAAAGAAATAATGGATTGATAGAAAGACTTACGTATAAAATTGATGCTAATCGGGATTGCTATATGAAGTTTATAGAAAAGACACCAGCCGTAACAGATCATGAAAATGTTGAAAAGTAGTCCCCATATCCATGTGACACCCAGTCTAGCTCTTTCAATTGGAAAATCTGGATCTAAGGATCCTCTTTTTGTATATTTTTCGTCAATTTTTAAGGACCTTGCTATCTTGCGAAATCTCCAATTCAGTAATTTTCCGCAAGTATACGAGCCGAGTAAGGCTCCAAAGCCGTTGGAAAGATAACATAAACCGATTTGAATTTCTTGTAATCCATAAATTTCAGAGTATAATTTTGTCGAGCTTGTCATGACACAATAAAGACTTGCATACTGTAGAGAGTTATATACCAATAGAATGATAATGTCTTTTTCTTTTAGATTGAGAAAAGGTTGAAGAAGTGGCTTCAACAAATGTAGTTTGTTCGTTTCTGAGTGTTGCGTTGAAATATTTGTTTCATCTTTTTCCTCATTGAGGCTCTGTTCTGTTGAACGGGTATTGAGATGTTTGGTACATTTACCAGCAGTATTTATAATGTACGGTTGAGAGCATGCAGTTTTACTCGAGATGAAACTTTGATGAGATTGGCTAAATTGCTGTCTTTCAGATTTATATGTGGACACTACACTGTTGTTTCCTGAATCTTTAACTGCCCTTCTTTCATTGTTATCTTTTACTCGCTGCCTCCTCTCCAGTCTACGTCTCCAATACTGTAACGGAGTCGGATTGGCATAACCCGATCCATCCCCAACCAAAGACCGTAGAGTCTCCGGGAATAAGCAAATTTGCATTATAAAAACTATGCCAGCGAAAATAGCCAAGACCCACATTATCCATCTAACAAATACGGATTAAAATCGCTTCTATATGCTTTAACATGCTGAATAATCTTCGTCAGATTTTACCTCCAGCCCAGTTGATAGGTTATGATTCCACCTGTGCAGCAGCAAATAAATGATCGTCGTTAGCTTTTTGTTTGATGCAGATCCTTTTTCACTTTTTCCAAGTGATCTACCTAAAACAGGGCCTACAAGTGTGCCCATCATAGAGCCCATTGAAAGTATACCCATGTAGCCACCACGTTCATCAGGTGTTGATATGTCCCCTATAGCACCAGTTCCCAAAGCCAAAGACGAACTGGCGCCGAATGCTTGAAGTATTCTTAAGAAAAGCAGCGTTATATAGTTCTGAGTGCAGGCTAAACCAACGCAAGCGGAGAAATATATTAAAATTGTAATAATTAAAACAGGCCTGCGACCATAAGTATCAGCTATGGATCCCCATAAGCATGGCGATACGCCTTGAGCCATCATATAAACTGTGATACTCCAATGAACTTGCTGTTCTAATAATTGTAACTCCTTGTGGGATAGTGTTAACAAATCACAGTAATTGCAATCCATAATTAAGATAAAACGTACTATCACTTACTTGTCCTATTACGTTAAGCGCTGGGAAGTACATATTTGCAGATAATGGATTCGTAAAGCATGTAATGAAGACAATGGTGACAATCATTGTTTTCATCCTTTTTGATAAAGTGCTGTAAGTAGGGTTGGTGACAGTACTGCTGTTCCTTATATTTGCTTTGCTTGAAGTCTCACTCATCTTCTCTGATATGCATTCGTCATTAACCATGGTGATACTCGACATGTGGATATTATTATTAGCTACTTTGTTATCACTTTGAGTAGTACTTCTAACTGCTACGTTCATTTAAAAAAAAAGAGGAAAACTCAGTGTTTTAGTGACGTTTACCGATAATAGTACAAGTAAGAAGAGGAAAAGAGGGTCAACTGTAATGAAAAATAAATATATTCCACTTGAACGAGATATGTATGTGAGTGTAAGCTAAGCATAGATCTTTGTTTGAGGAACAATAACAAACACTGTCCAATACTAGCTTTAATGTAATGCGCCAATTTGATATGCAGTAAGAAGCAGCGCTGGGGCGAGTGGATAGCTTCCAAAAAATAAAATAAAATAAAACAATTATCGAAGGGACTTTTCAAGAAATTAGTTCTCATACAAAGACTCGCAGTATATTCAATGGTTTATAATGAAAGTGTATGCTTGGGCGTGTATCTTGAAAGTCAGTGAATGAATAGTTTCAAAGTTTTGTTTTTTCAAAATAATGCAGTTAGATTTAAATGGTATATGATTTACATGACACATAGCATGTATTAGGTTTGTTTTAACTGCACATCTCTGATATGGATATATTGGTAGTTTTGACATCAGTGAAACGGAAGTTCAACAAGGTAAAAAAAAAAATACAGCGTTTTTATGGAAACGGATAAGACTATCTCCGTTACTCTGTCAAAGTGCAACTTGCAATACTATATATCGTAAGAAGCATCTAATTGTTGTCTGCTATAAGAAGCGACATCATGATGAATGGCCTAGTAATTAAAGTAGCAATAAAAAGTTGTATAGTAAAAAACTTGATGCTTCTGTGTTCAAATAAAATCCCTTTCAATTGGTTCACTTTAACATTAATCGTCCTATTTGTATATGTATCTTATCTTAGTGCAAATTCTATGCCATAATTAACAACGATATCTATGGAGATATAGAAACTTTTGTATGAATGAAGATCCATAATGGAAGTTGTTACGGATTGGGGACTCCTAAACGTATGTTATATAGTTGCTTCATCTTTATTACTCTTCTGTTAGAAACATAAAACATAAAACAGAAAACAGAAAACAGAAAAGGACACGTTAAGTACATGGTTAAGACTGCTTTCAGTGAAAGTTGAGGCGGATATGTCTAGAACTTCGATTAGGGACGATAATACACGTGTCATATATTGCGTTCTGCCTTTTAGCCCCTGTAGAGTTATAAGAAATAAACAGTACAATTGTAAGGTACCAATAACAGAACACTTACAGTTAACGTTAAAAGTTAACTGGTATATTTGTCACAGCATTTGGGCCGGTTTTGCCAAACATCACCCCCCAAAACCCAAAACCCAAACCTGACTTAATTAAATCTAAATTTGTAAACTCAAAGTGATGTGCTACGAGGACAAATCAATAAAAAACATTACTAATGCCTATTGGGATAAATGATGACGATCTGTTTATGTTTTCAGTTTTCTTTTTTCTTTCGCACATACTTTATAAGCAAATATGCATATCAAAGGAAACACTTTCATTGTCACTGGAGGGTAGTGTACAAACCATTTTACTCTTATGCAACCCTAGTCCCTACATAGTTACTAATAACAAGTTCGAACAGTGCAAGTGGCCTTGGCGAAGCTACCGTAAGAGAACTAATTGCTCGTAGAGCTAATGTTGCTGTAAGTTTGCATCAAACAAATGGCTGACTCAAAAGCTCGTAATGTTTCAACTAATGCATTTGTTTTTCTCCTTTTGCTAGATTTTTGATTTGAACGAACAGAAAGCGTAAACTACCTGCAAAAAATTCTGAGATAGGAAAAGTAGCAGGTAACAATCTTTGACACATATCATCTTTATTTTTTTTAACAGTGAAGAGCTAGCCAAAGCATTGGGGACAAATGCCTTCACTCCCGGACAGGTTGATGTTACATCAGAGGAAGCAGTTAGAAAAGCATTACAAAAGACAGTTGACAAATTTGGAAGAGTTGCTGGTTGTATTAATTGTGGTGGAGTTGCTACAGCAGCCAAGATTGCTCGTAAAGGAGACTCATCTCGCACAATGACAATGGATTTATTTGACTTTACTGTTCGTGTCAATTTAATTGGTACCTTCAACGTTTGTAAGCAAACAGCTCAGCTTATGGCTAATCAAGAAGATGCTTCTACAAAAGAAGAAGAAAAAGGTATTATTATCAATACAGCTTCAGTCGCTTATCAAGATGGGCAAACTGGACAAGTTGCTTACGCAGCGTCCAAAGGTGGTGTAGCATCCATGTGTTTGCCCATGGCAAGAGATTTAGCATCTGCTAGGATCCGCGTCATGACTATTGCTCCAGGACTTTTCGGTAACGTCTTTTCACAGTTAGTTACTTCCACGTTGGAGTTTTGTTAGTGAACTGCATGGAAACTTACGATGAAATTCGTATAACTAGAAACCAATATGACTGCTGGTATGAATGAGCATGCCAAGAGTAAAATTCTTAAAGATGCTATCTTTCCAGCGAGAATGGGCCAACCAAAAGAATTTGCTTTACTCGCTTGTCATATCATCGAAAACAGCATGCTAAATGGTGAAGTGATAAGATTAGATGGTGCTACCAGATTAGGAAAGCTGTAGACTACGGAGTAGATAGAAATGAAATTTATTCGATAATATACAAAAAATGTAAACGATGTATTATGCTGCGTGAATGATTATGATTCTATAAAGTTGGTATAATCTTAACAAAGTACGCGAATACGAGCATGTTCTTTAAGCTTTTCAGGCGAATTTGTGAGGTTATATAACTCATCAATGAGAGCAGAACGGAAGGTACCTGGGCCATTAACATATTCACGCTTAGCGGCAACCTCGGAAGCAACTGTGACAGTAAGAATAGCAGCAACAGTTGCCAGTAAATAGTTATCACGGTTAGCGGCGGTAAAGCAGCTAACAACGGATGATACCATGCAACCACTTCCAGTAATCAATGGCAAGTATTTATCACCATTTTCAATTGCGATAACGTGCTTGCCATCAGAAACATAATCTATTGGACCAGTCAAGCCAACAATGCAGCCTGAGGCAAAAATGAAATCCATAAGCCTTGATGAGCATCGAGGAGTGATAAAAAAAGCTCAGGAAGTATGCTGCGAAGAACTTACCGTAATCATTCGCAACCTTTTTAACAGCTTCAATCATGATGTTTTCTTCTGCCTGACCAACTGAATCAACACCGCGCGCTTTGCCACCGAGACCAGCAATAGAGAGAATTTCGGCCCCGTTGCCTTTAAGCACTGTTATATCACATTCTGTTAAGAAACGTCGCACCATTTCCTTTCTGAAAGTAGTGGCACCACAGCCAACAGGATCCAAAATTACAGGATTTTTATTCTTAGCATTCGCTTTAGCAGCTCTAAACATTGTATCCAGGTTATTCAAAGTACCCATATTCAAAAGCATAGCTCCATTTACTGCCGCAAGCTCTTCCAATTCTTCAGGGTTTGTCGACATAATAGGCGAAGCGCCAACTGATAATGTGGCATTGGCATTATCATTGATAACGACGTAATCTATTCCATAAGGGGAAAGGCAAAAACTATCATGAATATTTTGAACGAGTCCATACGGTCAAGAATGTATACATACTGGTGATATGATGAACCATAGGTGTTGTAGCTTTCACATTTTTCGCAGCTTGAACAGCAAAATCCAAAACATTGTCATTGGGCTTATCATTATTTACACCAATTTTCTTAAAGCTATTGTGAATCAATTGACCAAGTTCTTCTGTTGCGGCTTTAGCATCATCAGCAGCCATAATGGCGGACACAACAGCAACGCCATTAATATGCAAGTTGCCTGTGTATGAACCTTCAATTAAGCGACATACATTCTCAGAATTAATACCACCGATAGCAACAGTAGGAATAGGCGTTTTTTCCAAGGTTTTGAGAAGCTCTATATGAATAAGATTATAACGAGGCATGAATATAAAGAGTAGAATATCAAATAACCGTAAATATCTACCTTTTACACCTTCAATTTCCATAGGCTTCTTAATGTTACTCTTAGTTGCAGTGAACCACACTGCTCCAATCCCAAGGTAGTCGGCGCCATCACGAACGGCAATAGCGGCTTCCTCGGCATTGTTACAGGAAACGCCGATGATCTTATTAGGACCTAACATCTTACGAGCTTGGATCAAAGGCATGTCGTCTTGACCAATATGCACACCATCTGCATCAACAGCTAAAGCAACATCGAGACGGTCATTGATAATTAGAGGAACGCCATGTTTGCGTGTCAATTCCTTAACCTTGATTGCGAAATCAATAAAAGGGCCAGTTTCAGTATCTTTTTCACGTAACTGAACCAACGTAGCTCCACCTTCCAAGGAGCGTTCAATTTGTCCTAGAAAAGTTTTTCCTTCAGGAACAAGTGAACGGTCAGTGACAAGATAAAGAGAGTAATCAATATTTTTCACAAGCATTTCACGTTACAAGCTCGGAATTAAGCAGTAGGATGAAGATATTTATACTTCAACTTCAAACCCGTTTTCTCGTGAGCACCTGCCATTATTCTTCCCGGTGATTGGTTGAACGAGTTTGCCCTTGATCTATGTTAGGAATCAACTCTTAAGGAATCAGGTTTTGTCTGTGACAACGATTTCCTCAGTACGTAAGTGTCACAAATGAAACAGTCCTATCAAATGCGAATGCAAAAGGCGTACAGAATGCCTTGGAGGATAAATATGAGCGTTGGAATCTGTAATAATGAAAGAGAATTTAATAGAAAAAAGAGATAACATATTATCGCTTAATGTTGTGGTTGAATTTCTGCTAAAGCAGCTGAATTTAGCTTAAGGATTGAGCATCAAATGCTCAAGTATTCCCTACTATGTGTATTATCTGCTAAGGGGCATTGGTTAGAACATTCGCCAAGTTTACCCAAATGCCTTTGGTCAAGACATGAGTTGAATGCATATGTAAGTGTTCATTTAATCATCATATCCGAGCAACAAAAATGCAGCTAATTGATATGCACAATGATGATAACTTTATTTAAAATGTTTTATTTTGAGCTTGTGATAGCTAAGTTAACCTTAGGAGGGACACTGAAACCAAACGACTTGGCCACTTTTTTGAGATCAAGCTTATCGACGTTGAAGATATTCTTGAGTTGAAAAGTTGCATATGCTTGCAAATATGATCTAAAAGCATCTCGTGCAGATTGATTAAGATAAAAGTTCTTCTCGATAATTTTCTCCAACTAAAAAGAGAACAGTGTCAGTACATGCAAATCGACATTTTTCTATTTAACTTCAAAATAACTAACGCTTGATTACCTGGCTTTGTACATTGGCAATTTTATTTTCAGGGAATTGGTATTCGTTCAAAGGAACCTTTGCTTCTTTCAAATACTTCAAGAAGCCAGCTTCGCTAGGTAGTAAAAATAGTAATGATTTCCCCTTACTTCCCGCACGCGCAGTTCTGCCAACACGATGTATGTAGTCTCTTGGGTCATCTGGTGGATCAAACTGTACAACCCAATCAACATCTGGGATATCTAGGCCTCTTGCTGCTACATCTGTACATAGTAAAATACCCTTCTCTGCTTGCGAAAATTCAAAAAATGTTGAATTTCGCTTTTGTTGCTTTTGACGGCCGTGCAATTCCATAACTGGTAGATCAATGTAGTTCAGCAGTTCGGCGTAATATTTAACTGTGTTGCAATTTGAAAAGAAAACAATCACTTTTTTCTTTTGGTTTTTGCGGAGAAAAGTGAACAAAAGAAGAAATCGCTTATCAGCCTCTACCAAAACAAAACCTTGTTCCAATCCTTCAGCTGTTGAAGTCTCATTCTTTTCATCCACATTGATATATAAAGGCGATTTAAGTGAAACTCGTGCAAGATCAGATACTTTGGTGGTTTGTGTTGCTGAAAAAAGCATAGTTTGACGTTGCTTGGGTAAGATCTTGACAATTTGCTTCATTTCCTCCTCGAAACCAATATCTAAAATACGATCTGCTTCATCGATGACAAATGTTTGCAATTTCTGGAAAATAAATCCTTGTGTATTCTAAGTTGAGAACGTTAGTGAAGTCAAAGTTTACCTAACACAACCACTTTATATTTACCTGCAAATGATCCAATAATCTACCTGGTGTAGCAACTAATAAATTGACACCCTTCGTCAACTTGTCCGACTCTGCCTTACGGTTAGCACCGCCAATAACAATCCCATGAGTGAGGTTGGAGTGATATTTGCAGAGCTCCTCAGCAACGCCATAAATCTGAATGGCCAACTCGCGAGTAGGAGAAACAATAATAGCTCCTGTACCGTGTCTAGCCTTGAAGTTGTTGCGAATCAAATGTTCGATTGTTGGAATTAAGAATGCAAGAGTTTTTCCGGAACCTGTTTTTGCAGCTCCTAGAACATCTTTGCCCTCTAAAAGAGGGGGGATTGTTTTTGCTTGAACTTGAGTCATTTCGACGAACCCCATGTCTTTTATCGCCTTCTTAGTATTTTCATGACAATCAAGCGCTTCGAATTTAACATTTAAAAAAGTTTCTGTAGGATGATTTATTGTTAGGAAATATGTTTCCTTCCAAACGGATCTACTCAAAATCTACCTTCATCGATTACCGCCTCTTGATTGTTCTCTTTCGATTCATCAAGTTGTGATTTTTCCACTGCTTCTGCTTCATGCTTCTGCTTCTTAGCTCTCTTATCAGCATGGGAGCGCTTTCGCTTCTTTTTCTCTACTGCTGTGTCAATCATTATTTCCGTATTATGTTCTGGAAAAAAAGAATAAAAAGTTACAATGATTTTGCCAAATGACGTTTGTGGCTTTATATGCGTGTGACTGTGTTCTCTCAGCAAGTAATCAGTTTCTAAGGTTTTCTTTTTTTAAGGAAGAACTCAGGAACCTGTGTTTGATCTTACCTTTTTTAGTAGACAATCTGAGTTTTATTAGGAGACGATTCTAAGTAAAACAAGACACGAATTGAGATAACTGTAAGATCTTTACACTTTAATTGGAGACATTAGTTTGAAGGTTATTAGATAGTTTTCAATTGATAGCGGCACTACGTCTAAAGCACTACGAGATGTACTGAATTTTTTTTAGCGCGACACAGGTTTTATTAGTAATAGACACAGGGTTGTGGTTTACGGGACGTTCTTTATGGATCAGATAAATTGATCTATGCGTTCTTCCGCCACATACGTAGATAACGGTTGTTGTTGTGAATCGTAATAAAAAAAAATAGATGCTGTCAAATTCGAAGCATTCAGATGTATTTTCTTTGACTTCTCCTCAGCATCTTCTTCTTCTATACTTTCTTTCCTCATTCTGATAGCTATTACTCACCATGTACAAAGCCAAAATCTTGCAAAAAATAAAATTGGTGGCAGAAGCACATAAGAATAAAGTCAAGGATGAGTCCTTCCGTAAGTAACACATGAGCGCGCTGCCGCAAATAAGTTATAGTGGTAATCCTCAGATTATATTTTGTATGACTAGTAAACATCGAGTGCAAGGATTGCAAAACACGCGGACATTTCAACAAGGCATACCATGAATGCAAGTTTTACAAAGCAGTTTCTGCGCGTGATGGTAAGTATCATGCTCTCACTGCAAGGCAAGTTTATGTTTGCTTAACGGAAATTTAGTTGGAAGTAGCGGCAAGAGACGTAAGCAATCAACTACAGTCAAGGAAGAAAAGAAGCAAGCAAGGAGAAAGAAGAAGCAAACAACTGGAGATATCAAGTGCATCAGTTGTGACTTAAAGGGTCATTCTATTTTTTGTTCCATCGAATGGAAAAGTTGCCAAGGGTCATACAGCCCAACTCGAACAATTCTGTAAAGTCTTCAACTTCAAAAAGTTAGGCTTCAGAAGGTAAAGTAGATAACACTCTGCTAAAATGATTCTGTTCTGAAGATTATTCTTTCACTTTTAACGTAGTGTTGTTGCGCTTAAGACAAACACAAGTGTGCTCTTCCGAATTCTGATTCGATCTGATGGCTTCACTGTAGACTTTTTATTTAGTCGTAAGAAGAAACCAAAAGAAGACGAAATCATTGATCATCATGACTTGACGTTGGAAGACTATTACTATGAAGAGATCACGGCAAACTGCAGACCCACATTTGTTGATCCTGGCCGAAAGACAGTATTTACAGCAGCAATCGGGTTAGAAACAGAAAGCATGAGATACGACGCTGCTCAACAAAAGAATATTACCACATGACGGGTAGTACTTGTATCAATACAGAATTAGAAAGGAAAAAAGCCAATTGTACGATGAAAGATATAGAAAGCAATATATCAAGTTGCAAAACAGGCTCACCTGAACAGTATGAAATATATACTACTCAAATACCGCAACGTTTAGAGACTCTGTTCTCATTCTACGGATCTGAGCAGAAGACTTTTTCCGAGACCATGATACTGAAGCTCTTGATGATAATGAAAGGTAGGCCAAGATAAATATGGCTGAAACAAGATTCCGTCTGTATCAAGGCAGCAAGCGTGCTGCAGACACGATGATGAACATGCTTGTTGATGGAGGTATCAAATACGACAAAGAATTACGGAAAAAAAGAAGGGAAGAACAGATGAAATGGCCATAGAAGAAGGGCAAACCTAAGCTTAATAAAAGAAGAAAACAGAAGAAGCGGAAAAAGAAAGGGAAACAGGAAGAAGAAAAGAAAGAGGAAGAGAACCACGTTCGGTAAGTCGTGTAGCGATTAACTGCCAGCTGAATTTGTGTATACTCACTCTATTATCTTGTTTCAACAAGACGATGGACCCCTGAGAAATTCAGGTTGAGTGATAGCAAAAACGTTCCTCTGATTGAATTTGGTGACGGCATGTTCAACAAATTCGCCGTTCATCTAAAAAGCCTTAGAACTGGTGTCGTTGGTGTTCTTGGCGTGCCTTGAAGCGAAAAGAGGCTACTGGTGATTTACTAGTGATAACAATTGCAGTACCTAAACTCTCGAACATGCAACAATTGCCGCTCCAACACCGTTGAAGCATTGAAGACTGTTCCAGGCCAAAGTAACCTTGCCTGTAAAGCCTGTTCGATATTCTGGAACCGGGACGTTAACGCTGCAAAAAACAGGTTGGTAATTAGCGTGTCGATATGGAAGTCAACTGGAAGACCTACTGAGTTTTGTAGAAAACCAAGGAAGTCACCCGCATCAACCGCTTAACAGCATCCTCTAATCGCCAGACCGAAACTGGCTCGATTTTTACAGGTAAACCTAAGTCTAGAAAATTGTAGTGACGGCTCGTAAATTGACCCGTCTCCACCACGAGTAAAAACACTGCAGCGAAGGAAAGTTACTGCAGCTATAATGTATAGCGCTTGACTGTAGCTACGTCGCATAATTAGAGTTTATATATTGCTATTATGAATCCGGAAAAAAAGTGCCATAGAACGATTTGATACTTTGGATCTTTCATCAAATATAATGCAATGATATTATGAACTGAAGGTGATAGCATAGGGCTGTGGTTGATGGATCACATTTATATATGACATGTTGATATCCAAATGATTGCCTGTTGTTGTTTCTTGTAGTTCTCTTCTGTCAAATTTTATCTTGACCCTTTTTTTCAACTGCTTTATTCACCTTACTAAAACGAAAGACAGACTATTATCAATAAGTAGTAGCCAATTCAAGCGTACAATATTTAAAAAACGCTGAATGCTTTTCCTCGAGTCCAAAGCATAGGGTGTACCATACTGAAAGTTGTTTGAACAAGAGGAAGCAAAAAAAAAAAAGAAAAAGAAAAGCCTTCCTTCAGAAGTGAGGATATGTTGAGGCAAATAAAAGGCTACTTGGCCAATTGTATATTGCATTGATTATTTATGCCGGTTAATAGACATAGAGGATGAATAAGTGGGGCTTCTTTTTAGTTTTCTATTTTGTGTAGAGAGAAACCAAGCAAATTTAACGAATGAAAAGCACCGTTTCTCCGGTTAAGCCACGAAAGCAGTGGTACTCACAATTTTGATACGGTGCAAGTTCTAATATGCTGTTTATTGAAATCAGCTTAGCAAAACAAATCATTCTCAGGAAAGATCTTGTTACATGCAAATAAAAAGTTGCTTTTTTTATTACCCTTGTTATGACCGAGTTCGCGTTTGTTATTACTGAAGTACAGATAATTGTGTCATATCTTTAGGTTTATAGCCATCTCCTCCGAGTAACTCCTTGGTAACCCCTTGCGCAATTCCAGTTGTATCATTGAGAACATCTCCTACGAGTTCGGCAATATCCTTGGTAGTGGCTTGAATTCAATCACTGCGATGCTATTCCCTTCCATCCTGATGAGGTGAACCACTGTATGCGTTGAAGCCTTGATTTTCAGTTCTGCTTTTAAAATACTGGCTGCTTTTAGGTGCTCTTGCAATTGACTTCATATTGATTTTTTACCTTTTTTTTTTTTTTTTTTTTTTTTTTTTTTAGGAAGGCGGGTGTTGATTTAAAAGAGATGTTTACTCTTTTAAATAGATTGCTGACGAAATTTTCTTGGCCATGAGTAGGTCGAACACGAACAGTTATATTTCGTCATTATTATCCTTGCATGAAGGACTACCGTAAATGTATAAGAGTTGAAACATTGAAGACAGCTGATCAAAGCTAATTCAAGAAGTAAAAAGCTGAATTATGTATTAGGCCCATAAGAAGTTGAGGGTTCAAGCATAAAGTAATTCTAGTATGTGAATATTAAAAATAGTGTTTGTATATCTGTTCAATTGTGTATATTTTTGTTTTTGGAGCAAAGGTCAAATATTCAGATGAGTATGAAAGTGGCGTAAATATACGATTCATGTAATATGATAAAGCCAGATAAGCACAAAAGGTTTGGGGAATTGACTGCAGACTATAATTTCTAAATGCAACAGCAGTTCAGGCTGCTTCATGTGCGGAATAATTCTTATCGACTTAATGTTATGAAAGTCCTCAGTTGGTTCCATCTCAAACATCTCTCAACTTTGTATTTTTGATCCATCAAATTATGCCGGAGATTGTGACCTGACTTCCCAAAAAAGAAAAAAAAAAAAACGTAGCTGTACGAAAGATCTCCACTTGATCAATCTTGCGTTATAATCATGCTTCGATCAAAAGCTTTTGTCAAACGTAATCGCAAAGGCAACGTTGTCAAGGTAGTGAAAGAACACTATTTGAGGGATGATATCCCCTGCTCCTCGGAAATTTGTCGCGAATGTGCCAAGATCTCCCCACCATTATTATCCAGCACTCCGAGTGGAACAAGTACAATGAAGCCCCATTATCTCATCCCAGACACCAATGTCTTTATCAATCAAGTAATATTATATTTTGAGCATTTATAATCGTTTAGTATTCTCTTTTTCCTAAATGTTTTTTCGATATAGCTCGATCTCATGGAACACCCTGCTTTCAAAGATGTTATTGTTTTACAAACTGTCAGAGAAGAGGTTCGTCATTTGAGTATTCCCGTTTATAACCGATTGAACGCAATCCTTGCGGATAAGACGAAGCGCTTCTATTTGTTTGCAAATGAACATCAAAGGTAATCTATTGTTTGCTGTTGTAATATTGTTTTTATCTTCAGGGAGAAGTTAGGATTAAAGCTTGCTATCAATTTCAATTTTATAGAGACACATTTGTTGAAAGGTTAAAAGATGAATCTCCCAACGATAGAAACGATAGGGGTAAATTTTGCAACAGTAACACTGAAGAGTTGTGTATATTTAGAGAAGAGATATGTAGGATGACTTACCATCTTATGTCTATTAGCTATTCGTGTGGCTGCAAAGTGGTATGATACCCATTTGAAGGCGTGTGGATCTGAAGCGATGATAGATATTATTATGCTGAGTGATGATAAAGCGAATAAAGAGAAGGCTGGTGCTATCGGTGTCAAATGTTGCAACGGTAACCAAAAAAATAATTGAGTTAAACAACCTAGTAACCATTTATTGATAAACTTCCATTATTTATGAATTTAGTTTGGCAGTATGTAGAAAGTAAGAAGGATTCACCAGAATTATTAGACATGGTAGCAGCTCCTAAGGCTGTTGCTGGTGATGCTATTGTATATGAAGAGGTAAATTTTTGGGGAAAATAAGCATGAGGAACAACAAGATTGTATTTAAGCATACTGACTTTTTAATTAAAACTAATAGCACTATTCGCCAGCAAAAATTAAGAATGGTGTGCAAAATGGAAAGTTGATTCAAGGTTCTTTCCAAGTCAGCATGCATAATGTCTATGAGGTATGAATAAGATCGATACTTTGTTAGTATTCAAACCACTCATTAAATTTCGATCGGCAGGGCACAATTGTTGGAGAAGTTGAAGGGGAAATGAAAACGATCTATATTTTGGGTCGTAAAAATTTCAATAGATGTATTCAAGGTGATATTGTCGCCGTTGAACTCTTACCTAAAGAGAAATGGAAACATAGTGCTTCTATTGCTATTGAAGAAGAAGATGAAGACGAAGAGAAAATGTATGGCGAAGAAGAAGTGGTAGATAGAATGGTTGAAAATGACAGCCCTCCTGAACCTACAGGCAAAGTTGTTGGTATCATTCGGAAAAAATGGAGACCGTAAGTCCTGATTTGAATAAGGATTGAAAGTATCAGGAATTGAACAGAATTATATTTTATAGATATTGCGGTTTCATCGTTAAGAACAGTGTTCCGAAAGATACACAAAGTGGTAACATTACTGTACGCTTTCGTGCTATGGATAAACGAATTCCACCCATCAAGATTAGAACAGCACAAGCTCATGCATTACTCGGAAAGCGTATCATTGTCTCCATTGATAGCTGGCCCGTTACTTCAGCGTAGGTTCAGTTTTGCCTTTTTCACCAATCAAAGACTAATCAAAGCCTTTTTTTTTAGCTTTCCCTTAGGCCATTTTGTAAAGACACTGGGGTCCTCTGGCGACAGAGAAACTGAAACTGAAGTACTGTTATTAGAGCATAATGTACCATTTCAGGAGTTTTCCAAGAGAGTCCTTGATGACTTGCCACCCGAGGGTGACAAATGGATTGTACTTGATAAACATATCAATAATGAAAAGAGACGTGATTTTAGAGACTTAGATATTTGCAGTATTGATCCTCCTGGATGTACTGATATTGATGATGCCCTTCATGCCCGTCAACTTCCTAATGGCAATTGGGAAGTCGGTGTTCGTAAGTAGTTAATCTTTCTAACCGTTCCTGTAGACAATCGGCAAATGCTTACCATTATTTCTGACATAGATATCGCTGATGTTACTTATTTTGTCAAACATGGTATGCCCATGGATGTCGAAGCGGCCAGTCGCGGTACTTCGGTATATTTAGTTGATAAACGTATTGATATGTTGCCTGCTCTTCTCGGCACAAGTAAGTAATGATAGCTTTTGTGGTGCGAATGGATTCGCTGCGTCAAACTCTCTGCTGATTTATTTTCAGATTTATGTTCACTTAGATCGAATGTTGATCGTTTAGCTTTTTCTTGCGTCTGGGTAAATATTTGTTTATGGTCCTCTTTCGTTAATCTTAAACTTAACAGCATTTTTCTTTAAGGAAATGAATGATAATGCAGAAATTATTAGCACTGATTTCACAAAAAGTGTCATCCGTTCAAAGCACTCGTTCACGTACGATGAAGCGCAAAGTCGAATTGATGATGAAAGAATGCAAGATTCTCTCACTCAAGGCATCCGAGTGCTTAATAAGTTTGCCAAGATTCTTCGTCAACAACGTATGGATAACGGTGCTTTGACATTGGCGTCACCCGAAGTGCGCTTTAATCTTGAAAATGACTCACAAGACCCAGTTGATGTTGAAATGAAAGAGTTGAAGGAAACAAATGCTCTTGTTGAGGAATTCATGTTGCTCGCTAATATCTCAGTAGCCAAAAAGATTTTCTCCAAATTCCCCAGCTGTTCAATGCTTCGTAAGCATCCTGCACCTCCCACGAATAATTTTGACATGCTTCGCAAAGTGCTAGCACAAAAAGGAGTTACCATTAACACAGAGACCTCTAAAGCTTTAGCTGATTCCTTAGACAAAGCAGTGGTAAAGTATTTGTTTGGAAGAACTTTGTTATGTTTTAAATGCTTATATTAAAAGGTTCTGTTTATTAGATACCCGGTGACCCATATTTTAACAAATTAGTTCGTATAATGACAACCCGCTGTATGATGCAAGCCCAATATTTCTGTTCAGGAACAGAAACAGAGTCTGAATTCAGACATTATGGTTTAGCCAGCCCGATCTACACTCATTTCACATCACCTATTCGTCGTTATGCTGATGTGGTTGTCCATCGCTTATTACAAGCATGTATAGACGATGACATTGATTACGGACCAGATTTAATTGATAGTCAAAAAATGAAGGAACTCTGTGATAATTTGAATTTCCGTAACAGAATGGCACAGCAAGCTGGCCGTAGTTCTGTGGAGCTGTTTACCAACTTATATTTCAAGAATAAGGTGGAGATAGAAGATGGTCGCGTGTTGCGTGTACTTAAGAACGGAATCATTGTTCTCGTTCCTAAATACGGTATTGAAACAGTCGTTTATACTGCTAAAACTGGCAGCAATTCGCCATTAGTATATAATGAAGAAGATTGCAGTTTGGTTGCTGGTGACGTGGTCATCAAAACTTTTGATGCTGTTAAGGTTGAAATTACTGTAGAAGGTGATGAACAAGGGATGCGTCAAAAAATGAATATGAGGCTTGTAGAACCTTACATTGAAGGTGTCAGTACAAAGCCCAGTGCCAGCAAAAGACCTAACGAAGAAGCAGTGGAACACAATGTTGTAAAGAAAGCAAAGAATTAAGGCAAACCCTTTTTCATTATATTTGTACATAACAATACACTGTTTTTTGTAAACTTTCTTTAATTAAACAGTAATAATCAAAACCTAAGTCGCATTTACTGTATGATTTTCTATACAAATCAAAGCAATTTGAGCTGTGATAAATATCATGGACGAAATATTCGCTTTCCACAGTAGAGAGATCAAAAAAGCTAAATTATGCAAACGGAGTTACAAACTCTCCACATTCCCATATTTGTGAGTGTTGTTCACAGGGTAACCCAAACTGTAATAAGGGCGAACAAGCTCATCCATCATATAAACCTTCTCTTATCGCCATAGTGTAAGTATATATAGCATGTTGAAGCGAGATCTTCCGCTTAATGTCATCAGAAGACAATGGATGGATTGGAAATATAGAGAAATTGAGACGGATGGGTATTCTTGGAAATATTACATAAGGGGATCAAAAAAATCTTGAAAAACAGCGGCAATGGCAGACATGCAGAACAACAAACTTGTAATTTGACAACTGACAATGTCCAAAATTTCCCATTAAAACTTGTAGAGTAAAATATGCTTGTTTCTAAGCAAAACAGAAAGGTCATCTATGAGGCCATTTTTAAGGGTAAAACAACAATGCTACGAACGTAAATGACAGTATTTGAAACAGCCCACGTTGACACATTATATACATTCAATATTCATTTGCACTTCAGATGGTGCTTTAGTCGCTCCCAAAGATTACAATCTCCCCAAGCATCCTGATCTTGACGTTCCCAACCTCGAAGTCATCAAGATTATGCAATCTTTGACCTCTAAAGGTTGTGTCAAGACTCAATTCTCTTGGCAATGGTATTATTATACCCTCACTGATGAGGGTATTGATTACCTTCGTGAATGTAAATATCAATCAGATTACAGAAAATATACACACATTTGTTTAGCATCTGTTTTCAACTTGCTCAATACTTACTATCTATTTTCGCGACAACGTTACTGTTCATCGACATTTCAATAGATCTTCATTTGCCTCAAGAAATTGTTCCCGCTACTTTGAAGAAGACTGCTCGTCCTGCTGCTCCTCGTCGCTGTAAGTACAAATATGGGACAACGATCTATTTTATTCCAGTAGCTAAATTTTTACTTTCTATATTGTAGTTGGTGGTGAAGGCCGTGAAAACCGTGGTCCTCGTGGTGACCGTGGTGATTACAGACGTAAGGAAGGCGCTGATGGCGACTTCAAGCCCGAATTCAGAGGTGGTCTTGGTAAATAGCATTTATTTCAAATGTGTCTGTATTATACGTACCTTTTCATTAACAAGATTGTTTTACATTTTCTAGGTCGTGGCAATCGCGAATAAATAGACTGTTTCTTTGTTATCTTGAATTTTTTTTTCTCTACTACATATGTAATCAGAGAACTTCATGTATGATAACGCCTCCATTTTGTGTATTAAATATCGTTTGAATTTATTCTTGCATAAAATGTATGATTGACCTTTATCTGAATGTTTTGGTATCTGTTGTGCTTTTTGATTTGGTTCCTGTTTCCGCTGCATAAATGTCTGCTTACAAATTCGAGTATTTTGTTTCACAAACTTCGGGCCGGACTTTGTATGAGAGCAGCAGACAGAATTGCAATTACTTTGAACAATGAAATGCTGCAAGGGAAAGCATTTATTGAGCCTTCTCTTTAACACTAAAAGGTAAACTCAATCCATCCATCCATTTAATATAGCATATTGTTTCATCGACGACAGCATAGTGGAGTATATATAATGACGATATTATCATTAGTTGCAACAGCGAGAAAGGTTGAATCATAAACAATGCAATTTTGGATTTTGAATACATTTCCGTAGTCATCTTTATACAGCTAATTCGCAGCATCCTTACTTCGCAGTTGTCAATGGAACACCTCAACTGATTTATACGACTACAGCTATTACAGCTATTTCACAACTAATATACTCCACTACCTGCTCGTTGAAATTGTGGATTTAGCAGTTGAGATTGGTATTGACCCTTTATTTCCCTTCAATTTTACACAGTAGTCAAAATGGGTCGCCGTCCTGCTCGTTGTTATCGTTACTGTAAAAACAAGCCTTATCCCAAGTCCAGATACAACCGTGGTGTCCCTGATGCCAAGCTTAGAATTTACGATTTAGGTCGTAAGAAGGCTTCTGTTGACGAATTCCCTCTCTGTATTCACTTGGTCTCTAACGAATACGAACAACTTTCTGCTGAAGCTCTTGAAGCTGGTCGTATCTGTGCTAACAAGTACATGTCCAAGACCTCTGGTAAGGACTCCTTCCACATGCGTATCCGTGTTCACCCTTACCACGTCACCCGTATCAACAAAATGTTGTCCTGTGCTGGTGCCGATAGATTGCAAACTGGTATGCGTGGTGCTTTCGGTAAGCCCAATGGTCTCGTTGCTCGTGTCAACATTGGCCAAATTATCTTCTCCGTTCGTTCCAAGGATTCCAACAAGGCTGTCGTCATTGAAGCTTTGAGACGTTGTAAGTACAAGTTCCCTGGTCAACAAAAGATCATTGTCTCCAAGAAGTGGGGTTTCACTCCTCTCTCTCGTGAAGACTACGTTGAAGCCCGCTCCAAGGGTTTACTCAGACCTGATGGTTGCTACGTCAAGTTCTACCCTCAAAAGGGTCCTCTTGCTGATTACTACAAGGAAGTTTCTAGAGCTTAAGTGTTTGGCAATAGAATCAATAAATTTGTGATTTAATATTCTTGAACGCTTTCATATTGTAAAATGGTTTTCATTACGATAAATCTTGTCCGGTTTATTCGTTGAGTACGGAGGATAATCTCCGGGAATGGGATGTGCATGATTGATACATAGCGCTCGATTGATAAATCTGTTGATGAGGATTGTTAGTGTTATTATTTCAGAAAGCCACAGGTTTAGATGTATTTGGTGATCACTTTTGAGCGCATAGATTCTCACTACTTTGTTTTCTGCTAAATGAGTAATTCCTAAAATTCCTGAATTTTCTATGCTGCTTGCACTATCTTTCGCTTTCAAATAAAAACAAACTATGCCTCTGATTTGATCTGACCAGTAGTACTCAAAATTGAACTTGAACCTTTACTGTTGAAGAGGGGGCTACTGTAAGCGTGAGGCTGTTAAACTAACGATCATTCAAATGAAAGACTTTGGCCCGGCCCTTATTTTAATATAAATACCACTTTACATATCTTTTTACCAAAATTCCAGGCATTGCTTTTTGTAAGTTCTCTTCTTTTTGCTTTTATAAAAGCTATATTCCGCTAATCAAAAAATGACATACTGTCGACATATTAATATTCTTCGGGTTTTTATATTGGCTTTCAGTCTTATAGGTCTAGCATGCCATTCAGCACAATGCGCCCTATTATCAGCTTACGAAGATCAAGTAAGCATAAGTATTTTATTGTTATCTTGAGAAGGGTCAAAAATACATTATGAAGCTATGTAAATCAGACTATTCAAATTTACATGGCAATGAACTTTCATAAATATGATTACATTAGGCTAAAATACCGGGATGGTTTCAATCTGGTCATTGGCAGGTAAATGATAGATCAATTGTAGTTCCCATATAAAATGACACATATTCAAAGAAGATCAAGTTTGCTTACTAATTTTTATTTGAATTCGATTATAGTATTTGGCGTGGTTTATAACATTTTGCCTATCATTAGTCAGTGCCTTTATAATTTGCATCAATGCAACATATTGCAAACATGGCCATGGAGTAAAGGCGGATAAGACTCTTGGAGGAGTCAACCTAGCTTCTCTGGCTGTCACCATTACAATTAATACATTCCTCAATGATCAGGAGCCATGGACAAACGGGATAATTGAATTTACTCAACCGACAAGAGGCCTCAATTTTCATTGTACGTTGCTCGATGAGAGTCATGATGCCACGTACCCCTTGTTGTTTCAAAGGTATTGTTTTACAAGTGCACGCTATTAAGGGAAAACATTACTTCTTCGTAGCAGGTTGAAACAGAACTAAGTTGTGTACTGAGCATCTGTGTTTTTGTCCTTCTAAATTATTTTTGTCTGGTTGTGGACATAGATGCGTATTGATCGATTGCACATATGTCATAGCTGTTATTACTGGTCATTTCTGGATGTTTTTAATTGTCTTTGCACACTTCTTCACTAGAAAAGAGCAAAAGTTTACAGCTAAATCGCAAAAAAATACCAAATTGGTAGTTAGCAAGGGTAACCGCCAGAGTAACTATAGCTATAATAATGACAGCTGGAAGATAGCTACCATGTCAAAGCACACTACTCTACCTATGGCGTTCAACGACGATTTCTATCACCATTTTAGTGCAGCTACTGGACATAAGCCGACAAAAGGTCTGCCTCACCATAGCATTTTACCGCAACATGATTTACAGCAACAAAAGGCTTCTAAATACGCGAACAACATCATCAACTATCCACCTCTACCTAATCTTACATACACAAAGAGTAATTCCAGCCATAGAACTTACACTGATACTGATCTGAATCCATGCGGGAAAGGAAACAGTGGCAGTGAGGGAAATTATGATCATTACCGTCATAGTAGTCCGATCGTTGCTGCTCCAACTTCACCATATCAATTTAACAGTTATTGGAACAACAACAACAACAACAACAACAACAACATCAAGCATTACTCTTCTTTGCCGCATCAATACAAAGAAGCTCTAGCTACTAACACGAATGCTGCTAATAGTAACTGGACGGCCGAGGACTACAGTTGTCCACCTTCAAGGATGCCATCCCTCGGTCGATCTACAATGACACAGCAATACTATCACGAACTGTAATCATGTACCATATGCCTTTATGCACTATAATTAGATCAAATAAATTTGAAGCTTTTAATCTTTACAAAGCACAAGTAATACGTCTTTCTAAGTACATATTTGATATATCATTTGCATTAAAAAAAATGAGAAGTAGACTTCATTTTCGTTCAACGCCTATTTAGCGGGTTTTGAGTTTGCTTAATCCGTTCCGCAGTTACTGTTTCTTTTCGGAGTTTTTCTGAAGGAATAATTTTTGCCCTCAACAGGAACATGCGTAAGCCATGGTCATGAATTGGGTATTATTCAAAGTTGGTTTTTTTTTTCCCAAGCAACCTATAATAGAGGTATATTGAACGACCATTTATACTCAATTCTGCTTGGGAAACGATAAAACTGATAAAAACTACACGAACAGTTAAAAGACTAGGGTCATTGCTGGACTTAAATTGGGATGAACCTCTAATTTCAATCAGTTTTTCCCAAGTAAGACATCGTCCTCACTGGTACTTAAAAAGGTCCTCCTCGCCTCCCCTTTTTCTTTTTCCCGCTCTTTTTAATACTATCTATCTCAATACTAGAAACAAAAAACAACTGTAGATTATGATAGAGAATATTTTTAACGCTAATTTCCCTCGTGATGAAGAGGACAGAGTGTATCACCTGGGAATTAAACAGGGCAATGTTGCAAACCGTATTTTGACAGTAGGAGATCATGTCCGTGCGAGAAAAATTGCAGCCTTATTGGATCCTGAAGAAGAAACTGGCCATCCCATTTTTGAACATTTGAGCCAACGTGGATTTTTGACTATTACAGGTAGATATAAAGGTGTACCTGTCAGCATCATGGCTATGTAAAGTAATCTAATAGAGAGATATGAACAGTGCAGAGAGACAGAAGAGAGAGAGAGAGAGAGGGTGTGTGTGTGTGCGTGTGTGTGTGTGTGTGTATGCCCATTTGTTATTATTGTTATTCCACCTTGACAGGTTGCTTATCAGCCATAAATAGATGGAAGAGGTGACGATTGTAGTGAAGCATTGAGATTATTTATTCATTTATCTTCATCCTCCACAATAGCGGTATGGGAAATCCAATGATGGACTTTTTTATCAGAGAAACTCGTGCTAGTGTAGAAGGCACCATGGCCGTCATTCGTTTTGGTTCCTGTGGAACACTCTCCCACTTGGCACCACCGGGTGCGGTCATAGTTCCTTCAGGAGGTTACTGTATTCGACGTAACATTGACTATTTTGCGGATGAACAACAAAATCCAGAACTGAAAGATAAGCCTTATGTATTCTCGGGTATTTTTAAAGCAGACGACGAAATGACGACTATTTTAGCAGACACATTAAAGACAGTGATGGCTCCAGTTGAAGCTAAATATGATTTTGTTGGTCCCGTTCTTACAGGCGGACTCAATGCAGATGGATGTTCTTTTTACTCTTCACAAGGTCGACAGGATGCTGCCTTTTGGGATGATAATGCGAACTTACTGCGAGATATAATTACAAAGTACCCTAAAACTCATTCATTGGAAATGGAAACATCCATGTTATTCCATTTGGCGAGATGTGCTCGCGACACTCAACGACCAATCCGAGCAGCTGGATGCATGCAAGTATTTGCTGATCGCTTGACGAATAGTTTTATTGGTCCTGACGCTGTTAAAGTATTGGAACCCTTGGTTGGTAAGGCATGCTTGGACGCCTTGATTAAGGTTAAAATTGAGGATGAAATGCCCGTGGCAGGCACAGTCTGGGAGCCTGCGAATGAGAAGCGTTTACAATCACTATAAAGCGAGCACAGACGTATTAAAGAGGTTAATTAACTTTATCCCACATGCAAATGTAACATTATCATATGATTTTTTTGTATATACAGCTTAGATATTATCGGAATATTGTAATAAACTAACAGTCGATAGTCTATAATCACCAATGAATGGCTAGTCAGACACAATTGTATGCTATTTGAAACGAAGAGGCGTGATTTCTAGTATACCATTTATTTTGAGGAGACTACCATGATATTATCAGGGATTACCACGCAGTACGACCTTCAGAGAAACTTAATGTCATTTTTTCCACGCTAAAGTATGCGCAGTAGTATATTTGTTTATTTGGTAACTCATGGATTCACACACAATCATACAAACCTAATTTCCAGGTACGACCTTTGTTACTACAACAAAAAATCACTGGAACGTTTGAATCATTCGATACCCTCTTTAGTTAAAATAGCTCATACAGAAAAGGAGAGCGAGAGGAGAGGGAGAGAGACGAATCTAGTATTATTTAACAGTTAAACCGCAGCGAAATGTTCTAAATGCTCTTGGATGTCTGAATTGTTCAACTATATGGCTTACTAGCAGATCGATGTACAAGCGACCAATAAAGGACAATAAGCCATGCTTAAAATATGAAACAGCATGATCGATGTACTTATGATACAATATTGCGACGATGGTTGTTGAAAGACGTGATTTAATCATCCCACATCAGCACTCACGAGCGTATTTGTATTTACTGAGCTGCTTCTTTAATCATATGCTTGAAAGCAACATGCATTTTTGTAACCGCTATTTTTAGACAAGCATTTTGTACCATTGGCCGATTGAGTAAACAAAAATAACAAAAGTTGGCACAGTTTAAAACAAGCAGAAGTCTGTGCTCCAAAACATGGAATTTTGCCATATACTTTTCATAAAAAAAAAATGCAGTCCATATTCATGATGTGAGCAATGGCACCCCAAAAAGCTCCTGTCCAATTATTTCCATTTTTTTTTAAAAAAGCAGTGTGCCCTTTTGACACCCAACAGCTCAGTATAATATTAGGGCTGTAAATTGCAAAATTGTGAGTAGCAGGAAGATAGTTTAAATGTTGTCTATTCACCCTATACGTAGATTGTGACTCCAATTCCATAGTTTGTTTTTTATTTTTCTTGTGTGATACGTACCTTACCAATGCTGCTTTCACTCCTTTATTCTTTAACAACACTATCCTATTGGATCTCTGAACATGAATACACATAAAACAAGAATACCATCTTTAAATTTCAAAGCAGACAATGAAGAAGAGCTATCAAGTAGTAGAGAAGTAGGCAGCTGAAAAAAAAAAAGGCATGGTTCATATGCTATAGACGAAACTAACAATTTTTCTTGGACATATATCAACCTACAGACTTCTGATATGGAAATTGATAGTGACTACAGTCCTCCTGCAGAATTCACTGACAGTATCAGGAGAAGTGCCGTGCCGCGAATGTCTGCATATCAAAACATGGCATCTAGATCTTTTGAAAAAGAAGAAGAAATAGTAAACCGTTATTCTAACCTCTTGTCCCACAGCAATGTCCAAGTTAAAGAAACAAACAATGTTATAGAAGAGGAGCTGGAGGAGAAGGAGGACGACAAGGAGATTCAATGGCCATTCCACCTCTATCAACCTGCTGACGATGTTGTCCTGAACCAATACTATCCAGATAACGCTTCTTCTATTGACTTTGTTCCCAAGATGGAAATTCAGGATAGTAATCGAATAAAAGGCGGTTTCATCAACTCAAATCACTACAGTGAAGCTGCCTACTCAAGAGACGCCCTAGCCCGACTTATGTAAAGTACCTCATATCTCCATTTTAAAATTGAGTATGAATTAAGAAGGTCTGATTTTAATTACACGTTAAGTAGCGCCACAGATTGTGAGGAATTGTGTCAGGATATTGTGGATCACTACCAAATGCTGCAATTATAGTGCTAGTTGGAAAAAAACCAAAAAACAATTAAATCACAGCAATAATTACCCAAATTTGTTAGTGATCTACTTTGTCTTACACCAAGTTAAAAAGTCAGTTACCTTACAGAGACAAGGAGAGCCTTTCTTTTGGGTACTATATAGCAATATGATTGGAAAAGAACAGATAACCTACCCAAATAAAGCAAATAGATTTGTGTTGGCTTTTATTCTTCTACTCCTTTGGAAGGCAAGCTAGATGGCTATGACATAGTTTTATTATGGTTTCCCTTTCTTAATATGATATGTACAGCATTGTCAAATGAAAGTCCGTAAGTTAAAGGCCAAGAAAAACAAATTTGTTGACCCCGCACTCCACAGATCTTCTACTTGAATAAATGCACATAGAAGATCTAAAAAAAGCCGAGGAAAAAAAAAGCCAAACTGGTGCGTACACTCTATCTGTAAAGGATCTGGAAACTTTGTTAAGTATTCAAGCATGAAATGAGCAAAAAATAAGCTTCTTGACAGCTTATTAAATGTTTGGCTTTGATACAGTAAGCGCCGTTGCTTTAAATTTTTTTTTTTTGTTGGCTACACAAAATTTGAAATAAACGAAACAGAAAAGTGTATAAATAAATCTAAGAAAAGCCCAATCAGTTTATTTTAGTTTCTCTCCTTTTCCCTTCCCTTTTTTCTTGTTCTAGCACTCACTTTTCCGAGAGACCCTCTTTTAATACCAGCGATAAACTTATAACATGTCTGAAAACGTCATTGCTTCCCTTCAAGTTGGTCGTAACTCACCTTCCATGACTGTTGAAGAGTACAGAGCTCGTAAGGTAGCTCTCATCACTGGTAAGAATCTACTCAACCCTAAATAATGTGGTAGGACGTTATAGGAAAGATTTTCTGATTCACCTCATCGAAATGTAGGTGTTACTGGTCAAGATGGTTCCTATTTGACAGAATTTTTGTTGGAAAAGGGCTATGAAGTCCACGGTATCATTCGTAGATCATCTTCTTTCAATACTGGTCGTATTGAACATATTTATAAGGACAGACATGACCAAGGTAGAGTATCAATCTGTTGTGTAATGCGTGGTTGTGGTTTGTTTGATGAAATAGAAACGGGACAAATGATGGCTATGGGACTTTGAACAATACACCAAGGAAACCTCATTTTCTCGTTTTTTGTTTTTTGTTTTTTTTTTCTTTTTTTTTTTTTTTGTAAACTCAACAATTTTTGATAACTTTTTGATGTACTAGCAGGTGTCAAGTTCTTCCTTCACCATGGCGATTTGACCGATTCTACCTGTCTCGTGCACATTATCTCTCAAGTTCAACCTACCGAAGTCTATAATTTGGCCGCTCAATCTCACGTCAAGGTCTCATTTGACATGTCTGAATATACTGGTGATGTTGACGCTCTCGGCACACTTCGATTATTAGATGCAATCCGTACTTGCGGTCTTGCCGACCGTGTTCGTTTCTACCAAGCCTCTACTTCTGAACTCTACGGTAAGGTTGTTGAGACCCCTCAAAAAGAAACAACCCCCTTCTATCCTCGTTCTCCTTACGGTGTTGCCAAGCTCTATGGTTACTGGATCACTGTCAACTACCGCGAATCATACAATATGTATTCCTGTAACGGTATCTTGTTTAACCACGAATCCCCTCGTCGCGGTCGTACTTTTGTTACTCGTAAGATTACCCGTGCTGTCGCTGATATTCACCTGGGTCGTCAAGAATGTTTATATTTGGGTAACATTGATGCTAAACGTGATTGGGGTCATGCACGTGATTATGTAGAGGGTATGTGGCTCATGCTTCAACAAGAAAAGCCTCAAGATTTCGTCCTAGCTACTGGCGAAACACACACTGTCCGTAGCTTTGTTGAGAAGGCCTTTAAGGTTACTGGTCGTACCATTGTATGGGAAGGTGAAGGTGTCAATGAAATTGGTAGAGATAAGGAAAGTGGTAAGGTACGTGTCCGTATTGATCCCAAGTACTTCCGTCCTGCTGAAGTCGATCTCTTGTTGGGTGATCCTACCAAAGCCAATGATGAATTGGGATGGAAGCGTAAGGTCAGCTTTGATGAATTGATTACTGAAATGGTTGTTGCTGATATTGAAGGCAGTCTCAGCTCTTCCACTTTGGTGTAATAAAAAGATACAGAGCCTTTTGACTGTTTTGATTTTTCTTTTTATACTTACATTTCAAAATCGTTTTATATCCTTCATATATATTACACTTATAGAGAAGAAAAAAAAATCACTGTAATAAGCTTATCATATACATGCATATGCAAATATACATAAGCATATATCTATATATTACTTTCCCCTTTATTTCACCAACAACCCTCTATTACTACTGTTATATCCGTTCATATCACTTTAATCCATTCTGTTTGTAATGTATCACAAAATTAAATGAATTTCTTTAAAAATATTGCATTAAAACCCTTATTTGGAACTACATTTGAAAAGAAAAAGCCTGCTTACGTCCAAGCTGTACTGCAAATAATGTCTGTCTTAACTCGACTCTGTACCATACTCCTGCGCGATGTCCAAGTATTTATGCCCTCAGACCTCTACTGCGTGGCATAGAGGAATAGGACGCATGTTTCCAAACCTACTTTATTGTAGCTTCTTTGACTACCACTACTGTTGCCTCGCAGAAGGAAAAAGGCCTAGCAGTACTGTAACATTGAGAGAGCATCGCGGACTTTCTTTTTTTTTAAGTCTATGAAAGAGCTTGAGTAGCTTTTGAATACAGTAATGCGTGCTAAACGTTTATAGCCGATTATCCTATTGTTTTTTCTTGATCTGTTTTTTTCCCCGGCTATGGAAATACAGTGTTTTAGCTTCAACTTTATACTTTATACAAATTTTATTGGACAATATATATATTTAATTTAGATATTTTGAATTACTTTAGGATGAAATGGTATAATATTCTTGGACGATTTATTGAATAAATAATTGGAAACATTATTTTGAAGGTCAGTGGACATTTTTCAATTGATAGTGGCATTACGTTAAAGTACTACGAGACTTATTGAGTATTTTAGTGTGACACAGGTCTTATGAGCAATAGATACAGGGTTGTGGTTTACGAGACTTTATTTATGGACCATATGAATTGAACTACGCGTTAAACTGATCCCAGGCACGTTCTTCCGCCACGTAGATAACGGTTGTTGTTGTCAATCGTAATAAAAAATAGATGTTGTCAAATTCGAAGCATTTAGATGCCTTTCCTTTGACTTCCATCTTCTTCTTCTATACTTTCTTTCCTCATTCTGATAGCTACTACTCACCATGTACAAAGCCAAAACCTTGCAAAAAATCAAATCGGTAGCAGAAGCCCATAAGAATAAAGTCAAAGATGAGTCCTTCCGTGATCCAGGGCGAAGATCTGTCTTCACAGCGGCAATCGGACTAGATCATAACAAACATCAAGTACCCAGCTGCTCTACCAAGGAATATTATCATATGACCGGAAGTACCAGATACGCTGCAAAGCTGGAAAAGAAGAAAGCAGGCACACTTAAAATGATCGAAAGTGGCATACCAACCGCCAAAACTTCTATCATCGAACAACATGACCGTCATGTACAATATATATTGCAGCACTTGGAAGCCTTGTTCTCTTTTTACGGCGAGAGAACTGCTGAAGAACGATTTCGTTTATACCAGGGTCAGGAGCGTGCTGCCGACAACATGGTCAATTTGCTTATTAATGGAACTACAAAGTACAATAAGCAATTGAGGTTGAAGAAGAAAGAAGATCGAAGCAAGTGGCCAAAAAAGAATACCGACAGAATGGCCTTTTGTAAACGTAAAAAGAAGAAGAAGAAGAAGCAAAAGGTTCCAGAAGAGAGGGAAAAAGCAGATGCGAGAGAAGTAAGCGATGTTCTCGCTAAGAAAGATAGGTAAGGTGTATAAATGATAAGCAATTCATCCACTATTCGCAGAAATATTGATAGAACTCATGCTTTCTACAGCAATTCCCTGAAGAACAAGTGGAAGCCTGAACCCTTTAGTGTAGGCGACACTAAAAAGATCCCTTTGATTGTAGTTGGTAATGGCATGTTCTGGAAGAGTGCAGTGCCCATCAAAGGCCATAAGATTGGTGTCCTGGGAGTTCTTTGGCGTGCCTTGAAGCGAAGAGAGGTTGCTGGCGATTTACTGACGATAACAATTGATGAATACAAAACCTCTCGAATATGCAATAATTGTCGTTCCAACAATCTTGAAGCATTGAAGACAGTTCCCGGCCAAAGTATCCTTGCCTGCAAAACCTGTTCGATACTTTGGAACCGGGACGTCAACGCTGCTAAAAACATGTTGGCAATTAGCGTTTCGATCTGGAAGTCAACGGGAAGACCTGCGGAGTTTTCTAGAAAACCAAAATCACCCGCAACAACCACTTAACACCATCCTCTAATCGCCAGCACGAAGCTGGTTTGATTTTTACAGGTAAGCGTCTCAATTTTGTGTAGTTTGATCTTGAAATTATAACTTAATAATCTCAAAAGTTTACTTTTTTCGTCTATTTATATTGCGGCTTCATCTAAATCCAAAGCTAAAAAACTGTAATGACGACGTCTGGGCCTGTGACTCTCCCGCATTCGGCGGGATGTTAAAGTATCAGTATATGATCAATTTATTGTCACAGGAGCCCAACGACAATTTATAATTTTCGCTTTTTTTTTTTTTTTTTTTTTTTTATTTGCTTGTATTTATACTTCCTTTCACCTTTATACACTTCATAGATATATCCATATTCACATATCATTTTGCAACAAATTCCTAACCTACATATAAACTAGCAGACGCGACGATACTCATTTGTTTATATTAATAGAAAACAACTCAAAAAATGTCTCTTACACCAGAACCCAGCATAGGTGGCCAATCAAAGCCTAATAAACGCAAACCTGGCCTTCGTCTAACGTCAAAGCATCTCCAACCTGCATCGTCATCTCCATCACCTACTTCGAATACATACATGAGCCATCCTGCTAGCAACACAATGCGTTTTAGAGAACAACTGGGGAATATAGTCAACGGTGGACCTTTGTCAACCAGTACGTCAGGCACCTCAGGACAGAAAACAACGTCAGGACACACCATGGAGGAGGAAGAAGCTTCTCTAGCGGCTTCTTATCTAAAGTCTCAGCAACAACAACAACAACAACAACAACAACAATTTGATACAGATAGCATACACCATAGCATTAACAGTGATGATCATACTATGACAAGTAATAGCAATATTTCAATAAAAAACCAAGATATGCCAGTTTTACGTGAACCTCCTCTTCCACCTGTACAGCAACAACAACAACAACTACCCACACAATCAAATGTAGATAACAATGAATCAACGCATACCTTTATGGAAGTCAAAGCAGAAGATCTACAAACGCTTTCGAGGTTAGGCGAGGGTGCGGCCGGTACCGTACGTAAAGTATTACATAAACCAACCCAATTGATTATGGCCAAAAAGGTAATTTTGAATGTTTTTAACCTATAAAGTCAAGTTTAACGAAAATTGAACACACCGTCTTTACCGCGTAGTCTATTTCAACAGAACCTGACCCAGGTGTTCAACGTCAAATTCTACGTGAGCTTGCATTTTTAAAGACATGCGATTCACCGTACATCGTGTCCTTTTATGGTGCATTTTTGGATGATGGTGACACTACCGTATCCTTATGCATGGAATATGCTGAAGCGGGTAGTTTGGAAGACATATATAAGAGAGCCCGAGACTTGGGTGGTGTCATTGGTGAACCAGTGCTAGAACGTATTGCTGAATCCGTAAGTTTACAAGATGGTTGTTTCCCCCATCAAGGCCTTTCTTTTGCTAATATTATATCCTTAGGTTTGCAAAGGCTTGGTATACCTACATTCGAAAAGAGTCATTCATAGAGGTAAACCTCAAGCATATTCATGTTTTATGTAGAAAGGAGGCTTGACATTTATCTCTTCTTAATCGTTTATTCCAGATATCAAACCTTCTAATATTTTGGTGACACGAAAAGGAGAGATAAAACTTTGTGATTTTGGTGTTTCTGGCGAACTGATCAATTCTATCGCACAGACATTTACAGGAACGCAGTACTATATGGCTGTAAGTTGTATTACATAGTACAAGATGTTTCTACTAGCTTATTGATATCTATCTTATCTCTCTTTATACATGCGTATGTACGCACATATACACACATATATTCATACGTATAGCCTGAACGTATTCAAGGAAATGCATATGCTGTCCAATCTGATATCTGGTCGTTAGGTCTGACTTTAATTGAAGTGTCGCAAAATCGACCCGCTTTACCTCCTCCAGATCAACCTCATTTATCTATTTTCGAATTGCTCGATTTTATTGTACGTCAACCCGTACCTCAAATACAAGGTGATCACATCTCGGATGAATGTAAAAACTTTGTAGCTGTTTGGTAAGTCTACTTGTTTCTTCTTTTTAATTTCTTACCCTGTAGTAAGCGGTGACAAGGAAGACTAAACACTTTTTATGTATCAAAAATATTGTAGTTTGACGAAGGATCCTAATTACAGACCTACACCTGCTCGCATGTTACAGCATCCTTTCATATTGAAATGGGAAAACGTACATATGGATTTAGGACAATGGGTCAAAGAAGTCTGGGGCTGGGATTAAGGCCACAATGTGTTCATTTCTTTAAAAAAAACTATTTCATTGTGTTTGAAAATAAAAAATGGATAAAGAAAAAAACCAAAGAGCTTCTCAGAAATACTTTGTAACATGTAATAGTACGTTATTAACTTTATAATTGTTCAAAAATATTCTATGACTTTTTGTCTTGTTTTACCCTGTCAGTTTGGATCGTTTTACGATTGATAATGTGTGGTAATTATACTTATTAAATATATGATAAATTAATATGGTGGAAAAAGTAATAAATGGTGATATGCTAGCTGTGGGTTAACAATACAAATTGCAATTGTGTTTTACAAGTAAAAACTGGTATGCTTCCCTTGAGATTAGGCAGCAACTACCATTCTTCATCAAATAAACCAGGAATAATGGTAGCCTCCCCTAATTCTGCTCCATGAGCGCCGCGCGCTTGTCTTGACATAAACACTGTTTTCTCTTTTCGTTCCTTTCTAACCTCGAATTGCGGTGGTAATTCAGGTAAGCTGAAATAACTAGGCGGTTGTTCTTCACTGTTACCATTGCCATTATTGGGCGTCTGCATTAAGGCAGCTGTTAAAGGACCGATCAATTCACTGGGCAATCCTTGCGGTGCAGGTGGCTCGTCCAAATCAGCATCAAAGAAGAGCGGACATTCCAAGGATTCACGGTAGTGTTGAATGGAGGTTATATCGCGAATTCGAAGTAACTGGTCGTTAGGAAGATTAGCAATACTGAGAGGGATAGAAAATTCACTGACATGTGCTGATTTGAAAATATGTCCTTGCTCAACGGTCACCTGAAAGTAAAGGTCGTAGTAAACGCGAGTGTGGCGTGAAATGAATGAAGGTGACACAAGGCGAGTGGGCACATCGAATTGAATATTTTGAGATAATTGTGTACCGTTGCCAGCATTTGAACTAGGGCCGGTAGGTAGATTGACAGATTCTTGATGGATGGTGCGAATGCTTTCTTTGAATGCCGTACCTTGTTGAACCAGCATTTTACCCTCATGGTGTTTACGGAATTTATATGCCACACTAGTGATTTTTGCATCAGAATGAAGTACTGTCATATTCAACTGCATTCTAAAAAGCTCATCTATAAACATGGATGAGACAGTTAATAATCACAAAGGCTTGCATACTATGCATTTTCTAGTTACATACCTGGACAATACGTCTGCTTATCCAATTTCGCTTGTACCTCTGCTAATGGCTGTTTCTTATCTTTTATTAAAGTTGTTTTGTATACCCACTCCTTGTCTATACAAATGTCAAAAGAGTTTAACGAAGCTGTTCTTTTGAGCGCTCAAGACTACGCGTTGAAACATGAAATCTCACCTGGTGATGATACGATGATAGGCCTGTAAGGAGTGATATACTCTCTACTCTTTATACCTGATTGTAAAGCCGGTCCATCTGCTATTGCTGTCCATATATAGCGAACTCCGAAACCAGCGGGCTCTTCCATGGAAGGAGGATAATTGACATTTGGAAACTAATGAAATATGCATCAGAGACGCTGACTATAGCTTTCCTGAAGACACTTTTGGGCTTCCTCTTACCTTCAATGCAAATGGATATTCATAATGACCAGGTTCAACCTCTTCCCAAGCACATTGTGAATAAGCTTAAAAGTTTATATATATATATATATATATCAAATAGAAAGAAAAAGGAACTGTTAGAATAACTTGAACAAATCGATTGTCTGAACCACATAACGAGGTATATCTTTACTGTATTGTACCTGATGCTTCTTGTCCATGCAGCTTCCATTCAGTTTGAAAGAACGTTGTCACCATTTCATGTATCCATTCTCCTTTGCCATCAACCCCACCTTCGTCTACTTTTACTGTAGCTGCTTCTTCTGCTCTAAACTATTCGAACAGTACAACGCCAATTTTGGTTAGTTAGTTAAACGACACCCGCTCCCCGTCACACGACGCAATGGATGCATTGACGCAATTTTACCCTAATTTTAATTCGCGTGACATGTAGTCTTTCTGATAAATTCAAAACAACTCTTCCACGAATAATTCTGTTGGGTCGAATAATGACATGGTTTCCACCATCGAATTCGATGCTCAAAACGGGTATATTATTCACTGGTGCAATGCTCTCACGTCTACTGGAAGAAGAGAAACTATTTCGATTGGATGCTGCAGTATCATTGGATGTACTGTTGGAGGATCGAGAACTAGATGTGGTTGTAGTTGCTGTATTTGTACCCGCGAGGAAGGTTCCAAAGGAGGGTGCACTTGAAGACAGTTGACGGGAAATGTTGGGTGGTTGCGAATTATCACGGCGACCACCACCTCCTATGGGAATGGGATAAACAGATAGAAGGTTCTGTTGTTGCTGTTGAGCAGCAACATTCATATGCTGTGGTGAATGTGAGACAGGCGGTGGCATAGGGATTGAAGAAGAAGATAGCGAGGGTCTACGTCTTGTTGTATTTGTCATAATAATGTTCAGATATAACTAAACTTTTCCTTCTGCAAAAGTGTCAAAATTGCAATAAAATCAACAATTATTCAGCAGTAGTTTGAAAAAATAAACGAACGGAAGGGAAAGGGTTTTGACATAAAAATGAATGAAATTTTTCTTTCTCCACTGTAAATAAAAAAAAAGAAAAAATAACGACCAAACATATTAGCTGTCTTAGCCAATGATTTCAGTTATCAAGGTTGTTTCATATCGTCATTCCTGCCTTTCTCTTGAAGACAGGGTAATGGCACTTGATACGTGGTACATAGACCTTTGTTCCACTTCCTATTTCTTTTCTCAATCAATGTCAATTTTCAAGTCCCAATAAAGTGTTACTCTTTTCGCTGTAACGACCTGATTTGAGCATGACAATCCTTGCAAATGACGAATGGCCTGATTGTCTTACTCATCTCTATTATTATCCTGCGGAAGGAAAGACAGCGTACGATATAAAATGAAAGTCTTCATTGCCATTTTCTTGCAGCGTGGAACTTACCAGACACATGCATACCCAGCTTTCAATCTTTTTATTGTTACACTGCCATTATGCCATCATGTCTAAACTGTGTAACCTAAAATACCCCATATTCCAAGTTTAAATTACCATCCGCGAATAGGAAATGCAACTCTGTGGTTCATTATGTAAAAATGGAGGGAGAGAAAGAGAGAGATGCCATATTTACAAATTGTAGTTTTTATTGATGTTGGTTCAATGTCTAAAAAGTTCAATTGAATTTAATTATAATAAATAATGCTGATATGCCATCCTCTGCTGAAGCAAACTCTTCTCATTTGCGCTTAACGTTTGTTTTGGTGAAGTAACTGTCCATTTTTCCCTGAACCGTACCAGAATTACTAGCAAAAGCATGCAAAGCGTTCTCAAACTGAAAAAGTGTGATGCCCGTCCGGGTATCCACTTTCACAAAATGCACGCCTAGCTTTGTCACTTCCTTGTTTCTACTCTCGTCATCAAAAAACAGCATATCATAACATGAAATTCCAGATTTCTCAGACAAAGATTTGAAGTGCTTTAGTTTACTTCCAGGATATATTTCCATATAATCTACGTTTTCCCGAAGTGTTGTATTATTGAGCTGAGGGATTCTCAATAAGCTGATTGCTTTTCTTGCCCTATAGAAATGCACATTATGTAAGCTTTGGTTGCAACATGCCAACGAGAGAACGGGACATCATCTGCTAGTAGCTTACCATTCAGGAGTTTGTGTCCTCGATGCGAGTCCAATTTTTGTATCCGGAACGGATTTAATTATCGAAATAATGGTTGCTGTATGCTCAAAAAACCCTAGGACCTCTCCCAAACTATGTGGAATATAAACGAAACTCAGTGGTTTGATCGCTTCAGACTTTCAAATTGATTATATTTACGTATTAACGATGGTGTTATTAGAGTCATCATAGGTATAAGGTGGGCCTATACAGAATAATCATTAGCAAATCAATACTTCAGTTTACTGATATCTCTCTCTCTAAACGCTTACCACCAGTACAATCGATCCTAAATAAAGTTAAAAGAAGAAAACGTCAACTGAAATGGCTCATCGATGATCAAACAATGAATGAATTTACCAAGTAGGCCATAAGGTATAGTCCAAATCAAATACAACCATCTTGGGAAGCTTTGTTGGTAATTGTCTTAGCCCTTTTTTTGTCATAACGATGTCTAATAATTTTGGTAGATGCTTCGAAGATCAAAAATAAGTGGGTTCGCAGCAAAGTACACTATTCCGGAGCTCCTTTTTAAGGCACCTGAAATTGGATTTTTGCAAAGCTCAAAAAAAAAAAAAATTGCATTGATGCAGTTGGTTAGTCGGACATAGAAAAACCTGCTTAACCATTTGCTTAACCATTTGCTTAACCTGCTTAACCTGCTTAACCTGCTTAACCTGCTTAACAATCTGCTTAACCTGCTTAACCAAAAAAAAAAAAGCTTAGTGGTGCTGGCAAATGGGACAAAAAGCTCCACCCTAAAATGGTTGAGAAGATGCTGTATTCGTTATTGCTCAAAAAACCACCCAATTTGCTTAATGTAGATTCAATTTTTTTCTGTCAAAGTTACCTCGATCCTCGATTATTGTTCTCCACCTTTGAAATAAAAGTTTGCTCAAGAGTCTTGAACAACAGCTATCACAAACGCCTTTTCTTTTTGAATTCTTTTTTTTTTTTTTTTTTTTTTTTTTTTATTTCTGCGTTACTGGTTCAAACGGTGTAAGCGGTGTAGGCGGTGTAAACGGTAAAACAGGAACGATCATTGGCCGAAAGTGCAAAGCATACATGCGAGTGCTATCTTTTTTTTTTTTTTTTTTTTTTTAAAAAAAAAAATTTGCATCAATTGAGGTATTTGAGTTTAATTGGATTGCCTTGTATTTCATCAACGATAGCAGGATGAATATTGATGCGAATTTTGATGTTGCTGAAGTAGACCTTTATACAGGTCCTAACAATTTTAGCTATGTACTTTTTCTAACCAGTGACATTTCATTTGCTTAACCATTTGGTTAAGCATCTGGTTAAGCATCTGGTTAAGCATCTGGTTAAGCAGGTTAAGCATCTGGTTAAGCAGGTTAAGCATCTGGTTAAGCAGGTTAAGCAGGTTAAGCAGGTTAAGCATCTGGTTAAGCAGGTTAAGCATCTGGTTAAACAGGTTAAGCATCTGGTTAAGCAGGTTAAGCATCTGGTTAAGCAGGTTAAGCATCTGGTTAAGCAGGTTAAGCATCTGGTTAAGCATCTGGTTAAGCAGGTTAAGCAGGTTAAGCAGGTTAAGCATCTGGTTAAGCATCTGGTTAAGCATCTGGTTAAGCAGGTTAAGCATCTGGTTAAGCATCTGGTTAAGCAGGTTAAGCATCTGGTTAAGCATCTGGTTAAGCATCTGGTTAAACAGGTTAAGCATCTGGTTAAGCAGGTTAAGCAGGTTAAGCATCTGGTTAAGCATCAGGTTAAGCATCAGGTTAAGCAGGTTAAGCATCTGGTTAAGCATCTGGTTAAGCAGGTTAAGCATCTGGTTAAGCAGGTTAAGCATCTGGTTAAGCATCTGGTTAAGCAGGTTAAGCAGGTTAAGCAGGTTAAGCATCTGGTTAAGCATCTGGTTAAGCATCTGGTTAAGCAGGTTAAGCATCTGGTTAAGCATCTGGTTAAGCAGGTTAAGCATCTGGTTAAGCATCTGGTTAAGCATCTGGTTAAACAGGTTAAGCATCTGGTTAAGCAGGTTAAGCAGGTTAAGCATCTGGTTAAGCATCAGGTTAAGCATCAGGTTAAGCAGGTTAAGCATCTGGTTAAGCATCTGGTTAAGCAGGTTAAGCATCTGGTTAAGCAGGTTAAGCATCTGGTTAAGCTGGTTAAGCATCTGGTTAAGCATCAGGTTAAGCAGGTTAAGCATCTGGTTAAGCATCTGGTTAAGCAGGTTAAGCATCTGGTTAAACAGGTTAAGCATCTGGTTAAGCAGGTTAAGCATCTGGTTAAGCAGGTTAAGCATCTGGTTAAGCATCTGGTTAAGCAGGTTAAGCAGGTTAAGCAGGTTAAGCATCTGGTTAAGCATCTGGTTAAGCATCTGGTTAAGCAGGTTAAGCAGGTTAAGCATCTGGTTAAACAGGTTAAGCATCAGGTTAATCTGGTTAAGCATCTGGTTAAGCATCTGGTTAAGCAGGTTAAGCATCAGGTTAAGCAGGTTAAGCATCTGGTTAAGCATCTGGTTAAGCATCAGGTTAAGCAGGTTAAGCATCTGGTTAAGCAGGTTAAGCAGGTTAAGCATCTGGTTAAGCAGGTTAAGCATCTGGTTAAGCATCTGGTTAAGCATCTGGTTAAGCATCTGGTTAAGCATCTGGTTAAGCATCTGGTTAAGCATCTGGTTAAGCATCTGGTTAAGCTGGTTAAGCATCTGGTTAAACAGGTTAAGCATCTGGTTAAGCATCTGGTTAAGCAGGTTAAGCATCAGGTTAAGCAGGTTAAGCAGGTTAAGCATCTGGTTAAGCATCTGGTTAAGCATCAGGTTAAGCAGGTTAAGCATCTGGTTAAGCATCAGGTTAAGCATCAGGTTAAGCAGGTTAAGCATCTGGTTAAGCATCAGGTTAAGCAGGTTAAGCATCTGGTTAAGCAGGTTAAGCAGGTTAAGCATCTGGTTAAGCATCTGGTTAAGCATCTGGTTAAGCATCTGGTTAAGCATCTGGTTAAGCAGGTTAACTGGTTAAACAGGTTAAGCATCTGGTTAAGCAGGTTAAGCATCAGGTTAAGCAGGTTAAGCATCTGGTTAAGCATCTGGTTAAGCAGGTTAAGCATCTGGTTAAGCAGGTTAAGCAGGTTAAGCATCTGGTTAAGCATCTGGTTAAGCATCTGGTTAAGCATCTGGTTAAGCATCTGGTTAAGCTGGTTAAGCATCTGGTTAAACAGGTTAAGCATCTGGTTAAGCATCTGGTTAAGCAGGTTAAGCATCAGGTTAAGCAGGTTAAGCAGGTTAAGCATCTGGTTAAGCATCTGGTTAAGCATCAGGTTAAGCAGGTTAAGCATCTGGTTAAGCATCAGGTTAAGCTGGTTAAGCATCTGGTTAAGCATCAGGTTAAGCTGGTTAAGCATCTGGTTAAGCAGGTTAAGCAGGTTAAGCATCTGGTTAAGCATCTGGTTAAGCATCAGGTTAAGCAGGTTAAGCATCTGGTTAAGCATCAGGTTAAGCTGGTTAAGCATCTGGTTAAGCATCAGGTTAAGCTGGTTAAGCATCTGGTTAAGCTGGTTAAGCATCTGGTTAAGCTGGTTAAGCTGGGAAAGTGATGATTGTTACTTTTTTTTTTTTTTTTTTTTTTTTTTAATTGATTTAGTTGTAATTCGTCTTCAATTCTATTTCATTTTCATTTTCATTCTGCGTTCCATGTCACTGTCGTTGGAAACACAAAATTCAATACCCCAACTGGTTGTTATAATTAACACATGTTTTGTTTGCTCACAAACCTACAGCACCGTACAAAAATTACAGGATCATCTTTTGAAGTACCAAATCAAAGCGAAAAAACGACCAAAAAATGTTAAACGACCAAAGGATAGCAGTGTTTGCATTATACAGAGCGACGATGATCATCAGCAGATTGAAAAACACTTTGGCTGCCCTTCATGCTTTGAACATTTCAAGGAGTTGAAACAATTAGAAAATCATTTTCGTAAACATCATTCTGAATGTATGCCTCAACTACCAACGCAACAAGCAAATGAAACTGAAGAGTCCCAGCCAGAAGTAGATAGTGATGACGAATCTCAAGCATACGGAAAACGAAGTGCGTCGGAAAGTTCAAGCTTGGATTCGAAAGCAGAATTAATGAACCCATCGTGTCTCTCATTTGTTCTTCCATCCGCCAATGATCGTCTCGTTATTGATCGTTTTGATGTCTCAGCTGCATTTTATAACTTTCAGCAGTCAATTTTGACTCACAAATGGAAACTCTCTCTTGAGGATCATATTCATTGTGCCATGGCTTCAACTTCAATCTTACTCTTAGCACCCAATCGATACCCAGCTGACTTATTACCATTTTTTGACGAGCAACAAATTAACTCAACAATTGGTCATATTGAATTAAAGTATGGTTTGAAGAAGCCAACAATGGACGTTGATTTGGTAACGAAAGCGGTAAAGATATTGCAAGATGTGATCTCGAGAACGATATCAAGGGAAACAGCTGAGATCAACTTGTTGACATTAGAAGCTGGTGAAAAAGAGCACAAATTTTTCAAAGCGATTGCGGCGTTGGTGAAGAAATTGCCTAGAGTATCAATTCAAGAAGAAGTAAAGGAATTGGAGCTTTGTTCCCGTTTTGTTGACCCCTTTTTATGCGAGTTATTCGACGATCCAGATGCTGGAACTTTTTTCAGGTGGACAAATGAATTGACAGTTGAATCAAAAAAGAACCAAAGTTCGTTAAACTGGAGACCGGACATCGCCATAACAAGACTACAGGGTGTTAGGTGGAGATACAATCTTGGTTTTGGTGAGGCGAAGCCAGCTCAGCCATATTCCAACCACTTTGCGATTTGTAAAGATCTTTTACGTGTGGGTGTTTTCTGTAAAAACTCAATTGATTCACAGAACATGGATGGTGTGATGGGGTTACAAATTGTTGGAAGAACTATAACATTTTACGTTATGGTTTTACCTGCCACTGGCATCTACGGAATGTATGAATTAGGGGAAATTCAAGTCCCCAGTTCCGTAGCCGATATCCCAAAGCTCTTAATGGATATGGCTACGGTTTCATATATTCTTGATGTCTTTGGCAGGGTATGCGTTCCTGCAGTCACTCCCATCACTACAAACAAACGCCAGCAACCATTATTGATGAGATTTTGACCCAAATTTTCTCAAGTACTCAAAGTAGAAAACGCCCCTGTCACTTGAAACATCACTATAATTAGTATAGAAATAAAATATGTTCGATACCATTTTTTTTATAAATAGTCTTTTGTATTTTTTTTTTTTTTTTCTTTCGGAATGTCGAATCCAACCTCTACAGTTATTTGCTGTAACTGTTTTTGCTGCTTCTTCAATTCTATCAGCAATCATTTCGCTCTTTCCAAGTGGAGTTTTGCGAACTACTGACTTGATTTTTGCCCAGCATTCTTCAATAGGATTCAGCATTGGCGAATAGGGGGGTAAAAATAAAGCATAATGTCCACTATCCCTTATTGCTTTTAGGACTTCTGGTGTTTTGTGAATGGAGGCGTTGTCCATCACTATGTACATATTCTTTAATCCAATCTTGTTCAAAACAGAAATGATCTCTTCTACAAACAACACAAAGTGTGACGAATTAGTTCCATGAGGCAAGGCTCTTTTTGTACCAAGAGGAGTTTTTTGTTTCTTTCTGTTTGAATTTGGAACTTGTTGCGAAAGAGCAATCAAGCCATAGGCTGACATACAACCCAGAATACTCAGATTAGTTCCTTCTGCTTCTACATCCACTTCTGCAGGCTCACCTTTCTTAGACCACGCCACAGGATGTACCATGTTTTTCTTGAACCCACTTCATCCACGAAAATGTATCTTTTTTTGTAAAAGTTTTCTTCATTCATTGCATCGATATCTTCAATAAATTGTCTACGTTGTTCAAGCGTATCATCAGAATTTCTGTTTACAAACCTTGCTTGTGTACGAGTCAAAGTAAACTCAAGCTTTTCAGTAATGTGACGATATACAGTGGACTCGTTAATTGTTAAGCCTTGAAAAGTCTCACAAAGGGATTCTGTAGCATCTTCCACAATACACGTTGGATGCTTTTCAATAAATGCATGTAATATTGTGAATGTTCCTCTGTCAATTTCACGTTATTTCCTTTACGTTTAACTTCAGAGGCTGGTTTGTAACCAGGTAAGATTGTTCTACCATTTTTTCCCCATTGATCTTTGAACTTATAAGCAGCTTTTAATCCAATGCCAGCTTCCTTTGCAGCTTTAGAAACCTTTGTTTTGCAACAGAGAAATAAATTGAGCAGCATCTTTTGGTTTATACTTAGTTGGTGTCCAAATCATATTAGGTAGAGGCGTTGCCTCTAAATCAATTTCTTCCATAGCCACTGCTGTATTAAAATGATTATCATCTTCATCCTCGGATGAAGACTCATTCTCTGAAATACCTTCCATCTGGTACAACGACTTAATAGCCGCTCCATCTTGTTTTGGCTGGTATTCAGGTTCTTCATCACAAGCGAATTCGCCAGAGGATAGATAATGGTAGAACCTGGTTGTGGTGTACATTGCAAGTAATAATAAATAGGTTAATTTTATAAAAAGTATAAGAATGTGCAGAGTATTTATATCATTAAGAAAACACCACAGCCAAAATGCCAAGACTCGTTACACCAGATTTGGAAAAGCTCTCAGGAAATGTATGCGATTCTAACTCTTGAGATATTTATTTTCTGTATTAACCCACTGGTTTACAGTAATTCTACTGTTGGTTTTCTATTGCTCAAAAAACCACCCAATTTGCTTAATGTAGATTCAATTTTTTTCTGTCAAAGTTACCTCGATCCTCGATTATTGTTCTCCACCTTTGAAATAAAAGTTTGCTCAAGAGTCTTGAACAACAGCTATCACAAACGCCTTTTCTTTTTGAATTCTTTTTTTTTTTTTTTTTTTTTTTTTTTTTATTTCTGCGTTACTGGTTCAAACGGTGTAAGCGGTGTAGGCGGTGTAAACGGTAAAACAGGAACGATCATTGGCCGAAAGTGCAAAGCATACATGCGAGTGCTATCTTTTTTTTTTTTTTTTTTTTTTAAAAAAAAAATTTGCATCAATTGAGGTATTTGAGTTTAATTGGATTGCCTTGTATTTCATCAACGATAGCAGGATGAATATTGATGCGAATTTTGATGTTGCTGAAGTAGACCTTTATACAGGTCCTAACAATTTTAGCTATGTACTTCTAACCGGTGACATTAAATCGAATAAAATGGCCAACGAACAGGAGCATAATTTTAATGGGTATTGATCTTACAAACCACAGTATCGCTTAAGTTTTACATACAGTTATCTACAAGGGTAAATGTAGCTGTCTTGCCCTGAATCTTGCTATCCTTCAGTTCAGCTGGCAGTTGTTGTTTTCGTTCAGCGTAACGAATCACATCGCTTGCCTTATTCTAAAGATGATTTCTCAACCACAAACCGAGATAACATTAATCGAAAAACTTAACCTTTTTCCATTCATAGTCACCAGCTAATCAGCACAAGATATTTCTAGCAAGCTCTATCATGTCAAAGAAGGCATGGTTTGCCAACTAAACCTAATCGTTATATGAATATTACTTTGGAAGGCATAGCTACTAAAACGATAATATGGATGAAAGCGCGTAAAAGCAATCTTGCAAAACGTTAAAACTGATTATACATCAACTACTCAGTCTCTAAAAAAACTGCTTCAAAAAAGTTTTGTATTCTGTTGTTGATAAAAAATAATACGACTATGACCGTAGCTTGTGTTTTTGCATAAATTTGCTGATACCACTATTATTTATATTTTTTTTGTGAATGATATATTACCTTTAGCGAGAACATACTATAAGGCTTTTCTATGTATTAAAATTTCTTTCTTTTCTTCTTCGAAATAGCAGCCATGAGTTTTTCATTTTTTAATAAGGGTACAATATCCAAACAATAAAAGTCTAGACATAAGCATATTGATTCCAAAAAGTCACTTAATCAAATATCGTCTATACCTTTATGCAGTATGGGCCTCTAATGAATCCAAACCTCCAGGGGGTACTTTATTCGTAGTAGGTGATGGCGAGGTCTACGGCGAAATTGGATTAGGTGATATGCCTCATGTATATGATCCTACTATCGTGTTTGATATGGAATATGAATCAGTTATCGATATATCATCCAGCAGACTGCATACACTAGCAGTAACTCGGAGTGGAACTGTACGTATTTGTTTTTTGTTAACATGCCTTAGCAACTTGATACTTTCTATATCATTCAGTTATAACCCTAACGTATAATCCTCAATGATGGAGCCTAGATTTGGAGCTGGGGTTGCGATGATTATGGTGCTCTGGGCAGAACTGGGTATGCGGCAAGTCCAAGACCTATAACTCACCCAAGTATTAGATATATTAGGTTCAAAAAGGTAGCTTGTGGAAATTCTATGTCGATGGCTATTAATTCAAAAGGCCAATTATATACATGGGGAAGTTTTCATGTAAACAATATTCATTATATACACCGCATATATATAATTTTCCTTTTAACCCTACTATGTTTTGTTGCGAATACATATCTTACAATGAATGGCAGTCTGATCATGGAATCTTTGGATATTTACCCAACATTGTCATTCAAAAATACCCTCGGATTGTCAACAGCGTGGCCGATTTACGCTTTATCGAAATTGCAGCAGGTGCGAGCCATTGTCTTGCATTAGACGATCAAGGTCAGGTGTATTCTTGGGGTTGTGGCGAATTTGGTCACTTAGGTCGGCCAGACCTTCAAAATAACGAAAATAGACGCTTAAAGCAATGTCTGATACCTGTGCGACTTGATGGTCTGAAAGACATAGTAGCAATCGCATGTGGTGCTTTTCACTCTCTAGCCTTGGATAAAGATGGACATTTATATTCATGGGGATTGAACCATTTTCAACAATGCGGATTGCTCGAGAAAATTGATGATGGCAATATCAATTTCAAACAAGCCAATGAAGTCATAGATAGGCCAACGATGGTGCCTTATTTCTGCGAACAGAATGCTGAATTAAAACGAAATAATGATGGCCTTTCTTCAACTCGTACCAAAATGGCGCAAAATGGACCACGGACAGAACGCTTTAGTGAGAACAATAGCAAAAATGATAAAGAACAATTAACTGATAACTACGACAAACCCAAGGCACTGTTAATAGCAGCAGGAGATTATCACTCGGTTGCTGCCATGAGCGACAACACATTAAGAGTTTGGGGCCGGTGTGATAACGGTCAATTAGGGATTATAATCTATCCCGATTATGTTTATCCTGCCTCGTTCAAAACGCCTGAGGTCGACAGAATTTACGCTATTGGATATCCAACAAGTAATTTGTGGAGGTGCAGTGAGAAAATCGAAAAGATCATTTGTGGTGCTGAGCACACATTAATAATGTCAAAATATGGAAGAGTTTGGGGTTATGGTCAAAATGCGAGCAATCAATTGGGACTCTTTCATTGCCGAGAAAATGTCGCTATACCTACATTATTGAATCCAATCAATAACAAAGGGGCAGTTGTCAATATCGCAGCTGGTGATCAATGCAGTATGTTTGTCATTATTGAAGATGATAAGCAGTTTGTAAAGGTTGAAGAAATGTGTTGAAAACGCTTATTCTGAAAAGTATAACACTTTAAAAAAAAATAGTTTATAACACTATCGAATATAAAAACAATGTGGTCATTCAATAAAACTGGTTTTATGCCAATAAGTGCTTTTTTATTCAATTCAAAAAAGTTAAACTTCAGTAGGTGTATTATAATAACGAGCACGATAATCGTCACTATGAAAACAGAAGAAAAAAAAAAAAGAACAGGAGATTAAAACAGAAAGCTCCTCTGCACTTATCTTTATAGAAAGGGCTCTCTTACCTGCAAGACAATATACCCATATCAGTTGGTGATCCTGCTACACATCTTACCATGTTATTCTGACCCGAAATTCTCTTTAATAAAACGCCAGTTTGAGTATCGTAGCAAACTACATCTGTTGAGGCTTCATCGCCAATAACCACATAACCCTCATTGTATACAAAGTCAGGCTGTAGTAGGTTTGAACGCTGTTCATGGTGTCCCTTGTATTCCATTAGTAATCTCCCACTGGTAATTTCCCATAAGCGCATTGATGAGTCCAAACCAGCTGTTAGTACGTATTTCTCATTTTTAGTGATCCTAACACTTGATACTGCTGCACCACTATGCGCATTTTCTAGAACTTTAATTGATTTTGATGACACACTGTCCCAAATACGCACTGTGCCATCCAGTGACGAAGATGCAAAGATTTTGCCAGAGTTAGAATAGCGTATTTGAGTGATGGATCCACGGTGAATATCCGCATTGCTGCCGTTTGTATAACATTGTAAGCTCTTCACATCATATATACGAATGACTGCATCTTTTGTGCCTGCTAAAAGAAAATCGCCTGACGGATGAAATGAAATGGAATTAACAGGTTGGGCATCCTATTCCATTTTTAGACAGGAATGTAAGACAGTTGAGAAAAAAAGGTATAATAAATAGTCATTACAGCAGTTTGTTGTATTACCTGCAGATATCTGAATGCTCTTTTGACACCGGTCTTGGATAAATCAAACAGCTTAATGCTTTGATCTTTGGAGCAGCTAGCAAGCACCAAGCCATTTGGGTGAAAGCTAAGGTCGTTGACTTGTTCTGTATGATCATATAGGGTTCGGATAACAGGCTTATCACCAACATCCCCGGTTCTATTTTTCATTTTGTGTACATCGAGTAATTTAAGAGATGTATCATGCGATCCTGTAGCTGCAAATTGACCATCTGGACTAAAGATCGCTGTTCTACAGGGTCCTTTATGCTGTGTAAAATAAAGTTGATTATATTCTGGTGCAGGTTTAGGTTCTAAAAGAATCGAACAATTGACTTTAGCATACTCAATCAATAGTCGCATAATCTCTATAGTGTTACTGACGTGCATTTTCCATTGACTCCACTTCAAATCGTGTATTAAGCAGGAGTTCGTCTTCGTCTTCCTTCATCGAGTCATGATCAGGGGTTTTGCCTGCATATTCCTCATCAGAATCAGTAACTTCCTCTTCTATAACGTAAGGTTGACAGTGAATTTAGTTCAGTCTCAAATGAAATCGCTAGCCTTTGATTGTTTACGTTTTGCTTTTGCAATTTGTATTAAACTGGATAGTTTTGAACTCGGCATCATATCTGTTGTAGCGCCTGTTGCGTCAGCTACACTTTGCGCTATCGCTGAATATCCATATGCAATAAGCTGGCTATTGTTCGTGAAAATAGGCGATTAGCAGGAAAGCATCCTTTTTCAACTGAGAGGTGATTATTACCTTATAATAAGAGATAACACCTCATTTTCCGTTACACTTTCGTGATTCATTAGAGGAAGTCGACAAAAATAATGCTATAATGTTGAAGAGAAAAGCTGTGAAACTTTATAGTAATGGTAGGTGACAGCTATTTTTTCTTGGGCGAAACAAGTAATACTATTGGACAGAAACTATTTAGAAATTGTAAGCCATGAGTAAAAGTCGTAAAGCTTATAGGATTCATACATTAAACTTGTGTTTTTTATGTTAAATAGTGCAATTCAGCCTAAATGCGTGTCTTGTTTGTAACGCTTTGAAAAGAGCTTCAAGTAAATAGATAGGGTCTTGTACGTTTCTCTGGACTGTCATCTGTGCTATGTTTGAGGTTTCCATTTTTCCCGATAATAGCTTTTATTACCACTGAGTTAGTTTTTCCTTTCAAACATACTAGAATATTCACGTAACAGCTCTATTGTTGGCTAAGAAAACAATTTCAAATCTTCTTCATACCCCTCAAATCCAGCGAGATCAGGATGATTCCAATTCTTGAACGGATATACTTTTTTAGTTTAAAAGACTCGCGCAACTTTAATTTGTTTGATTGTAATGTCATGTTAGACCTGTCAAGAATCAATGCATGCAAAATATCTACCCCTCTTTGACCTGTGCGTGCATTGACAGCACTACGATATTCTAGGTAGGTAATTTTTCCGATACCAACGCGACTTGCGTCGTCAAGCTCGCGGTATTGTCGACTGAATAGGTTTATCATTTGATTTATAGCTTTGCTCAAAATAATGAATACAGCTTCGGTCATTTGTTTAAAGTGCTTATTGCATGAGCATTGCTCAGGTACAATCTATCTAACGTTTATTAAAGGGATAAAATTGTAAAATACAGTATTTGATTTTTTTCTTTTTTGATCCTTCTTTTCTCTCTAAGAAATTACAGCATTGGTTTTTTTAAAAGCGCGACATATTTATGGGCAAAGGTGTATGCTAAAGTAGCTGTCAATTTTGCGGCACATTTTCTGGTTCTACAGTTGACTTTTTCATAACAAAAAGCATTCACATTAAATTGCCATGACTTTGTTTGAGACCCTTCAACAACAGCAACAGCAACCACCGTCTTCAACGTCACAGTCAGATTCACAGATTCTTTCACATGAAGCAACTGTAAATAAAGCCAATGACAGTGGGTTCTTTGCTAATGTCACCTCCAACCCGCTCTTCTCTGCTGGTTTTGGTCTTATTGGCGTGGGTGCAGGGCTTTCTTTACTACGTAAAGGCACTACCGTCGGCTCAAGCATACTGCGTCGAAAATTACTTGTCACACTAGAAATACCTTCCAAAGATAAATCATATATGTGGTTCTTGCAATGGATGTCTCAACAAGCGCCTAAACGACAGGTTCAACATTTAGCAGTTGAGACTAGCTATCGACAACATGACAATGGCAGCGTTACGACTAAGTTTGGGTTGGTACCTGGCCCTGGCACACATTATTTTAAGTGGAGAAAGATTTGGATGAAAGTTGAAAGACAGCGCGATGGAAAAATGATGGACTTAACGACTGGTTCGCCCTGGGAGACAATTACTATTACAACCTTGAGTAGAGATCGGTATGTATTTAAAGAATTGTTGAAAGAGGCACAGGAAATGGCGTTAAAGAAACAAGAGGGAAAGACAGTACTGTATACATCCTATGGGCCGGAATGGAGGCCGTTTGGAACACCACGAAAGAGACGCATGCTGGAATCTGTGATACTGGATAAAGGTATTAAGGAAAGGATTGTCAATGATGTAAAAGCTTTCATTGGAAATGGTAAATGGTACAATGAAAGAGGCATACCGTATCGTCGTGGCTATTTGTTATATGGTCCGCCCGGATCAGGTAAAAGTAGCTTTATACAAGCCCTAGCAGTAAGTAGTGATTGTTATGCTGCAATTATATCATCTATTCTAATGATAATTTCAAAATAATGCTGTAGGGTGAATTGCAATATAACATATGTATACTCAATCTATCAGAAAGAGGGTTAACAGATGACAGACTGAATCACTTACTCAGTAATGTTCCAGAGCGGAGTATTATGCTATTAGAAGATATTGATGCAGCTTTCACCAAACGTAAACAAACAGATAATCAAGGATATCAATCCATGATCACATTCAGTGGTTTATTGAATGCTTTGGATGGTGTTGCTTCCGCTGAAGAGCGTATAATCTTTTTGACGACCAACCATGCAGAAACTTTAGACCCAGCATTGATCCGTCCAGGAAGAGTGGATCTGAAGGAATACCTGGGCAATGCGACAGAATATCAAATCAAAAATATGTTTATGCGGTTTTATGATGACGAAAAACTGGCTGATCAGTTTGTGGAGAGATTAAAAGGGAAGCCTGTCAGTACAGCCAGTTTACAGGGTCATTTTGTTTATTATAAAGATAGACCATTAGAAGCAGTGCAGAATACAGATACTCTATTTAATCAATTGCTGTAGTTAGAAGATACTCCTCACAAAAGAGGCATGTAAAAATGAAACAAAATCGCACTCAGAAGCTGTTTAAATGACAAAATGCACTTGTATATACTTATCGCTGCCTTCTTTTGTTTGTTGAACAAAACTTTACACTTTTAAACTTTCTGTCAATCCATACAAATATCGGTAAACAACCCTCGTAACCAGAAAGAAAAAAAATCTCTACTTTATCATTCGTCCTTAGAATTAGTTTTTTTTTTGGTTTTTTTTTTGATTTTCTTTTCCTCGGCCTTTTTCCTTCATTCCTCTCCATTATAGATCTCTTGGAACATTACTTTTGACATTGTAGCAACAAACAATAAGTAGCAACTATCAAATGCTAGACGGGGCCACTACCAACAATTATACTTGGATATTGTTAGTTGGTATGGTTGTATTCTTCTTTGTAATTTTCATACTGTTATGCTTTACGAAAGCAAGCGGAGAAAGATTATTTTATTCTGGAGAAGATAGCTTCTATGAAGATACGAATTACATAGTGGAGACGCCGGCTTTATTAGCAACATTATCTGAAGATGCACGCATAAGTTACGAACAAGCGAAATGTAAGTCTTTATTGTTGTATAAGAAAAAAGAGAATTAAGCTTTCCTTTTTTATGCAAAAAATTGTGATATCGAAACAATTCATCTTCTTTTAAATATGCAGTATTTCAACAACGACATCCTCCTGACAGCATACCCACAGACATAACATTATCACAATACGTTTCCATACAGGAAAAAGGTGTATCAGCTTTTGAGTTTGAATGGGAAATGGAGACACAAAGTTTTGTATCTGCAAGAACCGAAATCCAATTCTTTTCTGGTGAGAGTTGTGTACAGACGAACTTGCCCTTACCCAAAAATCAAGAAGTCTATTATTGGGAAGCAAAAATGTTCGAAAAGCCATTGTCTACAGTTGTATCAGTGGGTGTAGCTACGAAACCATATCCTTATTGGCGATTACCAGGTAAAATATTTCAAAAATCAGTACTTATACGTTAGTATTCTTCAAGAAAAACGGATAAACTGATCAACCATTACTGAAATAGGTTGGAATAACTATTCCATTGGCTATTTTAGTAATACAGGCCATAAGCACTTCAACAATCCCTTTATTGGCAAACCGTATGGCTATCCTTATGAGGAGGGAGACGTAATTGGTGTAGGTTACCGTCATCGCACAGGAACCGTATTCTTTACAAAAAATGGAAGGAAATTAGATGAAGCCTGTTTTGGCTTGAGATACAACCTATTTCCAACCATTGGTGCCAATGGACCATGCCAAGTTCATGTCAACTTTGGACAAATGGGATTTGTGTTTGTGGAAGCTAATGTAAAAAAATGGGGATTGGCACCTGTGCAAGGAACATTAGCTCCTCCACCTGCTTATGGTTTTGAGGCTGGATCCTTATTATTAGAAACAGGAAGTGCTGCACTGACCAATTCTGCTGATGGAGGAAGAACGCCGTACAATGGACATAACCATAGCACATTTGTAGGAGAAACTAGTTATCTATTGAGCGGTAGAGGAACGAGAAATCAACATAGTATAAGGAGCTATCAATCTACTAACCTGCAACATCAACAAATATTATCATCGTTCGTACAACTCAGGAACACTGCCAGTCTTTGCGATGATACTAATAACAGCGATGATGATGACGATGATACGCCATTGATACATCATGTTCGCAGACAGACTGCAACAAGCCCTACTGCGATAGCAATTCCGTCAGATCCGCAAGAAGGCATTACGCCATATTATTCACCTCCATCCTATTCAACTCTCCCAAGAATAACTTCTTACATGAAAAGACACCATTACTTCTAAAGGATTCTTTTTCACCTTTTTGAACTGCATTATTCAGATACCAATATCTATTTATTACTCACCATATCTTCGACGTATTTCTTGTCACAATATATCCAAGCTTAAAGGACTGTACGCTTTGTAAACCAGAAAAATAACATATGCACAGAATGGACTCACTTCCCAATGCTTGCATTAAACAGTGACTTTTAAGTGTTTCCGATCAACCATACCCAAGAGAACAAAACTCCTATTGTAGATGATCGTTATACATCACGTTATGTTCCGGAACAATTCATATTTAGGAAAGCAGTGAGGTCTATCCACAATAGCTTTGTGTTTTTCTGCAGAATTATACCTCTTTTTCAATATATGATAAATGTTCTCTCCTCTCCTGATCTGTTGAATTTCACCTTACTTTAAAAATGACGGAGAATGCCAATTTCTTTTTTTTTTTTTACAGTTTGCACAGTCATTGTTTTTGTTTCCTGCCTAGCTCATAGCTTGATCATAACAAAGAAAGTATAATGACCTCCTCTTTCAAGGTTCCCAAGAAACGTCGCTTACGTCAATTTGACGATAATAAACCGACCAAACGCGAAAAAGAAGGAGAAAGTATAGAGTTTAGTTCGATAGAAAATTTACTCGATAGGAAGAGAAACTTTAATGAGAGAGAAGGGAAGGTTAATGAGATAACAAAGGTATAGAGTTTCGCCTAACTAAACTGTTCAGCCATTAACGAAGCCCTCATGCTTATATAATTGATGTTTTATGTGTAACTTTAGCTCTTCAATGAACTAGATCGTGATCTGGAAGAAAGAGAGCGAAATGGAGAGTTCGGTATTGAGATTGGTGAGAAGAAAAACGCTGAGGAAGAGTTGAAAGAACATCGAAAAGCTCATTTAGTAGATTTTGACGACAACTTTTTAATGAACGAAGACGATGAAAAGGAAGCAGCCATGATTGAAAAGGACTTGCGTGAAGCAGCACGACTTTATTTGGAAGAAGAAACTCAAGAAAATATTGATAAGGTGCTTAAAGCCAACAAGAAACAAACAGAAGTAGTCGACGCACTTGACCGATGGCATCAAAGCTTTTTCAGATCAGGCGTTAAACATATCCGACAACCAACTTTGATATCGAAAGAAGTCGGTATAGGGCAGAAAGAAATACATATCTCAGAACTATCAGCAACGTCGAGAGGGAGAACATTTTTACTAGAATCAGGCTGTATGAAAGATTGGTATCATAGTGGTTGGAAATGCCCCAATTATATCTATCAATGGCTATTTGAAGTGGTTGGTTTAGAAACGAACAAAATTGCTGCAAGAAATGCCCTTTCTACGCTATTTGACTTATGGACATTACCCGGCAGTGAAGAGGAAACAAAATCGTCACACATCTACAATCAACGTTACATTGAATTGAAGACGTTCAAATCAGTATTAGCAGAATACGATGCCATTCCTTCTTCAATTGTTGAAGATATTTTTTCATCATCAGATGAAGAAACAGACGTAGATACGCAGAGTCAAAATGATACGAATTACGATACCCAGGAATGCCGCCATATTCCATTATCTCAGTTAGGCTGGATGGTCAAAGCCTTCAGCTTTTCTGTTAGATTATGGTCAAAGGCTTATACATCATACGAGATTCGGCATACTGTCAGATTGTTACTACAACTTTCAATTGATAAAACAGGCTATTTAGTGTTACAGGATATACAAACTGCGATTGATAATTGCTTGTTTGCTATGGATAGAAGTACATGGGAGACGGAAACTAAAACCATTGCCAATGACATTTGTGACATGGTTCCGTCGGTTACAAAACAGATGCATTTATTTGATGCCATCAAACCTGTATACGGTAGATCATGTCATTTTAGGAGAGTGCTAGGCGTGACATGCTTGGAACGATGCTTAGAAAAGGATATGCCTGGTAGTGTTCAATATGTATCAACAGACCAATCCATCATCAAACAAGTAGCACAAATATTTCATCATCCAAAGGGCTTTTTCAAGAAAAAGGGTATTGAAATGGACTATGAAGAATGCTACATTAAAGTAGCAATACTAGATGCTGCTATCGGTTCAAACGAGGCCGAAATAAGAAATGACAAAGAAAGTATCTTATCCATTGCTAATGCTTTGAGAGATATCGGTCTACAAATTGGTAAGATCTGCATTCAGCAGTTCTATTGTATTCAAATCAGTTTCATTGATATTTTTCTTTTTTTCTTTCAAAAACTCATCTGCTGTTTGTGAACAATCAGGTGCAAAATTGGGTGTCATGAACAAAACTTTGGTAAGTGGAGATAGTGGGCTTTTTTTGAGTTTTTTTGTCATGTACAAGGCGGAAGTGACATCATCAGTGTCTTTTTGATTCTCATAAACCATAACTTGAAATTTAACACCTTTATTAGGCGAACGAGATTATCCAAAGAGTGTGGTCAAGGATTACCTACGTACTTGGCAAAACCACCAAGCTTGAACTGTAGTGAACAGAATACCCATTGATTATTTCTACCACAGCTGACACGCTACCCGCTATTTAATTCAATATAAACCATCAGGCCATCATCATATGCACATTATCAGCCTAGATTTGGGGCTTATTTTTCGTTATCTAGGATGCCAAGTGAAGTATTTCTCATACCTTAACGTTCTATTCTGCGGAGCAGAAAAGTGACACATCTCTCAATACACTTTATACCCAACATCAACATCTATGCCGTTATCGATACGACAGGAGTGCAATTTTTTGCCAAAGCCTTTTGTCATATGTAGTGACTGATCCCTACTCATCAGGCAGCATTGGTAGATTTCTTGATCCATGGTAAGAATTTGCATTTCATGTTTAACATTTATTTACAAGGGATTATAAATAAACATATGTAGTAAAACCATAGTTAAATTTAATTCAGGCACGGGTCAAGTTTGACTTTTCAAGAAGTTACTTTAGTTGCTAACTGGTATATAAAGTTCACGCAGTTGCTAATCCTATCTTAGCAAAAAATCATGTGAGAGTATGCATGGCATCATTGATTGCCCGTCGTGCGGCAGATAAATTACAACTATGATGTCCTTTGAAGTTGTTGCTCTTCAGTGTTTCCCCCTTTTCCCCGTAACTCTTTTATTTTTTTTTTAATTTTTCATTTTTTTTAATTATTGCCCAGCAGCAACCTCTTTTCAACAACCATAATCATCCTAGTTTGTCCATTGATAGAAAAATACATAAATATACCATGGTACGGCAGTCGTAGTCGAATTCGCAGTAGCGATAATGCATAAAGCAGGTTAAAATAGGGCTTTGTGCGTGCACAGATAAAAGAATGTTCTTTCATAAACCCATCTTTATCGTATATTGTTAGACAGAAATGAGAGAATATCTATATAAGATACTAGTAGTTGGTGATTTAGGAACAGGAAAAACTTCTATTATTCGACGATACGTCCATAATATATTCTCAACCAATTATAAGTCTACAGTAAGGACTATACCGCAACAGATAAAGGAAAGCATAAAGATAATCAATAGAGTCTTCACACTCTGCATAATTGTGTATAGATCGGTGTTGATTTTGCTCTAAAAGTCATTCAATGGGAGAATGATTTGATTGTTCGACTTCAATTATGGGATATTGCAGGGCAAGAGAGATTTGGCAATATGACACGCGTTTACTATAAAGAAGCTTTGGGAGCTATTGTTGTTTATGATGTAACTCGACCGCAGACGTTTGAGGGTGTAACAAAATGGAAAAATGATCTTGATACAAAAGTAGCATTACCGGAAGCCTGGGGTGGAGGGAAGATACCGGTCATTTTGATTGCAAATAAGGTAAGCAAAGAGAGAAAGTTCAGTTTTAATGTAAACAAATGGAAGATGTTTATTCAATCCTTCCAAACAGAGTGATTTAATTCAAGAAGGTCATGGACAGCACGTCAACCCTACTGAAATGGAGCAGTTCTGTAACGAAAATGGATTTATAAAATGGTAAAAAAAAGATGCAATACGGTGTTTGTGGATAGATGTCATACATGGTTAACATTTTCCCCTTTCTGTTGTATCAGCTTCGAGGCATCAGCCAAAGACAACACAAATATAGAAGAAGCAGCACGTTATTTAGTTTCATCTATTTTAAAAATTGAAGAAGAAAATGCTGATAAAATTAGTCTTTTGCAGCAACAACAAGAGACAGTCCGTTTGGATAAAGATCGTCAGCAACAGCCACAACAATCATCTAATAGTAACTGTTGCTAAATATGGAAAGCTTGCCAATTTGATGTTGACTTAGATCCTGTGAAAGCAAATCTTAATGAAAAGCGATCTAACAGTTGCTGATCAAATACTTATGACAATAAAATCTACTGCTGTGAATTAAACATATATCAAATGTAGCTTAAACCATCAATGTCAATCTGTCAGTATGTCTTTTTGAAGTTCTACGAGTAACGAAGAAAGTGAGTACAAACAGACTGTCCAACATGTCTTACTAGCGGGCAGCGAAACACATGTATTGCAATTGAAATAGCCTTATTAGGTAGTTATGATGAAATCTCAGGGTTCAGAACATCCGTTTCAAATGGTAATATGGAACGTCTCACGGAAAAGGAGCGTTCCAAATTGTTTTATAAAGTCTATCTGCTTAATTCGTTCTGATGCATGCTTGATTTTGAAAAGCTACAGGTACAATAGACGCGAAATAAGTCTTTCTTTACTTACATTAGAATGCTGACTGTATCGTTCCACTAACAAAATTACAATGATGTAGTACCAAATATCTTTAATTATTCTGGAGAGGATGGCTTCTTCATTGATGCGAAATTGAGGATGGTTTAACTTGTAATTGTGACAATCAAATAATTGTTTAACGGAAGTTAATCAAAAAAATAAAAAAAAACTTCCCCTTAGCCAACAGGAGAAATTGACTTCTTCTAACAGTAGTAAGAGTGTCCTTCAATAATAGCCTTCAAATGGTCTGCCCGCAGATTAAGCTACTTATTCAGCAATAGTAATTTGCAAGATAATTATGGTCATCAATATATGCAAGATCCCCCTGAATCAAAGCCGATTTGAACAAATGAACAAATCGATTGCTGATATACTTGCCGTAGTCAGTACGGGATAATGAGTTGCATGATCACTAGATCAAGCTATGGATACTGTAATAAGTCATCCGCTCTGAGTACAGTGGTAGATGCGTAGACTTCGCAAGAGAAAATTCTGCTTTTTACGGTTAAAAAGATGTATGTCTTCATTAAGTAGAATAACTCAGCTGTCAGTCTAAGTTCTTGCAATATGAAGAAGATACAAAACTTCGCAGTAGATGTTTTTCTTCAGAGTTATTTGGCTTAAATTAAAAATAGAGTTTTTACAAGTTCATTTTTAAGCTTTTAGTATAAATTTTACATGACATTTACTACCTACAAGTGGTCAAACATCAAATCCTTCAAGAATTCACTAAACTGCCTTTCCTTACACGTGTGGCTCGTACATTGGTTGCCACAGCTTCAGGCTGAGGGATGAATAGTGTATATCAGGGAATTCTTCAAATTTAGTTTTCATGATTTAGACATAGTGCATCTGCTTGAAAATAAGAAATCGGTTGATGGAACTCCGCCAAGGGCGTCAAAGTCTCTGCCCAACATTTCGGATCTTCTAAAGATCTAGTATACAGTTTGAACTGAGCCGCAACTTTTTTTTATCAATACGAAGCGTCACGTGGCTTTCGATTATAATGAAAATAGCAAATTTTGAAGCGTCAGGTATGTCGTTCCTTCGAACGTCCAGCCGACTTGAGAAGCACCTGTCAAAAATTAACGGCTTTAAAGAGAAAAGAACACGCTGTCTTTGCTAGTTGACCTTTCTATAGATAAAAGAGTAAGTTCTAGATTAACATGGCATTTTGAGATGACAAAAGAACACTTCTCACAACAGACTTTCCAACTTACGCGATTGTTACTGTCCATGAGTAATCAGCCTGAACAGCACATTATCTGTTTACATGTTCACAATCTCCTATGATTAACTACAATACGCCAACGATTTTTGTCTGTTGTCCCTTCAATTGGGATGCTGGTAAAGATGTAAAGAAGTTAAAAGAGAATCGTCATAAAAATATATGCCACAGTAACGTGCTTTTCTTGTGGCTGTGCATGTCCAAGATTCGTGAGTTGGGAAGAGTAGAGTCAATATGATCATTAAGATGATACAACAGAGGATTTAAGGAGAAAGATATAATCGTCGGTAAAGATATGTTAAATGTTAAAATGAAACCGACTATGGTTATACTAAGGAGCAATATCAACTTGATGTTGATACTTCGTCTTGTAGACATTTCCAATACTTCTTTTGAATTCTCTTTACTAAATCAATTGCCTCTATGCATCCGTTCTGAGGCGCCAGACTTGCTTCAATAGGATCTGGCTCTGCACCCATAAGCACTTGCATACATTCATATGCTGATAGTGCAATAGAATGCAAATCATAGCCTCCTTCCAAAGAGAGAACTAACCTTCCATCTGCGATATTTTTTAGCATATATGTCATTTGGCCATAGGCTGCAGGTGTGAGGAGACAATTGCCAATAGGGTCATTAACAGCAGCATCAAATCCAGCGGACACTATTAGTATATTATCAACATCTTATTAAGATATTCTTTCCAACTGAATACTAAGTCTTCAGATTGACATAGTCAGTCTTACCTATAACAATATCAGGATTGAATTCGGTAGCGATGGGTATAACGACACTTTTAAAAGCGTAAATATAATCGGCATCCGTCATTCCTGCACATGGCCAAGGAATATTCACTGTAAAACCTTCACCTTCACCGTGACCTGCATTTTCCGCTGCTCCTCTTATATCCCCAGGGTAAAATTGGCTATCCTCATAACGATGTAATGACAAGTAAAGCACATTAGGGTCCTCAGCGAATATATTTTGTGTCCCATTACCAAAATGAATATCCCTGAGAAGGAGAATATTTACATTTGTAAAACAAATTCAGCACCACCGTATTCTGATTTAACGTCGAAAATTTATTGACTTACCAATCAACAATTAAAACCTTCTTAACGCCGTGATTCTTGACCAAATTCATCGATGCGATAGCCACATTATTAAATATACAAAAGCCTTTAGCTATATCGAAGGTGGCATGGTGTCCAGGGGGTCTAATGATTGCAAATGCATTCTTAATTTTACGTTGGATAACAGCTATTGTGACTTCAATCAAACTTCCTGCCGCTAGCAGAGCTGAATCATATGAATTGCAATTGAGATAAATGGACTCATATTGGTTCTGGGCCACCAAGTATTCTTTACGTGTTTTAAGCCCTATATGGAATGATTTGAGAAATGGTTAAACTAAATCATTCAAGAAAACAAAATCAAATTATATCTATTTTCCTTTAAACTACTGCGATGTAGTAACTTACAAATCGTATCTCGCATCTTTCTATAATGATGAATATTATGAGCTAACAAGACCTCTTCTCTCGTTGCCCGTCGCCCAATGATTCTTTTACAATGTTGGACCAATCCATGAAACTCAAATATATTAAACACCTTAAACGTTCTCCAAGGGTTTTCCGGATGATCCTCATTACGTACCAAACTGAAGTGGCGTTGCATAGCTATATCATATGTAAAGCCAGTAAGGAAAGTAGTTGAGGTATTGAATTGTTTGGGGGCTCGAGAATCAGACGGGTTGTAGTTCTCATCTTTGTAAAATTTAGCGCGCTTGCTACCAATACCATATCCAGCATCCCTGGAATTGCGTTTATAATAATTGATAAAAGCTTTCTCAATGAGGAATTCCTCTGAAGAATTGATGACATCATTATAAGTAGCTACTTTGGTACGCGTTTGTCTTGCTGGGAGGATACGCCGTGATACAATGCTGGTGGTTCCAGACGTTGATGACGTGGTGGACATAGGTGACGGGCTGCCATTTCTTTCAAATTCTTTCGGTATTCTCTCCCCTTTTAATGATTTAGGTGCGTTTCTGTTTCCGTTTGAGAAACTATTGTATTGATTTGCTGGTGATGAGTTCGTTGCTGATGTGCCATTGAGATCATTGAGGCGAGGCTTTTGCTCTTTCTCTAAGAGTGTTTGGGTTTCAACTTCTTTTTTAGAGTTAACTTCTTCTTTTTCTTTTCCTTTCAACCTCTTTTTCTCTAGCACAGCTTCCCCTTCAAACTCCTCCTCACTTTCAATAAGGATGACCTGTTCGCGTGGAAGCTTTTGGCGATGTGGAGATACTGATGGCAATACTGGACGCAGTAAAGGGGTGATCGAAGCGCTAGTATAGAAATCGTGTTTGCTGGTATTGTCATCGGAAGAATCACTTAAATCAATAATTTCATGCTTTTCCATGATGTTGATCCACTTTGCCTGTATTTCAGAAATTGCTCCTTTTCCGTTGTGGTGTGTAATTTTACCAGCGGAACACTGAAGTAGAAGAAAAGGTAAGCGATTCGTTCTGGAAATTCGTCGTTTGGGCAAAAACATGTTGTCACGTTCTGACCTCTAATTCATATAACAATCTGAGAAACAATCCAGATTTACTGCCTTTACCAGTTATAGTGTACTGGAACAAATAAGATTCCAGGCACACTGGGACAAATAAGATTTCATCAGGCACACTTCAACCTTACTGGTAATCTAGATATATCTCAGTGGCGTTGTACAATTTATTAACAGGATCGGTTGTCACTACTACTTTCTTAATTCCACTATAAGCTCAGTTCAACCTCGCATTCATATAAAAGACCATTCAATTTCTAAACCAAAATAAAAATCATCTAAGAACTACTGTTCGGTCTCGCTGACTCACTCAGTCTCTACATTTAGAAACTTATTAAAATATAACTCCTGATATCTAAGAATATCACACATGTGGTGGAGTTTCAAATATATAACCTCCCTTAGTTCTCTACCCTGTATGTAAACGAATAAGGAATGTCTCATTGATTAACGGATTTCTGCTATAAATTGAACTTTAGAAAGGACAAATTGTAACCGACGGACGCGTCAAGCATAGCACCGCAAGATGTCTTCGCGATATCGAAGTCACGTGCTCTCAATCCCTCCTGTCCGACGAAGAAGAAACTGATTAGAATTGTTGTTGTATACTGTTGTATCCAACATCATATTACGCGTAGATTATTACTGTGGTATTCGCTAGTTTTAACTAAGTATGAAAGGTAAAGAATAACACAAGAGAAAATAAACACGAAAGCTTAACGAAATCAAACCACCGTCTTTATTTCTCTTTCAAAAACAAACTAAAGAAAAAGAAAAGAAAACTAAAATTACTGCTATTAATAAAGACTTATTGTGTTTGCTGTCTACGAAATGATTGTTTCGGGATCTATAGCTGACACTGATGTATTATGATCGAATAATACTCAGTGAATCAGAGGTTTCCGTAAAAGAATAGGTCTTCCCTTTAAGTGGATAATTACTCGTCCATCCCAGAGCGGATTGATTTGTAATGTGCTATCCTGGCAGATCCAGGGTGATCATGCAGCTACATCTATAATCCAATATCTATCGGCCACCAGTTGTGTAGCTCAGATACTGTGGGAATGATTATAGATGTTAGCTAGGAAGAGATATTCGTGCGTGGTGTTTGTTGTATTTGCTTATTTAAAAAATTGATAACAGTTGTAAGTCGATGACTATGAACTTAGGTGTCTTTATTATTCTTCAGATGAAGTAGAAGGATTATTTACTTTGTGAGGTTTAATGGGAATTATATTATTTGAGGATGCGTATGCTAGTCACTAATTTCAGGTTCAGATGCTTATTGGTGATTATTATACTTAGGCCTATATCTTGTTCTATGTTGTACATAACCTATATTAGATGCAATATAGATAGACCGTGGTAGAATGTATTCTCTACCTGGTTGTACGTACTCGAGTATTGTAGTTATTATCTCACCAAACACGTCAGTGTTCTTTTGATTGCGTGAACAGTTGTTGTATTAATAAAGGGTGATTGAGCCTTTTTATCTCCAACCATACTTTATTTCCGGAACAGGGAGCAGTACCGCGACCTACTATGTTCTGGTTGTTGAATCAATATATCCTGTTGTATCCAAGATACAACTATACGTCTTAAACTACAGAACGACTTCAGTACCTGCTTGACAATCTGATACACATCTACTTTGACACCCGCTTGCGGCTAAGATCTTATCATTCTCATGATAGTTTTAGTTCAGTTGTATTAATAGTTGAATACCCGTTAATAACCCCGTTTCTCATATAAAAGTATCATTCTCGACAAACTTGAATAAAGGGTATCTTTGTTGTGTCTGGTCATTTTACTGTCTTATTTTATTTTATAAGTCTTTTAAAGTAACTGGATATATCATATCCTACGAGTACATATACCAATCCTGCTATATACCTAAATGTCATATAGCCATAGATAATTTAAGTAAAATATATTTCATAAAGATAACCTGTTCAGATCTTATGTGAGGTAGCTAATCTCACATAAGAATTATCCTTAATCCATATTCTTTTCTTATCTTATCTTTATTTGTTATACATTTGATCTAAGGTTCAAATGTATGCAATCGAACACACCGCTTACCAAACGGGAACGAAGATATGAGCAGTACTCATATCTGAGATCAAGTTTTATTTTACATTTCGTTAGACGTTTTGAGTGATTTACTCATATAATAATAATATTGCCATCGTGCCTCAAATACGACAAATTCAAGTCTAAAGTTGACAGCTGTTTATGCTGTGTTTAAATTAATTAATTCTCACTCGTGTTTCGATACCGTAGACAGTGGTCGGGACATGACAGAGTGGCTGAAAGATCCTTGCCCGGAGCGAGACTAGATGTGGTGTTAAGAATACTCTGAACAGAGAAGTTACAAAAGAATCAACACTTATGATAAGATTTATTACAGGTAGAGTTCAGATAGTGTTAAAGAACAGGTAAAGCAGATAAATAAGATAAAGCAGATCAAAACACTACTGAACTAAATATGAATTTGGGATAGTATTTATATATGAAGCGTCTGAAACGTATCCAACAAGACAGATGGTCATTACACTTATAATGATTGGTTTAATCTTGAGTGATAGTTTGTTGTATCCAACAGCATATTACTCTTGGATTATTACATAATACTGAAATAAGAGATTGCGGATCCTTATGAAGGTTAGAATAACCGTGAGTGATAGACTTGTTAGAACAATTCTTTTCTTTAGCGGAAGAATATTTCATCTGTATATCCGAGACAACATTGGATGAGTAATTGACTTCATTTAGAAATAAGATATTATAGTATTTGGATTTGATTAAATCAGATAACTTTATTTAGCACATCAAACCACAATACATAAATCTAATCTACTTAAGCTATTATCTTGTTGGTCCTTACTTTAACCCTTTTACATTCTGACAGAATTCAATAAGACTGAAACGTAGACGTCGGCAGAATTAAGGAATAGTTTATCCTGTCCGTCACGTTAGTTATAATGAAACTGCTGAAGTTACGGGTGTCGTATTTGAGGGTAGATGATATACAAATATTAAAGATATAATCCACTTTATGAAGGATAAAGATGAATTATACAATATTGCAAACCATAAATAATTAGAAACTACATAAACTCTAATATATGAGTACCGTGAATTAAGTGTTGTGTTTAGTTGACAGCATCATATGAGATGTGGAGAACTCGTATACAAATTATACAAGATCCTCGCACCTCATTACTGCTGAAATAGAGTAGAGTAGGAAGCGAATATAGAATAAGTGATGATTCTTATACGAGATTAGCTACCTCCTATAAGGCTGAACAGGTTGTCATTTAGGATATATGGTAGAACTAATATATGGACATGCAGGATATATTGATTCAATACCAAGATATAATAGGTTATTATAAGTACTATTCTCTGCCTTCGGCATAAAGAATGATTGCAAGATAAGAGGCTGTGATCATCCTTTACAATAACTGTTCACTCAACTCAAACACCACGCACGAATACCATTTTCCTAATTAATACTATTTTCCTGCAAGCAGTGCTACATAATAGTTAGCACGGGAAAATAGGTTAGTTGCATGATCGCTAGATCAAGCCATGGATACGTTTACAAGTCCACCCGCTCCGGGTAGATGCGTAATCTCCTCAAGGGAGAATTCTATTCTTTTACGGTTCAGAAGACGTACGTCTTCTTTGAGTAGAATAACTCAGCTGTCAGTTTCTAGGTTCCGCAATATGAAGATGATATTTGAAATTTTGCAGTAGATATTTTTCTTCTCTTTGAACTTAACTTGATTCAAAATAAAGACTCACTAGTTTGATCTCGTTAAGCTTTTTACTGTTTTAATTAAGTGATATTTAACTCTCAAGTCGTCAAATACCACAACGGGTCAAAGGAACCTTTACTCAGATCAACCCACTTACCTCCTTTCACCGATCCAATCGGTCAAGGCACCGCTATAGCATGATGAACCGTACAGTAACAATTGGGTATATCTTTTCTTTCATCATCAGGTCATCTTGTACCTAAGAGTCTTGATAGAAAAAGTTTTTTACAATATCCACAAATATAAATAGAAGTACTTTTTTCCTACATGATTTTTGTCTTCAATTCAATTCTTATCAGAATATTCTACTGAATAAAAGAAGATAAACTTGGTCTTTCACTGATTTCCTTTTGTTTTCTTTTTCTTATACTTTATCTTATCGTATATAACAAAGAATGTGGTAACAACCCGCCCATGGTACCAGAAATGGTGGTCCTGAACAAAACAAACAATAACTATATACTATATACTTTACACCCAACCCTATATATATAAAAACAGTTCAAAAATTGAATACTCTCATCGCCTTTTAAAGGTATAAAGGGAAAAAGGGAAACTATTATTTTATTTCAATATATATTACAAAAAAGGAAAATAAAGCATGGCATTTGAGGCTGTTACCACATTCTTCGAGTCTTCTCCGTCAACATTCGTATTGAACATCTTTTTATAGTCTCGCTACTTAATTTAGTCCCCTATAATCCTAATTGATAAGATTTACAGTGTCGATGTCGGTGTCGGTGTCGATGTCGGTGTCGGTGTTCGGTGTCGGTGTTCGGTGTCGGTGTCGGTGTCGATGTCGGTGTCGATGTCGATGTCGGTGTCGATGTCGATGTCGGTGTCGGTGTCGGTGTCGGTGTCGATGTTCAGTGTCGTGTCTTACCTTTTCTTTATATAAAAAAAAATGGAGAAAGATATGGATAACTTGTACTTGCCTTTTGAAATGAGGTGCGGGACTGACCTTACCACTAAACTAATCCTAAGCAATAAAACCGTGATAAATATTATTGTTCACGAATTACTTGGTAAGTAATTTTTTTTTCTTTATTCACGAAACGGAACTTAACACATTTATTTTTCATAGGGTCAGACATCGCCAATAATGCATATATTTCTGGCTCAACAGATTGGGCAGATGGTAAAAGGTCAGATGTATTATATTTACCAAAAGATGAAGTGACGCATGATCTACCACCCATCTTAGTTGAAGTTCAAAATCAAGTGGATCAACGATTTATGTTAAGGCTAATCAACTATTGCAGTAACGTGTATGATCGTTATGAGGTGTTGCCTGTGGTGCTTGTCTTTGTGGTAGAGAAATTTGCCAATGTCAGATTTGAGAAAAGTTTTGTTGAGAAAGCAAATACCCCTTATATTCTGGAAACTCAGTGTCAACATTGGGCGAAGTCAACCAATTTCGTCTCAGTTAAGTCAATTAAAAATCACATTCAAGACTCCATGGCTCCATTTGTAGCACTTGCCTATTTTACCTCGTCACAAGCACAAAACTTGGAATCGCTTACGTTTGCTGCTAATTCGACGGTACGCTTTCTATGGTCTATATGTAAAAAATACATGGTGAAAAAAAATCAAAATGAACTCTATCAGGTTCTTGATCACGCTACAAACGAAGCACAGAAGATAATCGATCTACAAGATGAAGATCCTATTCTGATGCTGGAAAAAAGCAAAAACTTTGTCAAAGAGTTCCTAGGAATCATTGAAGGCCAGAAAAGAAAGTTAAATGAAGAATATGAATTAGATCTGCAAGCCTTACAGGCAGAACAGAAAAAATACACAACAGAAGACTTTCTTTTTGTCGAAAGCATGTCAGAACCAAACAAGTCAAAAAACTGGAAAGATATTTTTAATGCAGGAAAAGCCAAAGGGCTATTTAACTCTTATACCTCAGCAAACTCTTTAAAAAGTTCCTATCACCATGCCGTTAAACGTGCCAAAAAATAAGAATAATTGTTTGTTTATTTCCAAATAAAGTATTATTATTCTCTTTTTTTTATAATTGCCTCGCTCAGCAAACTAATAGTTTGATTTTCTACGTCAGAAGAAAAGGAAAATACTTTGTCTGGAAGAGACAAAAACTGACATAACGCATGAAAGGCATTCATAGGTTGATCGTTTAGAGGTTTGACATCCAAATCGGAAAGAAACATCAGACATTTCTCTGCCCAAAAATTAGATTTGATCTTTACCAAATGGGAATTTGATTCACCTTCATTTGAGCCAAGACAGTCTTTGTTGGCAATAATTAATACAATTGGTAAATAGTTGAATCGTTCGCAAACAAGTATACAGTATTGCATAATTTTCAGAATCAATACTTGATTGATTTCACTTTGAATAGTTACAACTATTGGTTTGAAACGTTCGTCACTTTCATTCTGAGATTTGTATACTTTAAAAAGCCCTTCAGCCTGTGGCCATTCATTCTGATGCACTACATAGTTGTTTTTTGGAACGTGCGTACCTATAAGTAGAGCCACGTGTTATATTAGAGCAGTCAGTTTTACAAAAATGCTATAATATGTCTTACCAACCAAAACTTGAACGATCAGATTTATTACTTCTTGCTCATTCAGTAGAAGCTGAGCTATAAGATCTGTGTTTGACTTCCATTTAACTGGTAGATTAGGAGTATCCATATTTTCGTCTATTTTCGATTGAGGATAGTAAAGTGTTTTACACATTTTTTTTTGTACTCTTCCCAGTTACTACTTTTCCTAGTGGGCCCGGCTCGATCCCGAGCATGGTGATTTTCTATTTATCTTTCCTTATAACGAACATCAACACCGACATCGACATCGACACCGACACCGACACCGACACCGACATCGACACCGACATCGACACGAACATCGACACTGAACATCGACATCGACATCGACACCGACATCGACACCGACACCGACACCGACACCGACACCGACATCGACACCGACATCGACACCGAACACCGACACCGACATCGACACCGACATCGACACCGACACCGACATCGACACCGACACCGAACACCGACACCGACATCGACACCGACATCGACACCGACACCGACATCGACACCGACACCGAACACCGACACCGAACACCGACACCGACATCGACACCGACATCGACACCGACACCGACATCGACACCGACATCGACACCGACACCGACACGAACATCGACACTGTAAATCTTATCAATTAGGATTATAGGGGACTAAATTAAGTAGCGAGACTATAAAAAGATGTTCAATACGAATGTTGACGGAGAAGACTCGTAGAATGTGGTAACAGTGTTGTATCCAACAGCATATTACTCTTGGATTATTACATAATACTGAAATAAGAGATTGCGGATCCTTATGAAGGTTAGAATACCGAGACAACATTGGATGAGTAATTGACTTCATTTAGAAATAAGATATTATAGTATTTGGATTTGATTAAATCAGATAACTTTATTTAGCACATCAAACCACAATACATAAATCTAATCTACTTAAGCTATTATCTTGTTGGTCCTTACTTTAACCCTTTTACATTCTGACAGAATTCAATAAGACTGAAACGTAGACGTCGGCAGAATTAAGGAATAGTTTATCCTGTCCGTCACGTTAGTTATAATGAAACTGCTGAAGTTACGGGTGTCGTATTTGAGGGTAGATGATATACAAATATTAAAGATATAATCCACTTTATGAAGGATAAAGATGAATTATACAATATTGCAAACCATAAATAATTAGAAACTACATAAACTCTAATATATGAGTACCGTGAATTAAGTGTTGTGTTTAGTTGACAGCATCATATGAGATGTGGAGAACTCGTATACAAATTATACAAGATCCTCGCACCTCATTACTGCTGAAATAGAGTAGAGTAGGAAGCGAATATAGAATAAGTGATGATTCTTATACGAGATTAGCTACCTCCTATAAGGCTGAACAGGTTGTCATTTAGGATATATGGTAGAACTAATATATGGACATGCAGGATATATTGATTCAATACCAAGATATAATAGGTTATTATAAGTACTATTCTCTGCCTTCGGCATAAAGAATGATTGCAAGATAAGAGGCTGTGATCATCCTTTACAATAACTGTTCACTCAACTCAAACACCACGCACGAATACCATTTTCCTAATTAATACTATTTTCCTGCAAGCAGTGCTACATAATAGTTAGCACGGGAAAATAGGTTAGTTGCATGATCGCTAGATCAAGCCATGGATACGTTTACAAGTCCACCCGCTCCGGGTAGATGCGTAATCTCCTCAAGGGAGAATTCTATTCTTTTACGGTTCAGAAGACGTACGTCTTCTTTGAGTAGAATAACTCAGCTGTCAGTTTCTAGGTTCCGCAATATGAAGATGATATTTGAAATTTTGCAGTAGATATTTTTCTTCTCTTTGAACTTAACTTGATTCAAAATAAAGACTCACTAGTTTGATCTCGTTAAGCTTTTTATTGTTTTAACTAAGTGATATTTTACTCCACAAGTCGTCAAATACCACATATTTATTTCCAAATAAAATATTATTATTAGCTCTCTTCCGTGCATTTTGTTTTTCAACTTAATCGACCAATCAGATAGCGACATTCCCCTTCACCCGTGCAACCATTGGACCGTAAACTGTTCTTGTCCGAATGAGATACGTTAGCCCCTGCCAGCTAAAAAGGCGCACCTCCTGTCTGTTATTACCGTCGCCAAGCTGGACATGTTCGTAAAGACTGCCCTGTTTGGCAAAATTTGACCTGTTACAAATGTCATCGTAAGGGTTATATTCGTAGAAATTGCCGCATGGAAGACGTTCCTGTTCCTGCTTTAAAAGCTAATGAGCAAAGTGATACTGACGCCATCGCTGAATATGAAGTTCCGAGTGAACTCACCAATAACGAACGCCCCGCCGATAGTCCTCCTATTACCTCTACCATCAATGATGAGTCTGCCCTTATCATTTCGAAAAAGGCAAAACGATATGCTACCGATCAACGACCGCTAAGGCTTCTGTTGATCATACTTTGTCTTCATTCAATAAACCCACTGGTACTGCCGGCTCAAAATATGCCAGTATCACCCGTTGCTGCCAGTATGGCCCTTGACGAGCCTGCAACACCTGCGCCTTCCGATACCAACATTAGTTTGGCAACTACACCTATTCATAGTCAATTAACTCCTGCTGCTCACAGTGATGATATAGATATGATACTGTAATAGAAGCGGATACCACTCCTCCCAACTTATCCATGACCGCCCAGGAGGGCAATGAATAATCGACCTATACGCGTCGCATCCTTAAATGCTCGCAGCATTTTCAAGGATGCTGACAAATATACCCAGAAACAATATATATCCCATTTACGTTCCCCTGCTTTGTCTGTTGACATTTTATGTCTCCAAGAAGTTTCCGCATATCATTCACAAGACCACCTTACATTCGATCAAATCAAATATTTCCATTCCTTCCTCTTTGTTGTATCCAAGATACTAATATACGTCTTAAACTACAAAACGACTTCAGTACCTGCTTGACAATCTGACACACATCTACTTTGACACCCGTGTGATATTCTTAGATATCAGGAGTTATATTTCAATAAGTTTTTAAATGTAGAGACTGAGTGAGTCAGCGAGACCGAACAATAGTTCTTGGATGATTTTATTTTGGTTTAGAAATTGAATGGTCTTTTATATGAATGCGAGGTTGAACTGAGCTTATAGTGGAATTAAGAAAGTAGTAGTGACAACCGATCCTGTTAATAAATTGTACAACGCCACTGAGATATATCTAGATTACCAGTAAGGTTGAAGTGTGCCTGATGAAATCTTATTTGTCCCAGTGTGCCTGGAATCTTATTTGTTCCAGTACACTATAACTGGTAAAGGCAGTAAATCTGGATTGTTTCTCAGATTGTTATGTGAATTAGAGGTCAGAACGTGACAACCCGCTTGCGGCTAAGATCTTATCATTCTCAGCAAACCTAAATAAAGATTATCTTTGTGTCTGGTCATTTTACTGTAACGGTATAAAAACTAACTGTTCCTAAAAAGGACAGCCAATAAAATAAATGCCTTGCCTATAGGCTTGAGTAGTTGAAAAACTACTACTTATAGTAATCCTTCCATTTTTGGATAAAATCACGCAAATACTGGAAATCATATACTGAGTGCCCCGCAGGGCCAGAAAAAAAAAACATCATTGGTTTTGACATCAGATGATCGCTTGGCTTCATGTTGGACATTGGAGACCAACAGTAACTATCTTGCATGATTATCTATACGATATACTTTTAGGCTTTTTGATACCACCATTTGTATTCCTATCTTTTACTATATAATACTTTATTTTTGGCAGACTGAGTAAGGCTTTTTTTGTTTTAATGATGCGTAATACATGTGTTTATTGCAAGATATGCATATACAGTATAATGGTTACATAGGTATAAATGTACATATTATTTATGAGATTATTTGGAGCTGCTTGGCTCGTAGTTAATCCATTTTGTATTCTTTTTTTGCCTTGGTCTAGATAAACCACTGGTATTGGCATTGGTGATTGTTGCTGATGGGGCAGGGCTTATAGTGACAGGTTGCTGAGCAGAAGGTGCAGGCTCAGCGACGAGAGGAGGAAAGGGAGTATATTGTGTTTGAACAGCAGAAGAAAAGGTAGATGCTTGAGGCATATCGTTGTTGATATTTGTATTTAATGGAGTGTTGGTAGCTAAAAGCAATTGCATTTGAGAATTCAAACACTGTTGTTGCATCATGAGTATTCGTACGTCTCGTGCTAACTGTTGAGTAGTGTTTAGCAACGTAAGGTTGGTACGATTGCTTTGTTCAACAAATCGCTGAAAATTGTTTTCATTCTTTTGAAAGCGGTCATTTTGCTGCTGTTGCAAGCGTACAATCCTGTGATTGACTTCCGTTACTCGACTGGCTACTTGTCTATGTG